CGACTCTGAGGATCCCCTACCGCTTTTTGTCGCCTTTCAGCCTACCGGCGTGAGCGGTCCCGGCCGCTCTCCTCTTGTCGCCCTCACGACGACACTGCTGCGGTGCGACTCGATGGCATTGTCTTGTGGCTCGGTCTAGTAACGTAGTGGAGCTGTAGTACCTCCCGCGTCGTCGGAGCTCACCAGGCCACCGGAGAGAGTGGATGAAGCGCCCCGAATGGCCGTCCTGGCAGTAGGAGGGTCGTCCGGCGGACAGTCGTTGTGCCGTCCAAGTCGCTCCGGCGCGAGCCAAAGAGGCGGAACACGCAGCGGACGAGCTCACGGTCGGGTTGTGGAGGCTGAGCGCGCCGTGCGCGAGGCGGCATGTGTGGAAAGAGCGTGCGATCGGTTTGGGCCGTGCGGAGGCATGTACGCGAGTTTTGGTGTGCGGATTGTGCGTAACGGAGGCGCGATGGGTGGTTGACGATTGCGGTACGGCGGAGAGTGCGTGGTAGCGTGTGGTGCGTCCGTAAAGTGGATTTTGTTGACGGGTGGGAGACGAGTAAAGTATCCGGGGATGTAGCTCAAATGGTAGAGCGCTCGCTTAGCATGCGAGAGGTACAGGGATCGATACCCTGCTTCTCCAGGCGTGTGTAGTATAGTGGTCAGTACCTCACCTTGTGGCGGTGAAATCCCTGGTTCGAATCCGGGCACGCGCACTCTTATGCTCATTATGCTGCTTTTACGTGCGCGTTATGGACGCTGCGCCGCCCCTAGCCGTCGCCATGCACACCCGCCACGCTCTCGGTCCCCAATTACCGCTTTTTGTCGCCTTTCAGCCTACCGGCGTGAGCGGTCCCGGCCGCTCTCCTCTTGTCGCCCTCACGACGACACTGCTGCGGTGCGACTCGATGGCATTGTCTTGTGGCTCGGTCTAGTAACGTAGTGGAGCTGTAGTACCTCCCGCGTCGTCGGAGCTCACCAGGCCACCGGAGAGAGTGGATGAAGCGCCCCGAATGGCCGTCCTGGCAGTAGGAGGGTCGTCGGGCGGACAGAGTCGTTGCGTTTGAGATTGAAGTAGACCTGGATTGGCATTGCTACTCGAAAACGGTCTTTTATTCGAAACGGTCTTTTATTTCTAGAGCACTCTTGAAAAATAGCGGGAGGTCGTCTAATAGTACGAGGTCTTCTATTCGTAAAAATCCGTTATAACGGTAAAAATTGGCGTTTTATTCATACCGCTACTGCGTTTTACTTTGGAATTCAGTGACGTGAACTAGGATATATCTGCAATGTTATGAGCTCTGTTATGCGGTAGCAGGTGGTCGCTCTTGATCTAGCAGAGCTGGAGGGCGTGTTAATCGATAGTTTACGGTACATGATGTGCCCTTCGGGTTCTTCACCTCAAACGGGTTTGGCCCGGTTGGCAAAATGAATCCGGGTTTGTTTGGGCGCTCGGATTGGTCAAAATTGGTCCCTCTCTAATCTCCATACAAATCCGAAGCCCAGAAGGAAAGCGCCAGCCGCCGATCGAGAGAAGGCCAACAGGCGGAGAGACCAGGAGCGCGCTGCTATGAGTCGCGCCCGGGTGTACTGCGACGTGAACGAAACGCGCCCGCGCGAGTACTGGGACTACGACACGCTGAACGTGGCTTGGGGGTGCGTGCCTGCCTGCTCTCCTACTTCCTCTGTTCTGCCTCCCCCTCTATGCCTCCCCCTGCCGAAATCCTGGACTATCGAGGGGGGAAGACGCGCTGACGCTGCGTGAGGATGCGCTACCAGGCGCTCTTCGGCGTATGAGGGGGGCTATATCATTGTCTTAGCATGAGGGAAGAGGCTCACCGACTTTTTGTGCATACAGAGACCAAGATAACTATGAAGTGATCCGCAAGATCGGTCGCGGCAAGTACAGCGAGGTGTTCGAGGGCTACAACGTGGCCAACAACTCTCGCTGCGTCATCAAGATCCTCAAGCCTGTCAAGAAGAAAAAAATCAAACGGTGCGCCAGTCCGTCTTAGTTGCTCATGCTGGGGCTCTTGATCACCAGAAACTCACTTCATGCTCTAACTATCATCAACCTACAGTGAAATCAAGATTCTGCAGAACCTTTCTGGCGGCGTGAACATTGTGCAGCTGCTCGATGTCGTGCGGGACCCGCAGTCTAAGACGCCCAGTCTGGTGACCGAGTACGTGAACAACACGGACTTCAAGACCCTGTACCCGACGCTGAGCGACTTCGACATCCGCTACTACTTGTTCGAGCTGCTCAAGGCTCTGGACTACTGCCACTCGAACGGTATCATGCACCGCGACGTCAAGCCGCACAACGTCATGATCGACCACGAGAAGCGCCAGCTGCGTCTGATTGACTGGGGCCTTGCTGAGTTCTACCACCCTGGCCGCGAGTACAACGTGCGCGTCGCCAGTCGCTACTTCAAGGGACCGGAGCTTCTTGTGGACATGCAGGAGTACGACTACTCGCTGGACATGTGGAGTCTGGGCTGCATGTTTGCAGCCATGATCTTCCGCAAGGAGCCGTTCTTCCACGGCCACGACAATTGTGACCAGCTGGTCAAGATCGCCAAGGTGAAGGGCACGGACGAGCTGTTTGACTACCTGACGACGTACGACCTTGAGCTGGACCCGCAGTACGACGGTATCCTGGGCACGCACACGAAGAAGCCGTGGGAGAAGTTTATCACACAGGAGAACAAGCACCTGGTTTCGCCCGAGGCCATCGACTTCCTGGATGGCCTGCTGCGTTACGACCACCAAGAGCGACTAACAGCAAAGGAGGCCATGCAGCACGCGTACTTCCAGCCCGTGCGCGATGCGGCCGAACAGAAGCTGCGTGGTGGAGCGCATCACACCGACGAGATCACCAGCGTATCCGACTCGAGCGCGTAATTTGCGTGCGCGCGATGAAGACCAATACCCGCTTGTTCTGACGAAGGAGGATGAGAGAGAACAGAGCCGAATCGCTGCTATGGAGGAGGTGCTGCATGCATTTCGAACAATCGGTGACAGCAGTCAACCATTGATCGGTTCTGCAAGATGCGGGCCGCCACCAGAGCAACGTGACGACAAGGGGAGCGAGCGGGGCCTAGATAACAGAGCGAGAACACAATACAAGGACATGCCACGTCAAGTAGCGAGGACGCGGAGGGCTACCTGCGTGAATGAACGAGACTTGCGCGGCAGGATGGATACGTTTGCCTTCTTGATTTTTGACGGCGTGATAGGAGGTGGTAGCGTGAGTGCGGCGGTGTAACGTGTATAGGAAGCCTTTACTTTTTCCATACACCACGTTTTCATATTGCATTGCTTCAAGTTGTCATAGTGCTTCGTTCGTTTACCTCGCTCTATTCCTTCGCGTCTAGGTCTTGGCGGATAACTGCGCGGTCCCTCGTGAAAAAATTGTGCGCGTAAGTGCTCGGATTGGCGGGCCGATTCCGAAGAATGCCGCGGACCAGAGCGCGCATGAGCTTCGCCACGTCCGGGTGGTCTCGCAGGTACTGCTCGTTGTCCATGCGGATCATCACCTACACAGTCGCAGTCAGAGATAATGAGCACCTTCTTCCAGCACAAAACCCACAGTCTTCATGATTTTCCCACCTTGGCTTCGTTGAGCGCCGACAATTGCTGAGGTGTCAGCACCTGCATCCTGCCCACAGGCGGCAGGGCAGCTCCCGCTTCCTCCATCCTCACTTACTCGAAGCTTTAGCTCTGGCAAAAGCTCGCGTCGTTTCGGTGCTGCCAATGTGTGGCGTACACAAAAAAGAGCATACTCAGCTCAAGTGAAAAACCGGACCACTGACCACCGCTCACTTAACCAGGGAGCAGCGCATCAAAGCGCAAAGCGCCACCAGCTCACCACCAGATCCGACGGCGCAGCGATTGCAGCCGCGAAGATCCATATCCCAGTCGAAGCATGTGGCGTGCCTGTCGTGTAGCTGCGCTCCGCCACCTGCGCACCGAGGCCGCGCGCATGCCCGTCGCCCGCGCGCCGCTGGCGCTGGCGCTGCAGCAGCAGCTGGGCAGCGCCACCTGCCACTTCACCAGCATCGCCGGCGTGGACCGCGAGCTGCTGCTCACGCGCTCTGCACGCGACCTGCGTGACGAGCTCGGAGACTCGCAGCTCGGTGCCGTGGCCAAGGCGCTCAGGGGTGAGCTGTCCGCCGCCGTCGCGCGTGAAGACGTGACCAGCGACGAGATCATCGACCTTTTCACGGCGGCCCAGAAGACCCGCGCCGTGACCGTCATGCTGGACGCCTTCGATTTCCTGGACGCGAAGTTCCCGGCCCACATCAACTTCGCTGTGTACGGTGAGGTGTTCCGCATCTTGCAGCGCAAGAACAATTGGAAGCGCCTTATCGAGATCTACGAGACCGCCAAGCCGCGCTTCAAGGCTGTGCCCGAGATGATCTACCGCTTCGGTATTGTTGGATATCTGCAGGCTGATGACATGGATGCTGCCGTCAAGACCTGGCAGGAGATGAGCGATGCCGGCCATGAAACCACCAACGAAATCACGTCGCGACTCATGATGGCGTATGCGCGCAAGGGTGACGTCGAGAAGGTGCAGGAGCTGTTCGAGTCGGTTGACCCGCAGATCGGCTACTGGCACGAGTCGTGCATTGACCGTGTGATCCTGAGTATGGGCATCATCGAGCAGCCTGCTAAGGCCTTCGAGTTCTACAGCAACTCGAGCATGAAACTGAACGGCGGCACGCTAATCGCGCTGCTGAGCGTATGTAACAGCAACAACTGCAAGCAGCAGGCTTCCGACATTTTGGCAAACCGCAAGAAGTTCGATTTGCGTCTTGATGCTCGCGGCTACAACCGTATCATGATGACTTTGGAGAACCTGGAGCGCAACGATGAGATCAAGGAGGTTCTGGAGGAGATGGTTGAAAACAAGGTGCGGTTTGACACCAGGACTAACAACATCATCGAGCGTAACGCCGAGTTCCTCAAGGGCACGAATTTCGTTGTGGATCCTAGCAAGAGCAAGGCTGCCGGCTTCACGTTAAGCCCGCGTCTTCGCGAAATGCTTTCTCAAGGACAAGCACAAGATGCGGCGGCCTTGGTCGACTCTATCGCGAAGCCGGTGGAGGAGTCGCAACTGTCGGAAGATTTTGAAGGCGAAATCCCTGAGGGTGCCTTGTTTGTGAGTCCTTCTGTGGCTAGAGATGCTGTGCGTGCGTACATCAAAACGAACCAGCATGACAAGGTTGGCGCTCTGGTGAAGGGATTCTCAGTCGTTCCCGGTAAGTATGCCTACGCTCTGGCAGAGATCATCGGTCACTACCTGAAGTTGAGGAACAAGACCAGTGACGAGCTTAGCTACAAGGCCATGAAGGCAATGCTAGCCCAGGGTATTCAGATTTACCGCGTCGACGACGCGTTGACGCTATTCCGCCGCTTCCACGACGCTGACGCCGCTGTAGAGCTATTTGACCAAGTGCTTGCTACGTACTGGGGCAAGGATGCTCCCACCCCCGCGGCGCACCGCACTGAGGAGGACGAGAATGATGTGGACAGCAGCGACTCGAAGCAGACGTACTTTGTGAACTTCAACATTGGCAAGGTGATCAACTTGGTTCTGCAGACATTGGCAGAGAGTGGCAGGGCTACGGAGGCTCTGGATACTTTAACCAAGATGGCGAGCCGTGACCTGCAGACGAACCAATCCAACTACATCACCATTCTGAGCTCCATGCGTAAATACCTACGAAACGTTAACCACAAGGACAGGAAGCACAAGGTGCTGTACGACATTTCCAGCTTCCAGGCAGTGCTGAAGGACCTCAAGAGCCGCGGGTTGACGGTGAACCGGGCTGTTGTGGGTTACCTGTGCCCCGCTTACGTCGGTGCCAACAAGCAGCAGCGCCTTGAGCTGCTGGAGGCTTTCGCGGAAGCTCAGAGTGACCCTAACGACAACTACATCTTGCCACACCTGTGCTATGAAACGTTGCTGACGTTCACGGCCCAAGAGTGTGACATCGCGGAGGTGAAGGCACTTTACGAAGAAGCTGTGACTACTTTGAACAACAAGGAGAATCTCGGTGTGCCGCGGGGCTGGGTGAGTGTTCTGATCTCAAAGCTTGCCAAGGATGGCTACGTTGAAGAAGCCGAGCAGGCCGTGAAGGATATGCCCAAGGTGTGCGGTGGATATACGTACCGAGCTGCGGTGTCCGTGCTGCGCAGCGCTTTGGAAGCGAAGAAGCCCGATGTTGTTGACAACATGATCGCGCTCCTGGAAGAGCGGGAGTTCCACGTCGGACTGGCGGATGCCTACGAGTTGGTCCACATGGCCCGTGAAAAGGAGCTCTCCTCGAAGGCGTTGGACATTATTCGTCTGTTCGAGAAGGGCAACTTGAAGGAGATGGCTGCTGCTGAGGACGGCAAGGGCAACTTGGAGGCCGCCTACTTCCGGCGTCAGCGAGGCGACGTCCACGCGCTCCGGAAGGTGAAGACGATGTACACCGTGGCGCTGAAGTCTTGTGAGACTGGCGGCCTCTGGAAGCAGGCGCTGGTGCTGCGCGAGCAAATGACGACGCTGCTGGGCCAGGAAGCTGTGGACGAGATCACTGCGAGTCTGACTGCACGGCAGCGGAAGCACTGGGAGCGCAAGGAGAAGAAGTCGGACGAGCAGGAGTAGACCAATAGACAAGACAGCTCTGGCCCTCATTGCGTTGGCCATCGGGCAGGTGACGAAAGGATCGGCAGAGCTTGTGGCAACTGGATAGACCGTCAGCAAGAGACAACGATATAAAAAAAATAAAACAACAAACAAACAGAAAGCACCAAGCCAATAATATTGGCGAGCGAGATCGGTTCAACATATTATGTTGAACCGATCTCGCTCGCGACTTGCACTGTGAGTGCGGGGTCTCTAATAGAGACTCACTTGTGTCGAGCATTCATTCGTAAGACAGTTTGACGACAAATCAAATTTAGCCATGTGATTGGCTAATATTATGCGTGGTGTTGTCCGTGTATGCCCTTGGAGGGCCGTCTGCGTCGCCGTCGTGGCATGCACCAGCAACGGATAGCCGTGCTGACGAGCAGAATCGGCAGCATGAACGTGTATTTGTTTCGTTTTCGATTTCGTAGTAATGTGAAGTGCATCACAGTTATTTGGCCTAACTAGCGACCTACTAAATGCCAGGTCCTTCAAATGAAAGTGCGTATTATACATATTTTATGAGGTCCGAGGAGCTCTTCCATGAAGCCGCGTAGTCAGCGTAAGTAGGGAGATGCCCTTCGGAGGACACGACGCGGTTGGTACACGGAGAACTGAATTGTGCTTGAGCGTGCATTGAATAGCAAACGACTAGAATGTACACTCGAGCACTCTCTAGAAACTTGTCAACAAAGCCGAAATGGAAACACTACGTAGATTCAAGCTTAACAGACAGCAATAGACTGGCGCGGTTATAAGCGCTCTAGAATCGCTGCCTCTTATGCTACGTAACTAACCACGTTATTGAAGGAAGGCTTGCCCGCATCATGATACGTACATTGCAACCTGACAGTACGAAAACTCCTACAATATTTCCCTCGTGACACTATTCGTTACCATCCAGGCACTGAAAAGCTCTGGACGTGGCATTTTAAGAGCAACAGATCAGAACAGCCTTAGCGCTAAGGCTTCACGCAAGGCCTGGCGCGGCCGCCGTGGCTGCAGCCAGAATATCATCCTGTTGTCGACGGACTTACGCGCCATGCAACTGCGTCGTCTTGGCGAACAAAGGTGCCACCAACACAGCCTGCATCCGCACCGCTGCCGTGGTTGAGTGGGCCCGAGCATGCACATGCAGCTCTGCACGTCAAGTAGAGCTTTTGACCAATAATATGGCGCAAACTGGTGTCCGACAAACTGTCTTCCGTTTTGAGTGACAAAATACAATGTAGCCACTGGTATACTAAAATCAAGATGTAATCAAAATGCGTTGATTGCAAAACGTAAGACGCATTGTACGGTATGCTCTCTAGGGACCAGTATCGTCTTACGAAAGAGCATGAATCTCTATTGTCGGCGGCCCGGCCGGACTCCGGCCACCCGATTGGCTGATTTCCTGCAAAGTCTCATGTGGCGCCGACTGGCTGCGGCAGTGGCTCGCCGCTCGCCGAATGCGCCTCGCGTGGACGTTCTCAGGCTTCGGACGTGCCGCCCACTAGCGTTGTCATGCTCCCAGCACCTGCTCGTATCTGGCCGACCGTTTTCTTCCAGAGATCGCGATGCGTCGCGCGTGAATGACGTGAAAGTGCGGGACATCGAGCTGCGCGAGCTGGTGCGGCGGCCGTGGATCGAGATGCAGGAATATTACGGACCCGTGGAGATGGCCAAGGTGCGGCAGAGTCTGCCTTCGGTCTGGAGCGGGATCAGTCGCGATGCAGAGGTGGCGCCGGAGATCGTCGAAGACTTTTACGAGGCCGCGAGAGTGTGCAGGCTCTCCAAACTGCAGCGCGACGTCTTCGACTACATGGAAGCCCATTATCTCGAGCGCATAAGCTTCGAGATGTACGGCCAAATGTTCAACATACTCACGTTCGCCAAGGATCCGCAGAGGATGCGGGCTATTTTCGAGCGTGCCATGACCAGGTACGACCCTGAGCAAGGTCAGGTCCCGCCCGAGATCGTCTACCGACTTGGAATTACCGCCGCTATTGCGCTTAAAGACTACGTGGGGGTGAAGATGCTGGTGCGTGATATGGAAACAAAGGGTGCTAAGCCCTCGGTTGAAATTGTAAGCCGCGTGATGGTGGCCCAAGCTCAAAGTGGCGACGCGAAGACTGTGTTGGCGGCCGCGGAAAAGCTGAATCCGCAAGATGGACGGAAGTGGCACGAGGCCGACATCAACCGCATCATTACTAGTTTGGGTATCGCAGGAGAGCCTGATGCAGCCTTCGACTTCTACCGAAAGTCGCAAATGCGTTTGTCTCCACAGACATGCATGAAGCTGATGCTGGTTTGCCGCGGAAATTCACGGCCTAAGCATGCATTTGCAATTTTGGCTAACCGCCGTCGCTTTGGCCTGAAAATGAGTCCGTTCCAGTATCCGACGTTGCTGGAAATCATTGAGGAACTGGGTATCGCGGGGGCGCCTGGGAATGAAATGGCCCTCATTCTCAAAGAGATGCGTGATAATAGCGTGCAGTTCAATGACCGCGTGCATGCACTGATTGCTCGTAACCAGCAGCATCTACACGGCACAGCGTTCATGTTGACACCGTCGATCTCAGACGTTGGGGATGGAAAAGAAGATGGAGTGGAGTTAGAAGCGCAGGCACGAACAAAAGAGGCGGACAAGCCGCTACTGCGAGAGTTGCTCGACTCGCGCAAGTTTGCTCAAGCTGCTGCTATCGTCAACTCGTACCTATTGCCCGTCAGCGACGACGTGATAAAGGGGGATAGAATTGAGGAGGCTAACTCGGTTGGAGAAGAACCAGCAATTGTTCCGGACTGGCTGGCGGATACGGCGATTGAGGCGTATTCGCAGAACCAGGAGGTAGCCAAAGTGCGCTCTTTGGTACGCGGGTTCATGTGTGTTCGTGGGGATTTCAAGCATGCGCTCTCTCGCGTGGTTGGCCTATTTGGTGGCAATGGCAAGCAGCGCGATAGTCGTATGGTGTACGAGGCCTTTTTGGCGATGCAAGTCCAGGGTTTTCCGATTTTCCGTGTCCGAGATGCGCTGACCCGATTCAAGCAGCATCAAGACTCGAAGGCCGCTTTCAAGCTTCTGATGCAGGTATCGGGGCAGATTGCTGAAGCTCTGCGGGACTCGAACTGCATCGAAAACGCTGCGAAGCACCAAGAAGATTTCATGCGAGTGCTCGAGAGATCGGGTGAGCTCAACTTTGACCCAGTGCGTACAGTGCGCGATGTGCTGCGAGTGCTCTTAGCATCGAAAGAGCTGGGCATAGTATTCGCCGCGCTGGACCAACTTGCGTCAGATGGCATCCCCATTAGATCACTGGACTATGAAACGATCTTTAGCGCCATGAGCAAGGCCAACAGAGCTGGCGGCAAAGTGTTTTCAGTTGAGGACTTCATGAAGGTTTGGGAGGACATGGCTCGACGTAGCGTAGCCCCTAGCAAGGCTCTGCTTCGTCTGGTGATACCGGTGCTTTGCGGGAATGATAACATGGATGGCATCAGCGACAAAAGGAAACGCAGACAGCTTGCTGTTATAGAAGGCTACCAGCAGGCTGCGAAGGATCGTCGTGATAACTATGTGCTGCCAGTCGCCTGCTTTTCGACGCTGCTGGAATCTGCCGCTGAGACGGGAAGCGTCGAGGATGTGAATGCAATCCATGCTGGCGCGGTAAGAGGGCTGGGAGCAAGCATGAATAAAAGGCACCTGAGCCTCGCGGAGCACAGCAAGATCCTGGATACGTGGCAAGCGATCAAATCCGAGAAGGCTGCAGCTGAGAGCGACGCAGCTCAAGCACGCACCGAAGGCGTTGAGATGGTGTAAGGAAACTTAGGAGCCGAATCGTGAGCAGGTATCCTGCCTGCTACCGTATATGTATGGTGAAAGCAGGTGTGAACCCCACAACCGTTGTGGGGTGACAACGGAACGAGTTTCCAGGCCACAGGGGGGTCTGTAGGAGCAGCACGTACGTTCAACAAAGCCATCGACGTAGAAGAGATGCAAACACTTCAGTGCCTCAATTGATAGAGAATAGTTTATCTTCCTACAATAATCAGAAGATGCCGTTTGATTGATGATGGTGGTGACGATCACCTTAAATAGTGAAGGCGCTTTGGCACACCTCGTTTTCTACAAGTAAGTTAACCCAGAGTCTCGACGGACGTGAAGACCATGGATCCGTTGGAGTGGACCTCGCTGCTGCAGGGCGGGTGGCTCGCGTGGTGTCTCCGTCGGCGCTCTTTCTTCTGCGTGACCAACTCGACCGTCGATGCGTCGCTCCCGTGTTGCTTGCGGCAGCGGAGACCAAGACGGGTCATAACCTCGTCGAACGAGCGGCACCACCAGGTCTCCGTCCGGTACTTAATGGAGCCGACGCAGCCGAAGCGGCCGTCGCGCGTGCGGAAGGCGTGCATGTGCACGTGGTCGATGCTGTTAAACGGCGGTGAGTGGAACGCAAACTTGAAGTCGGCCTCAGAGTCGTTGTCGTCCGTGCAGTCCTGTGCGGCGTCGTGGGCCCTCTCTGCCTTTGAAGGGGCCAGCACGACCGAAGGGCGCGGCATTTCGCGAAGCACCATGGCGGCGACCTCGCGCATGCGGCGCAGCAGCGCCGCGTCGTCGGGCGTGAGCTTGTTCACGTTGCGGATGTGGCGGCGCGGCACCACCAGGATGTGGCTGACCACCACGGGGGCCAGTGGGCGGAAGACGACCACGTCCTCGTCCTCGTACAGGAAGGGCTCGTCGCCCGACTCGAGGATCTCGCAGAACCGGCAGGAGACCAGCGCGCCGTCGAGGCCGTATGTGACGCCCTTCCGGGCCACTGAGAACGTCGAGGAGGTCGACGACGAGGAGGAAGAGACCGAAGACGGCGAGGAGCACGGGGACGAGCTGTGCTGCCGGTGCTTGAACAGGGACTGGCGGGGCTTCGTGGAGACGGGGGACATGTCCTCCGTGTCGGACCACGAGTGGTTAGTGCCTGTGGCGCCCAGGATGGGCATGGGGTCGCTCGAGCGCGAGGGCATCTTGGCGGCGGTGGACTCGCTGCCGCGCAGCTCGTCGGCGTCCGCCTCCGTTTCGGGCGCCGTCGCGTGAAAGTGCGGCAGACACGCGCGCAGGCGCTTCCGGAGCCGCGCCTTCTTGGGCTGGGCGCCGCTGCTGTGGCTGTGGCTGTTGCTGCTCACTGACATGACCGTGAGCATCGAGACCGTCGTGACCTGTTCGCTGTAAAGATGAAAGTGGGGGCTCTCACGCGCGGGGTAAAGCGACAATGGGCGCCTGCCTCAGCGCGCCTTCCTCGCCTGCAGTTACGCGGCGTGGGACTCGGACGACCGAATGCAGAATGTTCAGCGCAGCGCCCCGCTCAGACGGATAGTCCGGATCACGGATGGGATGGAAAGGCGAGCAGCAACGGGCCGAATGGGCCAAAGTAACCCAATCGGTCGCCCCATTTCTCAGGAAGTGAGTTTTCCTTTCTCAACAACGGCCGGCGTGAGCATTCGTGAGAAAACGAGCTGGTCGTTCACCCCTGGATATGGAGGCGCTTTCTCCTTGCCAAGAAGTTCGTGGCGCTCTACCGCTCAAACGCGTACCAACAACATCCTACAATCCCGGCCCGCCGTGCAAAACCCAAGCAGCCGTTCAGTGGACGTAGTAGGTGGACGACGGCAAAGCCGCCAAAACCATGAATCGGCCTAGGCGCCTCTTATCTGGCGCGCGACGTAGGGACTAAGTATTCGGTGTTACAGTAGTATTGTGGCTTGCAGCTGTCTGACATGTGAAAACGGTCGGTAATGCAGAGCATGACAAAGGCAGTCTGATCGTAGAAAGCGTCCACTGCTTATTATTAACATTGTAGCCTAAAACCAATTGGATAGCGATATGCACTGGAGTTATGTTGGGCATCCGCGGAGGAAATCACAAGGAGACGATTTGTGCGCAGTCCATATTGTAATGCTAGCCGTGAGGCTGTCCTGAACCAGCCTCACAAAGCAGAGTCCTGTCGAGAAATTATTAACCCAATACATGAACTGTAAATATACTTTTTTACATTCCACTGCAATACACATGCACATTACATGTGCATGTAGAAGCGTTTGTATTCATAGGCCAAGGCACAAACCGTCTGGCCCACAAATTATTAGCCTTCAATGCCTCTGAAGAGCTTCGGATAAACATCCTTCGACTATTTGCATCTACAGCGTTCGATAGTGCTGCATCGACTTGCCACAGGGTGTGTTGGTACATTTCAAACAGATACAAATGGCCTCCGTCGTATCGCAAACAACAAGGAAATCGTATCGCAAACAACAAGGATGGTGTATGTTTCGTACGAAGTAGGTCGATGGCATTCGTTCGTTTTGTAGTGCAATATCAAGATGGGAGCGATTGTTTGGGGCAGCCATCTGCCGACCCGAGTGTACCATCCACATAGAGGTTGAACACGTGGAAGGTTGCTCAGCAGAAGGCGGCTTTGTCAGCCTCGCAGTTAGCCTTTGGCGTCCGGCAATTTGGGCCCGCCAATATGGGCAAGCCATTGAGACAGGGCTGTTTATGGGCACCTAGCCGCAGCTGGGGGCGGTAAGCCTCGCGCTGATTGGCTGATATTAGTCATTTTGGGCTTGATTGCGAGACGGCAACCAGGGCTCGGATCAACTGCTGTTCTTGGTGGCGTTCGTTCGAGTGAGACGGACGCGATTGAAGCTCGCGCCGCTCGCGCTTCTGGTGAGCCGGGTTCGAGCAGCGAAGCAGCGTCGGGCGTGCTCGAGACTCGCTCGCCGTGGCGATAAGAACCTGCGAGGCCTCGGCCAGAAATGAGGGCCGATCATTGCCGCAGCTGGGGTTTCGGCCAAAAAATCAGCTAACGTCTATGAGCCGTTCGCGAGAAAATGTCTCCTGACACCGCTGCCAGGCATGGCCCCTGACCAACTTTGGCGCTGCAGGATGGCTGGGGAAGGCAGGGATGGCACGGAGCGCACTCCGTACAATGCACAACGAACATGTCGTGGCAAAATCCAAGGGCTGTCTATTACATGGTGCTCCAACCTCTCTCGTGAGACGGACGCAGGTCAACTTCACTTGCAAAGCCGCGGCCACCGGTCCGTCTCAAGCGCACTCGTGGGGCGGACTGAATGACGACCGGCCGATCGATCGAGCGGCCACCGCTGCTCGCCGCCGCCGCTACCAGAGCTCCGTGACGATTAGCTGTCCTGCCAGCTTCTGCGCTACAATGCGCTCGGCTTCTTGCTGCGTCGTGATCGCGCCGTCCGAGTACTCCGGGTGTCGGAGAAGAGCCGAGGCAATGGCCTTCTTCACGGCGCGGCCCATAGCTAGACTCCCGCACACGTAGATGTAGCCTTCGTACGCAAGCAGGTGCCGCGCCACGAGCTCGCTCTGGTCCAGCAGCGCGTCCTGGACATACTATATAAAAAAACATGATAACGCACATTAGTGAGTCTCCTTGAAGACCTGCAACCTGCAAGTTCTGCTACACAACGTACCCGCTTCGGCTTCCCGTTGTCGCCCGAAAACTCCACATGCAGCTGGTTCAGCACGCCTGAGTCCCGAGCGCGCTGAAGCTCCTCCGCGTAGAGGAAGTCCACGCTCTTTTCTCGGCAGCCGTAGAACAGATATGCTGGTCGGTGCTGGTGTGGTGAAGTGCCGTCTTCATGCTCGAGGTCCTGCAAAAACGCGCGGAATGGCGCGATCCCAGTGCCGGCGCTGATGAGCATGATAGGCCGATGGTCGTGGAACGGGAACACGAACGAAGACTGGTAGAACGACGCACGAATGCAGTCGCCCGGCTTCAGCATCGCGAGATAGCTGGAACAGCGTGGGAGTGGCAGCGCGTCCGCCTTGCGGAGACCAAGCGTGATCGAGACGGTATCAGGCACAAACTGCCGCGACGAGGAGACTGTGTAGTATCGCGGCGCATTGGACGGTGCGATCTGGAAAAACTCGGCGAAGCTCAGGCGCACCGAGGGGAAGCGATCAAAAATGTCGGCGATGGTCGCGTGCTGTTGGGGCCTACGCATATCCAAGCAGAACGTTAGCACAAGAGGAATCAGCATATAACTTATGCACAATTTCATCTCACCTTTCAGACTGGATGGCTTCTGCTGTTTGAGGCGCCAATAGTGCTGCGATATCGTTTTCATCGGAAGCGTACGCAGCGAGGCTGCGTAAAAAGCTGGGGCGTGGAGTCGAGACCAGGTCGAATGTCCACGTTAATGCATCGCGCACAGTTCCAGCTTGAGAAAAAGGACGCTGCGGATACCCTTGCTGCTGAAACGGAGATTTCCGTTGATCATCATCATCGGAGCCAGCAATGGGGTCGGCTGTATAAAGAACGTCGGGGTCCTCTACGTGCAAATGCACCAGCATTCGCTCCACAGCTGGGAGATCGTTAGGAACATACACGCCGATATTGGACGCCTGCTCGCTTACGAGCTCCTGTTGGTCTGCACGAATACAGAGGTCGATATGGCGTACTGAACGCCACGCTCCGTCCGTTGTTTGGTGTGGCGCACTGATCACGTCGTTCGCAGCGACCTCAAACAATGCTCGATCGGCTTCTGCCAGCACTTTCCGCCGTGCGTCTGATAGCTCTTCGTCGCCCTTGCTCGAGTAAAATGACAAGTCGTACTTTGGCGCTGGCGCTTTTGGCTTTTCTCTTTGGTTCTGGCTCTGTAGGCTGAGCTCATACTCCAAAAGCTTCTCCTAAATAACAGCCAAACGCATACGCATGAGTGCAACGCGTTAATCACTCCAATACGCACTCGTGTAGTGCACCAACAAACCTGGTAGACTAGGAGCACGCAGTTGGGGCAATCCAAGTGGCAGCACTCGTCGTCTTTGGGCTTTACGGGCGGAGTCAAGGGACCTACCGGCACGAATCGCTCAGGCTAAACACGAAACGTAAAGCGTAGAAGCGCACAAATACCACACCATGTCAATACTATATAGCTTGTCACACAAGTCATCGCACCCAATGGTTGTCCAGTGCACGTACGTTCTCCTTTCGACGCTTGAGTGCCATCTCTCGCTCGAACTCCATAAAGGCGTCCATGCCGTCGCTCAAGAAGCGCCGCTGTTGCTGCGGGCGAGAATCTCGCCCGTAGATTGTTTGTGCAGATCCTCTACCACTGCCGTATACGCTTACTGCGTGATACGCACAGAAGCGTCCACGACGAAGCGCTCGCGTCGCCAACATGTTGAGGTCTTCGCCACCCCACGATTGCAGTCTTGACTGACGGAGACGTTAAAAATTTGTACCACGTTTGTGGTACACGTACGTCAGCAGCTGAAGATAGGTTGAAGTAAGTGACAGTCATGCTCGCTCCAACTTGGAGCATGCCTCCAAGGAGGCAAGTTTTATTTCATTCGGTGATGACACCACGGTTTGATACCCGCATTAAGAGAGGAGAGAAATGGTTTCGGCGCCCCCGCGCACCTCACGCTGCCGGTTGCGGCGAGCCTTGGCACGAAGAGCGAGAAGCCCAGCAACGCCAACCATACCCAGGAGCAGGTAGCTCCCGATGTAGTCCGACGCCTTGTATCCTGCCTGGCCATCCGCCATCGTCATCAAGCTCGCGGAAGAGTGGTCTTTGCTGCTCTTCTTCTGCTTGGGCAACTTGCAATCATGCTCGGTGCGTGGGTTGCGGGCGAACGCGAAGGCCTTGGAGAATTCTTCAATGTCGCAAAGAGCTGCAACAGCAAAAAGAGGAAGTCGGCATACACGATTTAGTGCACGCTCGGTACTCTAGAAGGCAACAGGAATGCACCCGTCACTTACTGTCGTGGCAGTCAGGAAGCTGTTGAGGCTCGCCGTGGAAAATCATCCGAACAGCATGAGAACCACTCTTGGTCTTGTACACTTCAATCACCAGCATGCCTGCGTAGGGAGTCCAGGTGCGATTCCAGTTCTCCTTAACGGAGGCAGCCAGAAACGGCATAATAGTCGAGTCGTGGGCTGAGGATCATAGACGAATTAAACTGTTAGTGACAGATCGACATCGACAGCATACGTTCGAGACGTTCATACCCATCGTGACGGATAGTTTGTACGCGTCCGCGTCACCATTCAGCACGCCATCAAGCCGCGTTAGCATATCATGGGCAAGCGGCTGCATGGCAACCTTGGCGTACCACGAGTCATTGTATGTAAGGAAAATACCCTGGCGAACTTCCACCTCGTGGTAGGTCTTGGTGAAAGTCTCCTCATCGATACCGGGCGGAAGCTCAAGATCGTTACAGCGGGCGGTGCTGAGGCACTCCAACGCTGATCCCCACGAAAAGTTTCCCACTAGGTCGTTGAAGTGGTGCTCGATCTCAACGGTGGCAGGGTCTCGGAGGTGGTTCCAGAACTCCGGCGACTCATTGGAAAGTTGTCCAATGTGTCCCATGAACGGGCAGATATTCTCGTTGGCGTTGATGTAGTCCACCGAGATGTCTGCTACGTCCCATGACAGCATGCGGTGAAGCTCGAGAGAAAGTGTCCCGTCAACCGGGAAGAGCCCGTCGATTAGAGCTTGACCAGAACCCAGCGTCCTCTCTTGATCGTCACTGCGGAGGTAGATCTCGCTCAGCTCAAGGTGCTAGCGTTTGAGACAGCAGTTTCCCAGATATTAGATATACATTATACTACGCAGAAAAACATTCCCCAGAACAGAGCTCGACTTACCGACAAATTAGCAGTGGGAAAAAGCTTCAGCGGACCATCGCCTACGTAGGCGTCACGAAGAAACCTATAAAAATTGAGCACAACAAAAAGTTGTTACGGCTTGCAAGGGGATATGTAAGTCTAACTCAAATGCATCAACGCACTGTCCATTGGTCTTGTGCTGCTGACGCCCCAGCGGGAGAAGTCCGCCAATGACGCAGTCTCCCTTGAGGATGTTGTGTCCGTCCATGTACGATTTGCGGTACAACCGCCCAAAGCCCTTCGTCTTCTCGTTCGGGTTAATGTCCTGAGACTACAAAAAATGCAATGCACACAACGTCAACACATCCGCTCCAGCATCTAAAAACTCGATATGCGTCGCCGGCACGTACCGAGACGGATGTAGTGGTGCAGTCCCACTCGGCGTCCATGGGGTTGTGCTTGTGCGAGTCCCAGCAGAAGAGCTTCGCGTAGGGTGCGCGCGCACCATGGCGGGCGATAATCTGTACCTGCTCGAGCGACTCGACGAGCTCCGCCTGCTCCGGGGTGAGCGGCGGGATGCGCGTGGCCTCGATGCCCTCCATGGCGTTGCAGTAGCGGTGCGGCGCCCAGCCGTCATACGGGCCTGCCACCACTGCCGCAGGGGCGACGGTCGCAGCGGCGACCAGCAAGGCGAGGTGCATCTTTCGGAGGAGGTGTCGGGGGCGCGGCGCCAGTCTCGTTGTGCTCGAAGCTCGATAACGGGCGTCGCTTTGAATCTTGGATCCGTTGAATGGACCGGGCCAATCAGCGCGCACCTGACGCACCCACCTTCAAACAGAGTGGACCACACCAAAGTGGAGCCAAAAATGTACCAGTAATTAACCGGTTCTGATTTCGTACCTATCTGGGTTTTCGCATAAAATAACGGATCGACGCTGCACGGACACAAACATTACGAAAGTAGGGAGCAACAGCAAGCTTCTCCTTTACACCCCTCTGCCGTCTGGGGGGAAGGTGAGGCTCTCGTCTCAAGCCACAGTCGCGTTCACAAGAAGAGGCCCCCGCCCGCCGCCATGGAGAGCGGGTCGGAGGATGAGGAGAGCGTCGTGTTCCTGCGCGAGGAGCTGCGCAAGAAGACGCAGGAGCTCAAGCAGATGCAGGACGAGTTCGACGAGTACACGCAGTCCAGCCACGAGCTGGAGCAGGAGCTGGAGCAGGAGCTGTCCCGCGTGGAGAAGCGCAACTCCCACCTGCTCAACAAGAACCAGTACCTCGACCGCGACCTGCAGCTCGCGCGCAGCAAGCTTGAGGAGGCGCTGGACCAGACGCGCAAGTTCGAGGACGAGCTGCAGGCCACGCGCGCGGAGCTGGAAGCCTCTACAGCGGCCTGTCGCAAGCTGGAGCAGCAGCAGGATGACCTGGAGACGCAGGTGCGCGTCCTGCAGGCCACAGAGTCTGACCTGCGCCACAAGATGGAGCGCGAGATGGAGGAGAAGGTGTTCCTGCTCAGCGACCAGGAGGAGCTGCAGCGTGAGCACGAGCTCGCTACGGAGCGCTTCCGCACCGAGATCATGGACCTCAAGTCGGAGCTGTACGCGCTACAGCAAAAGTACGAGGACGCGACGGTGGCGTCGGACACGTTCTCAGGGAACGACAGCATGGCCACGACGCGGAGCCAGTCGGAGGAAGATGACGACGATTACGACTCGACCTACAACGAGAACTCGCTTCGTCACTCAACGGCGCACGAGCGCGACGAGATTAGTCGTGAGGTGCTGATTGAGTCGCTGCGTGAGGAGATTGAAGCTCTGTCTTCGCGTGTGCAGGACGAGACGGACGCCCGAGCAGCCGCTGAGGCCGAGGCCCAGCAGCTCCGCGATAGTCTTGCTCACATGGAGGCGATGGAGGCTGAGATGACGGAGATGACGGACGAACTGATTGAGAAGTCCCAGGATATTCGTACTCGCGACGAGCAAATCGAAGAGCTGCGCGAGTCTCTGCTGAAGCTGCAATCCGAGATGGCTACAGTCAACGACGGAGGCATCGAGCTTACAACTGAACGCGAGAATATGCGCAGCGAGCTGGAGGAGAAGGAGAAGGAAATGAGTACTTTGAAGGAGGAGCTGGAAACGGTGAGGGCGCAGTGTGATGATTTGACTGAGAGTGAACGCCAGCTGAAGGCCCAGTTGGAGCAAGGCGGCGAGGCTGTTGACGAATTGAAGGATCAAATCGAGACTCTGACGAGAAACCTCGAGGAAAGCAAGCAGGAACGCCGGGAGCTAGAAAGCAAGCTGCAATTTGGCAAGGGCGAAATATCTCAAAACCGCAGAGAAGTGGAGGAGCTGCATAGCTTGAACTTAGATCTCCAGAAGCAACTGGATGAAGCGACCAAGAGGACCTCAGAGCTCGAGCGAGCTTCTGCAGTATCGACAGCCTCCACTGTGTCGTCAGTTTCTGACAAGGAAATGGCTGAGTCAAAGCGTCTAATGATGGAAATTCAGACTATGCGAACGTCATTGAACTCTCTTTCGGCAGAGAACGCGAGGCTGAGAAACCAAGAAGGAATGGCATCAAGTGTCGTACCCGCTAAGCGCGTTTCAGCTGACGTGCTGCAAGTCAACTTCACGCCCGAGCAGCTTGCCCGGAAGTATCTCGCCGAACGAACTCGTAACGCGTCATTGCTCTCCCGACTTCAAACCGTTTGTGGTAACATTCAAGTGTTCTGCCGTGTGCGACCAGTCATTAACGAAGAGCTGGAAAAATCGTGGGGATCGAAGATGGCAGTTAACGTGGTGAATCAGTCGGACTTGGCCGCTATGGATATCCGTCCCGATCGTTCGTTTTCTAGCGATTCGGACGGGCAAATCGTCAGCAATGGCAACTTGGAGGCCTTGGCCAACAACAGTTCATGGAAAGTGTTCACGTTTGATCGAATTCTGGGCCCAGAAGAAACACAAAACGACGTTTTCCGCGAAGTGGAGCCTATTGCACAGTCTGTTGTAGATGGCTTCAAGGCATGCATTTTTGCGTACGGACAAACCGGTTCGGGTAAAACATACACTATGGAAGGAACTCCAAGCGATCCGGGTCTGAACTATCGGATTATCAGCCATCTCTTCCAGTCGGTCCAACTGCGCGGCGCAATTTATACACCTGAACCCGAGAACAACGAGGACCGCGACGATGAAATGAACGGGCTGCATACCGCTACCGACTCGTCTGTTTACCACGTACAGGTGGGAGTTCTGGAAATCTACAACGACTCATTGCGCGATTTGATTAACACGACCAACCCGAAAGCTCTGGAAATTCGCCACGATTCGTCGACTGGAGATATCTGCGTTCCTGATTTAACGATGGCGACTGTGTCTTCTCCTCAGCAGACAATTGATGTCTTACGCAACGCCCAAACCAATCGCGTCACTGGTAAAACTAACTCAAACCAGCACAGCAGTCGATCGCACAGCATTGTCATCGTGCAAATATCGAAGCGCCGGCCTGAGGGTGATGCCGGTGACAAGGACTCGGCAGACACTGAGGTTGACGAAGAGGGCTGCGGCAAGCTCTACCTTGTGGATCTAGCCGGTTCGGAGCGTGTGAAGAAGAGCAACGTTAGCGGTGCTATGCTTCGCGAAGCGGCTCACATCAACAAGTCGCTTTCGGCGCTTGCCGATGTGATGGAGGCACTGGATAAGAAGATGGCGCACGTGCCGTACCGTAACTCGAAACTCACGTATTTGCTACAGGATGTGTTGAACTCATCGTGCAAGACGGTGATGATTGTAAACGTCGGTCCGACCATCGAGAACGCCAGCGAGACTTTCCGATCCCTTCAGCTGGCGGAGCGCGTACGCAATATCGTGGTCGGCAGGAACCAGATTGTGAAGAACAAAAAGGATATACTGTCCGCGAAGAAGGCGTTTGCCGAGCTACAATCCTTGAAGCAGCAGATGCAAATTTCGAAGAGGAAGTATATGCAGTCACAACAGTCTGTGGTTGCCCTGGTAAGTCGCTGTCGGTCTGCATTCCATTCGAGGAGGCATGTTTTCTCACGAAATAGTTCCGGTGCCTCCTCTCCTTCAGAAACGCGACCAGAAGAACCAGTCGGAAAAACAGTCGGCAGCGCTGCAGAGCCGGCTTAAGTCGTGGGAGACACAGAATGAAAGCCTGAAGACACAAAACGAACTGCTCAAGCGACTCGTGGACGATCTTAGTGGCCAGCTCAAGGCAGAACGTGAAACGAAGCAAAAAGAAGCAGAGCAGCGCGAAGCTGCCCAACGCTTGCTCCGACAGCAGAGCGCCAAGTCTCGTGTGTCCACGTCGCAGCAAGAGGCGCAGCAGAAATTGCTGCTTGAACGGGAGGAGGAGATCAAGAAGCTGCGCCAACTGCTTACAGAAGCTAGGAGGCGCAGCACTTCGTCACTTATCCCTCGCTTGCCAGTATCATCGCCGCCTATGAAGAAGTCGAAGAGCTCACGGCCAGCATCTACACCGGGTAACAACCAGCAGGAAAATGACAGTGCCAGCGGCGCAGGTGAACCATCAAGCGCGCCAGCTTCAAGCGCTGGCCGTATCACCAAAATACGCACGGGTGCTCGTCAGTCTGCGGGCTCCCGTTTACAGTCCAGCAACTCCGCGAGCAATGTGACCGGCACAGAGCCCAGCCCCCAGAGCAGTAAACGCACGAGCTCTTTGGGCTCAACGAGGTCAGTAAGGTCAACTTCCAGCTTGTCAGCGCGGGCAGCTAGCAGCAAGTCGAAGCAAGGCGTCTGGAAGTAAGCAGTGCAGGGGATGTTCGTCGAGAAAAGAGCGCAGGGAAGCTCTTTTAGAGGAAGATAGAGGGCAGAGTGAGAAACCTGGTGATCGATCGTAGATCACCTTCGTAGTGCATTCATTCAGTGAGTTACGCAATATCGACGTACCAGTACGAAATTGAACCGACGATATCAAAGCAGTCTTTGATTGTAAGTAGTAAGCTGATGACCAGGCAAATGGGACGTAGTGGCAAACAACTATGACGACTTCGGGGGATGGGAAACGTTCCCATTTGCGCTTGAGGTGATAAGAGGCATCGCTGCATTCGTGTACTCAGCCAGACTCCGCAGCACTTGCCGGAGCAGGCCCTTGTGTTGGCTCACGTTGTCAAACACGTGCAGCAGCTCGAAGAGAATATCCTCTTGCACCTCCGTGGCAGCTTCTGCAGCCTCGCGATGCGATGGTGACATGAACCCGATGTTAGGCGGGTTGAGAACGCGCTCCAGTACGTCGCTGATTGCCGGTTTCACAATGTTGGTGAATGCTTCGTCTTCGTCTCCGCCATCGTCTTCGTTTTCGATCTCGTGGAGCGGGGCCGCCAAAGCCGACATCGAATCGACTGCTGCGGTCGCCGTTGTGTTAATACTGGAGTTGGTCGAGTACGCATCTGCTAAACGCTCGTCATCATGAGCGTCACGAGTGTTATTTGCTGCAGTAGCTGCAGCCTCAGCTTGAGCTTTCATTTCTTGCTGGAGGCTAGTGGACGACAAACGAATTGTGTTGAAGTCCCAGCCGCTGCCCACCGACGCGTCTCGTGCATGGCGTTTACCGCTATCCCTTTGTCCATAGGACGGTAGAGTGTCGTCACGGCCTCCACTCAGGGGAGGGCGATAAGTTCTGTCCAAGTGGCCGCCATATCCGTTCTCAAAGTGACCACTGCTGAAGCCGCTTTGCTGGGTCTGTGTGTCTGCGGCCCCTTGGTGACCCTGTTGCTGGTCTTCCAATTGATTCCGATCCAAAAGCTCCGTGAGGTGAGAAATATGCTTCGCAGACCGAATGAAGGGGTGCTGTAGTAACTCAGAAGCAGTGGGCCGATCCTGAGGAGCTTTTTGCAAGCAGCGAGACACGAAATCGACGAAACGGGACGAGAAAGTACCTTCAAGCACAGGCGGGTCCATCGTCGGGATCATAAACAACACTTTCATGGGGTGGATGCTGTTTTTCAAAGCAAGATCAAAATAACCCCCCACCCACGTTAGCACGACACGCAAGAGTTTCTCAGAGCGAAAAAATCCACGTACTCTGCAAGAGGAGGCGCTCCCTTGGCCATTTCGATCGCGGTGATTCCCAGGGACCAGATATCGGCCTTGAAATCGTACTCGGACTCCTGGATGACTTCGGGTGCCATCCAGAACGGCGTGCCCACAGCGGTGTTGCGCTTCGTCATCGTCTCTGTAATCTGACCCGTGACACCGAAGTCCGCGAGTTTCACGTGACCGTCCCCGCTCAGCAGCACATTCGCAGCCTTGATGTCACGGTGGATCTTCTTCTCCGAGTGCAGGTACTCCAGACCCTTCAGCAGCTCCCGCAGGATAATCGCAATGAATGCCTCATCTAGGGGGCCATTGCGCATAATATCCAGCACCGAGCCGCCCGACAGAAACTCCATGATGATCCTGTACAACCATTTTATCTATCAGCTTATGCTTCAGCTTACCAAACGAGAGAAACAACCACTGCGTGACCCACCAGAGCTTGGTCCCCGCAATGAACGAGCCCGAGTACGTCGTGAGCTGGTCGCATGAGCACTGCGACAACACGTGGATCTCCTGCTCCACACAACGCACACATAGGCCAGTCATTGGTTAAGATTAATTCAACGCCTCCACGTTGACAGGGAATTGTGCCGTCACCTGCTGCACGTCTTCGATCTCGTCGGCTGCGGACTCGAGGTCGATGATCTTGATGGCCACCACTTCGTCCGTCTGGACGTTTAGCGCCTTGTAGACCTGCCCGAACGCGCCGCCGCCGATGCGATCCAGCAGCTCGTACTGCACGGTCGGGTCCAGAGTGCCGCTCATCTCGCAGGCCACTCGCAAGTCTTCGCGCCGAGTTCCTGCGCGTTCAGTAATGGAGCTGCGTGATGCTCCCCCACTCCTTGGCACGCACACCGAAATTTCTCCATCACACTTGACGCTCTATCATTGGTTCTCTAAAACGAATATCAGATTGGAGCTGCTACGCGACTGGCTGGAATTCACAAATATCAGACTGGTCTAATTTTTGGCGAGACCAATTTTTGCAGCCATCTGCTCGTAGTGCGCTGCCAGACGCTGATACTCGGCCTCGAGGAAGGCCTTCCGCCGCTCGGCGCTGCCCATGCCGTCCAATTCCTCCGTGTGCAGGCGGAACAGCCGCTTCTTCACCTCGAGCCGAAATTTCTTGAGCTGCGCCTCGTCGCTCGGGTCCACGAACGCGAGCTTGCGCGCCTCGTAGCAGGTCTGCACCTGCTTCTGCGTGAGCTTGAGCTTCTCCTGCACGGCGTGGATGTCGGCGGTCGTCAGCGCTAGCGCCCCGCGCCCAGTGCCACCAGCGTCTGCGCTGTCCTCCGGTGCCAAGGAGAAGAAGCCGTGCTTGACGCAGTTCTTCAGGTCCACGAGGTCGCGTAGCTGCATGGACACAACGCCGAGATATTCATGAGCCGAAACATCTTGCCTACCCGAAGGCAAATAATCGGCACGTTGCAGAGGGGTTACGTACACTCGAGAAAGCGGGCACGGGGTCCTCTACTGTGAGCTCGTAAACATGATCGTTTCCAACAGCTTGCGTGTGGATGCAGTGCACCAGACGCTCGGCGTGCCCTGCAGGTACGGCTGAATTAGATGCGTGACTCCACGGGCACAACCTTCAGATGCACTTACCTTGACGCTGGTACGTAGGGAAGATGAGAGCTTGGCAAATGCGGTGCGTCTCATTTTGGGCGGGTTTACAGTATGCGGCTTTGCGTCCGAGCGGGTTGAAGAACTTGAAGACAGTGATGAACCCCACAGGACGGAACGCCCCACTCCCTGCCTCCGCACGTTCATACAGCAGATAGACAATCCACCTCGGGTCCGCGACGTCTACAGCATCCGCTCCTACGACATCGATTACACAACGTATCGCGAGCAAAGTTAGCGTCACCAAACATCGACAAGCTGTAAACTCATCGGTCGACCAACCTTCGACGAACCACAGCGACAGCGTCTGCAAGTTGGCGAGAAGCTTCTGGGCTGGCTCGTTGTCCTCCAGCTTGCATTCATAGATCTCAAAGTATCGATCTGCTTGTATTTCCTCGCCCTCTTTTACCCGAGCTTTGGTAGTATATGTCTCGATGCGCTTGCCGGGCGGGCCGGCGAACTCGGCCGCTGCCTTGCGCAGATCCGCAACAAACTCGTCTTTATCCTGGACGAAGCCTTCCGGCAGCGATGGCTTCAACTTTGCAACGACATCCACTGCCCTACACTCGCAAATGCAGCCACAGAGCGTTAGAGACCGGAGTCTGCAGACGCACACGCCTCAAATGCCAGAAGATCGTACGTGTCCGCTTTCTCCTTGAACTTGACGTCCAGCAGCGCGCGGAAGTCGAATCCATTGAAAACGACCGACATCTTGAGGCCTTCGTAGCCATCGACAGCTTCATCGGTACCGAACGCGTGGTACGTGAACTTGGGGGCGAACCACTCGAGCGTCTGCGCTTCAACTTGGTCGGCGTCGGTTGCTGCAGGAAGAGCTCTAGCTGTTAATAGAGGCTGCAATATGAGAGGAGCAGCGGGGTGCAATTGCAATTCTCACGTACCGATAGCGAGTGAGGTCGCTTCATTGGAGGATACCGAGCACGCGAAGCGGACGCGCTTCACGGCGGGCTCGTGGTGCTCCTCCGCCGGCCGCTTGGTTGCTGCTGCTTCGGTCGGCGCCATTTGTGCTCGAAAATCAATCCTACTGGTACCTAGGAAACGGTACCAATGTGTACGATACACCATTAGAAACGCTGCCAATTTGTAGATCACACCAATAGAAACGTCTCTTAGGTGGTCACATAATTTCCTGGTAGTCAACTAGGTCTTCCTGGAATACAAATGAAAGGGGGAGATATCAGCCAACCGTTTTTTTTGCTGAGGCCTCGAGCAAGGCCAACACAACAGAATTTGCCGTCGATAGCCTCAGTTGATCGGTGAAGGCGCACAACTCCTGTTCTTGTGTTCGGTACATGTCGATGTTCTGTGTGTCTCCGTTGGATTAAAAGTATGCTCGCCAACTTAGCCTTGGGCAAGCAGAAGTCGTACGACGGAATAGCGAGTGACACGATCACGGCGACTTTAAACCAAGCGCGAACTCTCTTGTGTTTGCGACTTGACCTGTCTCAACGCTACATCTCACTGCATTCGTAGGAAGTAGGCGCAGTAGCTAGCTGAAGAAAGCTCTAGCAGTACCATAGCATGTAGATGCATGGATTCCAGTGGGCTTATCATTTTCCTGGATTTAGGCTTGCCAGTGCACCACTTGCCCTTTTCCGAAGCGAAAAGTATTGATGCAGCAGTCGTGCATGCGGCGGCAGCTGGTGGTCGACTACACCAACATGAACGAACATGCTGGCTGACTGGAATAACTCGCTTCGGACTTGGAAGTCCTTGTGAGCTCATAGCGTCCGCCCAATAAAAGCTTTGTGACTGGAGTCTGCGTCTCAACACCTCGCAACGTGAAGTTGCTAGTGGAGCAGGCAATAAACGCCCTCTGCGAGGGCGGCGGAGCGCGGTGCCGCCGCCGACACAGAGATGGAGCTCTCCCGTTCAATTGTAGTCCACCACCACAAAGCGCGGCACCGTCTGCTTTTACCTTTCCCACAACCCGCACTCACGACTGTCCGCACTCCGATATTCGTCACTCTGCATCCCGCCGGCGGCCATGGGGATGATCTGCGTGAACCAGAACGAGGAGACCAACCTCACCACGACGAGCACGCCTCGCTGCGTGGCCGACTGGGCGCACACGCAGGAGCAGGTGGTGCACGCAGCCTACCTGCTCGCCGGCCTCGTGCTCATCGCGCTGCTGTGGACGGCCGCCTCGCGCCGCCAGCGAAAGTCCCTACGCAAGGGCGAGCTCGGCTTCTCGCTCAACTGCCGCCGATGGGCGCGCACGTCCCGCGCCGCCGCCATCATCGTACGAACGAGTTGCAATGCTAGTATACCTGTTGTCTGTACACTACCAGTCAGCTGATCCCTTCGCTGTGAACTAACTGTTCGAGCAGAACCGACCGGTGCAGTTGCTCGTGTCCTTCGGCATCCTGGGGCTCACCATGTCGCGACTCAACTCGTACGACGTGACGGAGTGGTCCTACTACACGGTGCTGGGGCTCTACGCGGTGGCCATCGTGGACGATGTGGTGCGCTTCCTCGCGTCGCGGTACAAGCTTCTCTTCTGCTTCTCGCCCCTCACGCTGCTGGAGTTGCTGTGTCTTGCGTCGAACTTTGGCGTGGGCTTTGGGTCCGTCAAGGTCATTGGAGGCGTGCGGACGCGCACGTACTTGGACTTCTCCGTCATGCGCCCGGTGTTTATCTTGCGGAGCTACCTGGAGATGGAGAGACACGTCCCGAGGTCGACGAAAGGCTGGATGATGGTCCGACTTGGCATCAAGATCCTACTCATGATCATGGTCGGCGCGTCGATCATGTTCTTCTTTGAGACGCTTGGGGAAATGCCCTTCTTCACCGACAACGGCTTTGCCCACTTGTACAGCTGCAGTGACGGATCAGTGACAAGGGTCGAGTCTAGCGAGTGCTCGGATGCAACCTGGTCCGTCATGTTTGCGTTCTACTTCACTGTTGTGGTACGTGCATTTACTTGTATCCTGGAATTGGTTGAAGCTGCGCAAGAGTATGCTAAGTGTTGATTTTTCCCTGTTGTAGACACTTGGTACGGTCGGCTACGGCGACAACGCACCACAAACAGTACCCAGTCGACTCCTGGCCATTATGTTCATTGTCATGGGCATCATTTTGTTCTCGATGGAGATTGACAACCTCATCAGCTTGTACAAGTTGCGCCAGATTGGAAACCCTCCGTACACACCCAAGCTCGACTCCAAGCACGTGCTCGTGATCGGTAATCCTTCATTCGCTCAGCTGTCGGCAATTCTGCGAGAACTATTCCACGCTGATCATCTGAGCGATACCGACACGCAGCAGCTTCACGCGGTTGTGCTCGGTGAGCGGAATTCCAAGTTTACGAAGCCGCTTATCGCGAAGCTGAAGGGGGACCCCATCTTCGCATCTCGAGTCACGTACGTCGCCGGCAACGCAACACGATCAGAAGATCTGGAACGATCCTTGGCACGGGAAGCTAGGGCGGTATTTGTGTTTCCTGACAAGCTCACGGGCGATGCTGCGACGGAGGACGCCATGAATATCATGCGTGTGCTCGCAACCAAGCGCTACGTGGGGTGAGTGATGATTTGTTTTATCTCATTGGGCTCAGTTTCAATGTGCTGACTTATTTCCCTTGTAGGTCATCCGTGCGCTTTTTAGTAATGGTGCTTCGTGCTGAGAACGCTCGGCATATGCTGGCTGCTGGCGTGCACCCAGACGACATTATCTGTGAAAATGTCATCAAAATGGGGTCTCTAGCTCAGAATGCGGTCTCGAACGGCATCTCGACAATGCTGTCGAACCTTGGATCCAGTCTCTCCGTTGATACAAGTGAAGACACAACCGAGAGCTCGACTCCGCTACTTAATGTGATCGGCAAAGATAAATCTATGGGCGCCGACATCCTGACGACCGATGTTGCTGAGAAGGATCTGCCTGAGCGCAGCTGGATCAAGGAGTACTACGCGGGCGCAGCAAAAGAGATGTACCTGATCCACCTATCGAAGGCACGTGCCTTTCAAACTGACTGCAGACTGCCGAAATCTAACTGTTTGCTTGTATTGCCATAACTAGAAATACGCCGGGCTAACCTTTGCTGAAGCCGCAATAAGGGTTTTCAAAGAAACCTCAGGTACCGTCCTGCTGATCGGCGTGGAGGTCATGTTCTCCGATGAAGACTCAGGGATCAACGACAACGTCGAGTCACGTGTGCTGCTGAATCCGGGAGAAAGTTTGCTCATGACGGAGTGGATCCAGTGTTATTGCATCGCTGACGATCTCGATCAAGTATTCAACTACAAAATCTGCCCAAAGGAAGTGACCCGCGAAGACATGCGGCGCCCAGGCAGCACTTCAACCTTCATGAACCCCACCGGGGACGTTTATCAGCCGATGCTCACTGCTACCAACGATGATGATCTACCCTGTGACGAGCTCAGGAGCTTAACAGCGTACACCGCGTACATGACCCCAAATTACGAGTCCATGAAGCGCCGCAGCCCAGTAAGTTCCCGGGTCCTTACTGATCAAAAGTGTTTTTAGCTCATTTTATCTTGACGTGCTCGCTTTGTCAGCTGACAACGTCAAGAACTGGATCCCTTGTTCTGGTGCGATCGCGAGTACCTGCCAAGTGTATTTGCTGGTATCTAACTTATTTTTTTTTTCTTTCTTCTTTTCTTTTATAAACCAGGACCGCTCGCTGGAGAGTATCGCTCTCAATTTCAGGAATTGTAATCGCACCATTACGAGCGGCAACCCCTACGAGGTTTCTCAAGGTCAAGCTGGATACCACAGCGGGGATGTGGCTCGGAATTCTCTATCTGCATCGGTCAACAACACTCTGAAAACACCTCCACTCAAGATTCTCCTACACCCTGATCACATCGTGATCTGCAGCTTTTTGGGCGAAGAATCACTCGAAAGCTTGCAGTGGCTCATCTGGCCTCTCCGCAGCCCGTATGCTACCAGCCAGCCACCGATTACCATCCTAGATACTGCCGAGCCACCTCCTACGTTGATGCGGATGCTGTCTCCTTTCAAAAATGTGGTACGTACGCAAATATGGGGTTCAGTTTACTCTGTAAATCTAACTCGGGGTGTATTCTACAGTACTACGTGCGGGGAAGCCCTCTAGTGTACTCAGACTTGCAACGCGCTGGTGCCAAGGCTGCAGCCGCAGTCGTTGTCCTAGGAAAGCGAGCGAAAACCACCATCATTTCTGAATCCGCGCACGATGCTGAATTGGAGTCAAGCATCGCCGATGCGGAGGCCATTTTCGCGACGATGCTTGTGGAACTGAAGATGGACTTTTCAAAGATCTTCGCTGTGACGGAGCTCGCTGACGAGGCCAACTCGAAGTTTATGGGCATGTCATTTCAGCTTAACCAGCTCCAAACGGTGTTGCCAACCGCTGAACGGGGAAGCAGCGGGATTGCAGTGGACTTCTCGGGCTTGGAGATGCTGAACCTGTGGGATAGTATACTGGAGCACGACGCGCCCGAGCAAAAATCGGAGAAGGAGATTTTTGGGCTGCCTCTCTACATGTCCGGCCGGATCCTCCACCCTGAGCTGTGCGAGAACATGGTCGTGCAGACGTACTTCAATCCGTCGATTCACAAGATTGTTCGTCAATTGGTTGGAGGGCCTCGCTGTACAGGCGTGATTCACACCTTCTCGGTCCCGCGCGCTCTTCGAGTACGTCCAAGATTGTTTGACTTCATGTGCGTACGGACTTATCTTACTCACTTGTTTGATTTCTGTGCTTGTTTTTAGGAGGCTTGTACGTACGCAGACGTCTTCCACTCATTCGCTGGGTCTTCGTACTCGGGCATTTGTATCGGTATTTACCGCATGTCCACTCAAGCAATGGGGTCATCGAACCACGTCGAACTCCCCATTGTCATCACGACACCGAAGGCCGATCTCAAAATTCTGAGCACCGATCGGTTGTTCATCTTGATCGGAGCGCACACGCTGGAGCGAGCGGCGACAAGGATCCAGAAGCGCTACCGAGAGTACAAGGGGATTTCCTGATCCCTCGAACAGGAAGTAAAGGCACTGAATGAATGTATTGGGTGATCATGCATGTTTTTTAAGGCAAAAAGTGAACCAAAAAATGTTATGCAGTCTATTGTTTGAACGTCTATGGAGAACATCCCGATGGCGTAGATCATCATGACCTGCGGCCCTTTTTCCTGCCCGACTGTTTGCCTCCCTTCGCGTGGCCTGCAGCTGCGTGTTTGCGCTTGTTGTTGCCCTTGTTCTTCTTGTTGTTATCGTTGTTGTTGCATTCACTCTTGCCCTTGTTGCTGCTGTCGCCATCCTGCTTGCTAACAATCTTGGGAACCTTGTTGTTGTTGAAGCCCTTCCTCTTCTTCTTGCCCCCGAGCATGTCATCAAGCGATGGGGTCAACAGCAAGTAAATCTTCTTGAGGGTGTCCATCGTGACAGGCTCGACAGGAACGGTGTTCTCCTTGTCTCCAGCACCCTTGGCGTCGGCGCCTTCAGCTTCAGCTGGCGTCTCAGGCTGCGCGCGGTCCTCCGGCACGAAAATGAACGTCTGCGAGTCCCAGATCGGGAACGAGCCCTTCGAGAGCACCTTCTTGTTCGAGTAGCCCGGGTACAGGCACCGATCGAAGATGACAGACTGCTGGTGACGCAGCTTGTTGGTCTTGGCGATGTTCTCGATGCCCCACTGGCCGAACGGCGCCTTGGTCTTGTGCGTCACGTGCACCTCACCCGTGGGCGTGAGCATCTGCCCCACGTGGGCGAAGAAGCCGTGCAGGAGCTGCTTGTTCATCTCCATCTCCTGGTTCTGTCCGTCCTCTCCGCGCGGCGCGCGCACGCACGGGAAGTTCCAGATGACGCGGTCGAAGAGTCCGAGCTGCTTCATCTGCTCGGCGTCCGTGGCGTCCACCTCGTGCTGCACCGTCACGTGCGGCATGGCGTTCAGCTCGGCGAGGATCTTCTCGCCGTCCGGGTACGTCTCCAGCACCGTCTTGTTGCTCTCGTGCGACGTGGCCACCAGCGTCACGCCCGAGTCGGGACCCAGCGCGCGCGCGAGCGCCAGCGAGTACGAGAAGTTGCCGTCGCCCACGGTCAAGATGCGCTGCACGTGCTTGGCGTCGAACAGACCCACGCAGTGCTGCGTCTGCGTCTGCTGCTGCTGCTCCGTAGGCTCCTGCGTGGGCGTGTCCTGGTCAGCATCGCTCGACTTCTTGGAGGCGGCGGCCATGCGCGGACACATCTCCGGGCGCACGTTGGGCAGCAGCCCCGGGCGGCTGTGCAGCGCGATCTTGTAGCAGCAGGCGATGCATCGCGTGAAGGCGCAGCGCAGCGTGTCGCGGTGCACGTGCAGCAGGTGCAGGTCGCGCCACTGCAGCTCCGAGCCCCTGGCGTCCATGGCTTTTTGTGTCGATGATTGACTGGCGCAAATGTATGTACAAGGTATGTACACAATGTGGTGCACACCACACTTCAACGTGTGGAGAAAAAACCTCCGAGGTTTTTCCTATAAATCAGACGGGAGGGGATTTCCCCGAGCCGAGAAGCTCATCTTACACTACACGAGGCGCCGCGACCCGGAGGAGGCTCTTCTCGCCAAGCGAAGCTCGACTTGACCGACACCTGGGGCCGCCATGGACCAGCTGATCCCCATCATCAACAAGCTGCAGGACGTGTTCAGCGCCATCGGGCAGTCGCCCATCAACCTGCCGCAGATCGTGGTCATCGGCAGCCAGAGCAGCGGCAAGTCGTCCGTGCTGGAGAACATCGTGGGCAAGGACTTCCTGCCGCGCGGCTCGGGCATCGTCACGCGCCGCCCGCTGGTGCTGCAGCTGTACAACTCGTCGGCCACGGTGCCCGTCGTCGCCGAAGAGGACGGCGCGGAGGCCGCCGACGAGTGGGGCGAGTTCCTGCACCTGCCCGACCAGAAGTTCACGGACTTCGCCGAGATCCGCCGCGAGATCGAGAAGGAGACGGACCGCATCACGGGCAAGAACAAGGGCATCAGCAACAAGAGCATCAACCTCAAGGTCTTCTCGCCGCACGTGCTCAACCTGACGCTCGTGGACCTGCCGGGCATCACCAAGGTGCCCGTGGGCGACCAGCCCGTGAACATCGAGGAGCAGATCCGCGACATGTGCACCGAGTTCATCTCGAACCCCAACTCCATCATCCTGGCCGTCACGTCCGCCAACACGGACCTGGCCAACAGCGACGCGCTCAAGATGGCGCGCGAGATCGACCCGGACGGGCAGCGCACCATCGGCGTGCTCACCAAGCTCGACCTCATGGACGACGGCACGGACGCCATGGACATGCTGCAGGGCCGCGTGATCCCGCTCAAGAGGGGCTACGTGGGCGTCGTGAACCGCAGCCAGGCCGACATCAACTCGCAGCTGTCCATCCGCGACTCGCTGGCCAAGGAGCAGAACTTCTTCAAGACGCACCCGGCGTACAGGGCCATCGCCTCGAGGATGGGCACGCAGTACCTGTCCAAGACGCTCAACACGATCCTCATGCACCACATCCGGGACTGCCTGCCCGACATCAAGTCCAAGATCAGCAGCATGATCTCTGACCTCGATCAGGAACTCGGCGAGATGGGCTCCCCCACGGAGCAAATGTCGCCCACGGAAATGGGCGGCTGCCTGCTGAACCTGCTGTCGCACTTCTCCAGCAACTTCACCAACTCGCTGGACGGACGCAACCACCAGCTCGTGGAAATGGACGAGCTCTACGGCGGCGCGCGCATCAACTACATCTTCAACGAGATCTTTTCCAAGTCACTTCGTGAGGTCAACCCATTTGATGGACTCAGCGACGAGGACATCCGCACCACGATTCGCAACGCCAACGGCCCGCGCCAGTCGCTGTTCGTTCCGGAAGTATCGTTCGAGCTGCTCGCCAAGCGCCAGATCAGCAGGTTGGAGCAGCCCGGCCTGCAGTGTGTAGACCTTGTCTTTGACGAGCTGCAGCGCGTGACGTCGCAGTGCGAGACGATCGAGCTCACGCGCTTCCCCGAGCTGCGCGACCGCGTCATGGAAGTGGTCAACGGCATGCTCCGTGCTTCGTTGGTGCCGACGCAAGCTATGATTCAGAACCTTATTCAGATTGAGTTGGCTTACGTGAACACAAACCACCCGGACTTCATTGGCGGTAGTCGCGCGGTTGCACAGCTGATGGAGAAGATGCAGCGCGAGACGATGGCGTCCGCGGGAGCCCCTACCAACCAAATGATTAACCAGGACCCGCGCCGCGCCGGACAGCCAGTAAAGCAAAGCGCCGCTCCAGCTGGACACGCTGGCGCCGCTGAGGAGAAGCAGGAAGGCAACGGCCTGCTGTCGTTCTTTGGTGGCGGTCGCAAGAAAAGCGGCGCGGATGGCGTCACGAGCTCAAAGCCTGCAGTCGTCAAGCTTCCTCAGGTACCAGTGAGCATGCGGCAGGGCGATGACCCGACGGACCGGGAACGCATCGAGACGGAAATTATCAAGAGTCTACTCGCGTCTTACTTCGATATCGTGCGGAAAAACTTCCTGGATCTGGTGCCCAAGGCCATTATGTGCTTCATGGTGGGGCACTCGAAGGAGAATATTCAGAACGAGCTCGTGTCATCCCTATACCGCGAGGACAAGCTCTCGGAGCTGTTGGCCGAGACGGGCGACATTGCTGCCCGACGCTCGAACTGCGACGAGATGCGAACACTACTCCAGCGCGCCCTAGAAATTGTGAACGAGGTTCGCGACTTCAATACGTTTAAGTGAAGCGGTCAGTGGCTGCAAGTAATCAAGGCTCCAAGAGAGTAGAAGGTAGGTAGAGTGCGGTGGTTCAAGAAGTAGCTCCATTTCGCGTGGCATCATCTCTCAAAAACACTTTCCGTTTGCCTTATACCTAGTTCTTTGCCGCGCTGTATTGTGTTGTGTATCTTTGTCGATAATCTATCTGCTAGCGGAATGAAAAGTCTGATGCAGGCGTTCCTATGCGTACTTCCACACCGGAGACGGATTGGTCTCCATCACTCACAGCACTGGGGTCCTTCTTAGGCGCGTCCTTGTCGGTATTCTCTGTGGTTTCCGTTTGCCGTTGTTCCGCATCACCGAATATCTCGTCAAACTCCTCATCGTACTTGTCAAGCTGAGCTGCAACTTCAGAGGATGCATTCGCATTTTCATCACCAGTGGAAGCTGTCCCAACAGGGTTCGCCGGAGCATCGCCAAAAATCTCGTCAAACTCGTCGTCAAAGCTAATATCTCGTGCTGCCTTTTCAGAAGAAGTGGCGGCAGCAGCCTCAAACTCCGCCATGACGACCGAGTCCTCGAACTCCATCGCATCCGAGAAACCTGCGTCGATATCAAAATCGATATCTGGCTTCGCGGCAGCTTCATTACAGCTAGAGCCATGCCCGGATGCCCCACCAAGCTTCATATCTTCAGCAGGTAAGCCAATAGAATCGACGGTGGCGGTCTCCTCCGTCGTGCTCACCGAGGTGGTCGTTTCGTGCGTCTCCACCGTGAAGCTGGCCGTCGTGCCAGCCTCGCCGGCCACCGCGTCGCCATCGAACGCGGACGAGTCACCAAAGTCGCCAGGCCGCTCTGCTGCGGCACCGAAGTCGGGTGCTGAAGATTCGGCGGGCGGGCCGAAGTCTGCTGCCGCACCAAAGTCAGCTGCCGGTGCGTCAAAGTCTGCTGCCGGTGCGTCAAAGTCTGCCGCCGCACCGAAGTCTGCTGCGGGTGCGTCGAAGGTGGCGGTCTCCTCCGTCGTGCTCACCGAGGTCGTGCTCACCGAGGTGGTCGTTTCGTGCGTCTCCACCGTGAAGCTGGCCGTCGTGCCAGCCTCGCCGGCCACCGCGTCGCCATCGAACGCGGACGAGTCACCAAAGTCGCCAGGCCGCTCTGCTGCGGCACCGAAGTCGGGTGCTGAAGATTCGGCGGGCGGGCCGAAGTCTGCTGCCGCACCAAAGTCAGCTGCCGGTGCGTCAAAGTCTGCTGCCGGTGCGTCAAAGTCTGCCGCCGCACCGAAGTCTGCTGCGGGTGCGTCGAAGGTGGCGGTCTCCTCCGTCGTGCTCACCGAGGTGGTCGTTTCGTGCGTCTCCACCGTGAAGCTGGCCGTCGTGCCAGCCTCGCCGGCCACCGCGTCGCCATCGAACGCGGACGAGTCACCAAAGTCGCCAGGCCGCTCTGCTGCGGCACCGAAGTCGGGTGCTGAAGATTCGGCGGGCGGGCCGAAGTCTGCTGCCGCACCAAAGTCAGCTGCCGGTGCGTCAAAGTCTGCTGCCGGTGCGTCAAAGTCTGCTGCCGGTGCGTCAAAGTCTGCCGCCGCACCGAAGGTGGCGGTCTCCTCCGTCGTGCTCACCGAGGTCGTGCTCACCGAGGTGGTCGTTTCGTGCGTCTCCACCGTGAAGCTGGCCGTCGTGCCAGCCTCGCCGGCCACCGCGTCGCCATCGAACGCGGACGAGTCACCAAAGTCGCCAGGCCGCTCTGCTGCGGCACCGAAGTCGGGTGCTGAAGATTCGGCGGGCGGGCCGAAGTCTGCTGCCGCACCAAAGTCAGCTGCCGGTGCGTCAAAGTCTGCTGCCGGTGCGTCAAAGTCTGCCGCCGCACCGAAGTCTGCTGCGGGTGCGTCGAAGGTGGCGGTCTCCTCCGTCGTGCTCACCGAGGTCGTGCTCACCGAGGTGGTCGTTTCGTGCGTCTCCACCGTGAAGCTGGCCGTCGTGCCAGCCTCGCCGGCCACCGCGTCGCCATCGAACGCGGACGAGTCACCAAAGTCGCCAGGCCGCTCTGCTGCGGCACCGAAGTCGGGTGCTGAAGATTCGGCGGGCGGGCCGAAGTCTGCTGCCGCACCAAAGTCAGCTGCCGGTGCGTCAAAGTCTGCTGCCGGTGCGTCAAAGTCTGCCGCCGCACCGAAGTCTGCTGCGGGTGCGTCGAAGGTGGCGGTCTCCTCCGTCGTGCTCACCGAGGTGGTCGTTTCGTGCGTCTCCACCGTGAAGCTGGCCGTCGTGCCAGCCTCGCCGGCCACCGCGTCGCCATCGAACGCGGACGAGTCACCAAAGTCGCCAGGCCGCTCTGCTGCGGCACCGAAGTCGGGTGCTGAAGATTCGGCGGGCGGGCCGAAGTCTGCTGCCGCACCAAAGTCAGCTGCCGGTGCGTCAAAGTCTGCTGCCGGTGCGTCAAAGTCTGCCGCCGCACCGAAGTCTGCTGCGGGTGCGTCGAAGGTGGCGGTCTCCTCCGTCGTGCTCACCGAGGTGGTCGTTTCGTGCGTCTCCACCGTGAAGCTGGCCGTCGTGCCAGCCTCGCCGGCCACCGCGTCGCCATCGAACGCGGACGAGTCACCAAAGTCGCCAGGCCGCTCTGCTGCGGCACCGAAGTCGGGTGCTGAAGATTCGGCGGGCGGGCCGAAGTCTGCTGCCGCACCAAAGTCAGCTGCCGGTGCGTCAAAGTCTGCTGCCGGTGCGTCAAAGTCTGCCGCCGCACCGAAGGTGGCGGTCTCCTCCGTCGTGCTCACCGAGGTCGTGCTCACCGAGGTGGTCGTTTCGTGCGTCTCCACCGTGAAGCTGGCCGTCGTGCCAGCCTCGCCGGCCACCGCGTCGCCATCGAACGCGGACGAGTCACCAAAGTCGCCAGGCCGCTCTGCTGCGGCACCGAAGTCGGGTGCTGAAGATTCGGCGGGCGGGCCGAAGTCTGCTGCCGCACCAAAGTCAGCTGCCGGTGCGTCAAAGTCTGCTGCCGGTGCGTCAAAGTCTGCCGCCGCACCGAAGGTGGCGGTCTCCTCCGTCGTGCTCACCGAGGTCGTGCTCACCGAGGTGGTCGTTTCGTGCGTCTCCACCGTGAAGCTGGCCGTCGTGCCAGCCTCGCCGGCCACCGCGTCGCCATCGAACGCGGACGAGTCACCAAAGTCGCCAGGCCGCTCTGCTGCGGCACCGAAGTCGGGTGCTGAAGATTCGGCGGGCGGGCCGAAGTCTGCTGCCGCACCAAAGTCAGCTGCCGGTGCGTCAAAGTCTGCTGCCGGTGCGTCAAAGTCTGCCGCCGCACCGAAGTCTGCTGCGGGTGCGTCGAAGGTGGCGGTCTCCTCCGTCGTGCTCACCGAGGTGGTCGTTTCGTGCGTCTCCACCGTGAAGCTGGCCGTCGTGCCAGCCTCGCCGGCCACCGCGTCGCCATCGAACGCGGACGAGTCACCAAAGTCGCCAGGCCGCTCTGCTGCGGCACCGAAGTCGGGTGCTGAAGATTCGGCGGGCGGGCCGAAGTCTGCTGCCGCACCAAAGTCAGCTGCCGGTGCGTCAAAGTCTGCTGCCGGTGCGTCAAAGTCTGCCGCCGCACCGAAGGTGGCGGTCTCCTCCGTCGTGCTCACCGAGGTCGTGCTCACCGAGGTGGTCGTTTCGTGCGTCTCCACCGTGAAGCTGGCCGTCGTGCCAGCCTCGCCGGCCACCGCGTCGCCATCGAACGCGGACGAGTCACCAAAGTCGCCAGGCCGCTCTGCTGCGGCACCGAAGTCGGGTGCTGAAGATTCGGCGGGCGGGCCGAAGTCTGCTGCCGCACCAAAGTCAGCTGCCGGTGCGTCAAAGTCTGCTGCCGGTGCGTCAAAGTCTGCCGCCGCACCGAAGTCTGCTGCGGGTGCGTCGAAGGTGGCGGTCTCCTCCGTCGTGCTCACCGAGGTGGTCGTTTCGTGCGTCTCCACCGTGAAGCTGGCCGTCGTGCCAGCCTCGCCGGCCACCGCGTCGCCATCGAACGCGGACGAGTCACCAAAGTCGCCAGGCCGCTCTGCTGCGGCACCGAAGTCGGGTGCTGAAGATTCGGCGGGCGGGCCGAAGTCTGCTGCCGCACCAAAGTCAGCTGCCGGTGCGTCAAAGTCTGCTGCCGGTGCGTCAAAGTCTGCCGCCGCACCGAAGTCTGCTGCGGGTGCGTCGAAGGTGGCGGTCTCCTCCGTCGTGCTCACCGAGGTGGTCGTTTCGTGCGTCTCCACCGTGAAGCTGGCCGTCGTGCCAGCCTCGCCGGCCACCGCGTCGCCATCGAACGCGGACGAGTCACCAAAGTCGCCAGGCCGCTCTGCTGCGGCACCGAAGTCGGGTGCTGAAGATTCGGCGGGCGGGCCGAAGTCTGCTGCCGCACCAAAGTCAGCTGCCGGTGCGTCAAAGTCTGCTGCCGGTGCGTCAAAGTCTGCCGCCGCACCGAAGTCTGCTGCGGGTGCGTCGAAGGTGGCGGTCTCCTCCGTCGTGCTCACCGAGGTGGTCGTTTCGTGCGTCTCCACCGTGAAGCTGGCCGTCGTGCCAGCCTCGCCGGCCACCGCGTCGCCATCGAACGCGGACGAGCCGAAGTCGCTTGACCACCCTGTATTGACATCAGTGTTCAAGGGGGACGAATCGGTTGTGGTTCCGTCCCCCCATGATGCAAACGTAGTTTCCGTTCCGTCAGGTGATGAAAAGTTTCCGAAGAAAGTATCGTTTGAACTGCTCACTTGGTCCTTTTCGGTATCCTTAGAATCGCTCTCCCAGTTGAAAAAGGATGGTGTACTTGCAGTTGCGAATGCAGTTGCGAAGGTGTCAGTGCTAGTGCTGCTCTTCTCATCCACGACGTCATTATTCACCCAGGAATCACCACTGAAGAAACTATTTGCTGGGGTCTTGAAGTCGTTTACGGAAGATTCGTCAGTCTTACTCCTCAGATCGGTATCCTTCCAACTGGTAAAATCGGATGCTGCCTCACTCTTGCTTCGAATGGCATCAGCAAAAGGATCATCAAGGGTCTTAGTTTCCGTTGCTGCATCAGGAGCTCTGAAATCTGAAAATGGATCATCATTTGTGAGAGCTGCAGCATCACCAGCTCTTGCATCGGAAAATGGTTCGGTGTCGAGAGAAAGTGATTGGTTTTTGGACTCTTCTCCACCCGCTGCGGACTGCTGCGATGTCTTCTGCAAGAAGCCCAAAGTCGAATTGACTTGCTGTGAGAGCGGAGTGAACCCTTGAAGTTGTGCTTCATCCCGCAGCTGTGAGAGAGCTCGAACGCTTAATCGCTGCGATGTGCAGGTTTCGAGTAGCGCCTGCTTAATGAGACGCGAAATAAGGGGAGAATTCCACACCTTGTTCCGAACAGCATATCGCATCCCTCCTTCTCGATGGCTTAGGAATTGCATAGCACTTTGCTTCACCACGAGGCTGTCTGGGGCCGCGCTGTCCGTAGGAGCACACTGAAAGTCCAGAAGGTCGTTAATGCATGAAAACACAGTGTCTCCCAAGGTCGCCAGGCACTCTCGAAGTGCCGTATACCAAATTGCCGTCATCAGAGCAGCTTGCCAGACACAAGGCCGCATTCGAAACCACGCGAGCACTATGCGAAGGCATCCAGCAAGCAAAGCTGTCTCCACGCCATACCCATACGACTTTGGTGTGGTCACGCAACGGCGAAATAATGTCCAGGCAATCGCAGCCCGGCGTTCTGGCTGAATTCGGTTAAACGGAAGTGCCTCAAGTTTCCAAAAGAGGTTCGCCCAGTCGTCTTGGTTGGGTTCGACACGTCCGCTACTACGCCGTATCAGCCAGACATAGGCACGAAGAGCCTCGCAAGCTATAAATGCATTGCTGTGCTCCGTCAGCGAGCGGATGCGAGTTGTAAGGTTGTTCAAGTAGGCTGGAATCTCCATCGTCTGTCCAGACGACGCACCCAGTTGAAGTACGATTGTATCGAGACGCTCAGCTACGAATTGCACCGCGCGGCACACACGATGCAACGTGACCGTACTGAAGGCTGGTTTAGCTGGCGTCGGAAGCAGGGGCAGCAAGGCAGCTGCCACAAGCTCAAAAAGGCACGCTGAGCCCCAATTCGGCTGCTTACGAACACTCGCCTCCGGGGAAGTTCCACGCAGCACCTCCTCGATAGCCACTAGAAGTACAGCGGGGGGTGCCATGCCCTTAACGGGCGAGCCATCGGTCGCAGCACCTTGGACAATGTCGGTAAAGTAGTCCTGTAGCTGCGCTGAGAGTGCATTTGAGATGAAAAATCCTTGAAGAGCTGGGTTCTGGTCGGTCGATAGTTGACTTGTACCAGACGATGTCTCTAATAGTGTCGCGTCGGGATTTGGGCCAGGGCCGTTCGCAAAGGAATGCTGCTGCTGCTGTTGCTGCTGCTGCTGCTGCTGCTGCTGTTGATGGACTGGAAATCGGTACATTTGACCACACAGGCGCAGCAGGTACACAGAAGTCAGGGAATCGCCACCAAGTAACGTACGCGGGCGCGCTTTCAGCAAGTACAGCTCAATCGCCTTCGCTGTCGTCATTGCATTCGACGGTCTGTCTTCATTCAACGAGGACGACGTCAAGAGTGACAGCAACGTTTTTGCAGCGTGTCGAGAGGGTGTACCCGACGGCATCGTGAAGGCGAGTTGCACCAATTTATCCACGGCAAACACTTGCTCATCCTGCACCACATGGAACCTCAGTGCATGGCAAGCTCCCGCCACAGCTCCAAATTGTGCAGGTCCCGGTGGAGCGACCTTCTTCCCCTTAGCATCCACTGCATGTTCAGCCAGTACCGGTGACTGCTGCAGCAGCGTCGTCGCAAAAGTCACCAGTTGCTCCCTTTTGCGGAAAACCCGACACAGTTGTGCGTACACTCGTAGAGTGGCTCGCTGTCTGGGCAGTAACAGCCCTGCGGGCGTCGTCACTGCCGTCTCCAGCGTCACCAGGAAGCTGCTTAACACTTGCTCTGCTGGATCGACACTCTGCTCTTGGTTGAGCTTCTGCGAGTCCGTGAGTCTGGCTGCCACCTCCCTCTGGATCTCGAACTGGTCGATGAGTCGCGCGAGGAGACACAGCGCGATGCGGGCGATACGCTGGTGCTCGTCCTTGAGGAGAACCATCTCCTTCTTGTCCTTGAGCTGCGGCAGCAGGCTGCACAGCCCGCTGAGCAGCGACTGCGGGATGCGCGAGCCCCGCGCCGCCGACGTGTAGAAGAAGGTGAGCGCGCGCAGTACGTCCGCCATCTTGCGCGACGCCACGTCCTTGGCGCCCAGCAACTTGGCCAGCTCATTCAGCAGCTGCTGCTCGGACGAGCATTTGCTGCGCAGGTACCCGTTCATGGCCGCTAGTGCAGGACACTGGGCGAGTAAATGAATGCGGAGTGCGGCGGCTGTGGTGAAGGATCGCGTCGCTTCAAGATCGGTCAGTAGGGGGTGGCCCCTAGTGACGGCCGTTACAAAATAGTATTGACACCGTTATCGGTGACCTCAGCTTCTCCTCCTTCATCATCTTCTTCTTCTTTATCATCATCATCTTCTCCTGCTTGTCCTTCTTCTCGTTTTTCTTCAGTATTTTTATCATCGCTACCAGGTCGTTAACTAAGCTGAAGTGCCGTTGGCTCACTTGCCCTCGTCGCGTAGCTGGATCTTCATGCGGTCCTCGTAGCTCTGCTTCTTCTTCTCCTGCTTCTCGCCAGCGGCCAGCGCAGCACCTCCCGCAAGAGCGATGACCGTGGCTGTCTGTGCCACGACACGCGCCTGCATGAACTTGTTGCCCAGCTTGGATTGGCCGCGCTGGAAGGTGATCAGTCCGCCCAGTAGCACGGCCGTGGTCGCCGCACAGCCGAGCGGCACGAGCGGGTCCTCCTTCACGCGCGTCCAGAGCGACTTCTTGCCGCCGTAGCGCTCGTCCTCCATCCAGCTGAAGTCGCCCGCCGCGTACACGCGCGGGGGCTCGGCAGCGTTGCGATCGGCGGGCATTGCGGCGACGTCTACGTCGGATACTCAGGAGCAGTTCAACTATGAAATCTGAGGTCAGAATGGCATTCCGCCGTTTCAGGTCGCTTTTGATTGGACAATATAGGAACGAACGCATCTGATTGGTCGAGCGCATGTTAAACACGCAGCAGCTCAAGAGACCAAGATGGACGCCATCTTGCAGTACGCCTCCTCCCCGTCGCCGCCGTCCTCGCCGAGCACCAGTGGTGGTAATCCAACAGGTACAACAGGAGCTTCAGCGCCCTCTATGTCTCTCCCCGTTGTGGCAAATGAAGACGAGAACAGGCGCCTTCGCGTTGCCGAGCGACTGGCAGGCCAGCGTCGAGCCTTTGCCCATCAAAGCACGAGAGAGGAAGACGCCTTCAAGTTCCGCGGCTACGCAAGCAAGAGGCGACGGCGACACGCTACTCCGCCTATTGTCGCCTCAGGCGAGCTGGATACTAGAGGCTCAAGCAACGATCTGCCTTTGTTCGAGAGAAGCGACGAAATCCCAAGCATTTCGACTACGGATTCCAGACACAAGACGGTAGCTCCATTGCGGAAAAGAGACCGGCAACGGTTTATTGGCCACGACAAGGCAGTGAACGAGTTGCAATGGCACCCGCAATATTCAGACCTCTTTTTGTCGGCGTCTATGGATGCTACAGTGCGAGTTTGGAAGTGCTCAGCAGAGGAGCGAGAGAGGTCTCGGCGTGAGCTGACGCACCATTCGCTCGGGGTCAAACGCGCGAAGTGGTCGCTTGACGGCAGGCAAATACTTTCAGGTGGATACGACGGGCTGGCGTGCTGTGTGGACACTGAGACTGGTCAAACCCAGCAGGAACTGCGACGGCCTGACACGGCGATCCCCTCTGCAAGAATTGAGCGCATCACAAGCGCGTGTTTCCACCCGGTTGAGCCAAAATCACTGCTCCTTGGGACCGATCAAGGGAAAATTTACTGTCATGATCTTCGCGAGAAAAACCCGCTGCATGCAGTGACGACATACACGAAATCGTTTGGGGACGTTCACGACCTGCTTTTCCTCGGTGATGAAGGCCAGCGGTTCGTGTCAAGTGCTGGTGTGATGCAGAGGGATGCTAGCAATCAGACGCTGTTAGTTTGGGACTGGCGGTCTGCTACATTACTCTATGACCGCCTCGACGGCAATATACTGGCGCATTCTTGCTTACGAGCACATCCGAACAGGCCGTACTTCGTAGCTCAATGCACCGGCAGCTATGCGACGCTGTATTCGTCAAGTGCTCCATACAAGTGCCTCAAAGGCCCCAGTGTTGGCGGACGTCGCCCACCGCTTCGTTTTTCAGGCGGACACCAAGTTGACGGCTATAGTATCCAATGCAGTTTCTCTCGCGATGGCGAACTCTGGGCAACGGGTGACTCAAGTGGACGAGTTGCAGTATACCGCACAGCAGGAAAGCGCGAGCTGATGGATAGCTTTCAGCTCTACGAGCGCCGAACAGCCTGTATTTGTGCAGAGTTTCAATCGACCAGCATCGATTCGAGGCCTATGTTGCTAACTGGCAGCAGTGCTGGTGACATTGACCTGTTTCGCTGATAACTTACTGTGAACGTGATCAACTTCATTGGAGCTTCATCGTTCTGTTTACTATTATTACGAGCTCTCTTCCTCATGATGGTCATCATCGTCGTCGTCGCCTTCTGCGGCGTGCTTGTACTGCTTGGCCTTAGCCATTGCCTCGGCAGCACGAAGTTTGTGCTCAACGTTAGCGCGGCGTCTATCAGTTCGCGGGAGCAATTTGCGTGCAGTTGTGTAATGCTTTACGGCTTCGCTCCACGCTTCATTCGGCGTTAATACACTATCAGCGTAAATCAAGTGCGTCTCCCAGTTCTTCGGACGCAGCTTGAACGACCGCTGAAAAGCTGCAACAGCCTGCTGGAAATCTCCCAAAGCTGCAAATGTGCGTCCATACGTGCACATCAGAATGCTCCAGCTAGTTTTCTCGTATTCGGGAACCTCGGACAAGGCACTTTCCACAATCGTTTTAGCACGTTCCGGGTCCAACGGTAGCTCCAACAAGGCGCGCAAGTTCCACACTGACGCATCTGAAGGATCAATCTTCAGTGCCTTTTCCAGTGCTGCACGGGCGGCTGGGAACCGCCGATTCCGTTGCTCAATCTTGGCCAGCTCGATCAGCAGAGGTGCGTCATTGGGTACATGCTGGCTTGCCATCGTGAGCACCGAGCGCGCTGCTTCGTAATTCTTCAACCTTGCCTCCACACGCGCCAACGCTCGCCACGACTCGATAACCGTAGGCTGCACCTTCGTCGCCTCGTCGTAAAGCTCCCGCGCGTTGTCAAGCTCTCCATGCTGCTCCTCGAAACCACCAAATGCTTGCAGCACTGGACCAGTATGCTGCAGATTTTGTAGCGCGTTCTCGAATACCTTGCGCGCATTGCGCATACGATTGCGCTTTTTGTACAGAACAGCCAGAGACATCATACTGGGCACGTGGTCGGGGTACTGCTCCAAGGCCTCGATGTACAAGCCCACTGCTGCGTCCTCATTGCCCAGTTCCTCCTCCATTTTAGCATACGAGTTGTAGGCCGACGCCTCCACGTAGAGCCCGCCATCAATAAGGCGCCTGTACGCGCGACGTGCTTCGTACACATCGCCAAGCTTGAAGTGGGCCATTGCACCGAGAAGAATAAGCCACTTGTGTGTGGGAAATCGCTCGAAGGCCGTTGCAATCACTGCCAGTGCGTTCTTGTACAGCCCAGCGTCATACTCCGCCTTGGCCCATGCGTGCCAGACTTGGCCCGTAGCTCTCGGGTGAGAGACAGCATTCTGAAAGATACTGCGTGCCAATCCAACATGCTGACACTTGGCCTCAAATACACCATAAGCCTGCATAATCAACACGTCCTTCGGGTGTTCCTCCAGCAGCTCCTGGAACTTCTCGCGAGCTTCATCGGGGTGTCCCGCTTGAACTTCCCACAGCGCCATCCCCAGCCCCGCCATGGGGTTGTGCGAATCTGTCGCCAAAATCACCTTGAAGATGCGTTTGGCTTCCTGCATATTCTTCGCCTCCAGCTCCATGGACGCCCACGAGGTCCACAGCTCGGCGTCGAACGAGATCCGCGACGCCTTGGAGAAGATCATGCGCGCCAATCCGTAGTTGCCCGCCTTCCACTCCTACAATTTGAGCAGCAACAGTTGTGTATTTAATACACCAATTATCCCCAATACAACACCAGGAGAAGAAAAGATCGCCCTACCATGACGCCCCACTTGTTCCACATGCCCATATCCTTCGGGTAGCGGCGCTGCAGCACGTTCCGGAAGAGGTTGCGGGCCGTGGGTACGTCATCGCGCACCAGTTCGTTCAGCGTGGGCTCGGGCCCCTGCCAGCGGCTCTTGACGCCCTCCAGGTACTTGATATCGGGCTCCCACGGCGTCTTGCCCGACAGCTCGCTAAACTTCTTCTCCACCTGGCGGGAGTAGTCCTGTCCCTCGTACAGCGCGTCCATGGCCCGGAACCTGGAGAACGCCCGCGTCTGCACTTGCAGAGCGTTCACGGCGGCGCCTCCGTGCCGCGCCAGCGCCTCGGGACGCCGCAGCGCGCGGCCCAGCGCCAAGCGCCCCAAGCCTCTCATTTCGTCAATGACTGAAGGCGTGTTTTTTTCTGTTAAGATGTCATTGAAGCGGATCAATGTCACTCTTCTGAAAACTTATATTTGTGTGGAGCACACTTGTGGTGTAGCGCACACCACTCGTGTGCGGCGCGTTTGGACCAGTCAAATGCAGCGAGGGCCTCAAGCCGAGCACCGGGCAATGCGTGGGTCGGTCATTACGTAAAAGCTTCGTTCCGAGGACTCCACCGTTTACAAGAATCATGTCGGCTGAGGAAGTTGTGGCGGAGGTTGAGGTGCCCAAGGAGCTGGGAGAGATGGACGCCCTCAAGGAGGTGCTCAAGAAGGCCCTCATCCACGACGGCCTCAAGCGCGGCCTGCACGAGGCCGCCAAGGCCCTGGACTCGCGTCGCGCCCGCCTGTGCTGCCTGGCCCAGGACTGCGACGAGCCCAGCTACAGCAAGCTGGTGCGCGCCCTGTGCGAGGAGCACGGCGTGAACCTCATCCTGGTGCCCTCGGGCAAGCAGCTCGGCGAGTGGTGCGGCCTGTGCAAGATCGACTCCCTGGGCGAGGCCCGCAAGGTCGTGTCCACGTCGTGCGCCGTCATCACGGACTTCGGTGAGGAGACCCACGCCCTGAACGTGCTGCTGGACTACCTTAAGCGCCAGGGTGAGAACTAAGCAGCTGGACCTTTAACCCGTCCGACCAGTCGGTGAACTAGGAGACTCAAGTGCAGGTTCGAGTAATTTTGCCCGCGATCGTAACACGAACTCCCGGAGAGCCGCTGCTGCTAGCGCTATCCTTTGGGGACTGAGGCTTCTGCCGGAAGCTTTTACACCAAGAGATGTTCGCGTGTGTTTTCCTTCATCGCTGCTTCGCTGTTCTCTGTCGTTTGTGTATCATTCCGGCGAGATATCATGCTTGCCACTGCGAAGACAACTCTCAAACGAACGTCTAAAGTCTCTTGTTTCAATTACTGCTAGTTGCTGGTCTACAGCTAAACGCATTTGTCCCATCAATAACTCTGCTCTCGTGGCGCACGCACTCCTTTAGCGTTTCCTTCATCCGGAAAAGCGCAAAGCGCGTATTTCTCGCGCTACAGCATCGGTCACTGCCGTGGCGGTGGAAGCGTCGAGACGGATCGACTTGGAGTGACGTACACTCACCGATCCGCCTTATGCAGTGTCTCCGCTTGGGGAGGTCGCGGAGAGCTGCCGGTTGACTTGGCCGGGCCTACACCCGGTGTAGTACGTCACTGGGGCTATTGAAGTCGGGTACTCGATACCTGCAGCTCCCTGTGGCTCAACAAGCCACGTTGCAACAGTATTGAAGAGCTTCTGACAGGTCGCCAACCGGTGTTGGCGCGACAGGTTTCCAACCTTTTCCAGTGCTTTCTTCATTCAGCAGACCCAGCGTTCATCGCTCGTGCGGGGACTTGTCAAGAAAGCGGCGTTGCTTCGCACGGTTCAGCGGAGGCATTTGCGTCTCGGCATTGCGTCCATGAACGTCGTACATCGTGGAGGCTCGCATGTACTTGAACTTTCCCTGAGCCACCGGTTCTTCCATCGTTTCATCAGGCTTCATCTGACGCATACTCATCAGGAACGGGTGCTGCATCGCATCCGTGGGGGTAATTCGCGTATCCGGGCTGTTAAAGAAGACAAAACGCGTTAATTTCTGTTGTCAGGGCAGGGATAACAAGACGCCACGCAAAATGCAAACGTACTTGAAGTCGAGCATACGCATAACGAGGTCGTGAAATGCATCGTACTGTTCCGGGCTGTGGTTCAGGGTACCATACTTGTGCGCACCAGCAAGAATCTCCGCCAAAGTCTTGTTGTTATCGGGAATCTGAACGAAAGCACACGATTCCACCTGTCAGCAAAGTACGCAGCATTGAATCACAATTGGAAGTGGTCCACTTACCATATCAACTCCTTTGGGTGGGGTTATCTTGTGCACTTTCAGGCGGTAGTCGATCCACTTGTTGTTGCCTTCATTTATGACGACCTCGTCAAAATATTCACGCCGATAGCTCGGACTGGCACGGGCAATCATTTCCCGCGGCGGCAGACCCAACACATTGATGATGCGGTGCAGTTGGTCTGCCGAGTCATAGCCGCAAAAGAGCGGTTTGCCAGTGTGCATCTCCACCAAAATGCAGCCAAGGCTCCACATGTCGATAGCGGCTGTGTACCGCATGCCAAGAAGAACCTCCGGGGCACGGTAGAAGCGGCTTTGGGTGTAGCGGTGGATCTACAGATACAAAAGCGGTCAGCATTTTCCACCTAAAAAGTATCCGCAAGTCACAACTCGGCGCGTACCTGGTTACGCGAAAGACACGAGCTTCCAAAGTCGATAAGCTTGAGCGAGCTGTGTCCGTGCGAGACCAGCAGAATATTCTCCGGCTTGAGGTCGCAGTGGATCACGTTCACGTTGGGGTGGCGCATGTACTCCAGCGCCTTGAGGATCTGCCGCGTGAACTTGCGCAGCAGCTTGAGACTAATACCATTGAAGTTGGTTCCACGGAGGACGTCGAAGAGGTTGGGTCCCAGTCGCTCGAACACGAGGCACTGGTGCCCCTGGTGCATGAACGCATCCGTGAGTCTCACTGCGACACCACAATCGGCAACGGTTAGCCACCATCGCATCGCACACACATCAGCCAAGAGAGAACAAGGCGCGACTCTTGGGTGTTTTCTCCTCCAAGAATAGCTCCCGAAACCAGCCCGTGAATGGAGACAAGGTCCAAGGAGGCGCCCACAAGACGGTACGAACACGTACCGATGTGGTTGGTAGCGTCGTGCTGCTGCGGCAGATGCAGCTGCTGCAGGATGTTGATCTCGGTCTGGGCCTGCTCCGTGTACTGCTGCTTCTTCTGCACGATCTTGATGGCCACGATCTGCTTGGTCACGAGGTCCTGCGCCTCCACGACCTGTCCAAAGGAGCCCTGTAGCAGCAGCAGCAAAAAGAACCCCGTCAGTCCTCTCTGCTAGTGCCTCTATTCAGCCGCCCTGTTATCCCATCTGGCTCGGGGTCCGTACCGCGCCGAGCTTCCTGCCGCGCACGAGGTAGCGGCCGTTGAAGGTCTCCTCTCCGGCCTCGGAGAAGACGTAGTTGGCGGGCACCTTCTTCTTCTTCTTGACGATGGGCTTGGGGTTGTGCCGCCGGTAGTAATTCTGCACAAAAGGCAACAGCGGTCGGCTCGGTTAGGCAACTTATATGTCTCCTTCTCCTCATCCATGTCTAGACTCTGTCGATGGCGCAGCACACGCACCACGTTGATGACGTTCAGCGTGCGCATGAGGCCGCGCGTGAGCTGGTGGCGGGGCGTGTTCTTGAGCGGCCGCCTGGCGACGGCGCCGCCGTCCGTGATCTCCATAGCGTGCTGCCTGCGCTCGTGTCGGTTTGGCTTTCTCTGCGCGCTTCGCGTTCGCGGTTTTCTCGCGGGGTTTTTCTGCGGTGCGAGGTTTTTCGGTGGTAAACCTGCCTTATCGCATAGTATGCCGCTGCGGAGGCTCTCCGTTTTGCGCGCGCTTTTTATAGGGACCGACCGGGCCGGCTGCCGCCGGCAGTTGAAGTTGATGCGACTTGGCCCGAGGCCGACACCGTCGCATTGCATGACCTTAGGCTGCCGCAGCGCACCGGGGCTGGCAACCGCGACGCTCGCTCTTGCTGAGCGACTTTGCCGCCTTTTCCACGACGAAGGGCTTTTTTCCCGCGCTCGGCCACATACAAAAGTTCATACTAAAATCTCAGATCGCCCGTGGCCTCTCTATGCCATGGATCGCGATACAACTTGAAGCGAGCCCAGGCCAGAGAAGGGTGGACGGCCGGCCGGCAACATGCCGGTGGTCGACATGCCGGCAACTTGCCACGGTGGGCACTGCTGCCGCATGAGGGCGAGCCCAGCAGCAGCAGATAGCGACGCGGCGTCATAGTTTGGTGTCCGGAGATTTAGCCTAGAGGGCAGTTCGTTTTCGGCATGGGACCGCCGGCCAGCGACAGCGCTAGTAAATGGTGTCCGAATTCGGTTGCTGCCATCTGCGCCAAGTCCATTTTTGGGCCGACCACAGTCGTCGTCAGATGCGATTGTGTTTACCGCGCGTTTCGACGGCGCTGGCCGTCAGAATTATATCGCATCGAGTGTCGATTTCGTCGGCGGCGCGGTCGTTGGCGACGGTGCGGCAGGTCTATTGTTGACGGCGGAGCTTGACGCGGCTCGGCTGCGGGCTGCACATGATACATGTTGCTAAGGTTTGCCAACAAGTTGATGTCGGTCTCTTGTGGTCGCTGCTACGGTAGTGATTCGCTAAATCATGCATTGGAGCCCTGGGCTCGAGCTTGGAGCCTTCAGCCCGTATTGCAGTGAGCTGTACTATTACCAGCTACATGCACTAGCTCAGCAACGCGTCGACCAAGGCAACATGTTCAAATGCAATTGGTCCAAGCAGCGGACGCATCCCCCTCGTACGTCAGCAGGTGGACGCTGAATGCGAATTGATACCATCGCGCGGTATCCGCTCGAGGTCATTCCCCAATCATCCGCACAGCGCACAAGGCGACTGCTTGCCGCCCCCCAAACCGCTCATGACGCGCCCGACGCCCGACGAAGTGGAGACCTTGACCGACCTGGCCAGCGCCGCCTACGGCTCGCGCGTGCTGTTCGCGACGGACGAGTGGTTCGCGCCAGCCAGCGACCTGCTGCGGCCGGAGCCGCCGGTCTTCATCGCCGACAAGTTCACGAGCTTCGGCAAGTGGATGGACGGCTGGGAGACGCGCCGCAAGCGCATCGCCGGCCACGACTGGTGCGTGCTGGCGCTCGGCCTGCGCGGAGCTGTGGACGTCGTGGACGTGGACACGGCCTTCTTCACGGGCAACAACGCGCCGCGCGTGTCCATCCAGGCCGCCGACTTCTCCCAGCAGAGCGAGGCGCTGCGGATCCTCTCGGCCAGAGCCACGGAGCAGCGCGCGATGGGCGTCTGCGCCTCGGCCGAGGAGCTCAAGCTGGCCGAGCAGCTCCAGTCGCACCAGTGGACGGAGATCGTCCCGCCCACGGAGCTCGGGGCTGGCTACGCCGAGACGCGCCACAACCTGCTGCGCGTGCCGCCGTCCAAGAGAGGGCCGTGGACGCACCTGCGCGTCAACATGTTCCCCGACGGAGGCATTGCACGTCTACGGGCGTACGGAGAGGTGGTGATGGACTGGAGCCGCGTGTCGAGCTCGCAGTTGCTGGATCTGGTGAGTGTCGAGCACGGCGGGCAGGTGGTGGGCTTCAACGACGCTCACTACGGCCACCCGCGCAATCTGATGGCGCCGGGGCGCAGCAAGACGATGGCCGATGGGTGGGAGACTGCGCGCAAGGCGACGCGCCCGGCCATTCTCAAGGCGGACCCCAAGACCGGGCTGCTGGAAGTGCCAGGCAAGGACTGGGTCGTGCTCAAGCTGGGGCACCTGGGAGTGGTGCAGCAAGTTGAAGTCGACACGAACCACTTCAAGGGCAACTTCCCTGAGAGCTGCGTGGTGTACGGTACGCGATTCGAGGGTGAAGAGGACAAGCTACTGAAGGATGGAGCCGTTAAGTGGGAAGTGCTGCTGCCCCGGGTGAAGCTGGAGGCGCACAAGCAGCACTATTTCTCCGTCACGGGCGGCAACGTGAACCTCATTCCCGGTGGTGTCAACTACATCAAGCTTGAGATGTTCCCCGATGGCGGCATCAGCCGGCTCCGTTTGCGTGGTCACAAGAAGGACGCTACCGCGCGGCTGTAAGCTGCAGGATCCGGCGTGTATTCAAAGTCTATTGGGTTTCAGGCTCAGTATGATTCTTCAGCGCCCATGGCCTCTGCTTGAGTAGTTTCTTCTTCTTCTTCTTCACAGCGATACAGATCTCTACGTGGTGGTCGAAAGTAGATGCCCTCCCTGCACGCAGACAGAATCAAATCAACTGTCAATGAAATTCTCACATGAGATGTTTCGGTGTTGCCGTTGTTACGCACCTCAGTAGATGGGATATTGGCAGGTTGCGAATGCGAGCCAAGTGGGTGTTTGCCGATGCTCGAAGTGCTGCCGCAGTGTTTGAAGCGGACGTTGTCTTGGTGCGAGTCGAGTTATCAGGCCGGGTCTTGGCACGCGCTGCAAATAATTTGTGCACTGCCTCGCTTGATGTAAACATCTCAAGGTCTGGACGTCGGTGGCTCGTAGCTATCGCCACTTTCAACGGGCGCTTTCCCTTTAATGCGGGGCTTGGTTTCGACTTCCTTGACTTCGTAAAATCGTATTCCTTCGTAGCTGCGTCGATACCGTCTAGTGCGTGTAACAGGGTCTCCTGGAAGGTTTGGATTGAGATTTGGCCATTACCGTGAGCATCAAACCGATACAGAAGCCGACAACAATCCGACGGAAGCAACGCCTTCAGCCCGAGGATGCTGTGGAAACTCCTTAAGCTTTCCACGAAGTCTTGCCAAGGTACCACGGACGTATCTTCGGCATCCGCACTGGTGTCCAACTCATTATTACTGCGGCGCCCTCCCCCACTCAAACCTTTTCTTACGTCAAAACTTTCCAGTAGCGCACGATTAATCAACTCACGACTGGCATTTGCTTGATCTCGGATCTGGTGAACATATTGCTTCCAGAAGAACTACACAACATAATGAGCAGTTAGCTAAATTATACACTAGACCTTTTCTGCGTGGTAAGCAGCAGTAGGCTATACTCCTTTTACCTGGTGAAAGGGGTCCACGAGAAACGTGCGAAATGCGCTGAACGTGATGCCGTCGCTGTTGGATGGTGACAGCTCTTGCATTCCACGAAATAGCGCAAACCATTCTTGCTTTGGTACTGCTACCACTGCATCGAAACCAAATGCTGTTGAGTGGAAGATCAACTCGCGTAAGTGAATGGCAGTCTTCACATTAGTTTTGGTTGGACCCGGCAACTGCAAACCTTGCGGTGAGGGCGTAGTAAAAAGAGAAAATAATTCCTCGATTTTCTTGCCTTCCCCAGTTTGCCAAAGAAAATCACTTAGTTGAGATTTCAATCGTGTAATCCGACCATTTTGAGCCGTATCCGGAAACTCGTGGCTCTCATGTCCGTATCGCCGAACTACCAGGTCGATTGACTGCACTGAGTAGAACAAGTCACCGTTGGTTCTTCGCCAAGCCACGATCGAGTCGTGAATACCCATTATGTTGGAATTAGCAGGTGCGAGTGCGTCACGCACTGCGCGCTGGTTCATCATAGAAACACCTCCCAAATAGTCGAATGGGATCTGCTTAACAGATAAACCAACGACGGCAGCTTTTGAGCGGGCTTCTTCATGATCAATTGGCTTTGGGCTCTCCTGTGAGCTGCCGTCAGCTTTCCCTAGCCAGGTTGCGATTCGAAATGCTACCTTTGACGATACTTTATCAGCCCACACCGGTAGGATCGAACTGAGACCCAGCGAACCTTGATCTGGAAGAAGCTGGGCCGGTGTGTTTAAAGGTGAGGAAGTATCGAATTGCCGGTCCCACACAACAAATGGTCGTTCTGGGTTCTGTAACAGTAAAAATTGTGCATCGTGCTCACGGTCAAAGTCGAATGGAGGTTCACTGAACTCTTCCTCGTACGTAGCTGTCCAGGGAGAACAGACCACCGCGTCTCTAAGTGTTGCATGCTGCAGCACTGAGGATAGAAAGAAAGAAAAATGCGCTGCTGGTGGGACTGCAGTCAACGCGGATTGGTACTTCGACCATACAAGATCATGGTTCGTCGTCAGAACATGGTATCTGCTTTGACTGTTCAAGCAACAATTTACAACCAGCAGCGGAGCTCGATAATCATGTTCATCTTCCGGATGCTGGGTAGCGTAAATGAAATACTGCCCGGGTGATGGGAATCGTAACTGCACCACACCAAGATTTGTATGCCGCGACTCGCTGTCGTCGCCAACGATATCAAGGTGGGTTAGTCCGTACTGCCAGTGATTCTCACGGAACTCCACTTGAACAGCAGGATCCGTATCGTTTGATCCAGACTCGATTAGTACTACCACCGTATCATCGGTATACACGCGAATACAATTGGAGTAAAGCTTGTACCAATTCGTATCCACGCGCTCGTGACTTTCAGTCGTGAACCCTTCAACGTGAATGCCGAGAACTGTGATAGTCTTGCCTTCATCGTGCTCGATCGGAGTCGTCTGTGTTTCGCTTTCCAGTTTGACAGCATCGATAACAATCTTACCTCCGATAACCATACCGATAGAACTTACAATAGAAATAGTAGCTCGGCCTTCGATTTCGCACATCAAAATCACTTCTGCTGCTGAATTCTTGCTACTGGCTTTGTTCTGTCGGATCACAGAAGAAATCGCCACGCACTCGCCGTTGTCTTCTAACGCAAATAAGTGTGCGTCGTTATCGGATAAATTAGCGATTGCGTTGAGTGCACTTTTGCATATTGGCTGCACTTGAATACAGATTTGAGCGTCTGCACCAACGCGCAATCGTGGCATCCCCTGCTCAATTGCTTGGCGTGAATCTCCATACGTAGTTATTTCCGTGACAACCCAAGCTGGGCAAGTTTCCAGGGAACTATTGGTGTTAGCACAAATACCCACCAAGATACCCCACCCCACACAGAGGTCTGCAAATGTGTTTTTACGACCTTCACAAGATAATAACTCCAGAGGTAGTAGGGATGCAGCATTTACTGCACCGACACCCCACACAAAAGCTCGCTCGATTGTAGAGTAGCTATCGTTGACGCGTTTAAGCACGAGAATAGCGGATGAGTTTCCTCCACATCGAATCTGCACGTTGTGAGTAGAAGATGCCAGAGCATGCGGCACTGCAACAAGTACAGGTTGAAAGTACTCGCAGAATTTGCTTTTCGCGCCACACGCACCAAACGCGTTGCTTCCCCACGCATACACCTCGCTGCTCCGAGACACGGCGACAGTGTGATTCCAGCCGCAGGATATAGCAGTGATACAAAAATCAGCTTCATTGCGAAAGAAGTCAACTTGAGTGGGGTGTTCACTGCCGACGTTGGAGGTAACCGCAGGGCCGAGACCTAGCTGCCCTGAACTACCATACCCCCACGTGAATACGCAGCCACTTTCAGATAAAACTACAACATGTTCGAGTCCCACGCTTACATCGATCAGAGCAATATTTTCATCGAGAAGAGGGAATCTCACTGGAACACCTTGTCGAACAAAAGGTGAATCTTTGCAGTCTGATGGCAACAATCCCCAATGCCAGAGTTTAGAAGAGCCACAGCTAAGCAAATACGTCGCGAATACTCCACAGCGCAAAATAAGAGGGTGAGTCGGGTCTGGCTTGTGCAGCAGTACAAGTAGCTCCCCAGACACTGTAATGGGTGTCATTGTTGAAGCAACTTGACACTCCCCGAGACCAAGCTGGCCGTATTCGCCAAGCCCCCATGCAAAAAGTCCGAGCTTTATTCCATCCGCTCCACCAATCTCTCCCAGCACCACGCAGTGTGTAGCTCCACAAGCGACCTGCTGCACTCGAATTTTCTCTGTGATAGACAGCTCAATGGGGCAGCAGGCCGAGTCGCAACTGTGTCCATCGTAAATTTCACGTTCGCGTGCGGATAGCCGCTTCACCTCTGCTCTGATCGCATGGGCGCGACTACGCCGTTTGCCCTGCCGCAATTGAAGTTTCTCGTACGAAAGCTTTCGTGGAGTCACCCCGCAGTGCTGCAACCGCCCCGAAGTCGTCAAGTAGACCGCAAAATCGCGTCCGACTGCCATTTCCGCAATCTCGACCCCGTCGTCAACCATCCAGCTGGTGGCCGCCGCCCATTTCCAGGCCAAGTGGTTCTTCCTGGCCACGAGCTCACATCGGAGCGCCATGTTAAGTCGGTTTTTGAGCATTATCTGTCGTTTCGCACTTCAACCTACGTCACGTCATGCATTATCATGTATTCCCTTTACTAGTTCGCGATGATCTTTTCTGAGCCTATTTGCAGACTTCCTCCGCGCCATGTCAGGCGTCGAGTCTCTAGGCGACGGCGACGTGCGCGAGCGTCTGCTGCCCGATCGGACGCGCTCCGCCTCGCAGAATGAGGACGAGGAGCAAGACGCCTTCACGCACGAGGAGTTGCTGCACTCTATCGGCTCGTTCTCCGCCGTGGTGTGGCCTGTGGCCGTGACCATGCTGCTTGCCAGGTGCATTAAGCTCTTCGGTTTTGTGCACTGGATACAGCACAGCTCTCTTACGCTTGGCGTCATGGCTTTATTGCAGTTTCGTGTCGCTTAATGTGGTGGACCGAGCCTCGGCCAAGGCACTCGCCGAGTACGTTGCAATGTAGTAACATGTTAAGTGCGTGGTGTTATCTTCTGGCTTAACGGTAGATTGTCGTGTTGCAGAGCTTACTTGGTGTACGGGCCGGATAAGGACAAGGGCGCGTCAACGGGGACGAAGGTGGAGAATGCACTGGTGAATGCTCTGGCCATCGTGTCGTTTTTCCTCGTGGCGACGTTCGTGATTGTGTGCTGCTACAAGTTCAACTTCAACAAGGTGGGGGATACAAAAGATACTTTTGATGTATAAAGCTTTTATTGCATGGCAGTGCTTGACACGGATGATGTTTTGTTGTAGATGCTGATCGGATACATGATGTTCTCGTCGGCGATGCTTCTGGGTATGCTGGGAGGCAACATGTTGGTCATCGTCATCGCCAAGATGGAGATCCCAGTTGATGTGTTCACGCTGCTATTTGCCATGTACAATTTCTCGGTGGTTGGCGTGTTATCCATCTTCTACCAGAAAGGAATGCCGATGTGGCTTACGCAGACGTACTTGGTGGCCACGTCGGTCATCATGGCTTGGCAGCTGGGGCAATTTCCAGAGTGGAGCACGTGGGCGTTAGTCATCGTGTTGGCGTTCTATGACTTATGCGCGGTATTGACGCCCTGTGGACCGTTAAAATGGCTCGTCAACCTCGTCCAGCAAGAAGGACGCCCGCTGCCTGGTAAGTATCACGATATTTTGTATTCAGTGTTTGAGGTGACTTTGTATCTCACTTATCATGCTTTCGTATGCTGGATCCGCAGGCCTGCTTTACGAGGCAGAAATTCGTCGCGACCACTCGGGCAATGCAGCGCCTCCTGTGCGCGAGAACGTGTATTATCAGTGCGAGACAGAGATTCCGCTCCGGCTCGGCTCGTCGCGGGAAGCTCCAGCATCCACCGAGCCAACAGTTCAAACCTCTTTGACACCGCGCCAAGCGCAAATGCGTGCTCGGCTAATCGAATTCTATACGAAGCACAACCCAGAGGCGATCTCGCGTGTCGACAAAATTTTGGAGCGGTATCACGGGCGAGAAGCTGAACTATGGCACGACTTGTACCAGAAGTACATCACTGATGAAGGAGGTAAACGCTGCATTGTGTTTGTACATTTTGAATGCTGGTTGGTGTTCTAATAGCGTGGTGGTGTATAGACGTTGATGAGACGATTAAGCTGGGCTTGGGAGACTTCGTCTTTTACAGCGTTTTGGTGTCCCGAGCTGCCAAGTACGATTTCTCCGCGATGGTCGGGTGTCTGGTGTCTGTTCTCATGGTGCGTCTATGTGGCTTCTAAATGACTGGTAACACAAGTTGGCTTACGTGTTTGCCTGTTGTGACAGGGTCTGGGAGGCACGCTCTTTCTCCTTGGAATCTACCAGAAAGCACTTCCGGCGCTGCCGATCTCTATTTTATTGGCTGTCACGATGTACTTCTGGCTTCGGGTGGTATTCGTTGACTTCGCGAGTAGTGCACTGAGTCTTGGTGTTCCTCTATAACACATCCGATAGATGCGAGGTCATATACGCTTTTATTAGCGAAAGCCCGTTAACCTCATAGAAAATTGCCTTCCTGAATACAGTCTTGGAGGAAGGAGGTCAAGAACGTGAAACCTAAGAAGTGTAGTGCTTCGAGCTCAATTTTCCACGGTAACGAGTCCTCGAGCCACATCTGAACTTCATCCCTGTAGTGCTCATTTGCCTGATATCACAATTCTCACATGAGCAATATGATTGAACGTTCACGACCGCTGCATCGTACCTGCACGAAGCTTGCTTGCAACAAGGAGTTTGCCACAGCGATGTCCTTCCGAGTGAGCGCTTTAAACGATGACTGTGGCAGACCTAAGGCCGCGATTTGGGACGGACGAACACCAACCCACTTGATGTCGACGGCTACGCAAAACGAAATGGCTCGGCAAAATCAGTGTAATACTACAACACAAAGCTGTGTCAGAAATGAACTTCCTACCGTATTCAAGCGACTCCAACGGCATCCGAGCTGATCCTAGTTTGTACGTAAGCTGCCAAAGCATGCATTAGCATATCGAAGAATGGTTGCCTATGTAGCCTACTCGCTCTCACCATAATGGAGAGGCCAAACGGGTTGCAGTCACAGAGACCAAGGACGGGAATTTTCAACGCGTGGCTCAAAAGGCTCACAAACACCCTAGTAGGAAAATGTGTCAATGCTAGTAATTGCTGCATCCGAAGCTCAAATGCAAGCCCTTACTTACCTCGTAGCCAGATCTGGAAAACCGCGACCAGTGATCAGGATGCTCGGAACCATCTTGTAAAACTTATCCTCTCTAACGTGACGGTGAGTTGGTGAGGGGACGCAAGAAGTAGCCAACGCTCTAAGCAATACCGTAAGCGATTGAATATGCCTGCAATAACATCATTTTCAGAATCCGCAACAGCTAGAACTCCTGTAGCTGTAAATAATCTTACCATCCTTTTCAACGACGAGGATGTACTTGGCACTACTTTGCCTGGAAAAATAGGGAATTCCAACAACGTAGCGGTAACGATCGATAAAGAGGGAGGTGCATAGTTCTGATAAACATTCGTACACGTCACTTGGCTTCAACTGCAGAAGCTCTTGAGTAATTGAGACCTCTTCCCCACTCCCAAAATGCCTCCAACAGCCATCTCTCTTCAGATGTAGAGTGTGTTAGATCCCTAACATTCACCGACGTGCGCGGGTGCGCCACGTACCAAAATACTGATGTCTCCAGTGAAGCAGCCTTTCGTTGCACCGACAATGTTCATGCATCCTCTTGGAACTCCCAGGATACTTCCCGCATCTGCCAGTACCGACAAAAGCTGTTAGATTGGCATGGGATGTGAACTGGAAACCCACCTACCGAGAATCGCTTCGTCCGCTTCACTTTGCCCTTTGAAGAACGGGTGCAGATAGTAGACATCTCTCTGTAACACATTGTCAATAAAGCATGGATTACACAGTAAATTCGCCAGTTGTGGATATGAAAGCGAACCTGAGTTGCCGTCTTGTTTTCTGTTAGTAGCGCATGTGCGGTCTGCAAGATGAGCCAAATTCCGGTGTATCTCCTCCCTCCCTGCCTGTTCTGGGGGACAATTAGACGAGGGGGGTCCACTTGCCAGGATCTTAATTGTACAGTTACCAGTTTCACGAAGCGCCTTTCATTCCCGTGGATTTGGCGCTGGTTCTGATGGTCGTACACCAATGCTGACGAATTGCGCTTCAACTAGATAGACACAGAGTCACTACAACACCTCACATACCGAGCTAACATATTCGCCAACGAGCTTACAGCCTCCAGCTCGAGCAGCTTCCCGTCCTGAGCCCCAACCCCGTCAGAAAAATGCCACGCAGCACGTGAATCCTCCGTCGTACCGAAAGACGCTCCAAGAAATCTGCTGCCAGCGCCTCGATACGCCGCAATACCTGCCCAATACCAATGGCACATTCAATACCACCGTAGATGAGCTCAGGGGAGATACAGGGACTCACCTCGTCGCGAGACAAGGCGACCCATTGGGTCGCTGCTGCTGCTTCCTGCCCGCGATCTGCTGCCATGGCGGCAACTTGAAGAATGACAATCACTCTGCCGACTTCAACTTGAACCTCTCTATAAGGATTCCGCACTCGCGCACATTGAGAAATTTGGAAAAATGGAGACAAAAATCAAAATTTGACTGGCATTTAGGTCAAGCGGATGCCTGAAAAGGAGTCGCCGTCCCGCCGCGGGGTGTTGCTCTTGGCGCGCAGGAAGCACGTGCGGCCGCGCCAGAACGTGAACGACTGGCAGCCAGGATGCTCGCAGCACAACTTCTCGCACTCGTCCACGCTCGCCACTTGCTGGCTCATGAGGTCGTTGGCGTCGCCGCCGCTGTCCATCCAGCTGCTGGAGAAGTGCCGAAAGAAGCACTTCTTCCGCTGCCACTTGGCCACGCCGTCCTCGGTCTTGGTCGGGGCGCTGCGGCGAGACACTTCACTGCCTTCTTGCTGCAGGTCCAAGGGGGAGATGGGCGCCATGTACGACGAGAAGAAGGTCATGGAGCCCGTGTGCGCGCAGAATGGGCCGGTCAAGGAGTTGCAGCCGTCGTTGTTGCCGTCGTCAGTCGCGGTGTACGTGCCCGCTGTACTCCGCGCACCCTGCTTCAGCTTTGACGGCATCTCCGCGAGTTTTCTGCCTGGTTGATGTGCAAAGGCGCTTGGGAGACACAGGAGGGTCGTTAATGCTGTGAGGATGAGCAGCTGCGACGCCATGCCGAGACGCGGCGACCTCCTCATGCTGGTCACGCCTTGCCTTGCCTTGGAAATGGCGAGCAATGTCATGGCGCTAGTTGATTGGTCGAAAATGAGACGGATACGCTTTGGATCGGGCGGTCATGCCCGAAAGGTCATCAACGCGACTTGCAGCGGCACGTGCGACCACCCAGCTCGCCATAAGTTGGTGCCGGTGCTGGAGCTGAAGCGCAGCATGTCCATCGTGTACACGCTGGTGGCGCGGCAACAGAGCGTGTTGTGCGAGCATACGGACCAGAGCGGCAACTTCCCCACGGTCACGCGCGCCGTGCTGAAGCACCTGGCGCAGCACGAGCCTAGTGCGTCAGCCCCGGCCTCCAAGAGCGTATTCCCGTACAACGAGTTCAACTTCTTCTTTCTCTACGACGATGGTATCACGTACATGTGCATGGCGGAGGAGCGGGTGCACGCGAACGTGGCGTTCATGATGCTCGCCGAGGTGCAGACCATGTTCCTGGCCAAGTACAAGCAGCAGGCACAGACCGCACTGGCCTACGCCATGAGCTCCTTCAATCCGACGCTAGACTCGCTCATGAAGAAGTACGACAACTACAAGCTGGAGACGCCCCTGTCACAAGTGCGGCAGAAGATGGAACGGGTCAAGACGCTGATGATTGAGAACGTCAACCAGGTGCGTCTCGTGTTCGTGTATCCTTTCTTGGTTGCTCCGGAAGAACTGAAAATGAGTGCTTTTTGTTCTGTGTTGATAGTTAATGGAGCGTGGGGAGAAGATCGAGTTGTTGGTCACACGAACAACTAAGTTGCAGCAGGATGCCATGAAGTACGAAAAGTCCGCTAAGAAGCTCAAGAATGCGTACTGGTGGATGAACGTGAAATACTGGATCTACGGCACACTTGCCTTGGCTGTACTTGCTCTAGTCGTGACGTTCATGATTTGCGGGGCGGACTTGTCCAGCTGCGCTGCTCGCGTCGAAAATAAAGCAGAAGACGGAATCAATAAAGTAGCCGAGACCGCCTCCGGTGCAGCAACGGATGCAGCGAACAAAGCATCTACAGGCGTAGCTGGAGGCGGTATATAGGATGCACTAATGAAAACTTGGTTTTGATCTTTTCATTAGTTGGTGAGGCATCCTTGCCAAAGATTTCTGTGACGAACCTCAAAAGCTACGGCACCAATGCCCACTTATCACCAGTAAACTGCTTTAGAGACATGCTGCTTACATGTCGCCCGAGGAGGCAGTGTCCGCAGCCGCCTTCTGCAGCAGCTCTTCCGTCTCCTTCTGGGTCAGCTGGCGGTGCACGATCTTGCCCTCGGCGTTCCGCGTGACCGTCGTGAACTCAAGCTTCTCTGCGCTGGGGGAGGTCGAGTCCATGGTCTTGTTCATGACCTTCACCGAGAAGGCCAGTGCCTCCTCCACCGTCATGCCCTCTTCGTAGTCGCTCTTGAGCATGCTCTTGGCGGCGCGGTTGTTGGCGCCGATGGCGGTGGCCTTCCAGCCACCGTAGTTTCCACTGGGGTCGCTGTGGTACAGCTGGAAGCCGTGGTGGCGGTCCCAGCCAGCGTACAGGAACGACACGCCGAAGGGGCGCTGGCCGCCGAACTGCGTGTAGGCCTGCTTGTAGTTGCAAATGGTCTGCACCAACTGCTCGCACGGCTCCTTCTCCTGGTACGCGAGCTCGTAGCGCTGCGCCGCCAGACGCGCGTAGTTCACCAGAATGTTGGCGTCAGAGGTCAGGCCGGCGACGGCGCAGATCAGGTGGTCGTCCAGCTTGATGGTCTTCTCGCTCGTCTTGCTGGGCGTCAGCAGCTTCGACACCGTCTTCTTCTCCGCTTTGCAATAAACAGAAGAAGAAAATAAAAGATCGCGACTCGGTTAGCACGATCTTAAGGATTTATATACCGCACAGTGAGCGTGCTTCACACTGACCTGCAATCACGATGCCGTCCTTCGCGAGGATACCCACGGCCGAGCCGGCGTTGTTAATGGCCTCCATGGCATACTCCACCTGGAAGAGGCGGCCTGCTCGTCAATAAAAGGACAATCCAAATTGCACGCGCTCTGTGTCAGTTGCTGCTGTAGAGATACGATATCACTGGAGGCCAAATGAAATAGGAGGTTCATTGCGCACCTTCCGGCGAGAAGGTAGTCGTGCGGCCGTCGTATCGTCTCGACATGGGGCTTCTCGGGTGCTGCTCGCTGTGATCTTTTGCCGTATCTGACCGAACGAAGGGGGGAGAAGAGATGCGTGCGTTTCTATTGGTCAAAATACATTTTATTTTAGCCAATGCAAAAGTCTTCTCAAAGTATGATTTTGTACAGCTTACACTTTTGAGCGTATCATTTCACATTTCACGAGGGCGAGCTCCATCAATCAGGGTTGTGAAAATCCCCATATTTTTGCAAGGAAGGGTGGGTTTTTCGATTCTGTCGGGTGGGTCGGGGTTTTGGATAAATACAACCTAACCCTTCAAGTGCAGTCATGCAATGGCTTAGGTTAATATCAGTTGATATTATTAATAGTTGAAATAGGTTATGGTGCCACATTTTAAGATCGGTCTTGCTCTGCGCCTTGGCAGCGGGGTTCACGCTGGACGTGGGGTAGTTGACCTGCTTGGCGGAGCCCTGCGCGGCGGCCGGGGACTCGTGCAGCGCCTCCTGGATCTGCTTCTCGTAGTCCACACCGTAGATGTCGCACCAGGCCTTCTCGACCAGGCCTTCTCGCCCTGGGAGACCGGCGGCACGCTCGTCTTGGCGGAGCCGCCCGAGGTGGCGGGCGTCTGCTGTAGTACGCGCGCGGGCGTGGACGAGCTGGTGCAGCGGGCAGCGGCCTTGGGTAGTCGGAGCGAGTTGCGGGCCAGCATGACTGTAGTTGCTGTTGTAGTTGCTATGGGCGGCGGGTAGCGGCTTGCGGGGTGGAGAGTGAATTCGGATGTGAGCCAAACTCGAGTTCGCTGCGCCTCCAATGCAAGTGATGAGCGGGCTAGAGACACAAATAAATGTCTAAACATTCGATTTGAGTCCTATAACAATTGCAGAACATCATTTCAGCTTCGGCTTTCCTCAAATATTAGCGTTTTTACATGCATTTGGCGTTAAATTGAGTATAAAAACTAATAAATAGCGCTTGGTCAATGGGTGGATGGGTTTTATGAACATCCCTAGAAAGCCCGACCCCGGGTGGGTGGGTGGAATAAATGGTTTATTCCCAATTCGAAAAACCCCATCTCGCAACCCTGTCCATGATCGAGCGCCTGCTGACGGCCATGTACGCGCGCGAGCCGCACGTGAAGGTGGTGGCGGCGGTGACCGGCGGCGGCGTCTCCGTTGCCGAGAGCCTGTTCCGGCCGGGCAGCTCCTCCACCATGCTGCACTTCGCTGTGCCCTACTCGCGCGCGAGTCTGCAGTCGTTTCTGAGCTCGGTGCCCTCGACATCCTCCTCCAAGCTCAAGTTCTGCTCGGCGGAGACGTCGGAGCGTATGGCACTGGCTGCGTGGAAACAGGCAAACGAAATTACGCGTCAGGAGGCTGAAGAGGATGACGCGCAGGCTGCAGCGTTGCTGCCGAGCGCGTTGAAGCGCTTCCGAGCGTCCTTGGGCATCGCGTGCACAGCTGGATTGGCGACCAATTACCCCAAGAAGGGACCGCACGAGTGCTTCTTGTCCGTGTGTCAGGCTCGTGGGTCTACGCTCTTGCGGCCGCAGTGTGAAACGTACCATCTTCAATTGGACAAGACGTTGGGGCGCTCGAGGACGGAGGAAGACCACATCGTGAGTCGCTGGCTCGTATATCTTTTGGCCAAGGCGGCTGATGTAGACGTGGAGACCTGTGGTGCTTTCCGTGACGAGCTGCTGGCTGCACAGACTGGGAGCGATGCGTTGGTGAAGTTGACATCGGATGAAGAAGACGCTAGTGACAGTGATCCGCTGCTTGATATCTGCAGCGGTAAATCGAGCCAATTGATGGGCGTCGCATTTTTGCCGGAGAATGCAAATGGTAAAGTTGAAGCTGCTGCTGGTGCTGCCATGACGACGACTGCTACCCGAGACTTTGACTTCCGCGGATTGATTCTGCCAGGGTCTTTTAACCCGCTGCACAAGGGCCACGTCGACCTCGCGCGCGTAGCTCAGCAGGTGCTGAAGTCACAAACGGGGGTGGAGTTGCCGGTGGCATTCGAGCTTGCGGTATCTAATGCTGACAAGGGCGCAATAGAGTCGGCCACTATCGCGAAGCGCGTTGTACAGTTTTCACACGACAACACCTTGGGGTTGGGGGCGTGGCCTGTACTGGTCACGAATGCGACGCTCTTTGGACAGAAGGCCGAGTTGCTCCCTGGCTGCGCGTTCGTCATTGGCGCTGACACGGCAGTTCGCATCGTGGACAAGAAGTACTACGACATGGACGAGCATAAGATGGTGCTGGCGCTGGACCACATCGCCCGCAAGAACTGCTCGTTCGTGGTGGCTGGCCGTTTTGATAACAAGGTGGAGAACCGCTTCATTTCTGCTGAGGAAGTGCTAGAGAAGTCGGTGCCGTCCGTGTTCCGCCACCTTTTTGTCCCTCTGCCGGAGTCCGCGTTCCGTAACGACATCTCTTCAACGGAGCTTCGACGTCAGATGGCAACACAATGAGCAAAGGCTGAAGGATATTCGCAAACGGAAGTACGTGTCGCTGCATCAAGCGCGACTCGTTATTTGACCTACAGCGACGCTGTTACAAATAAAATGTCAACATGGAAGTGGATCTGCAGCGTACAACTGCAAACTAACAGCAGATTGCAATATTCGATTCGCGGCAATAAATGCTTTTGACCAAACAACGTGTTCATTCCACGCCTACTGCTATCGTCTCTCTTCTTCTTTGATACTTTTTCACGGCAGTAGGCTGCGCGCAAGATATAACACACACCGTGCTTTCAGCCTCGCCCACCTCTTGGTGCGTGAGCGTCTACATGCCCTCTTCCTCATCTTCCTCTAGAAAGCCGCGCGAGGGCATGTAGCCACGAGGGCTCTTGGCGGCCGCACGCTCCGCCGGGTGCAGCATGCGAGACCTCTCGTCTTCCATATCGTAGTCGTCGTCCATCGACTGGTCCTCGAGCGGCATGTACTCAGCCAAAATGCTGCGCACCTGGTCGCGCATGTGGCGCTGCGTACGGCGCCAGTAGACAAAGCCACCGGCAGCCACGATGCCCACAAAGGCAAGCAGCACAACCACCAGCGACGTAAAGGAGTAGCCGCCACTGGCCGTGATGGCGGCTGCGTTCGCGAGACTTCCCACCTTGACGCAATCCAACAGACCCACCGACGACTGGCTAGCGCATGTGCACACCTCAGGCGGGTCGTGGACACCATATCCAGCACACACCATGCCCAAAATGCTGGTCGGGTCCACACGGCCGCGGGCATGCACGCCGTCCACGTATAGCGCGGGAAGCCGCAGAAGCTGAAGTGCCGTCTGTTCCTTCAGCTCCTCTTCAAGCAGCGGGTTCACTTCGTCCACATTGACGCCGTAGGGCTGCATGCACTCTTCCACCGCCTTGATGTCAATGCTCAGTTCCTTCATAACCTTCTCGGCGCAGGATCGCTCACGGAAAATGTTCTCGTCCTTGCCGCAGGCTTCACCCGAAGCCTTCACGTACTTCCACCACTTCAAGCCGACACCAGGGTCCGTCTTGCTCTCCAGCTTCCAAATGCACTTGCGGCGCAGGTTCTCCACCACCACATCAGCTCCAGACGCGCCAGTCGAGCGGTCGTGGAAAGGAGACGGGTCTAGCAGACAGTAGCGGCCATTGTTCAGGCACATGTTGCCACACGCCGACGTGCCCGGGTCGCTGTCTTCGTGGCAACCCACCTTCGTTCCGTTGTACGACACAAAGTGCGGCGTGAAGAACGCGCGGTCTCCCAGCGCCGTGATCATCTCCTCCAGGTTGGCCAGCGTTGAGAGCGACTGGTCATCCCAGGCGCTTTGCCACAGCGTCCACTCCACGCGGCCGTCGGGCGAGGGGATCCCCCAGTCGAACTTGACCATCACGTTGCTGACACCCTTGCTCTGCGCGATCTCGCGCTTGATCGCGTCGCCGTCGCTCTTGCGGATGAGCATGCTGGGGATGGAGATGTCGCCGCCGGACTCGTCGTCCGCCATGAAGGGCAGCACCGTCTCGCAGAAGTCGTCGCCCGTCTCGCGCAGACACTCCACATCGGTGCACAGACACTTGTTGTCTGCGATGAGCACGGCGCGCGCGCCGGCGTGCTGGGCGCGCCGCACTTTCTCCACGAAGTGGCAGTCGCCGCGGTCCAGCATGAGGGCGAAGGGCGGATCCCAGTCGCCGTTCTTGATCTCCTCGCAGCCAGACTCGCTCGTGTACACGAGCTGCGTCTGCAGCGAGCCCATCGAGTACGCCGGGTAGCCGAACAGCGCGTCCTTGTGCGCGTATCCGTCCTTCTTCATGAGCTTCTCGGGCAGCACGATCTGCAGCTTCGTGTGGTCGCTCTAAGCACATGCACGCAGAAGGAAAGCAAAAGGTTAGATACACATGTCAAAAGCGATCTTGGAGGCGGCGGGAGGCGGCGCGCACCTCCGTGGACGGCCACTCGTCCACGTCCATGGCGCGCGCGTGCACGGCAGCGGGCGCGTTGAGCGCCAGCAGCGCTGCCGCGAGCAGCAAGGTCCTCGGCACGTGCATCTTGGTCCGCTGTTCCGCCTTCAAGTCTAAAGTCGAGTGATGGGAAAAAGCTTCTTCGGGGGTTGAAACATGTCGCCCCTCCCTACGTAAAATTCACGATAAACTGCAAAAGGAGGGATTACCCGCTTCTCCGTAAAATCCCTGGAAATCCGATCTGATCCGGCCAATCACTGACCGCCATTCGCTCCCCAGTTGAAGTCGCGCTGATTTGCCGAGTTGGCCAAGGGGTTGGCGCGCTGCGTGCGCAAGGACCTCGCAGAGGTGAAGAAGGAGGCAGCGCGTGTGTGTCAGTTGCAGGTGTATCAAGGTGATAGGGCCTAAGGGAGATTGGAGGAGGGGGGAGCTATGATGTGAGCAAGTGTCCTGGAAGATAACTGCATTGTTACCGATAGGATGGCGATCTTCTCTTCCTGCTCGCTCACTGCTGCAGTGCGAGGAGGTAGAGCTTGGTCTGGTGCTTCATCTGGTTGAGTAGCGTGGCGTGGCCCGCGCTCGTCGCCTGCTCCGTCGACTTGGCCTGCGCTAGCTGCTTCTCCACGGCCTCGATCTGGGACTTGGTGCTCTCCGCCATGAGGTCGCTCAGCGCTAACTGGAAGAAGCGCGCTTCGACGAGCAGCTACACCAGACACAGCAAAACAAGATAGCGGTCAGTACATATGCGTAGCGCACGCGCAGTGAACTTGGTCCCTACGTGATTGCGCTTCCACTCGTCGATGGTCGAGGTTGAGGCGCCCGCAGCGTTGTCGAGACCACGCACAGAGCTTTGCAGGAACTCAGCAAGTGCTGCCGTCAGCGGGTCCGTGACGCTGCGAATGTAGTCCCAGCATTGGGGATAGTCTCCCACGCTCATCTCGACCTCGCTGCGCAGTGTGATGAGCTGCAGAAGCACGTTGAACACGTATTGGCGGGGATCCGAAGGCATGGACACGGAGCTCACGGGACTGGAGGCTGTGACTTGCAGTGCTGCAGGTGTTGAAAGCCCCACACTACCCGAGCGATTTGTGCGAGAGCTGTGTCGGCTACCTCCTCCACCACTGCTGCCGCTGCTATGAGCCTGGAATGATTCTTCCGCTGCACCGGCGCGTAGAATACGCTGAAGTGGCTCTGCGTGAGTGGACGAGTAAATATCCATGCACTTGGTTTCCACATTCTGCACCAAATTGGAGAGGGCCCGCGTGCCGGAAGTAGCTGCGCGGCCGTGCTCCAGCATGCTCTTGTAGGCATCTTCGTCAATATCACCATACTTTAGCTGCGCCACCCACCCATCCACGATACGAATGCATTTCTCGCGCAAGTCGACGCAGTTCGCGACAATTGCTAGCAAAATGCATACGCGTGCACCGCTCTGGTTGTTGTTGGTAGTCATGGCTGCAGTCGAAGCTTCTACCGGGACAGGTGGATTGATCTCCGCAACAAAGGCAGCAACCACCTTGTCAAGGAACTCAGACAGCATATCGCGCAAGTGCTTTTCAAGGGCCTGAACTAGCTGAGTTCGGAAGTGGAAGTCAACATCAGTATCAGGAGAAGCTGGCGTAGTGGTCCCCTTGTTGTTGGTGCGGTCCGCAATGTCTAAAACGTCGAGCAACACTTGCCCCACATCCTTCCAGATACCATTCCAGCGCTGCAGAACGTCGGTGGCGCAAGTTGTAAACACCAGCGGCCGATGGAGAAGAACCTTGGACTCGGAGGATATCGTAGATGCATTCCTGATGACATCAAAAGCCTGTCGAGCCTCCATTATCACGCGCTGGACCTTCGTTCGTGGGGCAGTTGACATCACGGGGGTGAGCGCGGATGAACTGGGCGTTCCCAGCGCAATTTCGCTTGAAAGAGACGGAAGAACCATGACAACTGGTTCAAAATACTCGGCAAGCAGCTCCGATCTCGCGGACTGGCACACCTTGTCCAGATAGCCTAGCGTGACCGCCGTCCGGAACTTATCGCAGAAAATCTCGTTGAGCTGCTCGATATTGATGTTCAACGTTGCAGCATTGGGGCATTTCCTTAAACATCGAAGTTGGTGGAAGGCTTCTGTCAGTAACTTGAGACGTAATGCGGAGGGCGGTGATGCATGCTGCTCCAGCAAACCAGCACACTTCGACAGAATGCTCCATGCTTGCTGCTGCACGCGCTCAGCCTCAACGGACGTGATAGCATTGCTCGTCGCCGCAGCACTACCCGCTGGGGTCTTGAACAGCTCGCAAATGAAGCCCCAGAGTCCGCTCCGAAACCGAGCCGCGATAGCAACACACTCCTTCATGACGTCTTCACTGGTGATCTGGCCATCTTCCTGCGTGTCGATCTCCGCCAGCTTCCGTTCCAAGTATTCAAACTGCTTGGTAAGGCAGGTTAGAATGGGCTTCTCTACCAGCCCCAGTGCTGTAAGCACGTCAATCGCGCGCTTCTGGAAGGAAGCAAACACATTCAAAACGAGCACCGCATGATTAGATAGGCATCAAACTTGAAGAGCATGTCGTGAATAGCAACGTACCTGATCAGCCACTGATGCAGACATGTCCTCAAGTCGTTTGAGCAGCTCCGTGTTGGCGGTCGCCGCAATGTCGTGGCCAGCAGTCACCACACGCTTTAAGGGCGCAGCAAGGTTCGCAATCTTGCCGCTTTGGTACTTCAACCGGGCGTAGTCCACCGCCAGCGTTTCGTAGTCCTGGACGCGCAGACTTGCTTTCATCTTGCTTGTCAACTCGAGGATAGGCCGTAGGCGAGCCAGCACCGCTAGCGTGTGGCGGATCCGCCGCTGCTCCCTCGCTCGTTGCAGCATCACAGCGAGGGATGCATCAGCCACACGAGTCAAATTCTGCATGTCGCCCACTAGCGCCTCGGTCTCTTGCTGGTGCGCGCTCACGTCCGCAGCCAAGGCACGGACAGCCTCATGGCAGCTCAAGTACTGGTCGAAGTGCGCGCTCACCAGCGCCTTGAGCTGCGCGGTCTTGTCGGACGTGGTCTTGCGCAGCTCTGCGAGCGCCGTCTGCAGCTCAGAGAAGCTCGTGCTCTGGCAGCAGGCGAAATGCGGATCGATTAGCCGCAGTACAGCACCATGGGGGGCAGCAGCATACAGTACCGCGTGCGTGACAGCAAGATACCGCGCGGCGTTAAACAGCGGGGAGGACAGGTCAATCTCGGCCTGGTTGGTCGATGCAGCGCCGCCGGCTGCGCGCGCCGTCCTGGCCTCTAGGCTGGGCGCCATACGAGAACTCGTAATTTATGTGGTGATCGCAACGCTTCACGGTAAAATACAAGTGTAGCCATTGTCAAATCTTTCGGACTTCAATGCCATGTATCAAAGTCCTCACGGTAGTCGCTGGCTGGTATTCATATCAAAGAATTCGATTCAAAGTCCTACGGTAGTCGCAGACTGGTAAGTAGTGTATATCAAGATAGACTTGGTGGACACTAAAGAAGAGCGCATCATTGAATTGGTCAGTAGTGACCACTACTGACAGGATGATATTCTAGCTGCAGCCACGGCGGCCGCGCCAGGCGTTGCGTGAAGCCTTAGCGCTAAGGCTGTTGTGACCTGTTGCTCTTAAAATGCCACGCCCAGAGCTTTTCAGTGCCTGGATGGTAAGGAATTGTAAGGATTGCGCCGCACTCCTTGCGTTTTCGCAGCTTGCCACAGGCAAGCGAATCTCTCTTTGTGAACAAAATGCCTCCGTCCGAACGGAGAAGCTGGATGCGTTGACCGAGCACTCGACTCTGATGCGGCCGGCACGGGATTACTCGCACCGCCGAAGTACAAGATTCAGAGGTGCGCTGTAGGCGCTCTAGATCTATTACTTGTAGTGTATGGGGCCCGAGATTCGACAGCAGAGCTCCTCTGCTGCCAGCCAGTCTCGCAGTGATAGCTGTCTTTACCTCTAAGTCTCAATCTCACTTTTCAATTTGCCTCGAACCCCAAGCATCACCTCAACGACACTACACTACACCAGCTTCGCCCCCTCAACTGCTTTCAACCTCCACCCTTCCTCGCCGCGCCGTGCCCAAACACAACAGGAATAGTGTCAGGAGGGAAATATTGTAGGAGTTTTCGTACTGTCAGGTTGCATTGTACGTATCATGATGCGGGCAAGCCTTCCTTCAATAACGGGGTTAGTTACGTAGCATAAGAGGCAGCGATTCTGAAATCTAGAGCGCTTATAACCGCGCCAGTCTATTGCTGTCTGCTAAGCTTGAATCTACGTAGTGTTTCCGTTTCGGCTTTGTTGACAAGTTTCTAGAGAGTGCTCGAGCGTACATTCTACTCGTTTGCTATTCAATGTACGCTCAAGCACAATTCAGTTCTCCGTGTACGAACCGCGTCGTGTCCTCCGAAGGGCATCTCCCTACTTACGCCGACTACGCGGCTTCATGGAAGAGCTCCTCGGGCCTCATAAAATATGTATAATACACACTTTCATTTGAAGGACCTGGCATTTAGTAGGTCGCTAGTTAGGCCAAATAACTGTGATGCACTTCACATTACTACGAAATCGAAAACGAAACAAATACACGTTCATGCTGCCGATTCTGCTCGTCAGTACGGCTATCCGTTGCTGGTGCATGCCACGACGGCGACGCAGACGGCCCGGCCAAGGGCACACGGACAACACCACGCATAATATTAGCCAATCACATGGCTAAATTTGATTTGTCGTCAAACTGTCTTACGAATGCTCGACACAAGTGAATCTGTTCATGTTTTACAGCACTCGTGAAGTTCAGCTGAGGGAGAAACCATTACACGACTTTTGAGTACAGTATCAAATGCAACTCAAAATTTGTGGCAAGTTGAAGTCTCCAATTCCAAACCGATCATCCCTCGAAAGTAAGAGCGCACCCTTCGAACCTAGTCGGCTTGTATAAAACCAAACAAGCAAGATAATACGCACAAATACATCTGTGTGCGTGCGAGTTGCATACTGTTGGCGTCCTGGCAGCGACGGCAAAAAGGTTTGCGTTGGGTGGTGACACCACTGGTGTGCAGCACTGTGGTACGGTGTGGTTCACACCATGCAACTCTTGTCGAGACGAATAGCCCCACCCCACAGGGCACATCCCCCTTATATCGATTTGAGCGGGGAGCCGCTCGCCAGTTCAGATCCGGCTACTAATGGTACCGCCATGTCGAGCGGAAGTGGCACGTGCTCGCTGTGATCGACTCGGGACGCGTACGGACAGGCGAGGTGGCTGCACGCCGCGGCAGCGTGGCGATGCCACCGCCGCCGGGCGGACGAGTGCGCCAGGCTGCCGGCCTGTCGAGCAGCAGCAGGCAAGCCCCACCGAAGCAATTTTTCGTGACTAAATACGAAAAATATCCAAAGATTATGTCAGAAATACCCACATCAGCACCATTGCAGAGAAAGGAGAAATCCGAGTCCGGGTCGACAAAAGGACGACAGCCATAATGTGCAACCAGAACCTCAAATAGCAACTTCAAGTTAGCACTTAAGTTGCAAATTCGCAACTTTCCGCCACCTGTCACACATTCTCTCAGCCACATCAGGCCCCGCAACGCAGCAGTGCAGGCAGGAAAGAGATCGATCTGTACGGAGGGATGGAGCGCCGTAGAAGGACCTGTGGTGGCGCTGAAGCTCCCTCTCTACGGTACGAAGAAGGACCAGTAACGTGTTAATGATGAAACGTGCTAACAGAAGTGCTATGTGTTGCTTTGTCTTCTGCAGGGCGTTCAAGGGCATCTCGTGATGGAGTGTCACCACCGCGGACGTGCAGAAGTGCTCTCCGCTCCCGGTGGAGGTGAGAAGGGCCGGCGTGACGACACTGCGGGCTTCCTGGAACGCGAAGTGGGGCTGGACGTGGCTGCGTGCCTCAAAGCTGACGACGTGGACGCAGAGAGTCGCTGCCTCGGTCGGAGGAAACGTGCAGCTGGAGCAGGCGGTGCAGCAGGTAGCGCTCTTGCAGGAGCGGCTGCGACAGAGCTGTGCAAGGTGGTTTGTGGGGCGGCTACGCAGTGGCGACGGCTTGCTGCAGCCCCGCGTGGTATGTGTGCACGCCTAGCTACGGTGAGTCTACTGTCTGAAGTTCCTATGATAGTTCTCATTACTAAACTGAATGTGTATTGCTTAGTTTTTGTCTAGTGCGTAGCCATTTTATGCGGGACGGCCTGGGGCTTGTGTCTCGCTCTGCATTCGACGGGCTTTGTTCGAGCCGCGCGTAGCACGCTTGCCACTGCGGAGAAGACCACGGATAGAGAGTGCGTGAGTCAGGTGGATGCAAGCAGCATACTTCTGGAAGAAGCGGCAGCTGCATGAACGCGAGGACGTGTTGACCGTCCACCCAGTCGACGGCATTCCCTCCACTTCCATACGGGCCAGGTGCACACCCTGCTGGGCCGTTACCATGATTGCTTCGTGCGTCCGACCCACCTCGGGATCGAAGATGCGAGGGCATGGCTTTGAAAAAACGCGCACGCAGTCAGCCGGAGGGCGCGTATCAGCATCTTCATCGAGCAGAAACGCGATGCTGGCTCGACAGGGAGAATACTCATGCAGCAGCTTTGCAGCCGCGAGTTCCTTGCTGCGCCGGACCAGAGACTTGGGGATCGTCGCCTCGGTTGCGAAGGGCTTGTCGCTTAAACTCTCGGCGGTGCAGCAGGTAAGAAACTGCCCCAGAAGAGCCCCCATCTTGAGTTTGGTGTGAAGCGTGTACTGACGCTTGATTGTCCTGTTATACTGTTCGACAGGGTTGTTTGTAGTTGCCCAGCCCCGCGGCGTGTGTAAACCTGCCAGTGCGTGTAGCGTCCAGCGAGCCATTGCGCCTTGAAGTAGGTGACAAATGTGGCCAGCTCAGGCACTTCAGCCCACTCTCCCAGCACTCGCGCTTTCGTGGTGAGGAACTCGGCCTCGCTGAGAGAGAAGTGCATGTCGTAGACCCCAGTCATCACCAGCTTAGCGTGAGAAGGCTGCAGAGCACGTGTCTTCTCAAATACTTTCGCAACGACATGATAAAAGCACATGAGGTATTTTACCTCAGCACTCTCACCAAACACACGCTCCACCCCGTTGAACTGCGCGTCGTCAGCGTCACCCATGACCATCTTGATCAGAAGTTGTTTGCCAATCACCCGCTTGTAGATCTGCTGCAGCGCGACGAACATCTCCGTGAAATGCTCCTGCTTGCGCTGCGAGCTTCGTGCTCGCGTAGTACTGACAAAAGCGCTGGATTTTGGACAGCGCTGGTAGCTCCTCAGCAGCCAGGTTAAACTTGCGCAGGATAGCATTCCGGATACGAACCGGCTTCAGTCCTTGGGCCGTCATCTCCCGCGCGACCACCTTCATTTCCGACGTGAGCCGTGGTTCGGGGGCAGTGCGCATCGCGGTGACATGCTTGCTTGTTTCGTAGATGTCGACGTGGTCAACCTTCTCACAGTGGAGCGTCTTAGCCCGCCAAGGGCACTTGGCGTAGGGAGCTTCCTCAGTGCAGGACCGGCAGCTACAGCGACGAAGCCGGTAGCGCATGTTATGCGGCTCGGCCACGGTGCACACGGTGCACGGAACTAACTCGCTCTTGGTAACCTTGGAAGGCTTGATCGTCTACAGCAAGATGCTGGCGTCTTTGTTGGAAAAACCGATTGCGAGAGGAGTCCAGAGGAGAGCTCGTGGCATGGCGATGGGTAGTAGGACGGCAAGGTGCGGCGAGTACTTGTTTCTTAGGCTTTCGAAGTATGAAGGGCGCTTTAAGGTGCTGGTGGGATGGCTGGCTGTGCTAGCGTACCAATCCTTTGTGCATATCGTACCTAGTTGGGTGCTGCTGTGTGGTGTTGGGTGGCCGTTGTATAGTTTGTATACACGTGTCAGGTTTTTAGGTATTGATGGTAGTTTGTCCGTTTTCGTCGGGCAGCGCACTGGTTTTGCCTGCGCTTGGATGGATTCACCGCATGGCTCATGTCAGACGCGGCTTCCTCGCGCTCGTGTTGCCGCCGGGCGTGTTCGATTGCGGCCATTCAATCGGGCGCCCGAGACGCTGCCGGCGCTGCGGAAACCTGGTCCTTTCAGTCCGCAGCGAGACGCTGCACCACATCGCTCGCGCCGGCTGAGGCTCAGACTGAGCGGGGCGGGTTGGCTTGCCGCAGCGTGCACCTGCACTTCGCGTGTCTGCTTGGCTCGCTTGCGGCCGCACAAGTTGCAGTTGTGCCATGCGAGCGCGAAAAAAAGACGCAGCCTCTCCCCGCTGCGAAGCGCGCCGCGCACCGTTGACCGGAGCAGCAGGACGATGACGTGCGGCATATGGAGAGCGGCGTTGCTAGGCCTTGGTGGCTGGCAGGCGTCGCCGCCGTGTAGGAGAAGCTCTCGTTGCCACGCGCCTCGAGTGACGACCCCATTTGGCCCCTCACACCAACGCAGTTGAGCTGCTGGATACGTTGCGAGCAATACTCAACTCGAGTAAAAACGCCAGCAATTGTCACAATTGGTTTCGCGAACAGTGGATCACCTCTTATCGCGGCTCCCCCAAACAGATGCACCTAGACAGGAATACCAAGTCTGTAGAGCCTATTTCATCCACAAAATACATCGCAGATGGGGTCCACACGGATATGCTGTATCGAAGGGTTATCGCATGCTGGGGCGGGGCGATGGGGAAGTGCTCTGTTTTGGCGCCCCCTCGCTCTGGTGAGACACTTCACTTTGCTGCCCAGAATGCCGCGGAGAGCCGTGCGAGCCGCGTGGGAGCCTAGGGGACATGGGCCTCGGTGGCATTTACAGTCTTGCGGGGACGAGTAGAACGACGGACAGGTAGTTGGCACACTCGCGGAGCGCGGGGATCATCCGGGCGGGAGCAGCAGCAGAGCAGCAGCAGCAGCACCGCAGGCAGATAGCAGGTGCAGGTCGAACTCCTTCGCAGCCACGTTCTCTCACATAGTCGCCTCCGAGCCGCGAGCCTTCATGACTCGCCGCATGGACCACTTCTTCGTCTCTCGAGCCCCCCAGTCGGTCGTGGTCGCCGCCCCTCCCTCCTCCGCATCGGCCCCCGCCGCGTCCTCGGCGCCCTCCAGCCCCACGTGCTTCGTGTTCGAGGCGAGGCGCGAGGACCCCACGCCGGTGGATGACGACGACGATGACCTGGAGAGCCGCAAGTTCGAGCTCAAGCTGGGCAGCGAGATGCGCATCCCCGTGACCAAGACGGCGGACATGCGCGCCAGCCCCGTCGGCGGCAGCGAGTACGTGTACGAGAAGCAGGACCTCAAGTCGTCGTCGTCGTCGATGACGACCAACAGGTTCAGGACAGGAGCCATCGAGGCCAAGATTAAAACCCTGGCCTCCTATTTAAAGTCGGTCTCGGCTGGCATCCGGAGTCGCAGCATGACCTTCGACCGCGCACGCCTTACGCAGGCGTACTACCGGAGGTCGGTGCCCACGCCGGCCGCCATGCGCACCAAACTCAACGTCATCGTGTCTAGGCATAGCAGCGAGGAACACCAGACCACCCTGTCGTGGGACGACATCGATGAGGACGATTGCATGAGCTTCGGAGACCTGAACGAGGTGATGGCCGCCACTCCAACGTCCAGGAAACGTGGCCACCCGAGCGAAATTTTCTGCGAGGCGGAGATCCGCCAGATCTGCATTCGCTGCGAGGTGCCGGAGCAGTACGTTGAGCAGGTTGTACAGATTGTCAAGTCGTCGTTCGGCACACCCGAGCTGGATGTGATCGCCCTGGAGGAGTTCATGCCGGGCAACGTCGTCGTGTTCGTGGGCACGCTCATCTTTGAGAGCATCGACTGCGGCGAGGAGTACGTGGACCTCAGCGTCCTGCCGTGCTTCCTGCGGCATATTCAGGAGCGTTACGACGGCAGCATGCCGTTTCACAACGCCACCCACGCGGCCGACGTGATGCACACGCTGTTCATGATGCTCTGGAACACGAGTCTGGGCGAGAAGATCTCCCAGCACAACCAGGTTGGCGCACTGCTGGCCGCGGTGATGCACGACGTGGAGCACGTCGGCCTGACCAACGACTTTCTGATCAAGACTAGCCACCCCATTGCTCAGAAGTACCCCACGAAGGCGCCGATGGAGTCCAAGCACATGGACCTCGCTCTGCAGGCGGTCGTGGACCCCAAGTTCGACATTCTGTCCAAGATGTCACCGGTCCAACGCGACCAGGTGCTCGAGGTCGTGCGTGAGACCATCTCGGCGACAGCTCTTATTTATCAACCCGAGCTGCTCGCTGAGATCAACAACACGACGGCCGACGAGTGGAAGATGCTGCAGGACGAGGCGGTGCTGCCGCAGAGCCTGCAGGTGCGTGCCCTTCGCATCGCCATGCACGTGAGCGACATCAGCCAGACCATGAAGCCGTTCACGAACCACACGAAGTGGGTCTTCCGCCTCAACGACGAGCACTACAAGCAGGGTGAGCTGGACGAGCGCGAGCAGCGGGGCGTGAGCCCGTCCTTCTGCTTCCGCGACAAGTGGACGTACGCGAGCTTCCTGACGGGCCAGGTGTGCTTCCTCAAGAAGCTGGCGCTCCCGGCCGTGGTCACCCTCAACAGCATCCCCTGGCTGGATGTGAACCAGCTCGTGAACGGCATCGAGAAGAACATCGCCGAGTGGGAGGAGCAGGAGACTGCTGCCTCCTGCTAGCGCGTACACACATGTATTATCGGATATGTTGCACGTTGGAGTATGAGAGCGTTTGCTGTAGAACTATAATGCACATTGCAGAAATAAATTGAACGCTACATGTACCAACCAACACACTACGAGAGCTTCATGTTACCATGGTACTACATGCATGCTGCAGGCAGGACCTTCCTGCCAGAAAGAAACACTTCGGCTCGCTGGCAGTTTCGATGAAGCGCCCGACGATCCTCGGCAACGTTCTTCGCCATCTCAGCTGCTTGAGACACGCCGAGCCCGGCTGAGCGCAAGCGGAGCCTCTCGCTCCGCTCGAAAAAGGCAACTTCCCATGCGAAATGGATGTAGCCATGTCGTTAGAATCGATTATCACCGGACGATGTGATGTACACAATGCGTCCCCTTCCGTACACTACTCGCCACCGCCCCGGGATCACAATCGGCGTGTTGTGAAAAAGGAGCCGCTCGGTGACGCACCGCAAAAGCCAATCAGCCGGCACCCACCAACTTCGACCTCCTCGATCGCAATGCTCGCGCACTGCTTGACCAAGCTCACCCGCCCCGTGGCCGCGCCGGTACGCTGCGCTGCGCAATATCTGTCTGCACCTCCCCCCTCCTTGGTCCTTCCCCCCATGGGGGCTGATAGGAGGGGGAAAAAACAACCTTCGGATGGGAGAGTCGGCCTCGGCCTCGACGCCGCTACCCCCGCAGCATTTCATTTATCAACAGCTCAGCTCAGCTCACTAACAATCGGTCTCGTGGCATGCAACTGACGCGCTCATGACCGTCACGGACCAGCACCACGCGCGCGCGCTCTCCATGCTCGACCGCTTCACGTCGTCCCCGACGCAGGCCGAGACGGTGAGCGACATCTGGCGCTCCGTCGGCGCCGTGTGCTTCGACGTCGACAGCACCGTGTGCGAGGACGAGGGCATCGACTTGCTCGCCGAGCACTGCGGCGCCGGCAAGGCCGTCAAGGAGTGGACCACCAAGTTAGTGTTTTTGCTGTCTATCGACTGAGTGAAGCTGCGTGTTGAAGAGCTCACCTGTGCGATGGTGTTTGACGCAGGGCTATGAACGGCAACGTCAAGTTCGAGGACGCGCTGGCGGCGCGGCTCGACATTATTAAGCCGTCGAGGCAAGACATCCAGGACTGCTTGAAGCAGCACCCGCCCAAGTTCACGCCGGGTGCGCAGCGTGCTGCAACGCGACTCTGAGGTTGCTTGGCGCAAGCTGATGGTGGTATTGTTTGATGTACGCGCAGGTATCAAGAAGCTCATGTCGACGCTGCAGGACAAGGGCATCGCTGTGTTCCTCGTGTCGGGCGGCTTCCGTCTCATGATCGAGCCCGTCGCCGAGGAGGTGGGCATCCCTCTGTACAACATCTACGCCAACACCATCTTCTTCGACGACGACGGAAACTACAGCGGCTTCGACGATGCGGAGCTCACGTCGCGTGACGGTGGCAAGGCCAAGGCCATTGAAGTGTAAGTAGCCAACTCGTCCACGTCTACTATCTGTTGCTGACTACGGTAATTATTGCCTTCAGCATCAAGCGGATTCATGGCTACGAGAAGATCGCCATGGTCGGTGATGGCGTCACGGACCTCCAGGCTCGGCCGCCTGCCGACCTGTTCGTCGGCTTCGGTGGTATCGTCACCCGCGACGTCGTGAAGGAAGGCGCCGACTTGTTTGTCACCGACTTCGACCACTTGACCAAGCTGCTGCAGTAGACGCCCGGAACAACCAAGATGTCCTGCAGAGATAAAGCAAGCCACGTTGGATCACTTGGTGCAGCAAACCCCGTCGCAAGTGCATACAGGAAACGCCGGCGCGGGCTTCCGTTGATGTAACATGTTCCTAGCTGCTACTGTAGTAAAAGTTGCATACAATAGCATGTCCATACATACACACTCACATACCACACGCATGAACGAACACACGAACAAGTTGCGCTGTTTGTGCTGTCAAAAAAAGTAAAAACGCCGTGTTCGTCTAAAAGCTAGCCATGATCTATACATTAGTCTTCCATCTCGATGTCGCCCTCGTCGTTTCCGGAGTCCTCGGCGTTCTTGCTGTTCTTGAGCTCGGCGGGCGTTTTGCGCAGCGCCTTCACCCGGCGGCTCTGCATCGAGTAAATATCCTGGTGGTCCATGTGAATACGGCCCAGCTTGTCGCCCGTGAGCTCGTCGCGAGAGATGTTCTTAATCTTCTTGGGCGCCAGGCCCTTGGGCTTCTTGGTGGCGAGCTTCATGAGGTCGGCCGAGGCGAACTTGGTGCGGCGGAACTCCAGGTCGAAGCGCGGGCCCATCTCGTCCAGCTCCACGCGCGGGTGCGACTCGTCGCCCTTCTTGAAATCGATCGAGTACGAGCGGAAGAAGACCTTGTCCTTCCAGGCCGTGCACACGATGACATGGTCCAGGCCCTTGACGTTGACGCTCTGCACAATAGTGCCGCGGTACGTGTCGAGCAGCAGGTTCTTGAGCTTCATGTAAGCCTCTACGCTCTCCCACTGGTCGCCCGTGAACACGAAGCTGGGCTTGGAGCCGGGCGCCTTCTTGCTCTTGCACTTGAAGGCGCTAATGGCCTTGAAGTTGGAGAAGCCGAACTCCATGACGTCCAGGATGTGGCCGTCGAACGTGCGGCCAAGCACGAGGTTGTTCGGGCGCTTCTTGGTGCTGCTGCCCACGAGGAAGAGGCTCGCGTCGTTCTTCTGCGTCAGGAACTCGATCTTGTTCTCGTCGTCGAACACGTGGATGTCGTTCTTCTTGCCCATGAACTTGACGAACGGCGCCTTGAGCATGCGCAGGTCCGTCAGCAGCTCGTTCACCTGCTCGTTCGTCTTGTTGCCGCGCAGCACCAGCAGGTTCTTGGTGTTCTCCACGAGCTTGGGCTCCTTGGCCTTGATGGCGCGCTGCACATGGGCCTTGACGCGCTTGGGCTTGGCCACGCTCGTCACCTTGCGGCTCTGCTTGGCCGCCTGCTTGGCCACCTTCTTGTTGGCGCGCAGGGCCTGCTTGCCCGCCGTGTTCTTGATGAGCTTGCCACCGCCTGCCATGCTGCCGTCGACTGGTTCTGCTGCTGGTAAGTTATGGACACTCCGGCTACGATGGCGCCGACCCGCAGTCTGATTGGCCGCGCTTGATTGGTGGTGGGCGTCACGACAACCACTGACTTTTACTAACGCAAACCAGTATTAGAAATCATTACTAACATGCGGATCAGTAGATTTGCTGCCAGTAAGTACGGTAGTTGCCGCACAACTATCTATGCGATTTATGTATCAATTATTGGAGTCGATGGCCAATTTACAGACTTTGCGAAGACAGATACTTGTTTTGAAAGGATATGTTGCATTTCATCGATCATCACGGTAAGGCCGCCTTGAGACTGCTTGCAAACATCGGTGATAGACAACAACTCAACCGCAAGAAGAGAGCAGCAGCACTACGTAGCAGCAAGATGGCGCAGAACCTGAGCTTCGCGCGCGGCGGCACCAGCTCCTGGGCCGACGACGACGACGTGGACTTCCAGCCGCTGCCGGTGGCCCCCAAGATCGCGCAGTACGTCTCCCGGCTACGCTTGAAGCGGCCCAGCCCAGCTGTTCCTTCGTCTCTCATGCTTCTCTCTAACTTTCTCTACGTCCTTGCTCGCCTACCGCAGGCCGGAGCCCGCGCAGCCCATCGAGGAGGAGGAGATCCAGCACCACGAGCAACAGCGCGACGGTAACGTCTTCGCCTCGAGCCCATTGCGTCGCTCTGGCAGTGAGTGATTGACACGCTTGACATGCATGCTTTGCGCCCCCAATAGAGCCGCGTCGCGGCGGATACCACAACGACGACCGCCGCGGCGGATACCAGGACGACCGTCGTGGTGGCTACGGTGACCGTCGCGGCGGATACGACGACCGTCGTGGAGGATACGAAGAGCGCCGCGCTCCGCGCGAGGAGCGCCCCAAGAACCCGGTGCCTGACGTGGGTCCCTGGAAGGTGAAGAGCTGCTTCGGTGGATGCATCAGGTGATTGAGTTTAGCAGGGTGGACTGAAGCTTGTTTGCATGTGTTTGGTTGCAGCTCTTCGTGGGCAACCTGTCGTTCCGTCTGACGGAGGACGACGTGGCGGACTTCATCGGCCCGCAGGGCATCAAGGACATCCGCTTCCCGCGTGACTTTGAGAACCGCCCCAAGGGCTTCGCCTACGTTGAGTTCTATGAGAAGGAGCAGCTTGTGGAGGCGTTGAAGCTCGACGGCGACAGCCTCGATGGCCGCCACGTCAAGTTGGACGTGGCTCTGGACCGTGAACGTGAGCGCAAGCCGCGCGACAACGGCTTGTTTGAGAAGCGCAACGATCGACCGTCGAACGACCGCTACCGGTGAGGATATTTGCCTTTGTTTCTCTTGTTTTGGTGCAATGTTACTGAACGAAGTGCTGCGTATTGGTCCAGTGAGAGCAACAACGCGCCCCGCGAGCGCCAGCGTCTGACGCTGCTGCCGCGCACCACCTCCACCGAGAAGAAGGACTCGGATGAACACAAGCCCAGCATCTTCGGCGACGCTAAGCCCCGTGATGAGGCTGCGTACCTTGAGCGCAAGAAGGCTCTCGACCAGGAGCGCAAGGCCAAGACTAAGGCGGAGAAGGAGGCCAAGGCGAAGGCCAAGGCGGACGCTGAAGCTGCTGCGTTGGCTCGTAAGAACAGCCACGATGAGGCACCCCGCGGTGGCCGAGGACGTGGCGGACGTGGCGCCGACCGTCGCCCCGTGGAGGGTGGTCGCGGCCGTGGTGCTCACGCTAAGGAGGCCGCTCCGGCACGGAAGTCGGAGCCTCGCCAGAAGCGCGCTGAGCCTCCTGCTACGAAGATCTCGGCCCCCGCTGCTACGAAGACGACCAACGCGTTCAACCTCCTCGACGACTCCGACTCCGACTCGGATTAGAGCGTACTAGTGTGCGGAACGTCTGTCTCCCTAGTGCTAGTGCGGGCGCTGCGTTCTCGCGTCGCCCTCATCCATCGGGTAGTCATAGTCAGCGAACTCACAGTTTAGTTAGCTTCGCTACGTCGCATCAGTTTATCGATCGCTGCGTATAGCTTAGTGTTGTCATTTGTCATTCTGTTGGCTTCCTCTTCACCTCAATCGACCGATGAAAAACGCTATGGTTCACAACACACTCTTCATTTCTCTATGCAATCCTTTATACAACCTTGCTTTAGAGCATGAACTCCTGGTACATCTCGTTCTCCGTTTCCTCGTGGAAGACGTAGGCCAACTGGTTCAGGAAAGTCTGGAAGCGCTCGTGGTCCTTCTCAGGAACCTGGAAACCCACTAGTACCCGACCGACATCGGCGCCGTGGTTGCGGTAATGGAAGAGACTGATGTTCCACGAGCTCTGCAGCGCCTCCAAGAACGTGGCCAGAGCGCGTGGGCGGTCTGGGAACTCGAAGCGGTACAGTCGCTCGTTCTGCTTAACATCACCACGGGCTCGGCCGCCAGCGAGGTATCGCGTGTGCACCTTGGCCAGCTCGTTGTCCGAGAGATCGAGCACCTGGTAGGCACCGCCGCGAGCGAAACCCAACGGAGACTCCTCCTCCTGCAGCTCACGGATAGCAGCGGCCGCGTGCTCAGCACTGGGCGAGTGGAACGACAGGTGAACGCGAGCCTTCTTTGCGTCGGCGTAGCGGTAGCTGAACTCGGTGATGCGGACACCCACCGCATCTAGCCGGCGGTTCAGTCGCAGGAAGGCGCCCGGGTTCTCGTCAATCTCCACAGCAAGAAGCCTCTCGTGCGAGTCCGCGCGCTCAGACACGAAGCGCAGACGAGCGAAGTCGATGTTCGCACCGGACGTGACAGCGACAAACTGGCAGCCCGAGAGTCCGCGCGTCTTGGCGTACTGCGTCATACCAGCAATCGACAGCACACCTGCCGGCTCAAGGATCGTGCGAGTGTCATTGAAGCCCGCCTTGATAGCAGCGCAGATCTCGTCCGTCGAGACCGTCACCATCTCGTCCACGTAGTCGGCGCACACGCGGAACGTCTCGGACCCGACCAGCTTCACAGCCGCACCATCAGCGAACAGTCCCACGTGGTCCAGCTCCACCACCTTTCCAGCCGCCAGCGACGCCGTCATGCCGGCGGCATCCGCCGCCTCAACGCCAATGACCTTGACACTGGGTCGGATCTGCTTGACCCAAGCTGCAATACCCGCGAGCATGCCGCCACCTCCAGAGGGCACAAAGATGGCGTCCAGCTTCTCTCCAGAGCCGCTGGTTTGCTGCAGAATCTCCATACCCACGGTGCCCTGTCCGGCGATGACGTACGGGTCGTCGAAGGGCAGGATCAGCGTGAGCTTCTCCTCCTGCACCAGTCTGCGCGCCTCCGCCGCCGCGTCGTCGAACGTCTTGCCGTGCAGCACAATGTCCACGAAGTCTCCGCCGTGGTGGCGCACCGAGTTGACCTTGATGTCGGGCGTGGCCAGCGGCATGACGATCTTGGCGCGGACGCCGAGCTTGCGGGCCGACAGCGCCACGCCCTGCGCGTGGTTGCCGGCCGAGCAGCACACGCAGCCGGCCGCCTTTTCCTCGGGCGACAGGCTGGCCATCTTGTTGTACGCGCCGCGGATCTTGAAGCTGAAGACGGGCTGCATGTCCTCGCGCTTGAGCAGCACGCGATTCTGCAGCGCGTGCGACAGCGCCGGCGCCTCCTGCAGCGGCGTCTGCTCCGCCACGTCGTACACGCGCGACTCGAGGATCATGCGCCGGTAGTTGGGCGGCGACTGCGTCGACAGGCGGCGCACGGCGGCGCCCAGGCGCGGCAGGCTCGAGCGGTGCAGCATTGCCAGTGTGCGGGGATCCTAGAATGACACAATTGGAGACTGGCCGCGACGACTCAAAACGCTGTTTCCACCAATGAGGCCCTGTTTTTAGCTTGTTATATTTTTCCCCCTTGGAGGAATTGCCCCGTTGTGGCGCTTACCACAAAGAACGCTCCTGCGGGTCCCCGCAGCGCACGACGGTGAAGGGAAAATTCCGGCGTTCTTTGTGGCTGATTTCCCGATGTGGAAGATGCCACAACTGAACCTCGTTGAGGCATCTTCCACATCGGGAAATCTGTGACGAGGCGCATTTTAAGCGGGCTTAGATTTTGTTAAGCCCACGTTGAAGAAGGTGTGAAGTACTTTGTGGACTTACGAACTTCCAGCAACTTCCAGGTCAACGCGGGTCACTCAGGCTGAGCTGAGGACGCTCGAGCGGGCGTTCAAGGTAAACGATCTGCGCTTCGACTGCTTCTTGTGGAGCTCTATCAATGGAAACATTGTAGGGTATCTCGAAAAATACTAGAGACTACTCCAGTACTTTACCTACGTTGAAGTGGATTTATCGATGGACGGAGGTGGGAGACGAGTTGGATAGAGTAGCCGTCCACACTGACAGTTGACCGTCTTGCGTCCCAGTGAAGAGCTTGCGCTTGTCTGGTGTGATGCACAGCGCGGTGATGGCGCTGTTTGGCATCACTTTGTGGCGACCCTGGAGCTCAATAATCCAGTCGTCCTTCTTCCGACTGCGTTGGGTTTGATCTCGAGCGCCAGCTTGGGAATACGCCCAGATGCAGAGGGTGCCGTCAGCGTGGCCGGTCACGACGTGCTTCTCGGCACCCCACTCGCACGATTCTCCGCGGTTCACCGCCAGCGATGTGATGGAAACCGGAGAGAGTGCGGTTGGGTCCTGGAAGATGACAACGCTGTCGTCCAGGCGCACGCGGAGCGCTCCATTGATGTTGTACACCCCAAACGTGGATCCAGTAGCGACGACGATGTCGCCTGTCACTTCATTGATGCATATCGCCGTAATGCTTCTGGCACCAGTGACAGCATCTATCGACGGCAGCTGACGGATGAACCTGCGGCGGTTCAAATCCCACAGAATGGCAACGCCACCGGCACAACCACTCACGAGAATGCTGTACGCACGACTCGCCTGCAGTGCCGTTATGCGCTGACAATGGGCAGGCGTCCCAACTGTCCCTATTAGCGTAAGCGAGCGCGTGCTGGACAGTCCCATCGTTGTGTACGTACGACGGCGATGAGGACCACTCAACGATGATGCTGCCGCTAAAGATGTCGCCATCGCTGCAGCTGAAGAAGACGTAGCCGACGCGGATGAAGTCCCTGAAGCGGCAGCAATTGATGCAGCCAAGGAGCGCCGGCTTGAATTGAATCTCCACAAACGCAGCACAGGCAAACCCGGGCTACTGGTGATGACAATGCGACCATCAGTCGTGATTGTAGCCACATCGATATCTACATCCAGTTCCAAGGATGCAACCACCTTCGAGTCGGCTCCATGGCCACCAATATCTGTCGAACCGGCGGTAATAAACTTCACCGAGCGATCTTGGAAACCCCACGCGAGATATTCATTGTTGCGTGGAGGAATCAAAAGACACTTTACGCCGACAGCAGCGACCCTGTCCTCCCGTCCAACTCTACCACTTGACCATGCAATATGGCGAATGCTAGTGCTGCTAATTGGCACTGCGCTGGAAGTTTGCTGTCCACGTCGATAGAATGCAAGAAGTGGATTCACAGGAACTTGTCGTCGCACTTCCTGTTTGAGCAGGGCCGAGTTCTCGAGAACTGGAGAGGGGATCGCTTCTGTCGCTCCGACAAAAGTACCGCTAAGCCCCGGACCACTAGATAACATCGTTTGCATCCGCGTAATGAGCTCGCCTCCTTCTAGAAAGGAACTCGCAAGAGCAACCCGGGCAGTCACCGGAGAAGCCGCAGCTCTGTTGCTATCAGTTTCAATACCGTTTTCTGTTGACCCCACTTGACAATTGGTGGATCCGGATAAAGGCCCCAATGAGCCTCCGAAAAACGAACTGTTAGATGTTACTGGTACGGCGGAAGCTGCTCTGACGGGATGCGGAGTCCGAAAGAGCTGCGATGGAGTTTGGCCAAACTCAGTGATCTGTAGAATTGCGCGTTTAGTCGAAGGGTCCGTGATAGCATCCAAATCCACTGATCCTTCGTACGTGAGGTGGTAGAACACGTTGCAGGCTTCAATCGCTGCTGGGCCCTGCTGCTTGAAGCCGAAGATCAGATCAATCCAATGATGCAAATTCGCCGATACGTATGGGCTTTCGAGTGCCGCCCTATTCATCCGCACGAATTCCGTGGGTGAACCATTAGCCCAAGGCGGAAGTTCCACATCACCAACAACAACGCCAGTCTGGCTTGTTCCAAAGGCACGGTCGTTCACGTTTTCAAGAAACTCCGGCAAGTAGAAAAACTCTGGAATGAGTTCCTTCACATCTTGAGTGCCGTTTTGAGCACCTTCGAAACCAGCTGCGCTTTTCCAAGCACCAACGATACTCGTAAACAATCTGTCAGCATGGTCGTACTTCCCACCATGAAGACGTCGGAAGTGAGACGTAAACGGCTCGAGGCGCATCAGATAGTGAAGAGTAATGGCGGCTGATGAATAGTGTGTACCATAATGAAATGGTCGCGACCCTAGCGGATTATCAGCGGATTCATCGCCGTCAACAGTGCCAACCGATTCCATCAGGCCTTCGTACCGGGTGCGAAACTCCTCTTCACGACGGATTGCCCCCATAGGTTTCCTTAGATCTCGATACACACCAGAGTCGCTCAAATCCAAAATCTCCGAGTCGTAATCAGCCAACACCCAGGGAAACACAGGGTACTGAGTAAGATCGTTGTAAGATCTCCCAGCAAGGGTGTTGAGGTGCATGAGGTACGCGAAATTAGATATGTCCCCTTGCACCCAGCGCTCGGTCATCGTGTTGCGCAGCAATTTGCGCAACTGGGAATACAAATCGCCCCCCGACGACACTCCATCTAGACCACTGGCTGCACCTTGGACGTTAGGGCATTTGTTCAAGAGCGCATGGAAAACCAGCTCACGCTGTTCGGGTGATTCGAGAGTAACCTGCAACATACCAAATGTCAGCACAATTGCGCTACAAATGATGCTGAGTCTTACAAAACTTACCAGGTAGTTTCTGCCGTCGTTTGCAAAAATCTCGAGCGCCACGTGGCGAAGCTGATACCTTCGCTTGTGCAGCTCTGTGATGTCTTCATAAGCCCAAAATCTGCATTGGTGGATGTCTTTTGACCTTGTTACCGTTTGATGAACATGCTGGGGCGACTCTTGCAAACGCCAACTTAGCCGACGTTCCAGCAACGTGGTAGATCCCAGCGGAACCTCTGTTACTCGAATCTGTGAACTTTGTCGAGCAAAATCGTTCTCAAGGCTACCAGGTGGAGAAGGTAATTGCTGGTTTAGTCGCTGGTAGTTGTCAATGATGTAAACGTGATCATTGCAGAGCAAGAATACGCCTGGACAAGAATCCATACCATCGATTCTCAAGCAATCGTAGATGTCTGTGATCTCGTCTCCGGGTACCAAAAGCGGCCGAAGCTTTTCATCCACAACTTCTTCTATCGCCACATTACTGGTACTTGCAGCGCTCTCGGCAATGACTGAGTTCTCGACACCACTTTTCTCACCTGCCCCGACCTCTACTTCACCGTCACTTTCATCGCCATTATGGATACTCTCCTGACGAGTTGACAGTCGTCTAAAGCGCCAGCTTTCGCGTCGGGATGGACGGCGCTCCTTCTTCACGTATTTGTTGAATAATGATTCAAATGATCCCTTCCGCAGATGCTCCCTCGAGCTCAGCACCGCAGAGGTCGATCCGCCGCTGGATAGTGCTCTCTTCGTGGCGATTAAGTGGTGCTTGGCCGGCACACTTTCGTCAGAGCGCTGCCGCGTCATGCGGTTCTTTATCGTCGCTGATTTCACCCGAGACCTGCCAGCGTGTAAGATAACATCTGACTCCGAATTACGGCGGCGAGGTCGTTGCAGGTCGTTGCTAGCTTCCCTTGGAGAAGAATTCCGCGTTCGAAGTGACGCGCGGGTTCCACACAAGCGCGGTGGGGATGATGGCTGGCCTCTCAATGTGTGCACGGTTTCCGGTGACTGAACTATTCGCGAAAGCCTTTTACGCATTCGATACGGACCTTCTGTGAAATCCAACCTCCAGGAGAACTGGTGACTAGTCGCCGGCACCAGCTCATATCTGCTTCGGTTTGCGATCTCAGCCATCAGCATAGAGCTTTCAATAGCCACTGACGCATTTTCAAGAGCAATTCGTTTTGAGCTTCTTTCAGCGGGCGATCCAAATACATTTCGCTCGAATTCGAGTCGGAGCTTTTCCCATTGGCGCACAATAAACTTTTGGCGATCTACACGGTCTTGCCTCCACTTAAGCTGGCGACGGAACTCTGTTTGTTGTATGCGCAATAAGGACTCGACGTTCTCCATCGAAACCAACCAGTCACATCGTGCGTCGAACTGCTTTTCGTACTTAATTCTTCGGTGTGCAGCTTTCTTGTGGTATGTCGCCCATATCTCATGGACGCTTTCCTTGTTTTCCATCACAGCATTGATATATACACGATCCAGGCTGCTCTCCAGTTCTTTTAAAGGCGGGCCAACAAGCTCGAGCCACTTTGCAAACCTGCCAAACGAAGGCGACTGCACGATTTCATGTTCTTGCAGTCCCTTAGATCTTGTAGCACATTCCAACAGCGTGTCGAAGCCGTTTTTCATCAAATTTACCGAATAGGGAGGTGTGCCGCTTTTCCGAATCTCAACTGTCAGTAAATCATCCATGAAAGCCCGCTGAAGCAGGATGAGATCTACCCAGAGCTGTGATGCCACTTCTTGAAGGCGAACCACACTGGAGTCAGCGAGTAGCTGTAGTAAATACCGGCAAAAACACGTCAGGAAAATTTTGTCCTGGTTATTTTGTGAGTCGAGCACGACTTCACGGTGTAGATGGATCTGCTGGAGCATGGCTTCCAGTTCGACATCCCCGACCTCGGCACCTCGACCATGGAAAACGTGCAAAATCACAGCGTTCAAAGCGGAATACAGCTCCGAGAATAAATTCTCAAGCTCTGTTGAGCGTGTCATGCGGCCCATCAGCTGCCGGAGAGGTCGCCTCTTCTTTCCTTTGCTTAGCGTTTCAGAAAGTATTCCTCCGAGTGTTAGTGGCGCCGCAGGAGAAGAAGATCCCATTCCATTAGCACCAGCAAGTCCGGCGTTTGCCTCAGCCAAAATAAAGAGAACAAGCTCCAACAATCGAGATGGTCCACCAATAAAGTGCGTTTGCCCACAACACGCGATCACTGCTGGACAGCCGTCACCGTGCTGAGCACGCTGCCAACAGTGCATTTTCCCAACCACGAATTTCACAAACTCGCGCACATTCACCCCGAAGCGCTTGTGCTTCGCTAATATTTCTTCATCCGCAAACTTTGCTCGAATGTGATCCAGGAGGCCCATGACGACAAGACTTTGGAAACGCAAAAGCAGCCCATTGTGCAGTGGTGGTAGCACAACCGATGCGTTTGCCGTGCCGTCGATGAACTCTTCCACAAGATCCTGACCGTTTGGAGCATCAAGCAAAAACTTCATCAATAATGTGATTAAGAGCCGCAACCCACGCGCTGCAACCGTGTGGTGCAAGAAGGGATCATTTCCACTTGAGTCCGACGCAGCTGCTTCCTCTGCGAGTTCAGCTTCACCTACCGCGATGTTATACTCATTCACCGCGACTTGCTTGTTCTGTAACACAATGGTAATGTGCTCTTGGGAGTGCGGATACTGCTCGACTAAGTATGCCCTCGCAGCTGCGAAAATTAATCGAGTCAACTCTTCCATGAACTCCAGCGGCATTTTTTCGCCCCCCGAAAGAAACAAGCTGGGCAAGCTTGGCATCTTTTCAAATATGTGTTGGAGAAAGTCGAACACTTCAGTGTGATAGACATTGCCTTGATCAGTTGGGCGAGTTGGTGCTGCTGTAGCTGCATTGATGTCGATGTGGCCCCCACAAACATTTTCCTCGTTCACCGCAGTCGCTGGAATCGTTGATAAATCTTCAGCAGCTGAATCTCCCATCGTGTTTACCATTGCTACAGGGTCATTGTAGTGACGGCGGAGCAGAACCATAATAACAATTAGCATGTTAGAGTTTACCACATGATCTCTCTGGATGTTCGCTTCAAAATCCCGGCAGAGGTATTCGCTTTCAAAGCGTATTTCAAGAGGCACGCCATCTATGGGCGCCCCCAACACTGCACCAAATAGAGCATACCACATCTTTTGGAACGGAAAACATCGTAAATCTTCCTCCACCGCAAGATGACTGAATACTGCGTGATTGCAGGGTAAACCTTGAGCCAAGAGACGATAGTAACCCTCTTTCTTAAAAACAGCCTCATAGCGCGCATTTCCAAGTAATGCGCAAAGCAGCCTCAGCGCTGCAATGACGGTAGACGGAGCAACACCCAGTGAAAACTCAGTTTCTTCACCAGGAAACAAAAAGTACTCAATCCAACGTAGCCCCAAATACTTGCGAAATCCAGTCAACCGAGACGGATTTGATAATTGCATTCGAGATGCCCCACCGCTGACACCAGCGGTAGTCGCCAAAGTGACCGCTCTAGATTCCCCGATCACAGCCGTATCTGATACCGAGCCGTCATAGTCATCCCCGTGATCTTTGTTTTCCTTAATGTCAAGCTTTTGTACCGCTTTTAGTAAAGTTTCCAGCAGGAGCTCCTGAACGTTAGACTGGTGTACTGCAAAGCGTGCGCTGGGTTTTGGCTGACCTGGATTTTCCTTCTGACCATGTTGTACCTTTGCATCCCAGAAAGTACCGTCTAGTCGTTGGGAGCCTCGGGGACTAAGGCACAGCCTGCCTGTTGGACTGGCAAGTGTGTACGTGACGAATTCCGGCTTCACTTCAATCGCATCGACTATTTCAGCTTCACCTAAGCCACCATTCACATCCAGCTCTCTTTGTACGCTGATTTCTTCTTCGCTAACTTCTCGCCAATGACAACCAAAGCGTGGAGACAGCGTGCCAGCAAGAAAGCTAGTAACATCCGCGAAATTCGATTCAAGGGTTGATTCACGTGTGGGGCTCGTCAAACACACTAACACCACGTCTACGATGACGCGTAAAATATCGAGTGTGACCGTCGGGTCCATCAGCACGTACAATAATTGCCGAACGAAACTCACCGACTGCAATTGTGTCCTGTTGCGCTCGCGAATAGATTCATCATCCGCTGCTAAGCATGAATAAAGGGTCGAAAAGAGCAATTTTGCTGTAGCCGTCCCCGGTGCTTTCTGCCAGAGAGAATAGTCCAGAATAAAGTACTGGAGTGCCTGCATATTACGAATAGCACTCTCACGCTGCACTTGTGCTTTTGCCAGTTCAATGTCGACCCCCACGATTCGGAAAAGAATTTGCAAGCATTTAGGGGTCAAGTAGTGTGCCTTTTCATGCAGAAGAAAATTCATGATCCCATACCCATGATCGTTCTCCATCCCCACTAGGTTTCGAGCGTTGCTTCGCATAGAAAGCCACAGGAACTCGAGAGCCAACTCCACTTCTTCTTCTGTCGAGGCTTCGTCAAGTAACCCAAACGCGAATTGACATCCATAATTGCTAATGCTAAACATGGCATCCACCATAGTCGCAGCCTTGCGCAAGATAGTTCCTCCCATCAAATGGCCAGTGGGACGACCATCGAGCTTACTGCTGGGAACAATGGTCAACTCTTTCTCAACTGCATTCCGTGCAGAATAAGCCACCACGATTCGCTCGGACGGAACAGGAATGTGGATCATCGGCACAGAGGTGGGAATACGAGCAAAGACATTAGCACTTGACTTGATATCTTGGACAATGGCTGCCGCTGTACTTGACGCCGCGGAAGCAAGCGACAGACTTCGACGAAGAAGCTTGTTGCGGCCACCGCGCTCCACGTCGACGGAATCGATAAGCGACCGAACCGGGTCCCACAGATACGAGTCAAGCATCACCATGTTTGGTATGCGTAAATGATCATACGTGACTCCGATTTCGTTGTTTCCAGCTACACCTGAGTATAATTTGTCATACGATGGACCTGCCGCAAACACTGCATTTACTACAGGTGCTGAAATAGGAAGGTCTAGCAAATAAAATGGCCCCAGAATCCATTTTGCACTGGAACACCGGCGTGCTTGAGATGGTATTCCAACCAAACCACTTAAAGGTTGGCTACCCGTGATGCTGGATGGATAGGAAATCTTCACGTTCTCCTGTAGAATTCCGTTTAGATAGCAAGACACCATGCTCGACTGGAAACGCTGTTTGGCGTGAGTAATCACGACATGGTGCCATTGCCTTGTGTTGATGGGAGCGTGCGTGAATTGGTAGACGGATGCACGGCTTGAACTTGTTCGCATGTACAGCTTCCCCCCTTTAATAAACGCTTCCGTAACAGACTTGCCATCAATCGAACGAAGTCGGAAAAGATAAAATATCGGCGGATTGCATACGGCACACTCTCCCCCACAATTCAATAGTGCCTCAATGCACCCTCGACATGCTCGGTGGGAGCATTTCAATACGTATTCGTCCTGTACCATACCTCCGCAATGAATGCAAGTATTCGACAAAAAGCATTCACGGTACAGCTTCTCACGCTCGTCTTTTCGCTCAAATGAATCCACACGAAACCATACCATCACAGAATAGCCATCAGGTGGCGGCCATATCTTGGAGTTGTGAGAAAAGGATGGTAGCGACGACGAAGTTGCTGATGCTGCTTCCACTGGAGAAATCACGCGGACGTTAACATCGGGAATTTGTAGGCATCCAAAACCATCTTTCGATACGTCAAACGCGACAGCTGGAGCGCCCTCCGTACGCTCGAACGTCACTGACGTTAGCTTTACCAATAGCCTCAACAAACTCGATACAGGCGTCGTGGTCGAAGCAGCAGTATTTTCATGTCGCGGTTGCGCGTCTGTAGAGTTTTGTACGATCGAGAGCATACGCTCCTTCTTCATCGATTTTCTTGACTGCAGTGATCGATCGCGGCACAAACACAGCAGCATCTTCACCCAATAGTCTGCTGCTGTCAAAGAAACGCTGGCGATAGCAACGCTTTCAACGAGAGCAACGACAAGCTCATGAAATGGATTCGTTTCCCAAAGTAGCGCTTGCGACAGCTTTCCTTCATCAGGTGCACATATCGCACTTGAACGGGCAGGTTTTGCTGTAAACGACCTCAACAGGACCTCCAAAGCGTTAACCGATGCAAGACGATGAGCATTGTTGGGGCTTCAATAACGTATGAACGAAACAACGTAAGATAATTTAAAAGCAAAGCAAAAAATAACTAGCAGAGCGTTTATCACTTACAATGTTGCGATGCGCAGGAAAGCATTTAGCAGCTGGCGAGTTGAATCCTCACCGAGCATAGCAGCATGCAGGCTCAAAATCTGGATTCCGATGCCAAATAACTGGGGATAGTTCAATACACCAGGACAAATACGATCCTCTTCTTGGTTGGCGGTTAGCCGAGATGGCTTATCGAAGCAAATCCATGCATAATCACCGAGAGAAAAGCCAATGCAGTAGCGCACGCAAAAATACACCCGTGAAATTGCACTTTGAACAATGGCATCGTCCGCTGGAAGTGCATTATCTGCCCTTGCCAGAAAGTTGCCGATCAAGTTACCGAAAGATCCAAAAGGAACAAGTCTACACACGCAAAAAAATGTTATACTTGAGACCAAAATGTGTGGTTGGATTGCATTGACAGTGCGTACCTGCAGAACCGTTGCTCAGCTTCTGAACTAGTCGTAACGATCGAGAAAATGGATTGTAGTGACAGCGTCACAGCAGAAAATGAAGCAGAAAGAGTATCACAGGTACTTGTACCATCGGCACTAACCTCCCACTTCTTCGTTACAGCACAAATAATTCCCAAAAGAGATATAAGGACATCACAGTCGAGCAGAGCTTTCAAAAGGCGTTCCCTCACTGGAGTCATGTCAAAGCAAATACCTTGCCCACTGGAAACTCCAGTAGACTTTGCCGTCGTAGAGACTGATTTGGGTCGCAATAGTGCGTCAAGATATGCGAGAGCTCCTTGTAATACTGCTACATCCCCCGGAAATGCCAGCGTAACTTCGCCATCCTCCGGAAAGACCGCCAGAGTTACGTATCGCAAGGCTTGCAGAAAGCTGTTAACCACATTTCGAAGGACCGCGTCATCGTGCTCCACTCGTAATGACAGCGCGATAATCGATATCCATAGCGAAGCACCCTCTTGTTGAAAAGTGGTGTTTCCAGCCAACGTGCAAACACACTCCAGCATTGGTAATCCACACAGTGTACGTTCGCAATATTGTTTGTCCCTGGTAGCTGTATGACTTTGAACACCGTCAGCAACCAGTTTCATGATGTCGACGAGAATAATGTAGTCAGCTCGCTGCATTGCATTACCGCACTGTCGGCGTCGTCGCGCCCTTTGATGACAATGAGACGCTAGCATCGAGATAATTACCTGCTCGTTGATAGCAGTTGATTCGTCGGGAGTGCCACTAGTCTGACTGGTGCTTGTAGAACTTGTTGGATACTCCACTCTGATCTGCGTCGACCCCGCATCAGAACATACGGTGCTTGTTTGATCAAGAAAGAGTGCCACCAGCGTACTCACGAGGCCGACAGAGCATAGCACTTCGTGATAGGACTCATCAAACCGAAGGAGGTTTGCGATAAAAGCCAGTATTGCATGGATAGAATGCTTTTGAAGCGTGTCCTGGATATCATACACCAACGGTTGGTACATGTACATACTATACAAAAAGTATATTTCAACGTACGCACGCACCTTTTGGATGAACGCGTTCATTGAAACGAGCTCAGCATACGGGATAACTCGGGCTTCGATAGCTATCGCCGAGAGAACTGACATGATAGTGTGCTGAGCGATTTCCGAATAGCCATCGATGTTTTCGATAGCCTGCGCAAGAAAGCTTGCGATCTGTCTCAAGCAAGCAGTCAATCTTCACAGGTTAGCCGTGAGCATTTTTGCACAACTCCAAACTTCCGAACAAACAAGTATTGCGTTACTTACACTCACGAATTCGTAGTCAAAGCGACTCGTCACGACAATTTGACCAAGCTTTTGAAGATAACGGCACTCAAGTCGTTCGCGATCGTCCAACAACTTGGCGCAGGTTTCCTTGTTACAACGATGCTCTTCTTCAGTCTTTGTCGGTCGGTGTAAGTACGCAATGATATCCGAAAGCAATCCAAATGCTTCCGAGTTAAACAGAGACTGCCCAACCAACTTCTCCGTCGAAATAGTCGCCAGCTTAAATGCCTTGTTTTCGTGAATATTGTTTCGCGGTAAAGGATGCTCATTCCCTGACAGGCATAGATCTGCCACAGCATCCGCCAGCTCTTGGTCGTGTAAATAGATGGCTTCAACAGCATTCGGAGTAGTATCTTCAGCGCATATTGCATGCTGTCGAAACTCGAACAGCTGCGTGAAGGTACTCATAATTTTCTGTCGTTGTCGGCCCGCGTTCATCTCTCGGTGCAAATCCAGTAGTCCAGACGCAAAAGCCCGTTTCATCGATACTGCTGTGACCGATAAAGTCTTGGCTAATACACCCGTTCCGTTGGCATGGTAGATCAAATCGACAAGACACCTCTCCTCGGAGAGTAATTTCACCATAGCTCTCCATCGGCTCTGCTGTAGGCCCTGGACCAAAGCCTCCACTACCTGACGAGACACGATCACAACGTTTGAGTACGTAGTTCGGCTAGATTATCCACTGTTGCAATGCGTACCTTCACGACATTCAGCTGCAGTGTTTCGTCGCGGAATGCCAAGTGAAAAATCCTGTGTAGCGTGCTACTCTCATTTAACTCCTGCACCGCATCGGGCGACGTAACTAGCACTGCCAGCACATCCAGAATCACTTGTACAAGCTCATCAACGCCGTCTTCCTTTTCTGCATCGCTCAGTGCTTTCACCACCTTGACCAATGTGGACGGGATCCTCGCACTAACTAGCAGCAGAGCTTGGGCATTGTCTCCTCTCACGAGCAAGACCCTCAACACCTGCAACAGTTGCAGCACGTGACCTCTCTCGCCACTTTCTGTAGCCAATAGGAACTTGGCATTAGCATTGCCGTCAAGTCTCCCGGCATTGAAGAGCTCCAGCGCGCGACTGAAGCAGCTGCGCAGTCTCTGGCTGCCCACACTGACGAGAGTGTTGGTATCTCGCGCGCTCAGCAGCTTCTCAGCGCCCTCCGAGGCCTGGAAGTCGGCCACCAGAGCCTTGTGGAGATAGCTGAGCGCTTGCCGTTGCTCTTGGGCCTGCGTTGCCGTCGCGAACACCTCCACTTGAGCGTGCAGAGCGTCACCACCGACGGCCACTGCGGCAGCTCGATTCTCCGTCAATTCCGGGCCGATTCTGGCCGCAGAGCCCTTGACCGACGCAGAAGCCGCTCGCCTAGGAGACAGCAGCGAAGTCTGCGCATGTGCGTGCGTCGGGCTCTCGGACGAAGACGACGCCGAGGGGCTGCGCACCCGCCGCTGGAAAATGCGCTTCATGTTGCGGAGTGTGGGTCGCGGTGCTTCAAGCGGTCGTGCAGCGCTGATTGGGTTAAAATCCTTATCATTTCAACCAATGAGAAGGCTATAAACTATTGCTCCGAGGCCAAGCTCAAGGGGAAGCGCCGGACGCCATGTCGAGCCGCAGCCAGACCAAGAAGCTGACGCTGACGCGCGTGAAGGACCTCTCGCCGGCGCTGTGCAACAAGGAGATCAATGTGAAGGCAATCGTGCTGGAGTCCAACGCCAAGGACGAGGCCAACGCCAGCAACAACGCCACGTTGCTGGTGGGCGACGACTCGGGCTGTGTTAGCCTCGTGCTGCCCAAGACGGCGGCGCTGCACGTGCGGCTGGGCGACATCCTGCAATTGGCCAGCACGCAGCTGGTGCTCAAGAGCAACCGCGTGTATTTATGGGGCGGCAAGGTGGAGCGCGTGGGCGAGTTCCTGCTGCTCTTCAAGGAGAGCGCCAACATCAGCAACATCACGTGGGTCAAGGACCCCAAGAACCCGGACGTGCTGGTCAGTGCTGTAACTCCCGACTTTAACACCTTCCAGTGTACTGTGGTGCTATGGCAGTAGCAATTGTTGTGATGATCTAATATGAGTCGTTGCTTTGTGGTTATGCTACTTAGATTCCAGGACGCAACCCCGCTAAGAGACCCAAGCCGCAGGCTGCCAAGTAGTTGAGTGCAGATGACAGACAGTAAAGAGGGGGTGAATGGCAAGTGTAGATCGTGTGCAAGTTCCAGGTTGTTGTGGAGAGGGGTATTTAGTGTTGAGCGTGACGCACGTTGTGGATGTAGATGTAAATGAGCACGGTGCGTCATGAGTTGAAGACTGCTGCATCGATTCGAGACAAGATCATAACATCCGCCCTGTTGGCTATTTCTACACGGGTATATGCGCAAGTGCCTTAGCAGCTTGGTTCGTGAGGCTCCATAATTGTGGCTATTTGCGGACGACTACAATGCAACGGTCTTTTCAGTCGTGAATGACAACACTGTGAGTCCTTGCTGCATCGCCCTCTTAGCGTCGATCTCGTTAACTAGCTCCTGTGCATGACCACCTCCTCACGTTGCTTCTCACGATAAAGAATCGTCGGGACTCTGGCTGCAAAACAGGCTGGATCGGTTGCAGATCTCTAAACGGCATGGAGGATGGACATGGCGAGGAAATACAGCGCGAGGCAACGCCGCCATCTCCAGCGGAAGAGAACGAGCAGATTCAGCCTGAAGTGCGGCCGGAAAGGGTCAGCTTCACCTCTGAGCGACGCAAAAGCATTCACCGACAGAGCATTCTATACCCATTGGCGACCGACTTCTTACCTGCGGGCTCAATTTTCCACGACACCCCGAGGAAGCATTCCTCCTCTCACAGCCTTTTCCCCCCCGATGTGGCGCTTGGGCATAAAGTTCATCCAGGCGATTTCATACGAACCAGCACAGAGCAAACAAGTACCAGTAAGTTTAGAGAGACCCGAGCACAAAGCGAGAGAAACCTCCTCAACGCTGAAATCGCCTCCGCTACGGAACCTGTTGCGGTGCAAGTCGACATGCAAACGTTCCCCCTGCGCTTCCGCGATATTGCGCAGGAAGAAGCCTTCTGTAAGCACTTCAGCATGTATGTGACCAACAAGGTGCGCATGGCAAGCCGTATCGTGAGCCTGATGAACGTGGTAATGCTGGTGGCGCAGTATCTCACGCAAACTCGACTTCTGTGCAACTTCGTGTTTGTATCGCGCGTTGCTATCATCGTGTGGTCACTGATGTTTCAAGCTGCGACGTACACTAGCTGGTTCCGCAGATATTTTGACCGACTATTGCTCGCGCACTACGCGATACTAGACCTCCTGCACCAGCTTCCGCGTTTCATATTTCTGGTGAGCTCGATGAAGGAAGAAGAGGTGGAAGCAGACTCAAGTGGAAACGGGGAACTTACGCAGTTCGCCTCGCAAAAGAGCGTCCGGGCGATGAACTTAATATTTATTCTCATCATCTACATTGCAAGTGGCATGCGCTTCACGTTGGCGTCGATATGTGCGTCATGGCACATGCTGGTTAAGGGGCTTTTCGCAGTGATTTTCTGCCATGCTTGCGTCTGGGATGATTTGGATGGGACTACAAACCTGGCCATGATGGCATTCTGCACACTTACAGCCTATCACAGTGAGCGATATGTCCGCCAGGAGTTTGTGGAGCGACTGAGGGTCGATGAAGAGCGCAAACGGCGTGATGATTTACTGGAGACAATGCTGCCGGTGCACATTAAAGAGCGTTTGAAGGATAACCGCACTGATGGGCTGGCTGAAAGCTATGACGAAGTGTCGATTCTGTTTTGCTACGTGAGCAACTTCCAAGCGCTTTCGAAACACGCGTCAGCTATTGAGCTTGTGCAGCTTATGAACCGAATCGTGTTTTGCTTCGATCGAGCTACAGATGCCCAAGGAGTTTATAAAGTTGAGGCTATTGCTGAAACCTACATGTGTGCGGCTGGAGTGCCGCAGCGCGACCCATTTCATTGCGAGAAAATCGCCGATATGGCTTTGATGATGATGCGAATCTGCGAAAAAGAATCCTGGAGCTTCAATGGCGTGGACATCCAGCTGCAAATTGGCATTCACTCCGGTCCTGTGGTTGCGGGTGTCGTAGGGTGCAAGACCTACAGTTATCATCTCTTCGGCGACACAGTAAATACGTCCTCCCGCATTTGCTCTTCCGGCGCTGGCAGGATCCAAATCAGTGATCGATCTCGTCAGCTTCTTGCTCGCACCGGGGCCTTCATTATTTCAGAGCGAGGCATGATGAACCTCAAAGGCAAAGGTATGGTTCGGCTCTTTTGGCTGGAAGGCAAGAATGGCGCAAGCGACAAATTTTCATACCCAGATGTGTCCCGCGATTTTGAGACTGCTGTGGAAGAGTCTATTCGCACCAAGGATCTTGAGTATAAGTCTCCACTTCACCACCGGAGCGATGACTATCTAAGCTGCATGAAGGATGTCGAGATTCAACGCCTAACGTTAGACTTTCATCGGAAACGTTCAGCGAGTGGCAAGGTTGATTGGATGAAACTTGCTGCAAAACCTTTGCGACCACAAGTAGCACCTGACAACAACTTTGCCGTGGTCACTTCGAATCCCCAGCCTCAAGTCACGGGTGCTGAAGGCCCACGACATATTCAAAGTGTGAAGGATACTGCTAGTGAGATGGAAAAGGCTTTTCGCATCGAGCACAACCGCGACAGCACACCGCAGTTCTGCATGTCACTACAAATGTGTTCTATCTACCTGCTGGTTACCATTATTTACAGGGCCTACAACAAGGAAGTATACGCGGACAAGGCCGCTCGCAGTGCTCGATCGTATACGATTTACAGCGTCACGATTGTCTCGTTGCTGACAATTGTGAAGTTACTGCGAAAATACCCACGCCTTGCTCGACTGAAGGAGAAATGGGGTACTGGAACCGGGCTCGTGTTTATCATGGCTTTGAACATCCAGCTACTTGCAGCGTCCGATACCTCTTCCTTGAAAGACTCGCAACCGAGGGGGAAGCAAAAGATTACCTTTCTGGATGGAAATTTACTCCACGCTGTGATAGTTGGCTTGACGATGAGACTACGTTTCCGCAATGCTGTACTGGTAAATGCATGGGGTTTCTTGGTGTTTGTGATATGTTCATCGATACGACAAGCTGAGCCGTGGGCGGATATGTCCGAGAGTTTTTACCTGATATTCACGATAGCGTGGATCGCTGTACACTTCGGATACAAGCGAGAGCTCGGCTTACGGCACGATTTCTTGTTAAAGTGTACACTTCAGCTGGAAAAGCAAAAATGCGAGGACTTGCTGACCAACATGCTGCCATCGAAGCAATATGCCGAGGCACTCATGCAGCAATCGACCATTGTGGATGAGCTGGCAGAAGTAACTCTACTGTACTCTGACATGGTAGGTTTTACGCCGCTGGGGTCGAAGCTCGACCCACAAGCAATCTGTGTGATGCTGAACAAGATCTACTCTGCCTTCGATCGCCATCTCGATGACTTGGGTGTGTACAAAATGGACACCGTTGGAGATGCCTTCATCGTTGTGGGCGGGCTACCTAGTCATAAGAGCAGCAAGCACCACGCCGCAGCGATTGCTGCCTTCGCTGTGGAGATGCAGCGTGAAATCCAACGATTCTGTAAAGAGGAAAACGTGGCGCTGCAGATGCGCATTGGTATTCACACAGGCAATGTCGTGGGTGGCGTGGTTGGTATCAAGAAGCCTCGCTATCTCATTTGGGGCAGGCACACTGTTATCGCAAATCTCATGGAGTCTCGAGGGGTGCCTGACCGCATTCAGGTGTCCGAAGCTACGTACGCCCTACTTCGTGATTACCCAGAATTTCGCGTCGATGAGCGCACTGAGAACGTTCAGATCAGCGAAAACGACACCATTCGAACGTATTTCTTGGCGCCAGATCACGCGACTGTGAAGGATGATGTAATTTCCCGCTATCTGCAGGAGACTCGCATGGTGAATACAGCTGACGTGTATGCCCTCGACCAGCTTCGAAGCTGCTTGCTCCCTTCCAGCAATTCCCCACTTTCAAAGCATCTTGAAGTCCCGCTAAGCAGTCGGCGTCATTCCGAGCGGGTTGCCACATCGGGTGAAGTAACATCGTCTCCACCCCTGCTAGTGCGAACCAGATCATTTGGTGGTAACGAATAATAGAGTTCGCAAACAGTATTATTCTGTGGTCCCAGTTGCAAGCTATTCGTACTTGTTTTACACTGAATTGGTGTCATCGTTCATGGCATGCGGATAGAGTGACACAACTAATGGCGGAACCGGTTCAGGGGCTGAATGAGGGCTACCCTTCAGAGTGGCAGGCGTATGCGTGTGCACCGGATTACTTGTTCCTTGCACATAGTGAGGAAGTCGCTGCTCTGGGGCAATAACAGCATTAAACTGTGGTTTGCGTCGAGCCAGTGGGTCTTCTCTCCGTTGACGCTGTTCAACCTGCTCAATCCACGTGGATGCACGCGCCTTCCGAAATGAATACTTCGTGACGGACGGTATTTCAGACGTCAGCTTCCATTCACCGGCGCAATCCATTGACCGCGAGTCAGGACGCCCCCCCCATTGACCAAGTCGATCGGGCGCAGCAACATCCTGAATATGCAAAACGAGTAATGAATAATACCGAACTCAAAACCTGACAATGTGGAAACACTTACGCCTTGTTTCATAGGTGGTGGGTCTGTAAGTAGACCTCTCGGCTTCTTCATGACATCATAAGACCCAGGTCCAACACACTCGGGTGTAGAGGTTTTCTAGAAAAACAACAGTGAGCTCTTGTTGGGTAAATTTCACGATAATGGACGCGTTTGTACCTGTGTAAAGCGCTTGGTGGTACTGCAGAGACTAGTGCCGCGTAAGGACCCTGAGCCACAGCAGCAAACATTGAAGTGAGTACTGTGGATATTTAGAACGTACCGGCTGCTCAGCTCTTACGGTGGACGTCATATCCCAGCGAGTTTCGGTTGGAGCTGTAGAGTTGGTCGGCACTGAGGCACTCGTTGCGGAAGGCGGTGCCCGGCTGCACCGTCGTCTTGGGCAGACGAGGGTCGATACTGGGGCCCTGAGTCGTCCACATGCGTCTTGAGTCACGCGCGTAAACCTGTCGGTCCGGTGGCCGCCCGCCCTTTTTGAGCGCCGTGTTAGCGCGCGGGTCGTAGAAGAAGGACTCGCGGAAGGGCGCGTACGAGGCCCTGGTGATCCCCACGCAGCGTATCTGCGAGGGAGTCAACCTGGGAGGGAGGACTCCAGGACCATCGTGGCCTGCAGAAGGGGTTCCTGCGCTCCGACGCATCGACGCCTGTATGCCTTGCGGTAAGAAATGCTTTTTTTTGAGGTCAACTTCAACCTTACCACCGAAATAGATCGGATACTTTTAGACCAATCGTGGTACGTACACATACTACAGTAGTATCGATGACGTCAGATGGCTACATAAGCTGAAGTGCACCATGCATGTTTGAAAGTGGGAGGCACGCAATATGGGCAACAAAAGCTTTATGGATTAAACGCAGCGAAGGCAAGAAAAGGTAATAAGATCTCTGTTCTGTAGATGCCGAGCCACTAACCTCTCTTGGAGTTGTAGATGGCTAAACTAGTCACGAGTTGAACAAAGGCGGTCAGCAAGGAGGGTCGTAACTACTACGACGCGTCTACATCATCTCATCCATTTCCTCGTCCTCGTCGAACTCGCCCTCCTCCTCTGCGGTAGCGTCCTGGTACTGCTGGTACTCAGACACAAGATCGTTCATGTTGGACTCGGCCTCCGTGAACTCCATCTCGTCCATACCCTCACCCGTGTACCAGTGCAAGAAAGCCTTACGACGGAACATAGCCGTGAACTGTTCGGACACGCGCTTGAACATCTCCTGGATAGCGGTCGAGTTACCGATGAACGTGGTGCTCATCTTGAGACCCTTGGGCGGGATGTCACACACGCTAGCCTTGATGTTGTTGGGGATCCACTCGACGAAGTACGACGAGTTCTTGTTCTGCACGTTGAGCATCTGCTCGTCAACCTCCTTCGTGCTCATACGTCCGCGGAACATACACGCGGCAGTTAAATAGCGGCCGTGGCGAGGGTCGGCGGCACACATCATGTTCTTAGCATCGAACTGCTGCTGGGTCAGCTCGGGCACCGTCAGGGCACGGTACTGCTGCGAGCCGCGCGACGTCAGCGGGGCGAAACCGATCATGAAGAAGTGGAGACGCGGGAACGGGATCAGGTTCACGGCAAGCTTACGCAGGTCCGAGTTCAGCTGACCGGGGAAACGCAGGCACGTGGTAATGCCGGACATGGCGGCGCACACCAGGTGGTTCAGGTCACCGTAGGTGGGGGTCGTGAGCTTCAGGGTACGGAAGCAAATGTCGTACAGGGCCTCGTTATCCAGGCACATGACCTCATCGGCGTTCTCAACGAGCTGGTGGACGGACAGCGTAGCGTTGTAGGGCTCGACGACCGTGTCCGACACCTTAGGCGACGGGCAGACCGAGTACGTGCACATGATACGGTCCGGGTACTCCTCACGAATCTTGGAGATAAGAAGCGTACCCATACCGGAACCGGTACCGCCACCCAGCGAGTGCGTGATCTGGAAACCCTGAAGGCAGTCACAGCTCTCAGCCTCCTTGCGGACGACGTCGAGAACCGAGTCGATAAGCTCGGCACCCTCCGTGTAGTGTCCCTTGGCCCAGTTGTTACCGGCGCCCGTCTGGCCGAACACGAAGTTGTCCGGGCGGAAGAGCTGGCCGTAGGGGCCGGCGCGCACCGAGTCCATGGTGCCGGGCTCCAGGTCCATGAGGATGGCGCGCGGCACGTAGCGGCCGCCCGTGGCCTCGTTGTAGTACACGTTGATGCGCTCCAGCTGCAGGTCCGAGTCGCCGTGGTAGGATCCCGTGGGGTCCACGCCGTGCTCGTCGGAGATGACCTCCCAGAACTTGGCGCCGATCTGGTTACCGCACTGGCCACCCTGGATGTGAACGAGCTCTCTCATGTTGTCGCTGGTCTGTCAGGAGGATGCAACAAGGCGTCAGCAAAGGCAAAGGGCAAAGATCGCGGGACGTCCCTTCCCCCTTTTCCCCTTCGTATGGCTCTCCGTCTGGCAACGCGCCGAGGGGGGAGGGGCAACAATGCCCCCCCCCCCCCAGAGGGGAGACTGAAGGGGGAGGCGAGGGGGGAGGGTGCAGTCAGGAGGCATGGGCTGTACCTGTTGCTGTACGTGCGCGGCGGCGGGTCCTGCGGCGGCTCTTGGCTGGCTGGCGCGGGCTCTGAGGAGAATTCGGACTTTTGGCGAATGAACCAGCCTGTGTTGCGCCGGCCGCGTTGGGACGCGCGGGAAAAATTACCGCTGGCGTCAAATTTGGGCTTGGCGCCGTTTCAAAACGGCGACGACCATCACTCCTGCACCATACGTCAGTCAAGTATAAGCGCGTGGACAGGCCGGCGGATCTGAAACCACTGGCTGGTTTGAATTTTAGGACGGGTGGCACGGCGATTTAGATACCCGTTTGGCTCGGAACCAGGGAGGGGTGAGACTGCTGGCCGCGCGCCCGTTTATTCCGGTTCTACCGCAAATTTTGCGGTGGGGGCCGGTAATTTTCGCAGCGCGGCGGCGTAAATTACCGAGCCAAACGTGGAAGGCGGTTTCGCGTTTGAAAAAGCGCGCGTAACGGACGCCGCTTCCCAGGTTGCTTGTTGCCCTTGATGCCAAAGCTCGAGGCAGGGCGTTGTTGGCGTTCGGAGGCTAAAGTTATCGCGCGTGAGGCGCAGACACTGCGACGGCGGTGCCAGTGCAATTGCGGCCGCTGCACCGTCGCAGCTAGCGGTGGGTCCAAATCCACAGGCATCAGTGCGTCTGGCACCGTGCCTGCTATGTTTGACGCACGCAACAGATATTTATACGTCGCCATTCGTCCATGGGATGCACATTGTGCAACCACAAGCTCTGCAGGCCTTGCAGCCACCGCTTTCCTGCGCAGGCAGGTGAGACCGGCGGGGGCGAATCTCGGCGGGGCTGGTTGGTCGTGGTGTGCGCCACACGACAAATGGGCCACTATTGAGAGCACGCATATCCGCCGCATTCATTCATATTGACGAGACACGCTCCGATATCAGTGTTGTTAAAAACCCACCTTTTTCGACAAAGTTGGGCGGGTGATTGAATCTATCTGGGGGATTGGGTGAAAGTAGGTGGGTTTTCTATTTTTCATAAAATTCGACAATATAGGCTTCTGATTGGCTCGTTTGGTCATAAAATAATTTATCCTTGGCCAGCTATTGGACTGTTTGTCCTAATATTTGCACTGTAACTCTACATTATAGGCAAAAATAAAACCTGTAAAAGCCAAATATGCTGGCGTAGGGTGGGTGGGTTGCCCCAATATTCCTTTGTTCCAGTAAGCAAAAACCCAGCTTTTACAACCCTGTCCGATATGCTGCGCCGCGCGCTGCTCCAATACTTGCCTAAGGCGGCGCTGCCCGCGCGCGCTGTGCGGCTGCACCAGGCCAGAGTCTTCTCTTCGGCCTTGCCCGACGGCTGGGAGGCAATCCGCCGCAGGAACGGTGCGTACAGTAGCCACTAGCGTGTCATGCTGTTCTTCCAGCACTGATAAGCGGTCTTGGTTGCTGCTGACTGAGTAGGCGAAGTGATGTACTACAATAAGGAAATGCGCAAGACTGTGCGTCACCTCCCGGGCGTGAATCCGCAGGAAGTGGCTGCAGCAAAGCCCACGGAGCCCGAGCCGAAGAAAGACGAGAGCCAGGAGACGACGGCGGCCACGCTGCCCCACCACGAGAGCACGGGCAACGAAGTGTTCGTCCCCATCAACTTTGACACGGCCATGTCCATCGAGGGTCACGACTCACAAGTGGTGCACGTACGACAAAGTCACTGGCTCTGCGTGGTTCGGTCTCGTTGCCACACGATCTCACTCCGTCTTGTGGTGTTGCTATTCTGCAGATTGAGCTTGAGCCCGAGCAATGTCTGCGCGCGGAGACGGGTGCGATGATTTACATGACCGAAGGTGTGGAAATGGAGACGACCACCGCTGGAGGTTTCGGCGAAGGCATGAAGCGGTATGTCAATATGTTGCTTTGTTCGCTTCAGCATTGGGCTTTGTTATTCTAACATGCAACTGCGCTATTGACATGTTGACAGCATGATGACAGGAGAAAACTTCTTTGTGTCTCGCTTCACGTACCACGGCAGCGAAAAAGGCAAAGTGGCGCTTGGCACGAGCTTTCCTAGCAAGATTGTCCATCTCCGCCTGAGCGACTTCCTTGGCGAGTCTATTATCTGTCAGAAGGGGGCGTTTTTGTGCGGATCGGATACCGTCAACATCGAAATGGTTTGTAGCGGCTTCAAGCTCGACGTGTAGACGGGATAACGCCGCTAACATCCACCCCATTCATCATACCGAAGGAGTTTGCCAAGAAGTTCGGCGTTGGCTTCTTCGGAGGTGAGGGATTCATTTTGCAGCGGCTAACAGGAAGTGGCGATGTGCTTGTTCGCGCCTCTGGAACGTTGATTGAGCGCGAGCTGCAGCCAGGTGAAGTGCTCCGCATTTCGAGCGGCTGTCTTGTCGCGTTCGAGCCCAGCGTGCACTACGACATCACCATGTTGAAGGGAGCGAAGAACGTACTGTTCGGCGGAGAGGGGTTGTTCGTGACGACGCTCACCGGCCCCGGAAAAATCTACCTGCAGAGCCTGCCGTTCGACCGCGTTGTCGGAGAAATGGCCTCTCGAATCCCCCACGGCGGGTCAGGCGGCATGATGTTCCCGTTCATGATGGATGGCGGCGGTGGCGGCGAAGGTGCGAGTGCTGGTGCATCGACTGACGTCGGCGGAGACGAAGCGTTTTGCACCGAAAGTGCCGGAGATGATGACTGGAGCGCCAAGGACGACGATATTTATGGCGATCGCAGCGAGGATCCGACCAACGGGAGCGAGTTCGACGACGTCCCCGCTGCGGATTCGCAGGAGTCGGGTGGCGGCGGCGGCGGCGTCATGAGCTTTTTTGACAGCCTCTTCGGCGACGATGATGAGTAAGGCTCGCACAGCGTAGATGAAGCTGCGTACCAATTCCGACTGGTTTGCATACGGGTAGCGGCAACTTGCCGCTACATGCAGCTCAGGGCCGTTCCTAACCGAGCTACGGGAATTTACCATATCCTGGTGGTCACTGGCAGAATATGGGAGAAATTTTGAGGGTTCTCAAGGGAGAAACATCGATTGAAGTGCTTTGTTGTAGCTATCCACCAGTGTTTATATCTAGCTGTTGTGTACTTTGAAGCAGCTGCTTTTGTAGCAAGCTGCATCAATTGGTTACCCCCCCGTCTAATCTTCTGCTATTCCCTCCTCTTGCAAGTACAGAGTCCAATCACTCAAAGTGTAATGCCGGTAGAACTAAAGCATTACAGAGTAATGGTGAAGCCTCCGCGGTATTATCTTCATTAACGATGCTGCGTGGTTGCTATAGTTTTCGTAATTTTGACTAATGATTGAATACTGGGTCCGATTTGAGATAACGCTTCGTAAACCAATTTACTGTTGAGGTTAACAATTCGATCTATACGGCGTGCAGTAGCAGTATGACTTCGCTTTAGCTTCATATACTTCAAGCAACAACTTACTTGCGCACCAGACCATAGTTGGGGGGGGCTATTCTCTCACAGCCCTGCCTTGCATAGCAGTTCAAGCCTCGGCTCCTACTCAAAATGAACTTCTCGTTTGCCCTACGATGCCGCATTTGAAGGAAAGGCTGCTTAGCCGTCTATTCCTTCGTCGCTTCGGGTTCCCCCAGCTCTTCCCGTTCGCCAAGTACCTCAGTCGAACTCAGGCCAACCAGATCTCGCACATGTCGAGGTGAAGCCGTCCATGTGGGTGGTTCTCCTCGATGTTGCCTGGGGAATTTGTGGCCTGCTCAATCTTCTCGAAGCGCTCGACGCGGATATGCCCGAGCGCCAGGAGCTGATCGAGGCCTTCATGATCGTGGCATGGATCGTCCTGCTGCTCCATATCATGGTTTTCCTCTAAGGTAAGGTGCCAGCTGCGTGCCTACAACCAGTTCCGTGCCTACTTGTTTTAGCCAATTAGCATCTTCTCCTTGTTAAACTCTCGTAGTCTATTGGTAGATTTTTCCAGCGTCACATGCAATTTCCGGTGATGAGCCTCCTAGGATTTGCATAGCATACAAAAATGCTATCAAAAAGAGGCAGGAAACTGGCAGCTCACTCCAAATCAACAAGCTTTTCAAAACAATAACAAGAAGTTCTGCAAAATTTACACGGACCAGCGTGAAGTACATAAAATCAGCCCAATCGCTCAGATTTAGCGGGTGCAATCAGATTTCAGAATGGACAATTCAATGAAAAGTTATGCCACAGCAAGTCCGCAAGTTCGAAGGACGGCACGAAACTGGCAGAAGACCTTACTTCCGCTACGACTAGCCGCTGTCAACGAAGAAAACCATCCTCACTGCGAATTTACACGCGATAGCCGAGGAGGAAGCTAAGGCGTGGCAGAACGAGGAGGCGGACAAGGCGCTGGAGATCATGGGCAGTATCCAAGAACAACACGAAGAATTTGAGTACCAGCGAGTGCAGCGGGAGCGGGAGCTTGCCAAGCAAGACGGCGGACGACTTGTAACTTTTTGCCGCCGTGTATTAGCTGTCTACCGCGGCCTCGAGGAAGATTAACGGGTGTGAGAGCATTAGTGGAGTCGCCCCGGAGTCGCCGAGCATCGACATCCGCTTCTTCTCCTACAAGGCGTGGCAAGTCAGCGTCCTCCTCCTCCTCGTACTCAACGGGTTCCTCATGACGCTGTTCCTGGACGAGATGTATGAACCCCAGCGCCACATCTTCTACGACTTTGTGGTCGTCAGCAGCACGCTGCGCATCGATTTAAACACGCCCAGCAGCGTGGTGGAAACCTTCAGCGAGGTGATGCGTTTGCGGTCCGAGTTCGCGGCCTCACTGCACCAGCACCTAACTCCCCAGGAGCTCACTATTGCCGACCTTCAGGAAGAATTAAAGGCGCGAGACGCTGCAGGCTCGGGGCTCATCGAAGTGGACGAGCTCCGATCTGTGCTCGAGAAGTTTGGCTTCCGTCTCACGCGGTTCCGCTTCAACAGCGTCGTGAAGATGCTGTCTGAGACCAAGGTTCGAGGTCACGTACAGCCAAGTCGTTCGTCTTGAGGCGATGACTGAGAACGAGCACCTCGTTGAGAATGTCCAGGCCGCTGAATACCCGGCCCACCCGCTACTGCGACCAAGTGTGCTGATCTATGACAACGTGGGGCAAGCAAGTGCACTATCGCAGTCGAACTACAGTTTATTCGCTTCAACGCGTCAGCTCCCGCTGGCCCAGTCAAGCATGAAAGCGGAGCCGCACCCAGACCACTTCGTAGCCCTGCAGAGATACCGGTAATGGGGAAACAACACACGGAGCTTTTAAAAAAGTTATGCTCCGAATTCGGTTCCTCCAGCCGTTCCATCCAAAGCTGTTCACAGGGTGTGGCTCGTGCTGTCCGAGCCGCTCGCTGCCGCGAAGTGGGTGTTGTGCAGCGAGCGCCTCGAGGGTTATCGCATGCGCGACACACTCGCGGAGTTGGTGCTCAGCTGGCGGCGCCCACGCCGCCCTGTTCTTGAGACCACCGGGCGCAGGCCTCGAGCATCGATCGCTTCGATCTCTGCCGGCGTGGTCCACATGTGATGACGCCCGGAGCAATCCTGGATCCGATTGCAGTGCAATCGGATCCAGGATTGCACGCTTGCTGGCAGCAGTCGCCGCGGCGCCCAAATCCCTGCCGCAAAATCCAATCTAAGTTACACTAGGTGTGGTACGTGTAGCTGTCGTCGCCTGCTTTGCGCTGGTCTCCGCGGCCTTCTTGCCTTTGTCTGCAGCCAGCGAACCAGACGTGGTCTCCGATGTCCGCCAGCCGCTTTAGCGCTGCAGTTTTGTGGTCGCCGCTTTCGGCGAGGCTGTCCGCGATACGAAGCACGACCACCAAGACGAACTCAGGAATCCAGGCGGCATATGAGCCTCCGTCCAGCCACAACGCCTCGAGCGCAGCACCGCACTCGGATGGCTTCACCTCGCTCGCCGCGTCGCCGGCAGCGGATCTGGCCCCAGCCGATGATATCTGCGCCGCAGCAATTTCTGCAGCGCCGAGCGAGTAGCGAGCGAGCAACACCCGCCCCACCCATGCGTGTAGCAGCAGCGATTGAGCACGAGGTGCAAGCCAAGCTCGCCTTGCGCTGCAAGGGCAACTTTGGCCAGTACAGTGTACCAGCACTCGCGTGATTTGTCGCCTTTCTGCCCAGAAATGTCCGCAAACAACGCTCCAAAAAGTGATGCCGGCACTCCAACGCGGACGTAAGCGCCCCTGACCGTGATCAGCGAAAGCACCGCCCTGCAAAGCAAAGCCAAGAAGCTCGCAAAAGGCAAGCAAAAGCGCAGCAACTTACATGTACATGCAAAGCCGCCGCCAGAGCTCACCACGGGCGGCTTATCGCCGGATGATTGTGCCATCGCCAATTTATGTAACTCATGTGCCCCAAATTTCACGTTAAGTCGCAAATTTCCGCTCAGCCGACCAATCAGCGGCTGCAGAGAACCACCGCGTTGCCAGAGACACGCCGCCAAAGCTTGGATTACGCGCGGCTGGCGATCATCCATCCGGCCCAAAGCAAACCTTCATTTCGGAATTCACCGTCAGGCACTCAGATCACCACCACCGCAGCGCACCGCACTTTCCAAGCCAACATGCCGCAGCCTGTCGTCGTCGCCGCCGCCGCCCCCGAGGAGCACGCGCCGCTGCAGCTGAACCTGATCCCGCGCCTGGCGCGCAAGGAATCGCAGCGCGAGATGCCCGCGGCCATCAAGGCGCCGCCGCTCACGCCCGTGCGCGTGGAGCCGCTGCGCTGGTCGACGGCGTCCTCCTCGCTCTCCTTCCTGAGCAACATCGACCGCCTCGAGATCAACGAGACCGTGGAGCGCAACGGCGTGACCTACTACGTGCTGGAGGTGTTCCAGTTCCACTACAACTCGCGCCTGCCCACGAACGTCAACAACCCGCGCATTGCCGTCACGCGCCTGTCCGACGCCAGCGAGACGCGTGAGCCCGACTTCCGCGTGGAGCGCCGCTACTCGGACTTCGCCAAGCTGCGCCACCAGATCAGGCTCTGGACGTGCCCCAACGCGCAGTTCACGTGCCAGTACTGCTACGAGTACGGCCGCTACATGCGCTTCAAGCTGCGCCAGCCGCGCCTGCTCGTGTCGCTCACGGCCAAGAACGTCGAGAAGCGCAAGGAGATCCTGCAGGAGTTCATGACGGACTTCGTCGACCTCGCGCAGAACCCTTCCAAGAACACGGTACACCGCTGCGAGGCCCACCAGCACGTGCCGGCCTTGCTCGAGTCGTTCCTCCGGGATTGAGCCTGCGTTGATCCTGCATACTGTAGTTTTAGTATTAGACACTTTAATTTATCCAAGTCAACGTGACTTTTAACCGCCATATCGTATCTTTAGGACGTTCTCCAGTTCCACATCTACATTGCAATATATTGTGGTCCAACATGGAGGAGGAGCAGGGCCTCCGAAAATAGCATTGTCAATAGCATTATTTCAGAAAATAACAATAAATTACGCATTTCGGCGGGTTCAGCCATCTACCGTGATAATTTATTGATGTGCTTTGTGATATTACATAATTTATGACAGTTACCTTTATATAATAATGTTAGCGTTATACCAGCCATCTTCTCGCTTCCAGTCGTTCAGAAGAACTGGAATCACTGGTTGTCTGCGTTGCTAGTTGCAGCTCATTTGGCAGCGCTCACTCTTCAATTTTCACTTCTCAAGCCTCCAAGACCTCATCCAGCATGGTTCGCGCTATCCGCCCCCCTCGCCCTACCTACACGAACTCCCAAGTCTCGGGGTTTTACTTCCGCCCGTGTCGCGACGAGAACGACGAGGTGATTCTCGAGTATTTCCGTTGCCGTTGCGGCACGGTTCGGAAGCAAACCCATAGGAACGGGTACTCCAACCTGATGCAACATATCAGGCGGGAGCACCCTAACTACGAGACCGTCATGCTCGACACTACGACGGCGGAGACAGGCTCCCTCGTGAACTTCGTCCGCCACTCGGCGCTCAACCTCCACGGCTGGATGGTTTGGATTGTCATGTGCAACCTGCCACTCTCTTTTTGCGAGAGCCGAGAAGCTCGGCGGTACGTGTATGCATAATGTCATTGTGTTTACATTACTACGGAAACTAACAACTTTACTTTATGGATGTTATTCAGCTACTCCAGCCTGGACCCATCTCGGAGGAAACGCTGCGGGCTGGCATGGACGGGGTCGTCGTCGCCGTCGAGCGTTCGATTGCGTCGGAGCTCCCAGCACGCTTCGGCATCATGCTCGACGGCTGGTACACGCATCTGTGCACTACATCGCCGTGTTCGCGTGCTATGAGGTGAACGGCTGTCCCAAGACAACGCAACTCAGCATGGCCCCGCTGCTGGACGCGCTGGACGACGATCTCTCCGCGCAGGGCCATCTCGGTTTCTAGCGACCATGCTGCAGCGCGATTACGGCGTACAGCTGGCGCAGTGTCGCTTCCTCGTAGCTGACAACTGCGCCGTAAACCGGCGGCTGGCAACTCTTATGAGTTCAGGCGGACATGGCGTCGCATGAGGAGGACCTGGCTGCTGTGCAGGCGCTCATGGTAAAATTGCGTACTCTCACCCAATCTGCCAAACTACGGTAAGCGCCAATGTGTATGTGTGGTGTGTCAATATGTCTCTAACACAATTTGTGTACTTTTGTATTTTTTTTACAAAATAGGTTGAAAACGCCACTTCGGCCTGTCATTCGCCTGGACACGCGCTGGAGCTCTACGTTCGAGATGGTACGGCGCTACCTCCAGCTCCTCGAGTTTCTTGACGCCGAAGACGACGGCCTCATGGACCTGCTGCCGCCGCCGGCGATGAACAAGCGACTGCGGGCATTGTACCAGGAGCTGTGCGACATCGAGTCGGTCTCGAAGGCCCTTCAAAGCCCCGACGTCGACCTGCTGGACGTTCACGAGTGGTTCGACGAGCTGATCGCTGTCAAGCCACAATATGGGCGCTACATTGGTAAGTTTATAACTGTTGAATTTGTGTTCAATATTTTCACTACCAATTGTATAATGGTTTTTATTTTGCAGGGCCTCGGGCCAACATTGTGCACAACCCAGATTTTGAGGCTGGGTGTGTACGCGTTCTCCGCGGGAAGGCGCAGCGGCTGACGCGTGCTGATAAGGCCGCTTTGCAGCCCTTCGAAGCTGCCAGACCGGACGACGCGGCCGCGAGTGAAGAGGAGGAGGATCCAGCCGCGTCGTTCGTGGAGCGTCTTCGGAAGCGCCGGCGGCTTGCACAGGACCGTGTCAAGTATAAGCAGCTGAAGAGCATCCCACCCACGTCGAACGTGGTGGAACGCTTCTTCAGCATTCATAGTGGCATTATTTATTGTGGTACGTTGGGGGCAATGTCATAATGTACTGTTGTATTGGTAGGAGCGTCAGGGGATAATTTATTCTGCAACGACCAACCTACTAAATAAAAATGCCATATTCGGAGGCCCTGAGGAGGAGGAGTTCGAGCTCGTCTGCTCGCTGGACGCGTTCCCCACGGACGCCGCGGCGCGCCAGCAGCTCTCCGTGTCGGCGGAGACCTTCTCCGTGATCAAGCGCCAGCTGAAGCACCGCCAGTTCCGCGCCGCGCTGCGTCTGCACCGCGAGGAGAAGGCGCTCAAAAAGTACGTGCCTCGACTCGGCGGGCGGGAGACCATGTGCCAGATCGCCAGGTTCGTGGACTTCTCTCCGTGCATATGATGACGCGGCTGCTGCTGGACGCCAAGTACGGCTGGAGCAAGACCACCATCTCCAACTTCTTCAAGGAGGCCATGAAGGACAAGAGCGAGCTGGACGAAGCGGAGCCGCCGAACCGCCGAGGCCTCTCGGAGCACGAGTACACGCGGGTGATGCAGGAGATCCGCGAGTGCATCGATGGGGACGTGTACTTCTCACCGTTGGCGGATCGCATCCGCCACAACATGGGCGTCGAGTACGAGTATCTGCTGCTGGAGACGTTGCGCTGGTATTCGAGAGCGAAGACGTGCTTCGAGAGATGGGGTTGTCCAAGACGCCCGATGTGAGGTTGTTGCTTCCGATCGGTGTGAAGAAACCCAAAAGCGGGCAGCTGCATGTGGTCAATTGGGTCGATAGCAAAGCCATGTTTGGCGACCGACACACACATGAAAAGGAGAACGCGAGTCAGGTGGGTCGCGGTGAATGCTGTCTGCGTCTTCACAGGTGAATCTAACTGCTTCGTTGTCTTGTTTAGCTGCAAGGGTATGTGGACCGTTATGGTCCCGGGATGGTGATATACTGGTTCAGCCACGTCGAGCAGCTTAGCTCTGACAGCTCTATATTGTAGATTCGTTCCCGCAAGAAATCTCACTTCCAGGAGATTTTGATCCACTCGCAACGGTCACGAAGTTGGGGGAAGGTGAAGAGCTAGTGTTGCAACCTGCCAAGATTCAGACGGAATTCGACGAGGACTGGAACCCGGTGCGAGCTATAATTTTCAGCCCGTGATGCTGGAGTTGCCTTCCCCATACTTAAGTACAAAGCAAGTTGAAGTTGCGTACCGCTAAAATGGTACACTGGATCAGCTACATTTGATTGGTGGACTGGTTTGCATACGGGTAGCGGCCAGTTGCCGCTATCTGTATATAAACCGCAATAAACGTGTTTTCGATCCACCACTGCACTTGTTGGCGGAAAAGCGCGTGTGAAGGCGAGGCGAGCGCGGGCCCCTTCGTCTGACTCCTCGCGATACCCCTCCCTCTCTCCCTGTGCTAGCGCCATGGCGGACGACGACGGCTCCTCCGTGCGCGTGGCCGTGCGCATCCGGCCGCTCATCGGGCGCGAGAAGGTCGAGCGCTGCGACGAGTGCGTGTCCGTGCTGGAGGAGGAGAACCAGATCGTCATGGGCAAGAACCGCGCCTTCACGTACGACTACGTGTTCGGCAAGTACGTGCAGCAGAGCGACATCTGGCGCTGCGTGGACCCGCTGATCAAGGCCACGTTCGACGGCTACAACTCGACCATCTTCGCGTACGGCCAGACGGGCTCGGGCAAGACGTACACCATGGGCAGCGGCAGCTCGGTGCACATTCCGCCCGAGGACTACGGCATCATCCCGCGCGTCATCAGCTACATGTTCGACCAGATCGACGCCAAGATGCAGGAGAACGTGCACTTCAAGGCCGTGCTCAAGATCCGCTTCCTGGAGATCTACGGCGAGGAGATCCACGACCTGCTCGTGACGCTCGGGGACTCCTCGGGCGAGAGCAAAGTCAGTCTGCGCGAGGCGGAGAACGGAGAGGTGCAGGTCACGGGCGCGTCCGAGGTTGAGGTCGTGGACTCGGACGAGTGCATGCGACTGCTGGAGAGGGGCACGCTCTGCCGTACGACGGGCAGCACGCTCATGAACGCGCACTCGAGTCGGTCCCACGCCATCTTCACTGTCACTATGGTGCAGCACATCCCTATTGGAGAACCGCCCGCTGACGGCAAGGAGATGCAGGAAGGAGACTACGAGACGAGAAGCTCGTACTTCAACTTTGTGGATCTTGCCGGTTCCGAGCGTCAGAAGCGGACTCAAGCGGAGGGCAAACGTCTGAAAGAAGGCATCGACATCAACAAGGGACTCCTTGCACTGGGAAATGTTATCAGCGCGTTGGGTGACGACACGAAGAGAGGAAAGGTGCACGTCCCCTATCGTGACTCGAAGCTGACGCGTATGCTCCAGGATTCGTTGGGTGGTAACAGCCGGACGCTCATGCTGACGTGTGTGAGCCCTGCCGACGTCAACTTCGAGGAGACGCTGAATGCGCTCAAGTATGCCAACCGAGCCAGGAACATCCAGAACAAGCCCGTTGTGAACCGTGATGAAGCTTCAGCGATGACGATGGAGCTCCGCCGCCAGGTGCAAATGCTTCAGATGGAGGTGCACCGACTTCGCAACCCGGGACTATCGGAAAGCGAACTAAAGATGGAGAGTGTGGGGACGAACTTCATCGGAATGGCAAGCGACTTCGACTCGTTCGGCAATCTTCGAACGCGTGCAGAGAACGCTGAAAACGAGGTGGCTCGACTGACGGCTGAGCTGAAACGCGGTAAGAGCCAACTCGATCACCTGAAGGAAGAGATGATTGCGGCTCAAGCAGAACGCGACTACTTGAGGCTCTGTGTTGAAGAAAGCGCGGGCGGAAGTTCAGTGTCGCCGGAGGAGCGGGAATCCAAGTCCAATGTTCTGAAGGACCAGTTGCGAACCATCTGCGAGTTGCAAGAAAAACTTCGAGCGACTGAGCGAGAGCGTGACAATGCTATGATGAGCTTTCCTGGGTCTGTTAGTAGCGGCAGCAGCGGAACCCGACCGTCGACTGCTCCAGCGTTTGCCCTGCCTTCACTCGCGGAGGTTGATACTAAGGTGGGTAACGAGCTGCTTGAACGAGCAGAAAAGGAGATCGAAAGGGAAACTGCACTTCTCAACAAGTTGAAAGGAGGAGAAAGCGGTGATGATGCTGGTGGTGACAGCGACGGTAGTGGAGCCGATGGGGATGGCTCGGCAGACGGCATGGAAGTTGAGGAAGAAAACCAAGAGGAGGCCGATCGTATGCGTGTGTTCCAGCGTCGTCAACGCCACCTTGGCGAGTCGGTCCAGGATCTCGCCCATGACATTTCCCTGAAGGAGCAGCTTGTGCAGAATATCCGCCAGGCCCAGGAAAACTACGATCGAATGAAGAGCTTTTATGAGCAGAAGATGGCAGAAATGGTGGAGGAGGTCCGCGCAGCCCAGGTGGATCGTGATCGCCTTGTTGATGAGATCCAGCAGATCGAAAAGAAGGCTGCTGCTGAAGGTGACACGTCTGGTGGAAATGGAAGGCTAGCGAAGCTATCACGAGACCTGAAGGTGAAAGAGGAAGAGCTTCAGGCCCTGCGCAAAAAGCAAAACGATATCAATCGCTTCATGAACCAGAAGAAAAAGAACGAGACCCAGCTACGCGTACTGAACTCGGAGATCAGCAACATGAAGCGCCAAAAGGTGGATCTGGTGAAGAAAATGAACGAGGAGAGAAAGCGATACGAAGAAGAAGCTAAACAGCGTCGCCGTGAAATCATGAGCCTCAAGCGCAGCCAGCAGCGGGACAAGCAGCAAATTCAACGCTTGGGGTCGCAGAAGGATGCCCAAGAGCGGGTGCTGAAGCGCAAAATCGAAGAGGCATCAGCCGTGAAGCAGCGCCTCAAACGCCAGGAACAACTGACGGCCCAAGCTAGAAAACAAAATGCTACGTATGGTCGTAAGAAAACTGCTGGGGCGAATCGTGCTGATCGTGATGCGAAGTGGTTGTCCGAGGAGGTGAAGAAGCGTGCAGAGGAACAGCAGAAGCTGGAGCAGTTGCAGAAAGAAAGAGAGGCTGTGGCGAAGGAGATGGAGGCGCTGTATGCGCAGCGTGACAAGCTTGAAAAGGAGGTTAAGAGTTCTATTTCGTCTCAGACGAACATTCGCGACGTGCTCACGTCGCCTATGCAAAACTCGCCGCTTAGCCGACGCAATAGCGGACGCCAGGAGCAGCAGCTGACGCCTGCGGAGGAGCAATTGCTCTATGACTTGGAGGAACGTATCGAGGCCTGCCAAGCGCAACTGGAGTACAAGGAAGAGAAAATTTCTGAGATTTCAGACGATGTACGGGTTGTGGATGGAGGCAACGCGTTGGCCAAAATCGAGACGACGCAGTCACTGCCTGAGGCACGAACTCTCTTGAAAATGCTCTTCGGAATGGCGGTTGACGTGAAGAAGCAAGACCAGCGTAAGGAGCAAGAGCTGACCAAGCAGCAGGTGGAAATGGCAGAGCTTACCCGCCATCTTGAGCAGGAACGAGAGAAGACTTTGCAGATTAAGCAGAGTTACGAAGAGTCCCTGCAACGCGTGGTGAACGGTGGGATGAATGACGATGAGTCTTCACCAGCGCAGGAGCCACTAGACGAACGCAGCCGCATCCTGTTATCTGTCTCCGAAGAGAGAAACTCCGTGCTGAGAAAGAAATGCGAAGAGCTGGAAACTATCTCGCGGACGATCGATCAGGAAAAGCAGTCAGTTGAAGCTAGGCTGCAGCAGGAACAGGAGGATCTTGCTGCGAGCCGAGAGCGCGTTCGGTATTTAGAAACAAAACTGAAAAAGTTGAGCAAGGTGGCTGTAGGAGCTAGCCAGACTCCACGCCGTTCACGCATTCCTGTTTCGGGGCCGAGCAAGCTCAGTGCACCATCGCAGCAGGCACAATCAGGACCGGCTTCCTGGGCTAACGAGTTTGACGACGATGAAGATATGGGCACCGACGACAACGACGCTGACCAGGACGGCAGCGAAGATGTTCCTATGCGCAGTGACGAGGATGAAAATGCTCAGTCTTCTCGTTCATTCGGGCAAGACCGGCGCCGGTTTAGAATGGAGTTGGAGAGTGTGGGTGGTAGCACGGAATTTTCGTCGGTGTCATCGCAAAAGGGTCGCATTTCGCAGCGCCGTTCCGGAAATGAAGAGAGCGAGGGCCATGGAGACGATGGGGGCGACGACGCGACCAAGGAAGACTCACCGCACATGGGCAGCGACGATTCTTCGTCTGCCACCAACTCCATCTTCTCGCGTTTGTCAAACCCTACGAACTTCACGGGTATTCACAAGAACCGCGTGCGGGAAAGTGCCTCAAAGCGCGAGATTCTGCAGAGCCGCTCGGAGCGTAATCGCTCGAGGCGCTTGAAAGACAAGGGCCAGCTCAAGCGATCTGCAAACACGCCGACGGAGCAGTATGTTGGAACTCCTGGGGGCTTCAAGAACCCGCCGTCGTTGAAGAGCAATTCGGTTCTGGAGGTGCTTGCCAACATGAAACGAGAGAACGAGTCCGAGCAGTACGTCAGCTCGTCTGGATTGCGACAGCCGATGTCCTTCGTGACGACAGACCGTCCGCGTGACTACAGTAGTGACGACACTGAACTTGTTGGAGCTTCCAGTACGATGCCCCCTCCAGCTCCACAGACTGATGTCTACTCTCGCCTTGCAGGCCAGTACACGGCCTCTGCCAAGAGCAAGCGCCAGCACGCAACGACTCCTGCTCGTCGCGACAAGGCGGATGACGTGGAAGGCGCAGTCAAGGCTGGGCTGCAGGGGATCGAGCTGGAAGACGACGCCTATCTCATAGACCATCACGGAAGCGAGGATGCCAACTACACCGGCAGCGAGGACGACTCCAACTACGACCCACTCCTCGGTGGCGAGAGCCTAATCAAGCAGGTCCACGACGATTACCGGGAGCGCCTTGCGCAGCGAAATGCCGATGCTGGAAGCTAAGCATCATTCATAGCGATGGGGCATGCCCCGCCAACTTGGTGCTCCTCACCCATGACAAGTGAGGACGCACTGTTTCCATGCGGCCCGCATGCGAACTCAACCGCAGGCGCAGCGCTCACGCAACGCGTTTTAGATGAACAGACAAGAGAACCATCCCGTCAAGTAGGGTGCAACAGCAACACGGGCAACCAATAAAAAAGTGATCGATGCTCATGGAACATGCAAAATAAGGTACTACGAACGTCCGTCCAACTCATATGCAGCACGCAAATCCAGACAGCGAAGGAGCATCGCAGTAAGCGAGCGAGAAGCTCACGCAGCGTCCAGAATCTCTTGCTTAAGGGAGAGATACTGCTGGTACGTGAGCTTGTGGATCGAGCTGCGGTAGCGCGTGACCTTGACGGTCTTGAGCATGTCCTGCGTGACGCTGCGGCGGTAGCCCGCCTTCCTCATGAGAGACGTGACGGTCTCCGTGTGCGTCCAGCCCTGCTCACGAGCCACTTGCGGCAGGTACGTGGCGCTGTACTCGTTGCCGCGCGAGTCGCTGAAGTCGATGATGATCCCGTGCGTGCCGATCTGGTCCCAGTACGTAACCAGTTAGGGAAAGCTTTAAGAAGACAGAGCTAAAAGCTAGAGTCCACCGACCTCCCAGTCGTCGAAGCTCTCGGCGTCCTGGTAGTCGATGAGCAGCGACACGGAGCAGTGCAGGCGGTGCAGCTCCTGCGGCCCGATGGGGTCGAAGCGGCGGTCGCGCAGCGCGCTCTTGAACGTGAAGTCGCGCAGGTTGCGCAGCCGCGTGGGCGCCAGCGTGCCGATGCAGCCGCGCAGGTGGGTGCCGCCCTGCTCCTCGATCTCCCACGTCACGAACAGCGGGCTGGCCCGGGGTGGACAGCCACACCAAAACCAAAGTACGCACGCACCCACACGACACCTTATTAGCGACATGTTTTGCTGGGACTCCGTCTTATTATAGAGCTGACAAGAAGACAGAGAACGATACGCACTATTCCTGCAGCACGTCGAAGCGGGGCGTGGGCTCAGCGCCGCCGTCGAAGTGCGACTGCAGCGTGTCGAAGCAGTACACGACCATCGCGGCGCTCGCCATGTTCGCGGCGCTTGGATCTAATGAAGAGGAAGAAAGATGCAAAAATAATTTAAACCAATGAGAAGGGGTCGAAAACACTATCCGAACTTAGCAATCGAGTCAGCCACAATAAGTTCGCACCCTGACACCCGTTTTTGTTGGTCGTAAGCGAATTTTCCATCTCAGCTGGCCACAGGATGTGGAGGTATCTGCACTAGCGCTGCGTTGGTGTCGGCGGCATTTAGGCCCGCAAATGCATGTTGTACGAAGTGTCTTGCGACCGACGGCTTCCAGCGTCGTGGCCCCGCTCACTGCAGCTTTCATCGGCGCCAAAAGAATCGCGTTCTTTCGCGAGTTTTTTTTTGTGCAGATCGATCAACGATCTTGCGTTGAGTTTACGGGCAGCAGCTGGCCGGCCGTCGTTGACTCACTCAAGGTTCTCTGTCGGCTCCCGCAGGCAAAGCCCGCATGGCGATCTCGTGCATCCGCCGAGGTACGGATGCATAAGAAGAAGACCGCGCGAGATGTGGGCTCCTCTGGCATGGGCCTGGGCGAGGCGAGCTGCCCTTGCCCGTGAGTCAGACCCTACACTCCACGACAAAAAGATATGGACACCACCAAAAGTGGCTGTAACTTCGTCATTTTTTATCGTTTTAAGGTGCGGTTTGGACTAGAGTTGCAGCCGATGGGGTTTGTCGCCCCATACAAAGTCCAAGTTGTATCATTTGTAAGGGGTTTTGGTTAATATAGGATTTTGTATGGGGATTAGCTGTCCATAAGTTTTGTCACCTGGGCAGAACCAGTGTTTGTATGTGAGCTACCTGAAGAAGCGCAAAAGCGCGCGTGTTAGCAGCGTGCAGATCTTTATCAGCGTGTTCTGCAACTCTAGTCCAAACCGCACCTTAAAACGATAAAAAATGACGAAGTTACAGCCACTTTTGGTGGTGTCCATCTCTTTTTGTCGTGCGTGGAGTGTTGGCGCCGACACCCAGCAGCTGGGGGCCCGGCAGGAAAGACGTTCACCGGCTCCGCTTCCTGCCGCCTTGACACGGCCGCCGCGTTACGATCACCAGGAGCAGCTGGGGGCTCAATTCAATCACGGCCCGCGGAATACTGGCACCGTATCGCCTTCATAGATGTGCAGGACACCTGGGCGGGTGGGTGAGTCACGTCGGCGTCGGCGCATGACGAGGACGCGACCGACGCTGGGTGCTTGCTCGGGACACCCCGCTGCTTGTACGATGATGTTTGCACAAATGAGTGGGGGATTTTACTGCATTTACATGAGGCGCGGCCCCTAAGCTAGCCTTGCCTGACCTTATAACTATCGGTTGGGAATGAACAGGTGCTGCCCCTAATCTGTCCGTGCTCCGTGGCGAATGCACACGCCTCGACGAACGGCGCCCTTGTTGCAGCCGGCTTCCCGGCAGCGCCGGCCGCCGCCGTGCGAGACGCACAGGTGGCCGCCCACCGCGCTCTTGGTGCACCCGACGACTTCGCATCTCCGGCCGCCGCCGTGTGCGATGCAGAGACCGCCCTTGAGCGCCGTCTTGGAGCAGTTGGGCGCGCTGCAGCGCTTGCCGCCGCCGTGCGCGGAGCAGAGCCCGCCGGCCAGAGCGGACTTGGAGCAGCCTTCCTCGCGACAGCGCTTGCCACCCCCGTGGGCGATGCAGTAGCCGCCCTCCTTGGCGCTCTTGACGCAGCCCTCGTTGCGGCACCGCCGGCCGCCGCCGTGCGAGATGCAGAAGCCGCCCGTCTTGGCGCACTTGCGGCACTCGGGCACTTTGCAGAGGCGACTGGGCTTGTGGAACTCGCAGAAGGCGCCGAAGAGGCTGTTGGCCGTGCGGTAGCAGTTCTTCTTGGAGCAGATGACGCCACCCGCGGGCGTGGGGAGGCCCAGCGCGTTGGGCACGGGCTGGTACTGCTGCGGAGGCTGCATCTGCACTGGCATGTGCATCGGCTCCTGCGGCGTGTCCGGGTTCGTGATGAAGCTCAGGCTCATGCGCTCGCGCAGCACGGGCGTGGAGACCGTGGAGGCCTCGCTGGGCGTGGTGGACGCGACGCTCGTGGTGTCCGACTCGGGCGTCGGGAAGCTCAGCGCGAGCTTCTTGGGCTCGAAGGCCGGCGGGTGGCACAGCTCGAGCGGGAACTGCGGGCGGTGGTGCATGACCCCGCGCAGCAGCGAGTCCGTGAGCTGGAACATGCTTTCAGTATTTCGAGTCCGAGTTAACGCGGTGTGGTGCAGTACAGTGCGGATACGCCTGTGGCCGAGACTTGGCGAGTTCGATTGTGGTGTGACGGAGACCGCCGCCGCGAGAATACCAAATCAGGGGCAGAAGATGGACGGAGCCATTGTTCAGATCCTAAGCAAGCGCGCGAGCGAGGTTGCGGCAGATGTCTCCCGGCCATGCGGCGATCACGGTCAAGGCTCGACTCACGAGCGCGGATGCGTGACCGCCAAAGACTGCGCCGTGGCCCGTCTGAGCGGCCGGATGCCCAGGCTGCTACCAATGAGTTTTCGTACCTCACGACCTCAATACTGCAGTATTCTCAAACTTTAACGAGGCATTATTGTGTATGGAAACACCATGAGGCACGCACACTTATATAGACTAATGTAAGGGATGAGGGCGTCTCAGGCTGCCTCTCCAATAATTTCTTGCAGACAGTGTCCCTCAGTGCTGCGCTGCGCCACCTTCGATCGCGTAGTTGCTAAAGCGACCGTAACGGGGACCCTTTGCGCTTCAAGCTGCAAGATGTCCTTGGGCCGCGTACCTGACGAAATACTGGTCCTACTGCGAACGCAATCAGAAACTCGAATCTACCGCTGTCACTACTGTAGCTTTCTCCATGCGTCTTCGAGCGTCAGGTTCGACTGACCACCAGCATGTTCCTGGATGTCATTCGTGTGGTTGCTGTTATAATAGCTGCTATCCTACTCCTCAATTGTAGCTCTATTAGAGAACGTAGGTCTAGCTCTCGCTCGTGTCGAAGATAATATTGCTCTGTAGTCAACTTTGGTCTGTCCGGAGCCTAAAGCAACGCTACAGCGATGCCTCGCTGCTCAAGTCGCGGTGGGCGTGAAAGCGGTAGCAACCAGAGCTGGCTTCGAGTTTTAGTGGCATTTGCCACGGCCTTTGGTGGTACTGAAATCTCGCGTTGGGGTTTTCATAGGGATGTAGCGACAGTGGTGGATTTATGATGCGCCGTTGCTTTCAGGGGAGTTGTCTATACTACTTTCTCAAACGAACATTGCTACAGGTAAGAAGTCTTGCACTTTTAACAAACAGCGTATCAGGATGGTATACGTACGTACAAATGTACCATGTAATGGTGTCAATATGTAGCCGATTTGGGGGATGACTAGTGCGTGTATTCCACACTTAGACTCTCAATTATCTTCTGTATTGATGTCTACTCAACTGCGATGGCTGTCAACTTTGTTATGAGCACTGTTGGTGGAGCAAGGAGCCACACACTCTTGGGTTCAGCCTGAATTTCTTCCGTGAAATGAGGCGCTCTCAGCAATCTTTAATGAGGTATTTCGATCTTTTTATGTAATAACGCCTCATTGGTAGCAGCCTACCGGCTTGCAAGCTTCGCTGACTGGCCAGGCGGAGGAGCGAGCACATGGGCGCTTTGCAGCAGGATGTAAGCAGCATGACGGCCAAAAGCTGGCGCTCAAGAGGCTGTCGTGCCAGCTTGCGCGCGCCACTTGGCGGCATCGAGCATCTTTCGTGCAGCATGTACCTGTACAAATTTTCTTAGCCCGACTGAGACTCTATCTAACTTGCCTGGAAAGCCCCGCTCGAAAGAGGACTTGAACTTGCCGCGTGCTGCTTGATTCCCGCCCGCTTGGAGGCGGACTCGCAGGCCTGCCTTCTTTGCGGCCGGGGATTTGTATATCATGCGGTACCCGATGCAGGTGCCCCCCACGAAGGAAGGCGGCGACGAGTGCTCTATGGCAGGCAGGCAGCGCTCGGTCATAGTGAGCACCATGTTATTACAGTATGTGTACTATCCGAAGTCCAGTCCTGGCGTGCTGGTGCTTTTAGTGTTGCGGCCGCAAGGTCGGCGGTCTCACACCCACCAAGTCTCCGTGTTGATCGGCGACTTGACTTGAGACCGACTCGGCGGGGGCGAAAAAGAATCGTTGACTCAATGCAAAACAGCTGCGGGCTCCCTACGCGAACGTTACGACGTGACTTACATGTACGTTGTCGGGTCGAGCATGCATGAGGCGCCGCTGAGTCCACAGCGCCTGCCACCGCCACCACTCGAGGAGAAAATCGCCAGAGCCGGTCGGGCACGCGCGAGAGTATCCGGACCCACGAGCGGACAATGCGCGCGGAGCTGCTCGTCGATGCCGCCGCCGCCGCGTGGATTTGTCTGCACGCGCTGAGGCAGGCAACGAGCGCGGCAGTCACGAACCACTTGATGGTGGACGGCGGGCGGGTCTGGTCCTGGTCCCAGCGGTGCCACTGCTTGCAAGTGCGTAGTGGCCGTCGGCGTTCGGCCACTGGCCGAACGCCGGCCATGACACCCAACTGACATAACTCGACGTTAGTCGGTGAAGGCGCTACATACTGCCCACGAAGTCCATTGGAAAGGCAGGCAGCCAGAGCTCACCAGCAAGAGCCACAGTCACTCTCACGGTGTTTGTATCTCTCTCTCTTTTCAAAGGATGGCAAGCCTGGCAACCTTTACTCCCACGAGCGGACACCACCAGCTGCAAGCCCGGGTACAGTACTGTACGCTACGTCACAATTGAGCTTCAGCTGGTCAACATACTGAAAGCAAGACGATGTCGACCTCGCCACGTCGCGCTCGCTCGCACCGCATGATCACGAGAAAATGCGGCCGCCGATTATCATCAAGGCGCGGCGTCGTGTGGGGGCCTCGAAAGCACTGTACGCGGCTCGGCTCGGTGAATGGCTTCACGGCGGCGCGTGCAAGGATAACATCACGATGCAGCAATGCTGCCAGCATCATCGATGCTGTACATGTGTACCTCGTGAAGGCCATGGCGGTGTTGGTGGAGCACCGCACTGGCCAATGGACAATTGTGGACGATATGGATCGGACCCCTTTCATTTTACAGCGCGAGCATATTTGCGGTAAACCGTAACCGATAAAAGGGGGGGGGGCTGCATATAGCAAGGATACTTGTGGGCCACGAGCTTCCTGAAAGCATGGTGCACGAGCAGATCCACCACCGCCGCAGGATATTGGTTTACCACCGAGGACAGTATCCATGATGAGGCTCTTCAACGTGAGCCTGCAGTGTATCGCTACGACTAGGTGCACATCGGCGACAACACGCGCGAATTCATACGTACATCCAGTGCATGTCATGCACTTTGTTGAGCGGATCCAGCGCTGCCGCGATCTTGCTTTCGGTGTGGACGAACGGCGGACAGCAGCCGGCGACTCCCAAGCAAGAGCCGCAGAATTCGGCATTGTGCGGCTCTCGTGAGTCGCTAGGAGTCCCATGGCCTTTCAAAAGATCGGCGAGGACAAAGGTGCTCGCCGCTGCCAGACAGTCGAGAATTGGTCTGCAAGAACTTGCCCCTGGGTTTGCATCTTACTACAGTGCAGCGCGCGGTCATGACGTTGGTCTCCTACGGGAGCGAAAACCCCGACTGCGTCAAGGTCGAGCAGCCCGATGCAGCGCTGTCTTCTGCTCACTCCACTACCAAAAGATGGAGGAAGCTGGCGCTGATCACAGCAGGAACAGCCCTTTGCGTCGGCAGCGCCCTCGCCACGTACCAAGGCTGGAGCTCCTACCTCACCGACGCAACAGTTGCTGCGAACCGAGCTTCTGCGCCGAGCGGGATGTTCCTGGAGAGCCAATACACGTCGGAAGTCAAACCCGACGTGACGCTGCTTACCTCGGGCCAGGAGATCATGCTCCGCGTGCGCGGGAAGAACAACCTGTGCGTCGACGACGGAGGCGGCTGGACGGCCGCGTCGTCCAAGTTCACCAACAAGCCATGCAACCCGAACAGCCCCAACCAGGTCTTCAAGTACATCTCCACCTCAAAGCAGTTCGCCAGTGTCTACAAGACCGGGCTGTGCATCGACGATGGCGGGTCGACCACGGCTTCGGGATCAAAGGCACAGCTGAACAAGTGCGACGCCAATAGTCAGAACCAGTGGTTCGTCATGAACACCAAGACGCTGATGCTAAAAAACCCAGCCAAGAACAATTTGTGCTTCGACGACGGTGGCGGCGCCACGACTGGGTCCACCAAGTACGTGCTGTGGACCTGTGACAATAACAATCCCAACCAGCACTTCGAGGTGCTGTCCCGTGCTGCTATGGCGGCCGAGAAGAAGCAGAAGGCGGGGACGACCATGTACGATCTCATGGTCTCCGGCCAGGAGATCATGCTTCGCGTCCGTGGCAAGACCAACCTGTGTGTCGACGATGGAGGGAGCTTCACCGCATCCACGACCAAGTTCACGGACATGCCATGCAACCCGAACAGCGTGAACCAGGTATTCAAGTACAATATCAAGACGGGCGGCCTCGAGAGCATCAACAAGCCAGGTCTGTGCATTGACGACGGTGGAGCGTTGAGTGCGGGTGCAGCGACGTCGCGTCTGTGGTACTGCGATATCAACAACCAGAACCAGTGGTTCGACATGGATGAATCCACACTCATGATGAAGAACCCGGTGAAGGACAACTTGTGCCTTGACGACGGAGGAGGCACGAGAGCTGGAGCAACCAAGGTCACCATGGGGTCCTGCGACAACAACAGTCCGAACCAGCACTTCGAAGTGCTCTCACGTGCTGCGTTGCTTGAGGAGAAGAAGAAGACGGGGTCCACTCCGTACGATCTGCTCTTGTCCGGCCAGGAGGTCATGTTCCGTGTTCGTGGTAAGAGCAACCTCTGCGTTGACGATGGCGGCGGGTGGAGTGCTGCGGTGTCGACCTTTGTGGACAAACCGTGCAACCCCAACAGCCCCAACCAGGTCTTCAAGTACAACATCAGGACGCTTGAGTTCGAGAACGTTAACAAACCTGGACTGTGTATCGACGATGGCGGCTCATTGAGTAGTGCTGGGTCTACTGCTCGTCTCGGGTACTGCGACGCCAACAACCAGAACCAATGGTACGTACTGGACGAGTCGACGCTGATGCTGCGGAACCCGATGAAGGACAATCTATGCTTCGACGACGGAGGCGGAACAGCAGCAGGAGCTTCAAAGTTTGCCACGAGAACTTGCGACAACAATAGTCCGAACCAGCACTTCGAGATCCTTTCGCACGTCGCAATGATCGAAGAGAAGAAGAAGAGCGTCGGAACAACTGCGTACGACGTGCTGACGTCCGGCCAAGAGGTCATGCTTCGTGTTCGTGGGAAGGCCAACCTATGCATGGACGACGGAGGCGGCTGGAGTGCTGGCGCGACGAACTTCATCGGCCAGCTCTGCGATCCGGACAGCCCCAACCAGATTTTCAAGTACAATCTCCAGACGCGCGAGTTCGAGAACGTCAACAAGCCAGGGCTCTGTATTGACGACGGTGGTTCTTGGAAGGCTGGTGGGTCGCAGGCACATCTGTGGTACTGTGATCCGAACAATCAGAACCAGTGGTTAGTCCTTGATGAGGATACGTTGATGCTGCACAACCCTACGAAGCCCGACTTGTGCCTCGACGACGGAGGAGGAGCATTCCCTGGCGACACGAATTTTGTACTGTCAAATTGCGGTGAAGACAACCCGAACCAGCACTTCGAGATCATTTCGCGTACAGATTTTGTCGAAGCACGGAGACAGAAGAGAATCGAGGCAGGAATCGACGACGACGTCGAACTTCTCAACTCCGGAGGGAAAATTATGCTTCGAGTTCATGGCAAGAACAATTTGTGTGTCGACGACGGAGGCGGTCGCTCGAACGGTGCAACGAAGTTCGTGGACCGCGCGTGCAATCCGAGCAGTCCGAACCAAGTGTTCACATACGACGCCAAGACTCGCCAGTTCAAGAGCGTGAACAAGCCGGGATTGTGCCTGGACGACGGCGGTAGCTCGAGTTCGGGCTCGGCTCAAGCGCAATTGTGGGAGTGCGACGCAAACAACCAGAACCAGTGGTTTGTACTTGACGAGGAAACCATGATGCTGCGTAATCCAGCGAAGAAGAATTTGTGTCTTGACGACGGTGGAGGCACGGCCCCGGGCGCCACGAAGTTCTGGCTGTGGACGTGCGACCCCAACAACGTGAACCAGCACTTCGAGGTCCTTTCGTACGAGAAAATGGCCGAGGAGCAGAAGCAGCGGCTGATCGCTGCTGGACGTAACAGCGACGTCGAGATTCTGAACTCGGGAGAGTCGATCATGCTTCGAGTCCGTGGCAAAGAAAATCTGTGCGTTGACGACGGAGGCGGGCGCTCCAATGGCGCTACGAAGTTTGTGGACCAACCCTGCAACCCGAACAGTATGAACCAGCTATTCACGTACGACCCGAACACGTACCAGTTCAAAAGCGCCAACAAGCCAGGGCTGTGCATGGACGACGGGGGAGGTTGGGGTGCTGGCCAAACGACCGCTCACCTGTGGGAATGCGACCCAACGAACCAGAACCAGTGGTTTGTTCTGGATGAGGACACCATGACGCTGTACAGCCCGGCCAAGGACAACTTGTGCTTCGATGACGGCGGTGGCACGACGCCAGGATCGACCAAGTATTGGCTGTGGACGTGCGATGGCAACAACCCCAACCAGCGCTTCGAAATTCTCTCTGCTGCCGCGCTGGCTGCGGAGAAGAAGAAGGCGCGGATTGCTGCGGGCAACACAGCAGTCGACATCCTCGTGTCCGGCCAAGAAATTATGCTTCGGGTTCGTGGCAAGAGCGACTTGTGTATTGACGATGGCGGCGGTCATCTGAATGGGGAAACAGACTTCGAAAACCAACTATGCGACCCGGACAGCCCCAACCAGATCTTCACTTACAACCCGATGACGCACCAATTCCAAAGCGCCAATAAACCGGGTATGTGTATTGACGACGGTGGTGGCTGGAGCTCTGCAGAGACAGCGGTTCACTTGTGGGAGTGCGACCCGTACAATCCGAACCAGTGGTTCGTCATGGACGAGGGCACATTGGTGATATTCAACCCCGCAAAAGACAACCTGTGCTTCGATGATGGCGGTGGCATGACACCAGGTGAGACAAAGTATGTGCTGTGGACCTGCGACGACAACAACCCGAACCAGCACTTTGAGGTGCTACCTCGAGCTTCAATGATAGCGGAGAAGAGGAAGCGACTCATTGCTGCGGGTGTTGACGACGACATCGACCTCCTCAACTCGGGTCAGCCTCTGATGCTTCGTGTCCGTGGTAAGGACAACCTCTGTGCGGATGACGGCGGTGGCCACTCGAATGGAGACACCAACTTCGTGAATATGCCTTGCGACCCGAACAGCCCCAACCAGATCTTCACCTACGACGCCAAGACGCACCAATTCAGGAGTGTGAACAAACCCGGTTTGTGTCTGGACGACGGTGGTGGGTGGAGTGCAGCTCAGACGACGGCGCATTTGTGGGATTGCGACCCGAACAACCAAAACCAATGGTTCATCCTGGACGAGGACAACATGATGCTCCGAAACCCTGTGAAGCCCAACTTGTGCTTCGACGATGGCGGCGGTATGACTCCTGGCACTAGTAAGTACTGGCTGTGGACTTGCGACACGGCCAACACGAACCAGCACTTTGAAATTGTGTCTCCAGCGTTGATGCCACCGCTGGTGCTGAAGGACGCAAGTGCTGTTTCAGATGGACAAACCTTAGACAACCCCGATGCCCAATACATCAAGACAATCGAATCTGGAATTAAGGTGCTGATCCGAGCGCACCAGAAGAAGAACCTCTGCCTGGACGACGGTGGAGGCCGCTCCAATGCCGAGACCAAATTTGTGTACCAACCGTGTGACCCCAACAGCCCCAACCAGATCTTCTCGTACGACGTTGACGCGAAGGAATTCCAGAGTGTGAACAAGCCTGGTCTGTGTCTAGACGACGGTGGAGGCTGGAATGCTGGAGATAGCACGGCTCACTTGTGGCAGTGCGACTCGGGCAATGAGAACCAGTGGTTCGTGACCGACCCAGACACCATGTTGTTCCACAACCCGGCGAAACCAGGACTTTGCTTCGATGATACTGGCGCTACGGAGCCCAGCAAGTCGAACTTCATTATGTGGTACTGCAACTCAGACACTCCTAACCAACAGTTTGAAGTGGTGCCTCAATGGGAGCTGCTCGGGATCACGCCGGACGTTGCGCCTCCTCCACTTCCGAAGATTGGAGACGGGCTGTGGAGCACTATTGATAATGGGAATGACGTTCTGCCACCTCCCGCTCTAAGCGACGTCCTACCGCCGGTTGTCGTGGATAATAACGGTGGCGTTGTGGGACCTACTCCGCCCAATGCTGAAGACGGAGGCTTCGACTATTCTAACGTCGTAGTGCTACGTAATGATGACAATGTTATCACCCCTCAAGTGGATTCGAGTGGTTTCGGATCGACTGGGGGTAAAGGTGCCATGACAACGACCAGCGTTAGCGACGGTGGAATTGTTGCTACTCCTGAGCCGCAACCATACAACCCGGCTACTCCTAGTCTGATCGACGGTGACAGTGTCCAACCTACTTACACCAATCCCGGGTGGAATTATGGCGGATCTACTGGCAACGCTGTTGCGATGGAGCCGACAGACAACCAAAACCCGGGATTGGAATATACCCCTACGACTCAACGCCCGATCATTGAGGACGGTGGAATCGTCGCCATCCCTCCTTCGAACGACGCGGTAGTTTCCGTGCAATCTACAGACGCAACTACTGCAGGATGGGGGGACACCCACGCCGACAGCTCTGGTCCCGCACAGGATATCTTCTCGGGCACCAGTAACCCAGACACTGCGTCAACCCCAGCGGTTGATAGTCCGACGAACCCCGACCAAGTCGGCCTGGTGGGCCCGGCAGTGCTGCCGTTCCAGGAGGACAACAACTTGCCAATCCCCAATGCTCCCGTTATCAGGAAGGCCGACTTGCCTCTGGCCAACTACGGAGACTGCGACTGGAACCTGCTGGCGCCGTCGAACGACACGCTCTTGATCATCAACAAGGACGACTCGCCGATCATCTCGGCGGCCAAGATCTTCAAGTACTTGCAGACTATCAAGGAACACGCCGACGTGGAGCACCAGGTGACGATGGACCGCTACAAGCGCACCTTCCAGTGTGCGACCGACGGCCTGAAGACGCTGGCCAAGGACGCGGTGACGAGCGACGAGTACCACGTGCTGGTGCAGTGGATGTACGACCACTGCGCGGCCGGAGCGACCGGTGTGAAGCCCGCCGAGAACCCGTCCGGATCCATCTCGGACGATGTGCTCAAGGGCGACGACGTGGCCGTGCTCGTGAACGACGACAAGATCAACCGGCAGTTCATGACCAAGCTGGACTTCTACTACGAGATCAAGAACCACTACGCGGACAAGAACGCGGAGCTGGTGGGCAACGCGGCGGTGGCCAACTTGCGGTCGTCGGAGACGCTGAAGCTGGAGAAGAAGCTGGTGGACTGCATCGAGGAGGCCTCGGAGCGCTTCGGTTACAAGCAGGACCAGACGTCCAACGAAGACCGCGAAGACCGCCTCAAGCAGGCCATCGCATGGGTGCATGACACGTGCATGGCTTCGTAAACTGAATCCGACATGAACTAACTGCAACCGAATGGGATCAGGGACGTTCGTAAGTGCGAGAGCTCAAGTTCAAATCCAAACAAAACATTGCTACAGAAAGCAAATCCCGAATAAGTTACGGGAGTTCTTACGCTATGATCTCGGTAAATTTCGAGCCGCACTAATCCGATATGTTACGTTGTGTTTCGAAAATCACGATTTGATTGGCTAGTTTTTCTATAAAAAAATGTAAGGCCGCTTAGCTCGCATCAGCACCTTTTTTTTTGAAATGAAAGATACCTATCCTCGCGCCCCTTCAGATGGCTTTGCCGCCGTTCGATGGGCTCTGCTGGAGACCGTGCAAACCACTTTCAAGTGGATCCAATCTCGGATCTTTGTACTCGCTCAGAGCGACCCTCGACCGAGGCCACGGTCACCGCACAATGATCACGAGCGGCTCAGATGGCCCGGGAAGAGTCTCCGATGGCAAGATCGCCATGCCCCCAAGAGATGTCGGATCTTGGACACCTCGGAGCTCGAAAGCTCTCCCAGCCAAGCACTGCCATTCTCACTCGTGAATTTGCCTGCTAGCTGTCACACCCCCTTCCTCCCTAGTCTTCTGTCCCCAGTCAAGTGTCGGTGTGTGTGGAGTTTGCAAGTCAGCGGTCATGTCGTTACTCTCCTACGGGAGCGACCCGGACGCCATCAAGGTCGAGGTCGATCAACATGATGCTGCGTTATCACCAACCCCGGCCCGGTCTCCCGGCAGCAAGTGGAAGAAGCTGGTGCTGGCCACGGCCGGCACCGCCCTGTGCATCGGCAGCGCCGTGGCCGCGTTCCAAGGCTGGAGCTCGTACCTGACCAAGGCAAGGATCGGCGCGGAGAGGGCAGCCGCACCCAACGGCATGTTCCTCGAGAGCCAAATCGCGTTCGACGTCAAGTCCGACTTCAGTCTGCTCAACTCGGGCCAGGAGATCATGCTCCGCGTGCGGGGCAAGAACAACCTGTGTATCGATGATGGCGGTGGCTGGGCCCCAGGCACCTCCAAGTTCACCAACAAGCCGTGCAACCCGAGCAGCCCCAACCAGATCTTCAAGTACAACGCGGCCACCAAGGAGTTCGCCAGCGTCTACAAGACCGGACTGTGCATCGACGACGGTGGCTCGTGGAACGCGGCCGGGACCAAGGCTCACCTGTGGTACTGCGACCCGAACAACCAGAACCAGTGGTTCGTCATGGACCCCAACACCCTGATGCTCAAGAACCCAGTCAAGAACAACCTGTGCTTCGACGACGGTGGCGGCGCCACGGCCGGCTCCTCCAAGTACGTTATGTGGTACTGCGACAACAACAACGGCAACCAGCACTTCGAGGTTCTGTCACGCGCTGCCGTGGCGGCCGAGAAGAAGGCGAAGGTCGGAACCACCATGTACGACCTCATGGTCTCCGGCCAGGAGATCATGTTCAAAGTGCGTGGCAAGAACAACCTCTGTGTCGACGACGGCGGCAGCTTCAACGCGGCCACGACCAAGTTCGTCGACATGCCGTGCAACCCGAACAGCGTGAACCAAGTCTTCAAGTACAGCATCAAGACGGGCGAGTTCGAGAGCGCCAACAAGCCTGGACTGTGCATCGACGACGGCGGTTCGTGGAATGCCGCCGGTACTAAAGCTCACCTATGGTACTGCGACATCAACAACCAGAACCAGTGGTTCGACGTGGATGAAACGACCATGATGTTCAAGAACCCGGTGAAGGACAACTTGTGTCTCGACGACGGAGGCGGCACCAATGCCGGTGCGACCCGATACGTCATGTGGTACTGCGACAACAACAACGGTAACCAGCACTTCGACGTGGTCTCGCGTGCTGCTCTGCTCGAGGAGAAGAAGAAGACTGGCCCTACCCCGTACGATATGCTCTTGTCTGGCGAGGAGATCATGTTCCGCGTTCGTGGCAAGAACAACCTCTGCGTTGACGATGGCGGTGGCTGGGGCGCTGCCGTGACCAAGTTCACGGACAAGCCGTGCAACCCTGACAGCCCCAACCAGGTCTACAAGTACAACATCAGGACGCTTGAGTTCGAGAACGTCAACAAGCCGGGCTTGTGTATCGATGACGGTGGCTCGTGGGACCCCGCGGGCTCTACGGCGCACTTGTGGTACTGCGACGCCAACAACCAGAACCAATGGTACGTGCTGGACGAAGCGCAGCTAATGCTGCGCAACCCGATGAAGGAGTACCTGTGCTTTGATGACGGAGGCGGCACAACCGCGGGCGCCACCAAGTTCGTCATGTGGAAGTGTGACATCAACAACGGCAACCAGCACTTCGAGATCCTCTCGCGCGCGGCCATGCTCGAGGAGAAGAAGAAGAGGCTCGGCCTGACCCCGTACGACATTCTCACGTCGGGCCAAGAGATCATGCTTCGTGTCCGTGGGAAGAGCAACCTGTGTGTCGATGATGGAGGCGGCTACACGGCTGGGGCCACCAAGTTTTCCGACCAGCCTTGCAACCCCGACAGCCCCAACCAGGTCTTCAAGTACAACGTCAAGACGCGCGAGTTCGAGAACGTTAACAAGCCGGGCCTATGCATCGACGACGGCGGTTCGTGGAACGCCGCTGGAAGCACTGCGCACTTGTGGTGGTGCGACCCGAACAACCAGAACCAGTGGTTTGTTCTTGACGAAGAGACTATGATGTTGCACAACCCGATGAAGCCCAACCTGTGCTTCGACGACGGCGGTGCCACGTCCGCGGGCGCGACCAAGTTCGTCATGTGGTGGTGCGACAACAACAACGGCAACCAGCACTTTGATATTCTGCCTAGGGCCGATGTGATTGAAGCACGGAGGAAGAAGAGGATCGCAGCTGGTATTGATGACGACCTGGATCTGCTCAACTCTGGCCAGAAGCTCATGCTGCGTGTTCGTGGCAAGAACAACCTCTGTGTCGACGATGGTGGAGGCCGCTCGAACGGTGCTACCAAGTTCAACGACCAGCCGTGTGACCCGACCAGCCCCAACCAGATTTTCACGTACGACGCGAAGACGAAGCAGTTCAAGAGTGCCAACAAGCCAGGCCTGTGCATGGACGACGGTGGCGCTTGGAACGCGGCCGGATCGCAGGCCCACCTGTGGGATTGCGACCCGAACAACCAGAACCAGTGGTTCGTGCTCGACGAAGACACCATGATGCTGAAGAACCCGGCCAAGCCCAACTTGTGCTTCGATGACGGCGGTGGCACTACGGCCGGCGCGACCAAGTTCGTCATGTGGTACTGCGACAACAACAACCCGAACCAGCACTACGAGATCCTGTCCCAGGCCAAGATGATCGATGAGCGGAAGCAGAGACTGATCGCTGCAGGCCTGGACGATGAGATCGATCTTCTGACTTCGGGCCAGCCGGTCATGCTGCGTGTCCGTGGCAAGAACAACCTCTGCGTCGACGATGGAGGAGGCCGCTCCAATGGTGCGACCAAGTTCGTGGACAAGACGTGCAACCCCAGCAGTCCCAACCAGATCTTCACGTACGACGCCAACACGCGCCTGTTCCAGAGTGTCAACAAGCCAGGCCTGTGCATGGACGACGGTGGTGGCTGGAGCGCGGCTCAAACTACTGCTCACCTGTGGCAGTGTGACCCGAACAACCAAAACCAATGGTTTGTGTGGGATGAGAACACCATGATGCTTCGCAATCCGGCCAAGAACAACCTGTGCTTTGATGACGGTGGCGGCACTACGCCCGGTGCGACCAAGTACTGGCTGTGGGGATGTGACAACAACAACCCGAACCAGCATTTCGAAGTTTTGTCTGCTGCTGCCATGGCCGCGGAGAAGAAGAAGGCCAGGATCGCTGCTGGTAACACGGCAGTCGACATTCTTGCTACCGGCCAGGAGATCATGCTCCGAGTGCGTGGCAAGAACAACCTGTGCGTTGACGACGGTGGAGGCCGCTCGAACGGCCAGACCAAGTTTGTGGATCAGCCGTGCAACCCGGACAGCCCCAACCAGATCTTCAAGTACGACTCGATGACTCACCAGTTCAAGAGTGTCAACAAGCCTGGCCTGTGCATGGATGACGGTGGCTCATGGAATGCTGCGGGCTCTCAGGCCCACCTGTGGGACTGCGACCCGAACAACCAGAACCAGTGGTTCACCATGGACGAGGACACCTTGATGCTTCGTAACCCTGTCAAGGACAACCTGTGCTTCGATGACGGTGGCGGTACTACGGCCGGTGCTACGAGGTATGTGATGTGGACCTGCGACGAGAACAACCCGAACCAGCACTTTGAAGTGCTGCCCCGAGCGATCATGCTTGCTGAGAAGAGGAAGCGCCTCATCGCGGCGGGTGTTGACGATGATGTCGACCTCCTCAGCTCGGGCCAGCCACTCATGCTTCGTGTTCGTGGTAAGGACAACCTTTGCGCCGATGATGGTGGTGGCCACTCCAACGGAGAGACCAAGTTCGAGGACCAGCCCTGCGACCCGACCAGTCCCAACCAGATCTTCACGTACGACACGGTGACGCACCAGTTCAAGAGTGTGAACAAACCCGGTTTGTGTCTGGACGACGGTGGTGGGTGGAGTGCAGCTCAGACGACGGCGCATTTGTGGGATTGCGACCCGAACAACCAAAACCAATGGTTCATCCTGGACCAGGACAACATGATGCTACAGAACCCTGTGAAGCCCAACTTGTGCTTCGATGATGGCGGTGGCACAGCTCCTGGGGCTAGTAAGTACTTGTTGTGGAATTGCGACGCAGCGAACCAGAACCAGCACTTCGAGATCATCGCGCCTGCTTCGTTGCCAGTGCCAGCGAAGAACCCCGACATTGAGCTCCTCAACTCTGGACAACCGGTCATGCTCCGCGTTCGTGGCAAGGTCAACCTCTGTGCCGACGATGGTGGTGGCCGCTCCAATGGCGAAACCAAGTTTGTGGATATGCCATGTGATCCCAACAGCCCGAACCAGATCTTCACGTACGAAGCGAAGACACGCCTGTTCAAGAGCGTTAACAAGCCTGGTCTGTGTATGGACGACGGTGGTGGCTGGAGTGCGGCCCAGACTACGGCCCACCTGTGGAGCTGCGACCCGAACAACCAGAACCAGTGGTTCACGTTGGACAAGAACAACATGCTCCGCAACCCGGCCAAGCCGAACCTGTGTTTCGACGATGGTGGTGGCATGACCCCCGGTGCTAGCAAGTACTGGTTGTGGACTTGCGACAACGCCAACCAGAACCAGCACTTCGAGATCGTTTCCCCTTCGTCGATGCCAGCGCTCAAGGTTGACAGCAATGACCTTCTCACCTCGGGCCAGCCGCTGATGCTTCGCGTCCGTGGCAAGGACAACCTGTGTGCTGACGATGGTGGTGGCCGCTCCAACGGTGAAACCAAGTTTGTTGATATGCCTTGCGACCCGACCAGTCCGAACCAGATCTTTACCTACGACGCGAAGACGCGCTTGTTTAAGAGCGTCAACAAGCCAGGCTTGTGCATGGATGACGGTGGTGGCTGGAGTGCGGCCCAGACGACGGCCCACCTGTGGAGCTGCGACCCGAACAACCAGAACCAGTGGTTCACGTTGAACAAGAACAACATGCTCCGCAACCCGGCCAAGCCGAACTTGTGCTTCGATGACGGTGGTGGCATGACTCCTGGTGCGAGCAAGTACTGGTTGTGGAACTGTGACAACGCCAACCAGAACCAGCACTTCGAGATCATCTCTCCTGCTTCGTTACCGGCGCCTGTGAAGGCGGACAGCGATCTCCTTACCTCAGGTCAGCCGCTGATGCTTCGCGTCCGTGGCAAGGACAACCTGTGTGCCGACGATGGTGGTGGCCGCTCCAATGGTGCAACCAAGTTCGTTGATATGCCTTGCGATCCCAACAGCCCGAACCAGATCTTCACGTACGACCCGAAGACCCTCCTGTTCCAGAGTGTCAACAAGCCAGGCCTGTGCATGGACGACGGTGGTGGTTGGAGCGCAGCTGAGACTACAGCTCACTTGTGGAGTTGTGACCCGAACAACCAGAACCAGTGGTTCACGTTGGACAAGAACAACATGCTCCGCAACCCGGCCAAGCCGAACTTGTGCTTCGATGACGGTGGCGGTATGACCCCCGGTGCGAGTAAGTACTGGTTGTGGACTTGCGACAACGCCAACCAGAACCAGCACTTCGAGATCATCTCTCCTGCTTCACTGCCGGCAGTGCAGCCGGCCACCGGCAGTGACCTTCTCACCTCGGGCCAGCCGCTGATGCTTCGCGTCCGTGGCAAGGACAACCTGTGTGCCGACGATGGTGGTGGCCGCTCCAATGGTGCAACGAAGTTTGTGGATATGCCGTGTGACCCGAACAGCCCGAATCAAGTCTTCACGTACGACGCAAGGACGCTCCTGTTCCAGAGCGTCAACAAGCCAGGCCTGTGCATGGACGACGGTGGTGGTTGGAGCGCAGCGCAGACGACGGCTCACTTGTGGAGTTGCGACCCGAACAACCAGAACCAGTGGTTCACGTTGGACAAGAACAACATGCTCCGCAACCCGGCCAAGCCGAACTTGTGCTTCGATGACGGTGGCGGTATGACCCCCGGTGCGAGTAAGTACTGGTTGTGGACTTGCGACAACGCCAACCAGAACCAGCACTTCGAGATCATCTCTCCTGCTTCACTGCCGGCAGTGCAGCCGGCCACCGGCAGTGACCTTCTCACCTCGGGCCAGCCGCTGATGCTTCGCGTCCGTGGCAAGGACAACCTGTGTGCCGACGATGGTGGTGGCCGCTCCAATGGTGCAACGAAGTTTGTGGATATGCCGTGTGACCCGAACAGCCCGAATCAAGTCTTCACGTACGACGCAAGGACGCTCCTGTTCCAGAGCGTCAACAAGCCTGGCCTGTGCATGGACGACGGTGGTGGCTGGAACGCAGCTGAGACTACAGCTCACTTGTGGAGCTGCGACCCGAACAACCAGAACCAGTGGTTCACGTTGGACAAGAACAACATGCTCCGCAACCCGGCCAAGCCGAACTTGTGCTTCGATGACGGTGGCGGTATGACCCCCGGTGCGAGTAAGTACTGGTTGTGGACCTGCGACAACGCCAACCAGAACCAGCACTTCGAGATCATCTCTCATGCTTCGTTGCAGGGAACCGGTCCAGTCCCCGCTCCTCCTACGCCCGGCGCTGACTACATGCAGATGATCGAGTCTGGCATCAAGGTTTTGATTCGGGCTCGCAGCAAGAACAACCTGTGTCTGGATGACGGTGGCGGCCACTCGAATGGCGAGACCAAGTTCGTGTACCAGCCGTGTGACCCCAACAGCCCGAACCAGATCTTCTCGTACGACGTCAACATGCGTGAATTCCGGAGTGTCAACAAGCCGGGTCTGTGTCTCGACGACGGTGGTGGCTGGAACGCTGGCGATAGCACGGCTCACTTGTGGGAGTGCGACCCCGGTAACATGAACCAGTGGTTCGTGACCGACGCGGACACCATGCTGTTCCACAACCCGGCGAAACCAGGCTTGTGCTTTGACGACATGGGCTCCATGAACCCGGGCCAGTCGAACTTCGTCATGTGGTACTGCGCCGCGGACAGCCCGAACCAGCAGTTCGAAGTGGTGCCTCAGTGGGAGCTGCTCGGGACGGTGCCTGACGTTGGCCCGCCTCCTCTTCCGGTGATTGACGATGGCCCGTGGACTACCATTGACAACGGTGATGATATTCTGCCGCCGCCCCCCATCGATGATGTTCTACCGCCGGTTGTCGTGGATGACAACGGATTGGTTGTGGATCCCTTGGTGCCTGCCACCGGTGATGATGACTTGCTGCCTCCCGACATCGCTCAGCCTCTCGGCCCTGACGCCAACGGTGTAGTCGTGGAGCCCGTGCGGCATGGCACTGGTGGTGATCAGTTGCCGCCTCCTGACCTCCTTCAGCCTGTCGGCCCGGACAACAACGGCCCAGTTTTGGAGCCCTTGCTGCCAGGCACTGGTGGCAATGGAGGCTTTGTGGAGCCGACACCTCCTGACATGACTGGCCCGATCTACAACCCGCCGGTTCCTGGTGGGGATGGCAGTGGCTTGATACAACCTACGGACAACACGGGAGGCTGGGAGGACACCCTTGCTCAAGACATCGACACCACCGACACCACCGGCCAAGATATCGCGACCAATCCGACAGCGCCAGACGTCTTGCCGGCGAACCCTGACCAAGTCGGCCCGGTGGGCCCGGCAGTGCTGCCGTTCCAGGAGGACAACAACTTGCCAATCCCCAATGCTCCCGTTATCAGGAAGGCCGACCTGCCGCTGGCCGACTACGGAGACCGCGACTGGAACCTGCTGGCGCCGTCGAACGACACGCTCTTGATCATCAACAAGGACGACTCGCCGATCATCTCGGCGGCCAAGATCTTCAAGTACTTGCAGACTATCAAGGAACACGCCGACGTGGAGCACCAGGTGACGATGGACCGCTACAAGCGCACCTTCCAGTGTGCGACCGACGGCCTGAAGACGCTGGCCAAGGACGCGGTGACGAGCGACGAGTACCACGTGCTGGTGCAGTGGATGTACGACCACTGCGCGGCCGGAGCGACCGGTGTGAAGCCCGCCGAGAACCCGTCCGGATCCATCTCGGACGATGTGCTCAAGGGCGACGACGTGGCCGTGCTCGTGAACGACGACAAGATCAACCGGCAGTTCATGACCAAGCTGGACTTCTACTACGAGATCAAGAACCACTACGCGGACAAGAACGCGGAGCTGGTGGGCAACGCGGCGGTGGCCAACTTGCGGTCGTCGGAGACGCTGAAACTGGAGAAGAAGCTGGTGGACTGCATCGAGGAGGCCTCGGAGCGCTTCGGTTACAAGCAGGACCAGACGTCCAACGAAGACCCCGAAGACCGCCTCAAGCAGGCCATCGCATGGGTGCATGACACGTGCATGGCTTCGTAAAGCTGATGGCACGTTCAAGTGAGCGCAAGTGGCGATGAAGATGCATGTTATGAATGCATGCCCTAGGCATGTAGCAGAATCGATGTGGATGGCCCCAAAGGGGCTTTGGTAGGCGTAGTTGAGAGTAGTTTTCATTTGCACATCCTGTTTTCACACACTAATTTGCCTACAAATACCACGTAATTGCATAGTTAACCTTGTTTTTCTTGCCTTACTCGTCCGTTTCAATCAATCACTTGAAGGCTTCAAGAGCTCAAACCATTTGCAACATGCTGCGGCTGCAGTGTTTGCTTAACACGGCGAGCCCTGAAGATGAAGCTCTCTCTGTGCGTGTTCTAACTGTCGCGGCCTCTCTAGATGATCGCATTGGCGAACTGGAGGCCCGAATCGCTGCGGAGGTGGAGGTCATGGCGATCCAAGCAAAGCCCTACACCACCATGAAGCTCTATTGCCTTCGACACCAGTGGCTGACGTACCGCCAAGACTCGACGACCAAGACTGAAGTGCTGTTCCTCGACGGTGAGCCTATCGCTGGGCTCGATACTTGCACCTTGCAAAGTGCCCAGCAGCTTGTGCCATGGGCGCATGTGTCGTGGTATTTCAAAGACAAGCAGTTCGCCTTCCCGGACACGGTTGATATTGTAGTGGCATGGGAAGATGCCGACCAGGACGAAGACCAAGGCACCGCGTAAAGCACCTTCGTCTTTTAACCAACAAATATACTGAGCTTTGCCGCCGATGCAAGGCTCAAATCATGCCGCTGATGCAGCAAAGCGATATCTTTTGTACAGTCGCGACTGGTAGTCGACATCCTGCAATGTGGACCGCACGATCCAAATCTCCCAAGTACATGTGCGGCTCTCAATGGCCGGGGACGGCCACCTCGAGGAAGATCGCGCTGGATGACCAGCTAACTTAGCTGAATGGACTCCGATGTCTCTCGCAGTTGCAGATTTCCCTGCTCACCTGCACGCCAACAAAGTCCGTGAATCCAAGTGTCCAGCAGTGTTCTTGAGTCCTCCATGCCGGCCAGCTACGGGAGTGACAACAGCTACGGGAGTGACAACCCCGACTGCGTGAGGGTCGATCACCTCGGTGATGTCGGCCGTGCTCGCTCGTCTTCGAGTGCCAAGTGGAAGAAGGCGGCCCTGGTGACTGCCGGGGCCGCGATGTGTATCGGTGCAGCTCTTGTCGTGTACGAGGGCTGGAATGCTCCGCTTAGTGCAACCGTGACGGGAAGTGCGTCTCCAATCACCAAGATGAACCTGGAGAGAGTGGCTGTGTCTACCGACCAGACCAACCTCATGTCGGGCCAACCGGTTCTGCTTCGCGTCCAGCGCTCGCCAAACCTCTGTGCGGACGACGGGGGAGGCACTAAGGCGGACGAGACGCTCTTCACCGGCCAACCATGCAACCCGAGCAATCCGAACCAGCTCTTCATCTACGACAGCGCTACCTACCGGTTCAAGAGCGCGAAGAAACCAAATTTGTGCATTGACACCGGGGGTGGCGGTATTATGATGACGTCGCTGCGGCTGTCCAAGTGTGATAAGAAGAGCGCAGATCAACGCTTTACCTACAACCCCAACGCGCTCACGCTCTCGATGGTCTCGTACCCTTCTGTCTGCATTACCGATTACCACCACACAGACGGAACATCCCGTTATACAACCTGGATATGTGAATCCCAGATCTACGGCAACGTGTACCAGAGCTTCGAGGTGGTGTCTCAGGCTACCCTTGCAGCGGAGCAAAGACGATTCTGGATGCTGTCGCTGGTGGGGCCAAGTTCCTCCTGCACATCGCTGGAACTGACAACCAGTGTGTCTCTGGATTTCCATCAAGGGTCTCTCTGTCAAACTGTCAAATGCAAAGCAAGTACCAGCTCTACTATGATGCATCAATCAATCGAATCCGGCATGGTTGTGCTTGGATGACGGCGGGGGCAAGAAGGCGGGAAAGACCGACTTTCGTCTGGCGGAATGCTCGACGAGTAGTATCGATCAGACGTTCACCTTGATGTTTAAGCAGCTCAACAAGGCTAAATTGTGCCTGGACGACGGCAGCGACGGTACCGACACCACGCCAAAACTGACCTTAAAAGCGTGCGATCTGTACAGCAACAGCCAACACTTTGAGTATGTGCTCCAAAACGATCCGGTCACTCCTGCCACCGCTTCGACATCGATACCATCGACGACGACAATAGCATCAACCCCTGCTCCTGCGACTGCCACTCCTGTGACTGCTTCGGTGATGGACACCTCAGTGACGACGACATCTGCCCCCGTGGCTGCGAGTACTACTACGACGAGCTCGACCCAGGTCTCTGCTGCTTTGACCACCCAGCAAACCGGCGTGACCACTGCTTACGAAACACCAGTAGACGCATCAAGTACTGCAACACAGTCAGCAACGGAGACTGCGTACCAGCAGGAGCCCACCACTGCGCCGCAACAAAGTCAATACTCAACCGTCTCCGCTGTCGAACCTGATACAACAACGACTGTAAATTCTCAAACGACGGCAACGACAACCGACGTGATGATGCCGCAGCAGAGCCAAACAACTTTGCACACCGGCGACATGGAGCCGAACATGGCCGCATCGAAGCAGAGCGATATGACGTCTACCTCCACCACGTCCATGATGGAGCCCGGCATAAAGGGGAACGACATAACCTCGACCAGGCCAGGGATGGATCATGACATGATCACATCGAATGATGTGATAAAGACCGAAACTACGCCTGACTAGCGGATATGGTGGACATTGCGGCAAAGGACCTTGGCAACTCGATGCCGGCGACTTCTGCGATTACAAACATGGACGCTTTCGCCGCCAATTTCGTGGGCAAGGACTGGAACTTGCTGGCGCCATCCGACAGCACCCTCGCTCGCGTTGACAAGGATAACGCCCCCGTTGTCCCAGTCGCGAACATTTTCCAGTACCTACAGAGCCTGAAGGACCGCGCTGACCTAGAGCACGAGGTGATGATGTATCGCTACAAGCGAACGTTCGAGTGCGCGACTGAGGGGTTGAAAGCGCTGGCCGAGGACTCGGTAACCACGGACGAGTACAAGGTGCTGGTTCGTTGGATGTACGACCACTGCGCTGCCGGAAACACCAAGATTGAGATGCCCAAGGACCTTCCCATCACCGATATCGACACTCCGTGGGACAGCGACGCGAAGACGGACGTGAAGCGTCAGTTCATGACGAAGCTCGACTTCTACTACGAGATCAAGAGCTACTTCGCCGAGAGGAGCGAGAAACTCAACGGCGAGGTGGCAGCTATCCGCTTGCGCTCGGAAGAAACCAAAGAGCTCGAGGAGAAGATGATCGACTGCATCGACGATGCCTCGGAGCGCTTCGGCTTCCAAGTGAACTCGAACGCTTACGCAACGACGAAGCACCTCAAGGCTGCTATTGCGTGGGTCGAGGACTCGTGCATGAAGGCTTAAGGATCACGGCGATGATTGCTGGTGCTTTCCGTTTCCATCCTTTACTTCGTGTAGCTGTTGCCTTCAAGCCAGCCAGATATCATCCAGAATCATCACTTGGCAAGTTTGCATGATCTTTTTTCCTTGATTGAAAGCGCTTCATTTCATCATTCTTGTCTTGATACGTACTGATCGCTATACTGAGTCCCCCGAAGGCCCCCGCGGGAAAAGCGGGTTGTATTGGGTCTGCTGCTGCTGGCCAGGGTACTGATAGTAGCTATACGCTGGCTGTTGCCGTTGCTGTTGCTGCTGCTGATTGAAGACGCTTCCGTACGGAGGGGGTGGTGCTGTTGCCGTAGCGTTTCCGAACGAAGGAGGCTGCGATGCACCCTGCGTCTGCTGGTACTGCGCGAATGGGTGCTGTTGCTGCTGTTGAGGTTGCAGTTGCGCGTAGTCGTATGAAGGAGGTGCAGACTGTTGCTGTGTGGACTGGTAGTACTGCGGAGTGCTGCCAGCGAGCTGACGCGCTAGTGCTTCGTCGCTCGCGTTCGGTCCAGCAGCAGCAGCGTTGCGAATTTGCATGTCGTTCATCATTTTCTGCGCCAAAGCTGCGTCTTCAGCCTCACGTTGCCGCATTTCTTCGTCAGCAGTCAGATTCAGCTCCAGCTCGCGCTTCTCCAGTTCACGGGCAGAGCAATGGTCTGCAACAGTTTGATGCAATTGCTCGATCCGAGCGCCGAGCTCCCCGTAAAACTTTGCACCTTCTTTCACGTGCGACTCAAGCTGCTCGAAAACATCCACAGCGTCGCTCAGATGCTGGAGAAAAGTCTGGCGTTCGTGCAGCACGTGATCGGTCTCTTTCTTCGCCTCGAAGCGACTGTTCGCTTCAACCAAGTCACTAAGCAGCGCCTGCTCTTCATCACAAATTGTGGCGATCTTCCCTTCAAAGTGGTCGCGGAAGAACTGGTTTTCTGTTTCAAGTGCAGCGTCTGTGGACACACTGTTGGTTCTGTTCCCACTCAGCAGCACAGGCAGCGCGTTGAACTTGTCATAGGAGCCCCGGAAATCACGCAGCACCTGGTCCTTCTCCTCCACGAGTTGGCCAAGTCGCAGCAACAGCGATGACACCTGTGCTATCTCTTCCTTGCAGCTGGAGTTATCTTGCTGCAACTCGGGCAGCTCCTGGTCCAGACTCGTCTTGGGCCGCGATAGCGCCTCCAGCTTCTCGTGGTTATCAGCAAGCTTGTCCCGTACTATGTTGTCAGACGTCTTGGCTTCCTTCACCAAACGGTAGTAGCGATCAATGTCGGCTCGAAAGTTCTGATTCAGCGAGGACGACACCGGCCGCGCCCACTTCCTTTCACCGTAGTTCTGGCGGCAGACATTGTCTTCAACTTCCTCCTGACTCAACCGCGATTCAATAGTGTGCAACTTCTTCTCGGCATCGTCCGACAACCTTTGATTTTCTTGAAGCTGTTGCTGGATGAAGGCTCCGACTGGGTTCTCTCTTGATCCTCCCGGGCCCATAGCCGCGGACGCCGTAGTGACTTTCACATGCTGAATGCGCTGCCAAATCGTCCGTGGGATGCCGTTGTCGCTGGTCTTCTCAAAAGCTTCGATAGACGCTGGCAGACCCATGGCGTGGAGCTTCTCCTTGGCAGCTTCGTTGCTCTTGGACACTTTCTCAACTGTCTGCTCCAATATCGTATTAATCTCCTGCTTCACGCTGTCCGCACGGTGTAGCAGATCGTTGGGCACAAACTGTTCGAACAGATCCACGCCGCCCAGTTCCTGCTGCAGCTCCTCCGCTGTGAAGCCCAACGGCTTGACCATCGCAGCCTTCCCCACCGCGGGCAGCTCCGAAAATTTGGGCACGTTCTCCAGATACACACTGGCGTTGTCTTTCCTCGCCGCGTCAAGGTGCTCACGCACCACGCGCTGCACCGCCTGGGCAGACTGCAACAGCGACGCCGGCAGCTTGTTCTGCGTCGCCACCTTGCACGCCTCGTCGCACTCGGCATCGGCCGCCACGAGCCTCGTGATCTCCTCGCCGTACCCTTCTCCTCTCTCCAGCGCCGCGGCCTTGGACGCCGTCCCCTGCCAGTACTGCGTGGCTGCGCGCATACAGTGCACTTGGAACTGCAGATGCACGCCCCAGGACCTGTCAATCGAGCCGGCCAGCGCCGACGAGCGGCAAAAGTCCAGCGCCGAGACGTAGAAGTCCAGCGCCTGGTGCACCAGCTTGGCCTTGATGGCGTCCTTCATCTGGTCCTTGATGGCCTTCTCGTAGAAGCAGGCCTGGGCCTGGGCCAGCATCAGGAAGGTCAGCAGCCCCAGCCCCTCCGCGCTCATGTCGGGCGTCCTGGCGCCCAGCGTGCGCTCCACGAGCTTGTCCTTGACCTCCGTGAAGGCGCCCGCCGCGCGCATGAAGTGGCGGCAGGCCGTCTTGAGCCCGTCGGCCGTGCTGCGGTCCGTCTGCACGCCCAGTTGGCTCTCCAGCGCCCCCACGTTGAACATGACGGCCGCCTTCTCGAACGAGACTCCGGTCTGCGTGCTCTTCTTGCGCGGGCAGAACGAGTCGTTCCACGTGAACTGCAGCAGCAGCGGCGCGCGCGCGGCGCCGGCGTCGCTGTTGCCGTCGCACGGGAAGCGCTGCGCCATCTTGTCCAGCTGCGCGTAGTAGCGCAGCAGCACGTGGCGCGAGATGGCCGACGGCGTGCGCACCAGGTCCACGTCCGTCTTGAGCTGCGCGAACTGGTCCAGCGCCGCGTCCGCCGCCTCGCTGCCCGCGTACTCGCGCCGCAGGAACGCGCCCAGCGAGCTGCGCAGCGAGGCGCCGGACGTGTCGCTCACCTTGAAGCCGATGCCCAGCATTGCGCTGCTCGAGTGGATGGATTTCTGATTGTGAAGAAAAATGTATGGGACCAAAGATGTGGATACACAAACATTCTTGTTTTAACTGCGTTTTGGGAAAGTTGACCCCTGCTGGATTTTGATCACGTGTAATACTCCACGCGTAGACTTTGGGAGTAGTTGGCGACATGCGCTTATCTTACAGGGCCCGTCGACTCCTTTGGGCTTACTGGGCTCAAGGAGCCCGGTAAGTTCTCTAGTACTTTGGTGAACAACGCCCTATATTCAACAAGTTCTTGCAATGACTACAATGAACGCTGGCATTGATGACACTTCGTCCAATTGCCCCACCCTACATCCTTACACTTACCCTGTCTGGGACGACTAACGATAAGAAGAACGGGCAAAGCTCCCTATTCTTTTCATGAGAAGGATTACACTTGGCACACTCACCAGGGCGACATTGCTATCTCTAGCGGCGACATAACAATCAGTAGTACCGTCGGCGATGCTTCGTGCGGTTCAATGTACTTGAGGACGGCTATACTCGTACAGGATAAAAAGTAGCAGCGGGCGACTTCTTGGCCGGCGCTGCCATATCACCACATACACGCAGGCTGCATCGCGTGCCCAAAACTTTATTTTGCGGTTCGGCATTTTCTCAAGTAAAAGCAGGCGAAACGAAGGAATCTGATTCGCCGCCGGGATCTGATCCAGCGCCGCGAGCTATTTATAGCTGTACCATTTCTCCGGTACACGGGTGTTCCCTGGCTGGATGAAATGAGGCAAATGGCGGTGGTGCTCCTGAGAGAGTGTGTGTGGGCTCCAGAAACCGCGTGGGAGCGAAGGAGCGACCACAGTCCAGAGAGGCAGAAAGCGACCCACGCCCGCGCGCGCCCCCTGGCCATTCCCCCTCACCCCGCCCCCCCCCCCACACGACGGCCATGGCCGAGCCCACGACCTACTGCGTGTGCCAGCAGGCGGACGGCGGTGCGTTCCTGCCCTGCTTAGCGTCCATTTCCTCCTGCTGCTTATATAACCTTAACTGATATATACTTATTCGTTATGCTATGCTGTGTTATGTTATGTTATTACGCAGCCGGCATCATGATCGAGTGCATCCGCGGCTCGGGCGGCTGCAACGGCTGGGTGCACCCGAGCTGCTGCGGGCTCATCCTGACGCAGGAGGAGCTGGAGGCGCTGGACGCGTACATCTGCCCGCTGTGCGAGAAGCCCGACGACGACTTCGCCAAGATGACGGCCTTCAACACGAGCCTGGCCAACCGCCAGGCCAAGCGCGAGCGCAAGCGCAAGCTGCTGGCGGCGGCCGACAAGGACAAGGACAAGGACAAGGACAAGGACAAGAAGCCCGCGCGCAAGCCCTGGGTCTGCGCCGCGTGCCAGCACCCGAACCGCGACCGCCGCACGCGCGAGTGCGAGGCCTGCCACACGCGCCGCGTCATGGACAAGAAGCCGAGCAAGCACAAGAGCCTCAAGGAGCCGAGCGACGACGAGAAGTCGAGGCTCCTGGCGCAGCAGCTGCGAGCTGACGACGAGCGCCGCCACAGCCAGCGCGCGGCCAACAAGAAGAGGAAGTCGTACCACGTGCCCAACTCGGATGAGGACCTGGGCAGCTCCGACAGCGACGACGCCTCGTACAAGAAGAAGCACAAGAAGCACAAGAAGCGCCGGCACCACGAGGACGACGGCAGCGAGTCGGACGAGGCCGAGTTCCAGCTGGACACCTGCAAGCTCAAGGACAAGTCCAAGTCCGAGCCTGAAGAGCAGCCCGTGGCGACCAACATGGTCATTGAAAAGATCATGGGCGTGCGACAAAGAGAGGTGGAGGAGCCCGCCCCGACCCCCGCGGCCGACTCGGCGAGCGCCAACTTGTTCGCGAACCGCCCGACCAAGACGTCGATCACTGAGTATCTGATCAAGTGGAAGGGCTTCGCGTACATGCACGCGTCGTGGGAGACCAAGCAGGTACTGCTCGACCTGGACCCGCTGACGAACAAGCAGAAAATCAAGCGTTTCCACGAGAAGGAGCAGCACCGCCTCCACCACCCGCACCGCCAGACGGGAGACCTGGACGAGGACTCTCTTGCGGTGGACGAACTGGAATACTTCAACCCGGAGTATCTGGAGATTCACCGGATTATTGCTCACCGCAAAGACACGCCGATGCCTGCTGACCCCAATTTCCCGGATGCTCCTGTGGATGACGGCATGCGCTACTACATCAAGTGGCGTATCCTTCCGTACACTGATGCTACGTGGGAGCGTGCGTGCGATATCAAGGATGACGCTGCGCTGGCTAAATACAAGACCTCAATTGTTGTTCCTGACGAAGAGGTGTGGAAGCCAAGACCGCGTCCAACTATCCGTGAATACCGCAAACTGGACGAGTCTCCGAGGTTTGGAGAGGACCAGTCGCTGTCGCTTCGTGCGTACCAGCTGGAAGGTCTGAACTGGTTGATTTGGAATTGGTACAATGAGCGACCAAGTATCCTGGCAGACGAAATGGGTCTCGGTAAGACGATCCAAACGCTTTCATTCCTGAGCCGACTGCGTGACGACCCCAAAATCAAGATCCGTGGACCATTTTTGATCGTGGCCCCGCTGTCGCTGATTGTGCAGTGGCAAAATGAATGTGAGATGTGGACGACTATGAACTGTGTCGTCTATCACGGCAATAGCGGATCACGAGACATTATTCGCGACTTTGAGTTTCACTATTTGGATGAAAACTTACGCCCGGACAAGAAGAAGCCCTACCGCTTTAACATTCTCGTTACCACGTATGAAGTTGCGATTAAGGACATCGCGGCACTCTCGAAAATCCATTGGCGCTGTCTCGTGGTGGACGAAGCTCATCGATTGAAGAACCAATCTTCTCGACTTGTGGAACAAATGCGTTCTTTGCGTCGCGATCACTGTGTTCTCCTGACGGGCACACCTCTCCAGAACAAAACTGAGGAATTGTGGGCCTTGCTTAACTTCTTGGATGGCAAGTCGTTCCCTAGTGTTGCTGACTTCCTTGATAAGTTTGGCGACCTTCATGAAGCTCAGCAAGTGGCGGACCTGCACAAAATGCTGAAGCCGTATTTGCTACGACGTGTGAAGGAAGATGTTGAGAAGTCGTTGCCTCCAAAAGAGGAAACGATTGTTGAAGTGGAGCTCACGCCCGTGCAGAAGCAGTGGTACCGCGCAATCTACGAGAAAAACACTGCGTTCCTAAACCGTGGTGGGAACCCGCGCAACGTTCCGAATTTGATGAACGTTATGATGGAGCTACGCAAGTGTTGCAACCACCCGTACCTGAACAACGGTGTCGAGGAAATTTTGAACGAAGGCTTGACGACTGATGCGCAGCGCCACGAGATGATGGTAAAGTGCTGTGGTAAAATGGTGCTTATTGACAAGCTGTTGCCACGGTTGAATGATGGAGGGCACAAGGTGCTTATCTTTAGTCAGATGGTTCGTGTATTGGACATCATCGAGGATTATTTGCGCTTTTGTGGATACCTCTACGAGCGGTTGGATGGTAATATTCGTGGTAATGACCGTCAAGCTGCGGTGGATCGATTTGTGAAACCCGAGTACAAGCGGTTTGTCATGCTACTCTCGACCAAGGCTGGCGGTTTGGGCTTGAACTTGACGGCTGCTGACACGGTCATCATTTTTGACAGTGATTGGAACCCTCAGAATGATCTGCAGGCCCAAGCCCGTGCGCATCGTATTGGTCAGACTCACTCGGTGAAGATTTATCGTTTGATCACGCGCAAAACTTATGAGATGCACATGTTCCACAAAGCTTCCCTGAAGTTGGGACTAGATAAGGCTGTGCTCACGCATATGCGGCGTGAGAATGAAGAAGAGGGCGGCAAGAAACGGAACAAGAGCGCGAAAGCACAAGAGTCGAAAGAGATCGATGAGCTCTTGAAGCGTGGAGCTTATGATGTATTCCGCGACGATGATACCGCTGGTGAACAGTTTTGCGAACTGGACATTGACCAGATCTTGCAGCGCTCATCACAAGTTGTGCAGTACGCTGAACAAGCACAGTCTAGCTTCTCCAAGGCAAGTTTTGTGTCCGCCACAACCTCTGATGATGTGGATTTGGACGACCCGGACTTTTGGAAGAAGGCTGTGGGGCTAACAGAACCGGACCCAACTGAAGCAGAAGACCTACTACCGCAGCAGCGCAAACGCACTCGTGTTGCTCGCTTTGGCGATGGAGGCAGTTTCTCGGATGGCAGCGTTTCAGATGACGAATACGATCAAGAAAAACGCGATAAGGAAAAGGAAGAGCGTGAAAAGCTTGAGGAGAAGAACATTCCTCGAGAATGGACGCAAAATGGACGCGACCGGTTGCAGCGTGCGCTGATGCATTACGGATTTGGTCGTTGGGAGATTATTCGGAGCCAGAGCGGTGGCAGTCGCTCCATGAAGGAGGTGGAGCTGTTTGCTCGAGGTTTTATTTATGTTTCCGGTCTGGCTTGTGATCAGCGCAAGGATGACTCTTCTTTTGTGAAAGCGTCTATCCACGCGGCTACTACGGCTCAAAAGGAAAATCTTATCGATGAAGAGGAATTATCGCCAGTTTTGAAAGAGGAGGATTTCGTTCTCAAGTCAAAGCAAGGTGGTGGTCGACGTGTACTGGTCCGACTAGACATGCTCCAGCGGCTTCAGCATCTGGTTACTGCGGCGTGCGATGCGTGCGACGAACTGTACAAAGATTCGGAGGATAGCTCGAAGCCTAGACCGAAACCGACTGCTAGCATCGACGAACGGGCCAGATATTATGGTGTTGACAAGCTGATCCCGCATATTGAGCTGGTAGACGTTGGTGAACGACCGGCATGGACGCAGATCACGCCATGGTGGAACGAGGAAGCCGATCGAAACTTGTTAATGGGCGTATTCCTTCACGGCTATGGCCGCTGCGCCCAAATTTTGGCCGATCCGCGATTGCACTTCGCACGGCTAGAGAAGGCTGCTCGTGACCAACAACAAGCGAATAGTGGTGCCGTGTTAAACCAGAACGGTGTGGCTTCCTCAGCAGTAGTCAAGAAAGAGGGCGCAGCATCGGCAGAGGGAGGCGATGACGTGGATATGAGCGATGCTGACTCCGAAAGTGCATCAAGCTCGGTTAACGATGACAGCACTCCTAAAAGCAACGGTGGTTCTGGACCTCTCAAGTCTGAAACAGGTGCAAACACTGCAATGGCAGAAGCCAATGCTTTTAAGCAACCGGAGGTACAGCACATGAACCGATTGCTAAGCTGGTTGCTTTCTGCGGAGGAAATCAAACGGCGACACGGAAAGGAAAGGTTTAAGAAGGAGCGTGTGGCAATTGAGCAGCGGCGTCAAGTTGCCCAGGAAATGCAAGCGCGATCGAGGACGTTGCGTCGGCTGGAGCTTAAGGCGATGCAGCTTGCCCAGGTGGATATTCTTCGACACATGGCGGTATTGCACAATGCTCGCCAACTACCCGATCCAACGCTTGTGGCTCCTCCGCAGCATCGCATGAAGAATACGGACTGGACCAAGGAAGAGCGCCGTTCTTTCGCCTACATGATGGCACTCCACGGTGCTCCGCGTATTCTTGCGAAGCGGGCTGTTGTTGCTCCTGATGGAAGAGCAACTCCGTCGATGCTGCCGTTTGTGACAGAGCACGCTCGCCCCTTTTCGTGGGAAACAGATAGCATCTCGTGGCTCAATATTGTGGAGTGGGGCAATTTGAACAAGAGCGCAACGCTGGCCCGCACGTTTTACGAGACAAAGTTCGCCCCCAAATGCCGTGAAGTTGCACGAATGCGGGCTGATCCGCTTGGCTCAGACCAGCGCGCTGTGGCGTTGGGCGATCTTATCGGCATTGAATTCGTGGACGCCTTCGAAGGTGTGCTGGCACATGGACTCAAGGCTCGTAACACAGCTTGGGTAACCATGCGACGCACACAGTTACTGGAGGATGTGTTGGAGATTCTTACAACCAAGCGGGCTGCGCTTGAGGATTACCTACGATCTGGGAAGCAGACTCTGGTGGAGGATATGCCTGTGTGGTGGTGTCCTTGGATCCACGACCTGGGAGTGTTTTACGGTATGGCTCGCTACGGTGTTTACGGCTGGGAGCGCATTATGCTGGACCGTCAGCTGCCATTTCACCGCCAGGCACGAGAGCACCACATCCGTGCCGTGTTTCTGGAGGGCACGCCCACCTTCCGCCCCCTGTATCGACACCACTTCGAGTCGGCTGCCGAGATGAACGCTTGGTTTGTTCGCGTCCTGAACGAGTTCCCGTCGCTGTCGATTCTGGAGCGTAAGGTGGAGTCGATTTGCGCTGCGGTGCTCGAAGAGTACGGAGCTACAGCCGAGCGCTACGTGGAGCCGGAGGATCGTCGCGAATTCAGCTTGTCACCGCCAGGCAACTGCTTCGAGGAGCTGATTCTGGCGCGTGTGAAGCACGAGGAAGAGCTGCTTCCGAGCATCGAGCCTGTCCTGGCAGGAGACGCGTCGTCTGGACCCCCTGAAGCGCTAGCTGCGTTTTTGAGTGAGTCGCAGGGCCGTCGCGACGAGTATTTACGAGCAGCCGAGGCCTCGAACGCTATCGGCTCCATCTCCTCTAGCTCCGCGGCCGCAGTTGCGACGAATGGGCAGCAAAGCCAAGAAGGCGAAGAGGACCAGCGACAGCAGACAGCGTCGTCGCAAAGCCCTATTCAGATGCTGGTCTCGTAGAGCAACAAACAAGAAGAACGACTAATTTGCAATCACGGGTGGGTAATACATGCTGAGAGATAATAGAAAATCGTCTTTGTCTATGATGAATTTACTCGTTCTTTGCGTGTGTGAAGGCTCCAGGTTTGGGTTTCGTCAGGTTTTCCTCCGAGTTCTTGCGCGAGCGACGTCGTTCGGCCTTCGCCAGTAGCAGCGCGCGTCTCACCCGCTTGCGGATGTAGTAGTAGGCCACGATGAAGATGGCCCCAAGCACCGACAAGATGGCCACGACGCTGACGGTGTATCGGCGCCAGGCTGAGGGCACGTAGATCTTGAGGTGGCAAGTCTGGAAGTTGCCGTCGGCGTCCTCGATCCCCTGAAACCCGTCGACGCAGTCGCGCGTGCCGTACACGTAGCCTGCCGGGATGGAGCGGTGGAACGGGTCGTGCCAGGGCTTATCGCACATTTCGCCCGTCGCCTCGCAGATGTCCTTGTCGTAGCGCTGCTTGCACAGACACGTGCACTTCATGGGGAGGGTGCAATTGCCCTGGCCGATCATGGCCCCGTTCACTTCCTCTTTGCCCCAACGTCCGCCTCCAGTGCCACACGGATCCGTACGAAACACTTCGACCTTGAGCTCATCGACGGTGAAGAGCGTTGGGCGAACGGAGGCTGTGACCGCTTCAGTCAACTCGCAGATCGGCGTCGAGCAGTCGAAGCCAGTCCAGCCTTCAGCACAGGCGCAAACGTCCGGGGCGACGCACAGTCCTCCGTTCTTGCAGCGGTAGCAGCCATCGCCGCTGCTGACGATACTGCTGGCCATGGCGTCAATGCCGGAGATATTCCCAGTTGTGAGATTCAGGTCGCTGGCCACGACGCTGGCGTTGCAGATCGGGTCGAACACTCCTTGGATGCAGATCGGCAACGCGCAATCCGAGCCGAAGTACCCGGTGAGACCCGTTGGGGCTGTCGGATAGTGATCGTGTAGGGTGGAGTTGACGGTGACACATCGACATTCATCTTTGCTGACGCAGACGCCGCCATTACGGCACCCGGAGGACACGGTGGCGTATTGGTCGGCCTCGAGGAATCGGCAGAGCGGAATGTTGCAGTCGATGCCGGCCCAGCCATCGCCACACGCACATTCGTCTGGGGCTACACACGCGCCAGAGTTGTAGCACTCGTAGACGCCCTCACCAGGGGCTGAAACTCCGTACTCCCATGTGACTTCATCCACTTTCGTCACATTCACGTAGTTGGTACGAATAACGCGGTTCGTCCCGTTGTCGCTCTCGATGTCACCTTGCTCCCAGACCACGTTACCACAGAGGAAATCGTTCGACACGCGAGCTACGTTGAGGTCGTCCCGATAATCCAGCAGGTTTTGGATCTGCTGGGCGCTTGTGAGTGCAGCGCTACGCTTTGGATTGGGCTCAGGATCACCAACCGAGCAGCCACTCTGAAACGAGTGGCCATCGTTGGCCACCAGCTCCACGTCGTATTGAGGACAGCGATACGTGTTGCAGTTGCGGACCGCTGTGGCGCTATCATAATTGCCACGTAATGTACGGAAGCTGCTGGACGAGCGGGACACAACATTCAGCACGAACCGTTTAGCCTGAACGCAGATAGGAGTGTTGCAGTCGTACCCAGTATAACCTGTACGTTGCGCTCGTCCATCAGGAAGCTGGAACACAGGCTTACCACCGTTCTCGCGGCCGTCTCGCCAAATTGAATCCCACGTGATGCACTGACACTGGTCAGGAGCGATGCACGTCCCGTTATTCCGGCATTCCTGCGCGCAGAGTGCAATCGAGCAGTCTGCTCCTGACCATCCCAAGGCACACGTACAAGTGTCTGGAAGCGTGCAGTTCCCTCCATTCATGCAAGTTTGCGTGCATACCGGGATCGTACAGTCCGCTCCAGTCCAACCAGGAGCACAGTCGCAAACCCCGGGGGCCGAACACGTGCCGTTGTTGAAGCACCCGCGCACGACTTGATCCACGCAGTCTCCAAACACTGAAGAATTCCAGAAACCGCGGCGGACGGCGTCTTGCGCTGTGTACGTGACTTGAGGTCGGTACGATGCATCTGTATCAACAACAAGCACACCCAGTTTGCCTGACAAGAGGTCTTTCGCTTGCGTCCCTGAAGAGCAGGTTCGGTTGAATTCGAGGAGGCAAACCCCCTTCTGCCAAGCTCTGCCGGGGATATAACCCCACGTACCGCCACGTTTCCAACCCTGTCGGGTATCGTCTAATGGCGGCTTGGACAAATTGTAAAGTGGTGGCCAAGCCATCCCCGTCCATTGTGTGTGGTAATGGCCATCGGCGGATAATTCTCGGTCCATGTAGCGCGAATAGTAGTTGGGATGGTCGAAGTAATAGGCCGGAGACCCATCGGGCGTCGCTGGTTTCTCCCATTCCGTGATACTGCGAATCGAGCATGCATAGCCACCTTGCGTTGGTTTGTAGCGTACACCACCTCGAGTCTCTGAGGTCACGGTCACTTGGGTGTACGCAATTTGCTCGACTGTTGCAGTGTACGTCGGATTCGAAACAGGGTGTCGAGGATCAGTGGCAGTCGGGGGTTCAGCAGCTAGATATGTGACTTGGTTTGGGGAGTAGTAGCCCTGGGAACACACAGGAGTGCGGCAATCAAACCCAGCCCACCCCGAGGCGCATTGACACACATCAGGGGCTACGCAGCTACCTCCGTGGGCACAGGCGTAAACTCCTTGTACAACTCGCCTTCGCTCCACGAGTGCCACCTGTCGGTCACTGGTCAATAGAAACGGAGGTGAAAACCCCACTTCCGCTTTGGCGATTCCTCTCCAGGCTGCAGAGGCATTCCATCCGTACGGCTTGACGGGGGCAAAACGGTAAAAGTCGCTGGTTGCGTTGCCCTCGGAAAGATACTGGAACTGTGCGAGTGTGTCGTCCCCCAGCTCAAGCAGAAGACAATCGCCGTACGATGGTGGGGTCTTCCCTTTTGCCGCTAAGCCACTTGACGCGTTCACCACAGGACTGGACGTGGTGTATAACCGGTGAAGACAGTCAAACTCGCCAGTCTCAAGACACCAGCGAGCGAAATCACAGGGCACGTAGCTTTCAACGGATAGCGGGCGTGCTAGGGCGTTCGCGTATCCACTTGGATGCGGCACAAAATCGCCCTGCGGACAGATCGGGAGGCTGCAGTCGAATCCACTCCAACCGGTAGCACACAAGCAGGAATCGGGTGCGACGCAACTTCCACCATTCTGGCACGTCTGAGCGCACACCGGTACACGACAATCGGTGCCTTTCCAGGCGTCTGGACACGTGCACGTGTTTGGAGCTGTGCAATTCCCCCCGTTTCCACAAGTTTGAGTGCACACTGGGGTCGTGCAGTTAGCGTCAAACCAGCCTGAAGCACACGAGCAAGTGTCCGGTGCCGAGCAAACCCCTCCGTGAGTACAGGTTTGAACGCACTGCGGTGTACTGCAAGCTGGAAATTCCCCATAACCAGGCATGCAGGCACATTTGTCAGGACCCACACATATCTGTCGAGCTCCACAGCTAGTACTGCAGACGGGTATTGTACAGTCATCACCTGTCCACCCAGAAGGACATGTACACACGTCTGCAGCACTGCAAACTCCTCCGTTCTCACAAACCTTGGCACAAGGAGCAGACAGCGCTCGAATGCGGTTGTTGCCCGCGTCGGCGATGTAGAGAAAATCTGTTCGTGATAATGACCGGCTTCTAGCGATATCAAGCCCCGCGATACCCAGAAAACGCGCCGCCAACGGAGGCTGAGCGTCCAGGTAGCCGCAACCATCCTGCTGGGATCCGAGTGGTGCATTGGGCGCCCCTGCGACGGACTGCACCTCGAGTTTAGGCCGTAGATACGCCTTGACACTGAAAAGCCGAGCACGAGTATCCTGAGTCGACGGCAAGTTAAGCGACGTCACCCCATTCGCAGTAGAGCCGACTGCCGTGGATGCCTTTGACGCTGGCTGTGTTCCACGCTCCAGAGTAATCGTTACTAGGCCTCCTTGAGTAGCAGTGATAGCGCCACTATGAATCGCAGCGAGGCAGATCGAAGAAACATCGCTGTACAGTCCAGAACCGTAAACTTTGGTCGAAATTGTCGTAGGATCACAACCTGCAGGACAACTCACCTTGACGGTGGTGCCGTATTCGAGGTCTTGAAACACACTGGTCGTGATGGATTGGGTGTCTGGGTCGCGTAAGGGTAGCGCGAGATCTCCTTGTACTAAGCCGTCGGCTGGAGGTGAGCCTGTACAGTCCTTCAACGTTCGTCCAGATATCGCGGCGCCCAGGACAGGGTCGAACTCCTCGCGCTGCAGATAGTTGAGGAAAATGTTGTTGGTTGCTGGCGATGTCTGGAGGAAAAGCTCGTCCACTGGCTGCTCGTAGGACGCACAACCACTCGGACGCAGCACTTGCGTTGCTCGAGTCGAACACGTGACAGACCGCGAGACTAGCGAGGCAGGAGATATCTGCCGCACTGTGCAGTCCGTAGAGCTGGCAACGTACACTCGTCCGTCAGCAGCGAAAGCGACTCCGGCTGGCGCGTTGAAAGTTGCCTCATTCCCTTCGCCATCGATGTGTCCAGGTACATTGGACCCCGCGAGAGTCACAACGCGGTTGGTTGACGTGACGGTCTCAATTGTAGACGCAAATCCTCCGTCATAAGTCACTCGACGTACGCGATGGCCATCGGCCACCACCACGGTACGCTCAGCACCGACTGCAATGGCGCGTGGGCTGTCAAATTGAGCGTAAGTTAAGTTTCCGTCTCGAAATCCACGCTCGCCACGCAAACAAGGCGACAAACAGCCAGGTGTATCGGCATCTTCCGATGGAACGACGCTACCAGCAAGCGTATGTGTAGTTCCGTTTGGTTCAATACGCCGAATCAAGTGATTGCCAGTATCTGCAACAAATACTACGCCATCAGCATCAACCGCTACGCCCATGGGCGAGTCAAAGCGGGCTCCGAGGGGATCGCCATCGGCCAGACCGGCGTGAGGGCTCTCTGGCTGCTGCGAAAGCCTCACAGTTTCCACGCCAGCGCCGCAAAGCCCCGAAAGACACGACACCACCCCGCTCTTGATCTGTCGGATGCGATGGTTGCCTGTATCAGCCACAAACACAGTCACGGTCGCGCCGCCGTTCGTCTCCAGCACAGCAACATCCGACGGGTACGAAAACCGCGCTGCCGAGAGCGCAGCTCCATCCGCAAACCCCTCAATCCCATCGCCCGCTAGCGTGGACACCATCTTCGTGGTCGGATTGATTTTTCTAATGCGATGGTTGGCTGTATCCGCCACGTAAACCACTCCATTCGAGTCCACAGCCACACCGCGCGGGTGGTTAAACCTCGCAGTTGCCGCTGGTCCGTCGAGGAACCCTGCAGTACCTTCACCCGCCACGGTTGTCACTCTTCCCTGTGCTCGTCCAGACGCGCCGAACGCTGCGGAATAGCTCCAAATATCCGACGAAGCAGCGTCACTAGTATTTCTCCTCGGGTGCGCTCCTCTGTTTGTCAATGACCCGGACTGCGTGCCCCAACACCTTACGTCACACTGCGAGAAGTCCGTCGAGAACGGCGACAAGCAGCCTCCGCCTGACAAGAACAAGCAGAGCTGTGTAGCACCGCCGTAGTCGTAGCGGTGTTTGCCCCCCACCGCCCACGGGACGTCGGTCACCGTCGGGACGTTCTTGGGCAGCGTAGACCACGGAATGCCTTGCAGCTGGAAGGCGCAGCGATCGCCGCTGTTGCCGTTGCAGGCGAAGTCCTCGCAGATGTGGCACTTGCTCTGCACGCCGAAGACGCCGCACGCGTGGCGGATGTCCTGGTCGTTCGGGTTCGCTCGGCCCTGCCACTCGAGCGTCTGCGCCGGCGTCTTCTGGTACGCGAAGGGCCACTGCGGCTTGCGCGCGCTCTCGCACCACGGCTGCGTCGTCCACGTGCGTCTCAGCACGGCACCGTACAAGCAGCAGCAACTAGACAGCAACAGCACGCACGCCAACAAGACAGCGACAGCCATGCTGCGGCTTGTGATGCATTGATACATTGGATGCGTCGCTTCAAGATCAGGACCTGTGTGGTGTACACAAATCCGAAATTAACTCCGAATTTGTCGTGGCCAGTGCTTTGCATGGAAGCCTTGACACACTAAAAGGCAACAAGTCGATACTGTAGCTGTAGAGGCAATGAGCGCGAGCAAGGAGGACGTGAAGCGGCGCCAGGTGATCGTGATCCTGGAGCAGGCGGCGCTGGAGACGGTCAAGACGTCCAAGGGCTACCAGCTGCTCAACTGCGACGACCACAAGGGCATCCACAAGAAGCTCAACCGCGACGCCAGCCAGTCGCGCCCCGACATCCTGCACCAGGAGCTCATGGCGCTGCTCGACTCGCCGCTCAACAAGGCCGGCTACCTCAAGGTCCGCTACTACAGTGCAATGCTATCGATGCAGTACTATTGCAGTATAACACTGACGTCGTTGACGATAATTGCTATTGCTATTGCTATTGCTATTGTCGCTGCAGATGTACATCAAGAGCACCAAGGGCGTGCTCATCGAGGTGAGCTCGCAGATGCGCGTGCCCCGCACGTACAAGCGCTTCGCTGGTCTCATGGGTGAGTGACTGACTGGCTGCAATTGATATTGAGGTGTTTATTGTGGGGAACTGAGTGTGGTTGTTGTTGATTTTTCGCAGTGCAACTGCTGCACACGCTCAAGATCCGCTCGTCGGACGGCAACCACACGCTGCTGAACGTGATCAAGAACCCCGTGACCAAGTACCTGCCGGCCAACTGCAAGAAGTACGCGCTCACGCGCACGGGCACGCTGGTGAACCCGTGGGAGTGGGTGGAGACGCTGCCCAAGGACGAGCCCGTGGTCTTCATCTTCGGCGCCATGGCCCACGGCCACATCTCCAAGGAGAACTGCAACTACGTAAGTACAGCTCTACAATGCTGTAATCTGCTGTGTAAGTTGATGAAGACTGACGTGTTTTGATGCTCTCCTTGCAGCTGGACGAGACCATCTCCATCTCCGAGTACCCGATGAGCGGTGCCCAGGCCATCTGCCGTCTGCTCAACGGCTTCGAGCGGCACTGGGGCATCCTGTAACTTTATTCTGCCGGATAGATGCATGCGAGTCTTCGCTGGGTCTCCGACATGTTGATGATGCTGCTTCACTGCTAGGCTTAGGAACAAACAGCGACTGGAGCAGCGGCAATGAAAATGAAACGTGTTCGCAGTTGAATGCTGAAGTATGCCTTTGCAGTTCGCATCTCCATCGTCAACTCTGCGGCGCAGGCGGAAGGAAAGGCGACCCAGGCAGGTCCTTCGCTTCCTGCATCATCTTCTCTCCAGGTGTGAGCGGCATTGCACCGTGCAGTTGCTGTTGCCGCTGGTCGTACACAGCCTTCCTGATGGCGCCCTGTGTAGCCTCGTCGTACTCCTGGATGTTCCGTCGCGAGTCGACTTGGCTCGTGTCGATTTCCGGTCCTCCTTTAAGCGCACTCGCCCACCACGTGGGCTTGATCTTCTCCAGCGAAATGTTCAGCGTATGGTTGCTCTCCAGCGACCAAATGCTCTCATCAGCTCGGATCTTCTCCACCAGCTCTCCTACCAGCAACGGTTTGCTCGGATCGCTCTTCATCGACACCCGTAGCCTCGTCGACTCAATCCGACAGTCCAGGTCCTTCGCACGCGTGCCTTGCGGCAACTCCATCTGAATCTGCAACATACCACAAACTTCAGTATCCTTGCAGTGACACTGCATGTACCAGCACACGCAACGCACCGAAACATCCTCCAGCGTCTGCGTCCAAGTGTAATTAGCAGCCACTCCACCGTTCCCCACTGGCACTGTAGCAACATCAACATCAACACCGAACATGAACAACGTCAGCACTACTACGCACTGTACTACTATTACCAAATCAAAATCATTGTCGACCTTGCTTGCCGTCGTCCGTCAGCTGTGGCTTGACCTCCTCAATCTTCTTGGCCGTCGGGCTCTGCTTGGCACTGGGGCTAGCAGCAGCAGCAGCGCTCTGTGCTTGTGTATTATTACTTGCCACATTGGCAGCTCCATCGCCGCCGTCGAGACTCCGCGTCGGGTACTTGCGGAAGGCCGCGAGCACCTTCCGCTCGGCCTGACCAGGTAAGAAGCCCATCTTGTGCTTGCCCGGGTCGCTCGAGACCGCGTAGAAGTCCGTCTTGCGGTGCAGGAAGTCGAAGAACGAGTCCAGCAGCGACTCCACGCCGCCGTGTTGCTGCGCCAGCTGCGTCAGCAGCGCGTCGAAGCGCCCGGGCGCGGCGCTCATGGCTCGGTCCGCCATGATCTATCGTTCCTATAGAATACTGCGCGGCCATTGGCTGAAATACCGCACCCGAGGTATCTAACGTTAAGGACTGTTGTCAACATCGGCCATACCCACATCAAGATAAACAGCGATGTGGTCGGCGCTGCGGCACGCGTGCGAGGTCGTGGACGTGTGCGGCTTCGCGCGGCGGCACAAGAATCTGCTGATCGCCACGGGCGTGGGCGCGGCGTGCGCGGGCGGCGCGTACTACGCGTACCGGCGCGTGGTGGGCGAGGCCGAGCGCTTCACGCAGCAGCTCCAGCTGCAGATGGCGGAGCACCAGCGCCTGCAACTGGCGCTGGGCAGCACGGCCGACGAGAGCCGCGCGACGGTGCGGCGCTTCCTGCCGCGGCTCAAGGCGCGGCTGTTCCAGCTGCTGGACCTGGAGAGCGTCGTGCAGGAGCTCAAGACGCTGGACAAGACGCAGAAGACGCGGCGCAACGCGCTCTGGGAGGACGCCAAGCTGCTGGCCGTCACGCGCTACGTGACGGCGCTCGTGGCCTTTGGGCTGTGGCACCTGCTGGTGTTCGCGCAGGTCTCCATCATCGGCAAGCGGGTGTTCGAGAAGAGCGACGCGGCGGCGGCGCTGTCTGAGCGCCAGAAGCAGCGAGAGCAGGCCGAGGAGCAGGCGCACCACGCCTTCCTGACCTCCGGGCTCGAGTACTTCCTGGACGAGGCGCTGGGCAAGATTAAGGCCCATGTGGAGGCCGTGGTGAGGGACAACAAGCACCTGCAGGGCTGGAAAGTCAGTCGCAAGGCGGCGGTCACGGCGGACGAGCTCAACGAGCTGCTGCAGGCGCTGTTCCTGGCGGTGCTGCCGTCCCCGGCGGCGGTCGCAGCCGCGGAGAAGCAGGAGGACTCGGCGGAGCTCAGGAAGTGGCGCGCGTTCTTGATCTACCCGGACAAGCAAAAGGGCCAGGACGAGCACGTGATCAGCCTGCTCAACGACCTGTGGGACCTCCTGGAGAGCGACCTGTTCATGCCAGCGTTGCAGCACAGCTTGGGCTTCCTGTGCGGCAACGCGTTCCAAGACCTGGACGACGTCGTCTACGGACCGAGCAAGCCGGAGCCTCGAGTTGTAGAAGATAGCGCTGCCGAGCCGCCTCAGAAGAAGCCCGCGCCTCCTCTCGCGAAGCTCATCCCGTGCCTCCAGTCCGAGATGAACAAGCTGTTGATGTCCTCGGGACCAGAGAGCTACGCTGCCAAGTACTCACAGGGCGTGGGCGAGATGGAGGCATTCCGGAACTTTTACGAGGCCATCTTCTTCGAGCAGAGCGCGCAGGACTCGTACATGGGATCAGCGCTCATCTAGACAACACCGTAGCTCGCGGTGCGGCGCTGCTGCGGGTCGGAATGCAACATGATGCTCGTTTACTATGCCTACAGAAGCGTAGTACAGGTATGAAAGCAAGCCGAACGGAAGGCGAGGCGCACAATGCACTCTATTGCTTGGAATATGTACTCATTATTGAAAAATGCATGCACACCCGTTCCATTACGCCTCGGCTTGCAAAGCGGGAGGAAGCGGTGATCTAACTTGGTAGTAAAAGTGTTTACGCGAGGGAGGTTGGGTAGCAAGCAACCTCAAGTCGATAGTTCAACACCAACAATTCAGCTCCCCTCGTCTCCTCCGTGAGTTGGTGGGTCTACAAGCGCGCGGCGGCCTCCATGGAGGCCAATCGCATCCGCATCATTTTCAGATCGTAGTCGACGGTGACGTAGCGATACACTTGAGCTTTGTCTGCCCAGGACACGTCAATATCCGCTTCTTCTGGAGGGTGGACGTAGTCGACACAGTAGTTGCCGGCGCGCGTGCACTTCTCGTGGCCGTGACGCTCGCAGATCTTGCGGAGCGTCATGACACACCGAAGATTGGCCATGTCCTTCAGCAGTGCCAGCACTTTCAGCATTAGGGTCGGCCCGAACATTACGTTGTTGATAAACACCACCGTGGCATCCATCAACCGGGCTTCAGCCGGCGGCTCGAGGATATCTCCCTGTAGCAACTCGATCTGTTTGCCGCGGAGAACGGGGACGTCGCGCTCTTTCAGCCGCTCCAGCGCCTTTTGTCCCTCTAACACGCGGTTCTGCATCAGCTCAATGCCAATTGCCCTCTTGCACGGCGTCTGAAGAGCCGCTTGCACCAAAATCTTGCCCGTGCCGCAGCCAAGGTCAAAGAACACATCGTCCTCTTCCAGATTCAAGAACGGCAGGATTGTCGAGGCGACGGACTCCACCGACACCTCGCCGTACGTCATCAGGCGCCGAAATTCCTCCAGACTCAGCTCTTTGACCTCCTGGGAGCGTTTGCAGTGGCTCGTCTCGGTGAGCACCGTCTCTCTGGTGATGTTGTACATTTCTCGGTCGTCCTGCTCCTGCTCCTCGTACAGGTCTGCAATCAGGTCAGATACGTACTTCGTCTCCAATTCGAGCGAGTACGCGGTCTCGGGCGCATATGCGGGCTCGAGCGAGCGTCGCGCCTTCCTGCTGCGCTTCTTCTGCGGGGTCTTCTTCTTCTCGTCCTGCACGGGGGACAGCACTCCCTTCGGCGTCTCACTCTTGACCTTGATACCTGAGCTCTTCTTGCGCTTTGCTGCAGTCTCTCGCTGTTGCTTCTCCTTCACCGCCACTGCTGCGCGCACAGCCGCCGCCTCTGCAGCGGCAGGACGCCTGCTCAACAACTTCTCCATCTTGATTCCCCTGTGCCGCTTCGGCTTCAGCGGAGACTTGCGCGTGGACTGCAGCTCCGAGGGGCTCAGGAAGTCAACGGCGCGGCGCTTGCGTCCGCTGCGACGCAGCTCCTGCGTAGCAGCGGGTTGCTGCTGGTCGTCGTCCTTCTCTTCCTTGATAGTCTTCATCATCTTCCTGCGCTTGCGCTGCGGCGTCTGCGCCTCCTGCGGTGCCTCTCCATCGGAAGAGGAGGAGGACGAAACTGCAGTGGTTGACGCGGACGAGTCGCTGGCGTTTCCCGACGTCTCCAGAACGAGCAAGACATCCTCCATGACGGCAGCGACGGTGGCGGTGGTCTCGGCGTCCGTCAGCATCGAAGTGTCTTCGGCTTGCGGTGCTCGGCGACCTTGCGATTCTGGCAGTCTATGGCGTCGAGAGGTGAGCTGATTAGCCCGATTCAAATGTTCAAAATAGCGGTACCACAAATATGGTACAGTAAAGTCGAGATCTTGAGGGGATCCGCCCAAGCCCAGCGTGGCGAAGCGTGGCAAAGCTTGGCAACCTGGCCGTTCGAGGCGTTGCAACGTGCACATGCGTACGCAGTAGATATTGGCCAAGTGCTGTCATGCTTTGGTTAATGAAGCGAAAATTAGGGGAGACGGGGTCTCTGAATGGAAGACTACTGTAGCTAGCTCACGATCATACTTATGCGCGGGACGTCGAGGCGTTTCTCGCCGGCGGCGGCCTCGCTGGGGCTCATCATACAGGGAGAGACGATTACAGCGCGCTGGCGGTGCGCGTGCGCGGCTGCCACTGGTAGAGGCCGTGGTGGTACTGGAAGCCGACCTTGTTCACGAGCTCGTCGCTCTCCTTGGGGCCGCGCGAGCCGAACTTGTACGTAAGCGGCTTGACCTTCTGGCCCTCGATCTCGTCCAGCAGTGGCGTGAAGATCTTCCAGGCGGCGCGCAGCTCGTCGTCGCGCACGAAAGCAGCCTGCTTGCCGCGCAGCACGTCCAGGATCAGGCGCGTGTAGGCGTCCGGCACCTCGGCGCCCTCGTAGCGCTCCGAGTACGACAGGTCCAGCTCGCTGGAGATGGCCTGGGTCTGCAGACCGGGGCACTTCATGTTCATCTTCATGTACACGGCCTCCTCCGGCTGCAGGCGCAGCACCAGCTCCTGCACGGGGATCTTGACGCCCGGGAACATGTGCTCCGCACCAGGGGGCGGGCGGAACTGCACGCGAATCTCGCCCTTGCGCTCGTTCAGAGCCTTGCCAGCCTTCATGATGAACGGGACGCCAGCCCAGCGCGGGTTGTTGACGTACATGATGGCTGTGGCGAACGTGGGCGTGACCGAGCCCTTGGGCACGGTCGGGTCCTCCAGGTAGCCGGGCTCGTTGCGCTCCTTGTCGCCCTCGTACTGGCCCAGCACGGTGTTCTCCAGCTTGATGGGCTCGATGCAGTTGAGCACCTTGACCTTCTCGTCACGGATGTAGTTCGAGTAGTCCTTGCCGGCGGCCATCACAGGCGGCTCCATGGCCACGAGCGACAGCACCTGCAGTAGGTGGTTCTGCATCACGTCGCGGATGATGCCGTACGAGTCGAAGTACCCGCCGCGGCCCTGCGTGCCGATGTCCTCCTTGAAGGTGATCGTGACGCTCGACACGTAGTTGCGGTTCCAGATGGGCTCGAAGATGGCGTTGCCGAAGCGCAGCACCAGCAGGTTCTGCACCATCTCCTTGCCGAGGTAGTGGTCGATGCGGTAGATCTCGTCCTCGCCGTAGAGCGCGCCCATGTCCTGCGACAGCTTGTCGAACGAGGCGAGGTCGTGGCCGAAGGGCTTCTCCACGATGAGGCGGTTCCAGCCGCGCGACGTGAGCGCCGCCTTCTTGATGCTCGTGCCAATCGGCACGAAGACCGTGGGCGGGATGGCGAAGTAGAAGAGGCGGTTGGCCACGGGCGAGCCCTGGGCCTCCTCGAGGGCCTCCATCTCCTTGCTCACCTTGCCCACGTCCTCGGCCGAGTCGTAGCTACCGCTGCGGTAGATGCACTTGGCGAGGAAGGCCTCCTTCTTGGCCTCGGCCTCGGCGGTCTTGGGCTTGATCCACGGCGCCATCTGCGCGCGGAAGTCCACGTCGTTCTTGGTGCTGCGCGCGTAGCCCACGATGACCACGTGCTCGGGCAGGTAGCCGGACGTGTAGAGCGCGAAGAGCGACGGGTACGTCTTCTTCTTGGCCAGGTCGCCCGAGGCGCCGATCACGAAGATCGTCAGCGCCGTGTCGAGGTACTCGCAGGCGTTGTGCTCGTCCACGGTGGGGAGGGACTCGGTGCTGTTGCTGGCGGAGAGGCTCATCCTGGCGGGTCTTGCGTCTGCTTCGTGTGCGTCTTCTTGGTGGATCTGGCTGCGGCGACCGAGGGTAAATCGGCGTTTGAGCTGAGAGAGCATTGCCGAACTGCGGGCCCCAAGCAGCCTGAGCAGTGGCCGACGTCATTTCACGTCTCGCTCGTGTTTTCATCAACAACGGTAAATGCGTCCGAATTAGATCTTTTAGTAGCGAATTAGGGTATTTCGCAGCGAGTTAGAGCTCTCGATTATGTGCCACCCAACACTTCCAGCGCGCCGCGATTCGTCCAAAATCGGGCCTTTTGTCTGATTGGCGCCTGGCAAGAGCAAATCCAAGTTCAACGTGCTTTAACGGGAAAGATTCCGTCCGCCCTTCGGAAACGCAACTGGCGAATCGTAGCGCGCACCGGCACGAATCACCCCGCGCAGTCCAGCAGGCACGAGCGCAGTATGTACGTATCGATTCCCCATTGCGCTGAAGCGCAGCATTCGGAATCTGGGCTCGCGCATGGAACCGCCCGCAATACAAAATGTAGGTAATCATATGACGGGGCATAATTGGTTCGTTTTTTTTCTCAGCCAATCGGAATTTCTCAGGCTTTTCAACCAATGACCAAGATGGCGCATATGTACTGGCGTAACGGGGAATTTTAATGCATGTACTGGTATAGGCGCAAGCACGCTGCCGGAGACGAGTTCAACGCAAGACGCTGGTTCGCTGCGTTCTCACGGAGGAATCGAATGGGCTCTTCATTGTCGATGACAGTAGCCGATCGGTCGAATGCAATCACTTGAGACCGCTTCTGGACATCCCTACCCGCGTTGCCCTAGGAATTCAAAATTATTGTGAAATTCACGTTCAAACGATGGATCTCCAGTGAAGGCCAATTCGCTCCGCCGGCACAGATCTGCGAGGGAAACGTTGCACAACATGCTGCAGCCCGCTTCGCGCGAGCATGTACGCCTAGCTCCGCTGCTGCAGCCGCACCGATACGAAGCTCTGATCCAGCATCGCAAGTAAGGGCTGGATCATCCAGCCCTTACTTGCGATGCTATAACAGGGATACCGACGCGTAGACACAACGACACCGCGCGAGCTTGCGTATTCTCGGCACGGTTGCCCAGGTACATGAGCCACATCAGATCAAACACCACCGAAACAGTTTCCTTAATGCGCGTCTTATCCTTTTTGCCCCTGCTGTAAAGGCCTTATCACACTGTGTAGACTTGCATACCATGTCCTCATCGACGAACAACTTGCTATCAGGATCGCTGTCCTTGCGCCAAGTCTCTGTCAGCATATTGTAGGCACCACGTCGCGTTTCGAGCACAAGTAGCCCGCGGCGGTACGTAACGGTTGACAGTATGCATGCGTTCATCGATCGCCACACTTCCGTCATGTACGCCCGCCGTCTAACTTTTTGCGCTGCTGATTATACAAGTCGTGTTGCTAGAGCACGGTTTGTACGGTAGCTCTTGAAAACATCCATGCGCCAACATAGTAATAGCAATGGACCAGAACAGTGGCTGCGAAAACTCTCTATCGTGTAGGTCAGAGGCGAGAAGCTTAGAAACACGAGAGCTGAGAGGTGGTACTATGAGGGAGGAGACGGGTTGTGTGAACTTTAGCGTACCAAATGACTGTGCGGCCATCAACCGTGGCAAATTGGGTTCAATGACGTACATCAGCAGTAACAAGGGGATCGACGATCTACGTAAGTACGACAACTTGTTTTTCTACTTCAAGTACTTAAGTATTTATTATACTACAACCAGGAGCTGTATCAAAGTAGCACCGCAGCCACGCAGTCGTCGTCGCCTAGTCACAGTAATGCAAGTACTGTACTTGTCCAGGCCGCAAACTGTGAAGCATTTTGCACCATCGCACACGTGGACTTCCAGCACTAGTAGATATTTGTAAACGTTACCAGTGCTCCACAACTGCTCGTATGCACTTCAGAAAGCACGAGAAGCATCGGAGTTCATGCATCCCATCGTAGCGAAGATTGAACTTGGAGATACATCTATCATTCATGACTCCACCACAAAGATTCGCAACTTTCTCAGTGATTATTTGGACCATAATGCGTTCGTCAAACGAGTTCTCACCTATAGGACCTTCCCATTATGCTTTACTACAATTAAGGTAAAATCGAGCAGCTTGATGTATGGTGGAGTGCCTAGCCTTGCCTGCTTCCCAGGCATAGCCCACATCATCGTCAGAGATGGCCCCGCTGGAAGTAGCGCGTAATACCACACGAAGAAGGCGGTGCGAATCATTTTTCATCCGTTCATCCGTGGTAGTTTTGTGGCTGTGCAGAACGCAAGTAACTTAGCAGTGCGGATATCATAGATGCAAAGCATTAGGTCATACTTGGTCTTAAGTTTGCAATTAGAGAGCGACCGGTGTTTGAAAGGGTTAGCTGAGCTGTGCTGGCTCAGCTCGAAGCTGAAGATGTTCACTCCGGCCCCTTAATAATTTAGCGCGCTTTATCAACACTTTGCCTAACAGTTCAAACTGGAGCATGTAGCTGCTGTGGACTCGCTAATGAAAATCTTCAGTCATGCAAATATTCGGGTAAGTTAAGAATTTGTGTTTTCGTCGAGGGCGATGAAGTTGCCCTAAGGTACTCGAAGTTGCTCAAACAAAGGTGCTTAAACGTTGCACACCTTTGAGCAACATTTTTCACCGAAGGTGCCTGATTGAACGAGAGCCGCCGACACGAAGACTCCTGCCAAGAGCTATCACCCGTACGTGGAGGAGTTACCGTACGAAAGCAAGACCAACCACGGCTATGCCTTCGTCGTGTCAATGCCGGTTATTACACTGAAGGGAGGAGCTACGCAACCGCAGGTGATCCAATTGCATGTCTGCTGCACAGATACTTCGAGTATGTATTACGTCGGCCGTTTGAAATGCAAAACAGTCGTCGCCGCTGAGCACTTCCGAATGCCACAGGTTTCGGTGGTTGCTTGCCTGTCCTCACAGGCGGGATCTGGCTTGTGGCAGCTCGATCAGCTGGGTGCCCCACTTGCCATCTCTACAGAGTACGAACAGGACACCGGGGAGCCGTCCGGCCACTCAGCTGAGCTGCAGCCAGGAACCAGTCACGCAAAGCTCACCTTGCAGAAAGTGTCGTGCTTTTGGTGAGCCAGAACGAAGACCAAAGCGTGCCGAATTTTCTAGACCGTTGCATCACGCGGGCTTCGCTATCCTCCAGACCCGATGCCAGCAAGTTGGGGAGCATTTAAAGTAGCGTAGGAGGTCATGGCTTCAATAGGACAATCTCTATATGAAAGGGGGATTACCGGCACAATTCCTATCTAACACGAGTAACTTAATACGACTTGGACCTACGGGCTAATGGTAAGGAGGCGACATGGGCCTCGGTGCTTACACGGACCGGAACATGTTGTGCTCGATTGCGCACGGGGAGGACACGACGCTCTCCGCGCTGTGCTCGTCCGAAATGCGGAAGTGCTGAGTGCACAGCCCTTTCCGCCGAGCCTTCTTCTCGCAGCCGGCCATGGAGCAGATCTTGCCGCCACCGTGCTTGATGCAGAACCCGTTGCCGCGGTCCTTGGACGAGCATCCCTCCTCCTTGCAGAGGCGCTTGCCACCGTGGCTGTGGCACAGGTTGTTGCGCTGCGAGACGCGCTCGCAGCCCTCGATCTTGCAGTACTTGGAGGCGCGGCTGCGGTGGGTGCCGCTCGAGTGACTGGGCGAGGCGCGGGACTTGACCGGGTACATGGCGTGCTGCACGGGGGTGGCGTCGGCCCACGAGCGCTTCTTTCCGGGGAAGGACGGGCCCATCGACGAGCTCATCTGCGTGTACGACGTCTGCGGGGCGAAGGCGGCCATGCCCGGGAGCGGGGCTTGCGGCATCGTAGCCACGGGCAGCACGCGCTTGGCCATGCTGGGGCTGATCATCGTGCGCAGCGAGGGCATGGGCGCCAGGTCGCGCGACACGGGGCTCAGGCGCGGGTACTGCGACGACGGCGCGGCCGAGGCCGTGGGCGACGTGGTCTGCATCTGCTTAAGCAGCCCCTCGAGCGACGGCAGCTTGGGGTTGATGCTCAGGTTGAGCGTGGGCGTGGCGGGCTGGTAGACGGGCGACTGCGCGACTTGCTGCTGCTGGAGCTCCTGCTGCTGGGCCTGCTCGGCGGCCGCGAACAGCGCGAGCGGCGGGTAGTCGGACAGCGACTGCTGGCTGCGTGGCGCGGCGAAGGCCGGGGCCAGGAAGGGCTGCGAGCCGCCGACTGCGAACGAGGGCGAGGAGGTGGTCATGGCGATGTGTGTGGAGATCGACCGCTGTGCCACTCGGAAGGCAAATTCTGAAATGAGCAGTGCCCAGCCCGCTGCTGCGCGTGGTGATCGCAGCGGCCGCAAGCGGTGCGAAATCAATCGAGCAAGGATTGCGCCAAGGGGCGGCCGACCTGGTGTGCGCCACACGAGACTGCTGGCCGCTGGTCTCCCGTATCTTGCGTTTTGTATGGGCCCCAGCGCCATTGCGACACCGCGCTCGATTACGAGCTGCCGCCAGGAAGAGAAGGGCGCGCGTCCGGGTACAGTATGACGGCGCGGCCACCGCTGCTGGCGGGCTGGCTGGCATTGGGCTCGCTTGGTACGAAAGGACCCGCGCACGCAGGGGCCAAATAGCGCCCGAAAACGCTCCGATCTCGGCCCTCCAGCCTCCGCAGTCGCCTCCAGCGCGCTAGCAGCGGCCCAACGCCTCGCAGCCGTCCCGCACCGCTGCCTACGGCAGCGCTTGAAGCTGGCTCGGCCTCACTCATCCGCAGGCACCGCGGTCCTTTGGCTGGCACCACACACGACTGGCGACTGGCGGAGTGCCCGCGCTGTCCCACCTCGGTCGGCAAAACTGAACTTTTTCTACCGCTTGCCGCTTCCTTCCTTGCACGGCGATTGCGTCGGCGACATTGCGGGGTCCTTGAGAGCCCGTCACAACGCGGCCTTCAGCCAGCAGGGCTCCATGGCGATCCCCCGAGCCCGCGCCCCGGAGTCGCTACAACAGCAGCAGCGGAAGCTCCAGCATGCCATGCGGACCGCTGCGCTAACCCAGTTCGTCCGCCGGCTGCTGCTGTGCCGCTCTGAAGCACTTGACAAGTGCCACCACGTGCGACACGCGCGGGAGCGCAATCACGCCGACAGTCATTCGCGACCCGTGATTGCGCGCCTGATTGGCGGACCCCATCTGCAGTACCGCCAGGCACCGCACGGACCTTTCGCGTCGTTACCCACCAAAAGACTGGGGAGCCTTCATGCGTACCGACATGAACCACCAAGCAGCTAGGTGCTGCTATCGCCGCCGCCGCCGCTAAAGCCTGCCTCGAGCAGCGCCGCTCTCGCTTGCGTGCCGCCGAGCTGTAGCCTGAATCCAGCTGCGCGATTGCGGCGGTCACTTCCGAGTCGGAAGTTCCGACCGAGGAGTGGAGTAATCGGGCCCGCGAGCGAGCACCCGGATGCGATTTGAGTCAGATCTCCAGCTCTGCTGCGCTGCAACGACGCTGGTGGTACTGTAGACTGACTGTCTTGGACGCTGCCTGCACGCCACGCCAAGCGGCTCACGGTCGTTGAAGCTAGCGTCGCCGCCGCGGAGTCGAGCCCAGCCAAGGCGAGCACGCCCACGCTGAACCATGTGGACGAGCGGCGACCAACACTTGCAAAAAAATCCGGTGCGGGGAGAAAGATGGGCCGCGCACGCACCACGCGGATTACGTTTCGTCGGAACATCGCCTTCAGTTGCGCTGGGGCAACTTAGCCGTGTCATCGCTGAGTCTGCACCTTGAGATCACTTGCGGAGCCCAAGTTGGACGGCAGCAGGTTGCTGGGATAACGGCGAACACGAAAGCCCTCAATATTCCCTTCGCTCACCACGCTGCGTTTTTTCTCTCGAAAACTCCTCCATCACCACGCATCATATATGTAATCGTGGCGGCCATCGCCGTCCCCTTAACTATGGCCCACAGTTCCCCCACAGTCTATGGGGATACAACAGTTTCAAGCCAGTAATTTTTGCAATCTCGGCCGCCCATCGCTCGTTCATTTCTGCAATGGCACGGGCGCCACCGCCAGGGTGTCCACGCCTGCCTGGCGGCCAAGGAAGGTGGAAGACGAAGCGGGTTCTAACTTCGTATACAGCTGCGACGAAGAAAGCTGTTGTTGAGCATCTGAGACTACACTGCAATGTTCGTTTCACTATAGACTCGTTCTTTCCTGATCTACCAACAGAGAAGTATCAAGGAAGACGAGTATTGGTGCTAAGATGGGCTCGCCAGTATGACTCTATCGCCGCTACGTGTGCTTCTGTCGGCGGTGGGGGCAAGCGAAAAGCTCGCTCTACCGGATCAGCTACGATCTTACCTCTAGATGTTGAGCTAGAGATCGTGAGCTGGATTAGCGATTTGCGCGCCGAGGGCGTTCCAGTCACGTCTCTAATGCTACGCCTGAAGGCGTTAAGCGCAGCTAAGGCGGCGGGAGTGCACCGATTCCGGGCGTCCTCTGGATGGCAGTGTCTGTTCAAGAGGCGTCACCCCCTGTCAATGCGATCGCGCACACGCCAAGGCCAAGTCAGCCAAGCAGAGCTGGACAAGATCGCCGCGGAATTCTCTCAAACTGTGAAGGCTAAAGCGGCGGAACTGGGTGTGTCCGTTATATACAATGCAGATCAAACCGGTGAGTTTCACTATATTTTGCTATGTTTTAACGGACCGTACTAACAGGATATGTTTTTGCTCTTGTGCTACCTTTTAGCTGCGTTTTTCGAGAACTTACCCGCTAAAACACTGCATGGCACCGGTGAGAAGACGGTGTGGGTGCGCTGCGGTGGGAAGAGCAAGGAAAGAGCTACCGTCATGCTGCTAGGAGACTCGAACGGTAATAAATACCCGCCGTTTCTTGTTTTCAAGTCAAAGCCATCGACGGTATTACAACGACGTGAAGCCAACACACGCCTTCGCCATGGATTAGGCGTAAGCGTGTGGAAAGATGTCGGACCAGCGCAAGAAAAAGAAAGAGTCCAAGTTCATGGCAACGCCAAAGGTAAATAACGCATACACGTTGTATTTTATGATAATACTAACGTTTTTTTTTCAAGGTTGGTGGAATACTTCTTTGTCTGTAGAGTTTCTCCGCTATCACTTCGGTGCGAGACCCCAACCCGAGAAGCCTGTACTCCTCCTCTGGGATGACTTCTCGGGACACTGGTCCAAGGAAGTCATCCAGTGCGCAAAGGAGCTGAAGGTGGAGTAGCTCAAGGTTCCACCGGGGGCGACGTCTGTCTGCCAGCCCGCGGATGCTACGTGGAACGGGCCTCTCAAAGCGCGTCTACGACTGCTCTGGATCGAGCATTTGAAGGCCCAGCTTCTCGACCGAGACCCGGCCATTGCGTTCAAGCTGAAGCCCCCCACCAGAGCCGAGATATGCAACTGGGTGAGCTCGGCCTGGAAGGGCATGCCTGCTTCCATCATTTCCGGAGGATATCGTAAGTGCCATCTGGAAGCGGAGCCTCCTGAAGAAGCGGCGGAGGTAGTGAGCGAGCTCATTAGTCTAGGGTGTATCGACAGTCGTGTTGGTGAGATTCGCCCTGATAGGGACTTTGATGTAGCTGAGATTGAGGAAGGTGACTCAGATGAGGAATTGCTAGAGTGCCCAGTTTAGTAATTTTTGTAAATACATCTCCCGTGCAAAATTGGGCGCCCTGCATTTCAGCTCCAGTAGGATGTATCCCTCTACAAAACAAATTCGGTAATCGCGCAAGCCTATAAAACTGTAAATTTGATGCATTACAATGGTTTTATTGTGTTAAGCTACACTAACTCGATCTGTCCAGCAACCAACCAACCAACCCTGTACGGCACTAGCACTTCAGAACAGCATGACTGCGGAAGCTGGAGAAGCTGTCGTTGCTTCGACAGCCACGAGCGGTAGCCAAGACGACGGAGCTTCAAGCCTTCATGTTACCCCAACGCCAAACCAACGCCTCTCGACCGTGCGGAGGACGCAACGCTCTACGCCTTCGCCAAGTGCACGTGTATCACCGTATCCGCTGCGTGAGCGAACACCTCCTCAAGTGCTCTCACCTTCAGCGCCCCTGAGCGACGTCAAGCTCGCGTTTCACTAGATGCTTCATCCGAGAGCGGAGAAACCGAAGAAGCTGACCAACATCGTCTACAACTGGTGGTTCAGCCGATCGTCAAAGACACCGTGGGTCAGCGCGATAATTCAGGAAAACTGCCACGTTCAGCGACATCAAACGCAAACTTTGGGAGAAGTTTAGCAGTCGCGTAAACGGATTGCTGTGAAACAGGACGACACCTGGTCGGATGAAGACCCTACTGAAGCAGCGTGGAGCAGGGTAATGGTGTTCAAGTGGAATACGCATCTTGTTCCGACGGCAAAGTCGGAACAAGCCTGGAACCGGTGGGTTGTATCGCGTAGGGGTGACACTGGCACTTTACTGATCTTCGAATACGGCACGGGTATTCTGAATGGCCGGGCGCTAGAGGCATTCATGCAATCGTGCATTATGCGGCAGCACACTGACCGTTCCGGAGCCGCCGCAGAAGCCTCGATTCGTGAGATCGTGACGCAGCTACAAGATATTTGGGTGGCAACGTATCAAGGCAGTGCGGTCGTCTGGCCGATGTGGGCTAATGCGATCATGCGAAACCTAGATCGCTCCACGTGGGAAGTCGCCGTGCTGGAACCTCCAACAGCTACGGTTGAGCAGTTACTACAGTTGGCCGGTGGGGAAGCTGAGCAACATCTAGTCAACCTTACGAGGTCGACACGTGTCGATCTTGATATCATTGACGCTTCAATTGCCGACAACAGTCAGCTGAAAAGGGATAAGAAAGCAATCGGCGAGCGCATGGACAATCAAGCAATTGTCTTGCAGGCTCGTCGACAGACGCTCGAGGGAATGCTCGCCGATATTCCCCTTCCACCTGTCACAGCTGTGCCCGATCCGATGCCAAGAATGGTAAACGTTGAGGACAACGAACACCAACCGTAGTTCCTCAAGCTAGAGTCTTTATTTTTCTTTAGCTTTGAGTCTCGCCAACTTCTCTTAAAACGAATCCTAATTGCTGTTCCCCTTCCTCATTAGTGTGTGCTTGGATGGTTGAGACGCCGGCTGCATTGCGGGAATCCATTTCCAACTGACCACACGGGTCAAAGTGACCTTGCATGCTCCATCCACAGTGCTCGAAAACCTTGGACATGCTGAAGTTCTCAGATCGTCCGAAAGTTTCTGCAACAAATGGCAGTAAATTGTTGCTGGACGACTTTACGTAGTGTCGCTGTAAGCTTCACTTAATGTAGCCAAACATATACTCGATCGGGTTGAAGAATGGGCAATATGCCGGTAATAAAATCGGGACGATTCCAACACTGCGCAGGAAGTGAATAATTTCAGAATCGCGATGGATTGAGGCACCATCCAGTATCCACACAGAGTTTGAGCCGGGATATCGACGGACATTTCCACGAGTGGAGTACGCAAAGTCCTGGCAGCACCGAAAATAATCGACTCGATCAAACGTTCCTTGAGTGTCGTAATAGTCGATGATTCCGGCTACACCCATAAACGCCAGCACGGACACCCTTGGTTTACGCTGAAAATCTCCACGAATTGCAATTGTTTGTCCTTTAAGCGAGTAGCCTCGCTTTCGGATCATGCCACGGTTGTCAAACGACACTTCGTCGAGAAACACAATGTTGCTATGGCACCAATTGACCTGCGCAAGCTCCTCCACAAATCGAAACACGTCCAGCTCCTTGATATGCATGGCTCGCCGCTCCAATACTTTTCGTGTTAGGCCAGCGTCGTGAATAAGCCGCCAGACGGATGAAATGGAGATAGTCATGGCATGAGCACGCAAAAACGCATCTTGGGCCTCATCAAGGTATGCAAGCGGATGCTCAGCGTAATAATCGCACAACCACTGCTGATGGGCTGCTGTGAACCTTCGAAGAACCTTTGAGTCTGCGCGTTGGTAGGTTCCGGTACGCTCGTACACGTTAATCCAATTGCCGATCGTCTTTACAGTCTTTTTGTAAATACGGGCGAGCTCCTTGCGCGAATGCCCAAGGAAATAGAAGCCGTAGAGGCAGTGAAACACGGTGTTAGGGTGGGCATGTTGGCGCGTGACAGCTTCTTCCATCTTGAGAAGTTCTTCTATACATACAGCATGACAAAGATCAATTAAGTTGTAACAACACCATAACATTTTATAGGCATTCGTACCTCCACGGCTTTTGCTTTGAAGAGAAGAGCAAAGGGCCAAAACTCTCGCAGGAACACCACCCACGCACGGCAACACTCGCGGCGGGTTTCCCTTCAGCACCTGTACGCTGCTGTCGGGCTCCAGCTACTGCACGCACGCGGCTAACGCTCGCGGCTCCAGCTGGTGCACACACGCGACGAAGTCTCACGGCGGTCCGACTTCAACCGCTGCACACCGCGGTGGTCTGGCTCCAGCGGTGCACGCGGCAAAGAGCCCATTTTGTGCGACTTTTGGCTCTCGTATTAGGGGGAGCCCACGTTTGAAGTTGACGTTCAAGGTGTGGCCTTAAGATAATGAAAGAGCTGTACCGGTACCAATCTTAAGTTTGAACAGATTTTGTAGCATGCATTAATTTAAAACCATTACTACTCTGGCCCACTTAAGAAACAACATTTCTATTAAACCTCAACTTTTTCAGATCGCATTGGATTGGCTATTAATCGGACTGAAGCCATATGATTGGACATAAAGTTCGACTGGACGGCAAATCGACGAAATCGATTAGAAAAATCTCAAAATATATACGAGCACCACAACGCCCACAGGAGCGCTTTCATACTCTACGATGGTTCTCCGCATCGGCAGTTAAGCGATCTTCCCAATGGTACCTATCATTTTGAATATCGCTAAATTTGTAGCCATTACGCAAAAAACCTAATGTTACCCAAATCCGGGTTTAGAAAACTTGCTCTGTTTCCTTGAATCCTGCTGTTTTCAAGCAGCCAATGAGCTGACGCGAAAACACCAAATCTCACCTTTATTTTGAGGTATTGTTTACCCCCAACTGATAATGTTTGAATTTTTTTTGACGGCCAGATAGAAATGTTGTTTCTTAGGTGGGCCAGACGAGTACTCAGTGTCATGGGGACTATTCTAAAGTACACCGTCTGAATTGTTCAAGCATGTACTGCATCCACGCCGTGACACCTAAAGCAGTTATACAGTCTTTGCGTTTTCCTGATTGATGCAAGTCGGTATTCAAACTACCGTATTAGGGCTGGTTCTGCGTATCTAATGAAGTAAGTTTATGATGAGATAGCTGCGTTCTCTATAAGTAGGATGATGTTCTGAGGTGCTTCCTGGCACCATAATGAACCCTCACATTACATACATATGAGTTCCTACTATAGTGCAACTAGCACACCAAATATTGCAGATTGTAGGCTACCTAGCCGTTATGATAGTGGTGAGGTTCATGTGTGCTGCTTCATCAATAGAAAACATCTTGCCATCGTCGTCGAGTCTCATTAGATCCAGTATTAGATCCAGTAAAAGTTGCTGGGAGACATTGATAGCCACTAGCCAGCTTATACACTTTATTTGCCATGCAACTCAAACATGGTTCCTTCGAGCAAGCCTCAGTAGTCTTTGGCGAGCCTGTGGCATAGGACGCAGGTAGGCGACATCAGCGAAGGAGTTAATTGCCCCCACAAGACCGATATTTGGGGTTGTTTCTATTTTGTTACGTGTAGCAACAAAAGATGTTTGGGGCTGTATCGTGGTGGGCGACGCTGCTCCCATTTTTGCTTTCACGATTCGAATACTCAAACGCTGTACTCTGTAGTTTTCGTGCGCATTCAGACTTCGTATAAGCATTCAAGTGCATTCATATCTGTGCGTACTGAGTAAATTTGCTTGCTTAGGTAGCCGCGTTGAGCGCCATGCAGAACATGTCAGAATTGATTCGTGTCTGAGCTTTCGAGTAAGTTCAAGTTAGTTCAGTTTTGATGTTTCTATTTGTGCCGTCATGACTGCAGCAGAACAAGCTACTCATTGGCGACCCGTGTCCCTCCAGTTGTTGCTCTGAGGTAGCCTTTGGCATGAAAAAAAATATCTGTAACATTTCTATACAAATTTTGAAATCATTACGATAGTAAATTCCTGATTCGAATTTTTTCCCCGCTGAGCGAAGTGAGGCGGGTGTTCTCACGCGCTCGGCTTAACCGTGTTCATAGAGCCCCACTTGCGGGGCTCCGCTTGGCTTGTCAGATACATAATTACTGCCGCATCTCGGAATTCCTAACTATGGGGAACCGTACCCGCTTTTATTAGTGGCCTGGACTCTTTGTATAGGGTATTCGACATCATGGATTGGCTGAAACGCGTTCCGGCCAATCATATTCACCGACTCTTTTGCGCACTAAACGCACTATTAGTGCGCCGTGTGTGTTCCACACAATCTGCCATCAGGCAGCCTACTCTATTATAGCACCTCCACGACGTTCGACGCCTGCGTACTTATCTACTCTAGCAGACAGCCCAGACCTGGAGTATGCGGGCAAAGCTCATCATGCACACGAGCACCATGAAAGGCGGGTTCTATTCAAGACCTAAGGCTTTATATATTATATTTTTAAAAGTTTTTATGTTATTTTAAAATAACCTATTAAAAAAGGGAAAATCCCAAATTACGTCCGTAATTTTGAACTATTTCCAAAAAGCATCCGTCAGGCGTATTTAACGGTAGGGTCCACCACTACATGTAATAAAGTAACTCAACCAGCACAACACTCACACATTCTTTTTAGCTTAAGGGGCTCGAGGAGATGGTAGTCCTCGAGCATCGAAACGCATTCACTACTGTACCGTGGCGGCGTGTCGGGCCCGCGCCTGACATGCTCGGTGAGAATGTACACAGTACGATATTGTGCGCAAGATACATTTTGTATGCATGATACAAAGGTGTACTTGGTACAATTCAGCCACGAGCAGTGGACTATGTAATAGAGCCATCCACCCCGAATTGGAATTACGTTTACAGTTCTCCACGTGCTGCTCACGCATACACAGTAGGTTAACGAGAGGTTTGCCTGGTGATACCATGATTTGGTCTCCGGTGTGCTGTACGAGAAGCAACCACCGATATGTATGCGTGTGCTGAATATCACTTGATTGGCCAACCTATTGCAAGGTGATGGGTGTCATGCTAAGCATGATCTCGTGTGAGGACACTTTTCTAGGTAATTAATACATGAAATACCCGCGTCAGTGTATTACATGTAATACTGTAGCGACCATTTTGGTTTTGCCTGCACAAGGAGCTCATCCTTTGATCGATGTGCACTAAGCTCGCATCTTGTTCATCCCTTTTACACTTAGCGAAGGGGACACATACATCTCTTTCGTTTTAAAAGCTAAGGTACGTTTGGTCTAGGGTTTCTATTGTGGTGAATACTGTTCTCGGTGGATGCTTTTTGGAATTAGTTCAAAATTACGGACGTAATTTGGGATTCCCCCTATTTCTTATTTTAAAATATCGGACCCAAAACACAATCCCCCCCCAAAAAAAATAAAAATAAAAGCTTAGGATCGTTGAAACGCTATTTCTTGCTACAGTATGCGGTGAGCAAGGTGAACGCAATAATTTTATGTGCCATATCTGGCTATGTGATCCAGAATCTTCTAGGACATCGATTCGGTTTTGTCGCCTATTAACTCGGGTTTCGGAGGAGAATAGGGACACACAGACTGTGCGAGAGACACAGTTTGCGGGTTAGCCCTGAGCGTAGATGTATCTCCCGATGAGCGTGCCGCAATTCCATACAGTCAACGTATCAATGTGCTCTGAGAGCTAGTGATGTGGTTGGGATCATGTCTTATACGATTAATGTATTGTGCCTTTCACTTATTCTGCCGTGACTAGGGCTTCGCGAAGGCTGGGATAGGATTGGTTAACTCACCTTTGATCGCCATTGATAAACTCAATCCGCACGCTGCACGGGCATCTCCTGCGCCTGCTTCGCAGCCGCAGAATCTGCCCGACAATGTATCGTCACTATGGTCACGACGTACAACCGGATTTCAGAGCAAAATCAATGACGAATCTAACTCGACGAATTTGCAAATGAACAGGCGAAAACAGAGCGATTGGCGGCTTCCTACCCGCCAATCCATGCCATTCTGCTCGTATCTCCGTCGATTGGCTCTCAAATGCTGATCACGGGATTTAGGGGAAGCGCTTACAATCTTAGGCAGAATTAGCACTAAATAAGCGTTAATCGCCCTTTTATGACTCCAATTCCGCCTGAATTAACAGCTCACACGCCAAAATACGTAATACTTGCAGCGCTAAACTAACTATTTGCACGAGCCCGCTTAACACAGATTATTTACTGTGCTGTGCTAGGTCAAAAGTCTTTTAAATCCGTTACGTCATTCTACATGGGGATAAATACTTCTTCGGATAGCCCTGCGTGTGCTCTAACTGATAAGCAATTGCACTCGGGAGGAAGAGCATTATTAAACGCAGAGCATGCTATGAAGTGCAACCACTCGACTGAAAATGCATGTCATCAGGTCGATTCTAAAAATAGCGCTCATGCGACCCTTCAACAACTGAGCTTCAGTATCAACAATGGACAGCTGAGTGGTGGTCTCATGGGTTGGAGAATAGGAATGCTACTACTACCTAAACTAGCAGCGACCAGAGCGTGAAAACGAGCTAGGACATATTTAGATGCTTCCGAGGGCATCGTCAAAGTTTCGGGTGGTTTGAGCCATTTACGGATTTAATTTTGATGAAACCAGCAATTGAAGTGACCTACCAGTAAATAATCTGTGTTAAAACTCATACGTGAAGGATTTCTTTGCGACGAGCTCTGCGGCTTCCTTCTCAGCATTCGGGTCCAGAACAGCGACGTACTCGCTCTTGATGGCCGACGGAGACTGATCGAGTCCCAGATCCTTGCCGCGCTTGCCTTTGCGAGAGGATCCTAAAAGTCGCCGACTGCCAACCTTATTAGAACCGCCAAACAATGGAGCCGGCGGTCCTTGCTGCTGCTGCGCCTGGGGTTTCTGTCCTAGAGGCTGCTTCTCCGGTGAATTTGGGACTGGCTGCGTGAAGCTCTGTTGCCTGTTTTGCCACGACTTTGACGGTTGGTCCTGTCCAGCTCCGCCAATGACATGAACAGTGTAGTTTTCATCCTGCTTCTGCGGTTGCTGGGGATGCTGTCGGTTCTCTTGAGGCTGATACTGCTGCTCCGGTTGGTGGTACGCGTGCTGAGGCTGTTGAGCTGGCGACGACTGCTGCTGCAGCGAAGGCTTGTCGTGGATGATGAACGAGTTACCGTTCTCGTCGTACTCGACCTCCGTCAGATGCTTCATGTCCATGACGAAGCGGCCCACATCAGCAACGCAGAAGAGGATGGAGACGCCGAGCGACGGCCCCGTCTTGACGACCATGTCGGGGTCCCAGATGAGGAACACGAAGGCGTAGATCCACGTCAGGATCTTGCAGCGCAGCATGTTGCGCTCGAAGTTCTCGGGCGACGGGAAGATGGTGCTTGAGATCTTGGGCCCGTAGACCAGCACCGTCGAGAAGAGCAGCGGCACCCACGCCAGCGTGTAGAGCGTCTGCAGCTCCTGCTCCGCCTGCACAGTCTCGTCGGGGCACTGGAAGAAGGACGCCACAAGCGACGCCGACAGGTAGAACTCGAGCCCGCACACCAGCATGGCCTTGAGCGAGTTCTCGTACAGCTCGCCCAGGCCCTTGAGCGGCTGGTCCACCAGCTCCCGCACCGCCGCCATCTCGCCAGTCTAAAAACTGAAGTTTGCCTACGAAAAGAGACAACCGGCTCTCGAGTGCAACAGCGCTCTGACTAGTTGTACCATATCGATGGTACATTCTCTCCTCCACACCACATTTACACAACGCGTCAACCTGCATCAGACAAAGACGAAGATTTGGCTCGGAAGAAGACGCACCTGACGAGCATGGAGTGGGGCCCGCTGCAGCCGATCCTGGGGCTGCTGACGCCCGAGCAGGGCCTGAACGACGGCGTGGAGGACCGCAAGCAGGCGGACGCCACGCTGGCGCAGGCGCTCACGGGCGAGGAGCTCACGGCGGCCGTGCGCGCGGCCTCCATCGCGCAGCTGGACGCGGCGCTGGGGCACGAGGCGCTGGCGGTCGAGCGGCTGCCTCTGAGCGTCCTCATGCTGCTGTGAGGCGTCGCTATGACACCTGAGAGGGTCCAAACTATGGCAAAAGCTGACGAATTGTGCTGTGTGCATCACTGATGACAGGTCCGCCAAGGCCAACAAGGTGGAGCACGCGCGCCACGCCGACGACCTGGCGGACGCGCGCGCGTCGCTGCTGCTGCAGATCTCGCGCCTGTTCCACCAGGTGCCCGTGGCCGTGGCCGCCAAGGAGATGAAGAGGGTCTGCGCGCTCGGCGACCAGTACGCGCGCCTGGCCGTGGACTCGCAGCAGAGCGTCAAGACGGTCTTCCCGCTCAAGAGCTTCCTGCGCCGCTTCCACCAGCAGGGCCACGCCGTGCTCACGCCGCTGCACGCGCAGTTTTTCTATTTATGCCTGCACTCCAAGTGCTACTTTGCCGCCATGGAGATCCTCGACCAGTGCGTGGCAATGATCGTTGCAATTATCTGCTGATCTTTTTGATAAATGCTGATTATTTTTTATGTTTTATGTTTTTATTGGCAGGACGTTGGTGGAGATCCATTCGCAGTCGCATCTGATGAACAGCGTGGACTTCCTGGGCTACGCGTACTACGGAGGGCTGTTGTATCTCGGAGAGAAGCGGTACCAGGAGGCGCTGGACTTCTTCCAGCTCGCCATCACGGCTCCGGCGCTTTCGCTCAGTGCCTTCGTCATTGAGGCGTACAAGAAGCTGATCCTGGTCACGCTCATCCTGCGTGGAGAGCCCGTGATGCTGCCCAAGTACGCGCCGTTCGTTGTCACACGTCACGTTGAGAACCACTGCACGCCGTACACGGATTTGGCGACTGCCTTTGTGGTGGAGAAGGAGTTGGCAGCGGTGCAGGAGGTCGTCACCAAGCATGAAGAGCTGTTTACCCAGGAGGGCAACTTTGGTCTCGTGAAGCAGGTAGTGGAGGCTTTCAAGCAGCGGAAGCTGCTGCGGCTCACGCGCACCTACGCGACCATCGAACTGACGGAGATCGCTGCGACGGCGGGTATGGCTAACAGCGACGCTGTGGCTGCTGAGAAGATGCTCCTGACGCTGATCTCCAATGGCCAGATGGATGCCGTGATCGATAAGCAGAAGGCGATGGTGCGCTTCGTCCTTGAGGACGAGGATGGAGGCGCCTACCAGGACGAAAAGCAGGGCGAAGCAACAAGGAAGCTGCAGGAGGAGATGGAGAAGCTCGTGATGGTAGCGTCGCAGCTGCGCTACATGGACGTAGAGCTCGTGACCAGTGCCAAGTTCCAGTCTCGCATGCAGAAGGATAAGGACCGACGCTCGAGGATTAACCTGCACAACCAGCAAGGCGACGAGCGGATGATCATCGACGGCGCCAGTGGCATGGACACCATGGAGTAAGGAAGTCTACCGGATAAAAGTTAATCGCAAGGAGTCGTGAGTGACTGCGCAACAATGAACTGGCAATGCAAGACACTTACGAACACTTCTATTGTCTAGGATTTCTACTGCATGACAAGGGCCAGCTGAATCTTGCGTTGGCGCACCAGAGACACAGGGTTCTTCATGCGGATCACGCGGCACAAGGCTGGGTTGCCAGCATTGAAAACGCGGTAGATGCTGTACGTGGAGCCGTGGATGGCCGCCTGGTCCAGCTCGTTCATGCTGATCTCGAACACTCCCTTCTCCATCGTGCGCGTGGACTTGACCTCGATGTACTCGACCACCTTTCCAGCCGACGACACCGTGAGATCGTACGGCAGACCAGACTCTTCCTTCTCGTTCACCCACTCAACCGTCAGACTCGACTCGCTCTCAGCGTGCTGCTGCTTCAACTGGTTGAAGACGTACTCCTCGCCCCAGCGACCGATAGCTTCGCGCTCCTCCTTGGTCATCGTGTTCGGCACGGACAAGGACTGCATTGAAGAACCAGCCAATGGAGGAGGAAGTGGCGGATGGAACGGAGCTCCCTCGATCGGCTGCGGTGGGAGTGGCGGATACGGAGGTCTCTGATAGTGTGCTCCGTTTCCATGCGTGTCGGAAGGCGGCAGTGGTGCGAATTGAGGGTCTTGAGGTGCAGCATAGTTCGGTTGAACTGGAGGATATGGCTTCTTCATCGGCGCTTCCTCTGCAGCAATCTCTCCATCTTCCATGTCCTCGGAGTCACGCTTCCGTCCAGCATTGTCCAGCCCGGGTGTGGCGGTGTCCTCCACCTGCTCCACCCACAGCTTACCAGCCTCGCTGGTGGGTAGTGGAGGCAATTGCTGGGTTTCGACAAGCCACTGCTCTCTCATCTGCGGACTGGGCTGCAACAGACTCAAGTACATCAGGTTCGCCACGCTGGCAGCCACCTGCGCTCCAAACAGCTTGCGAGATATTTCCATCAGCACCGGGGAGAGCGCGCTTGCTTCTTCGTCTCCAGTCACAGATTGCAAGTACAAGGTGGAGTTCGACACATCGAGGAAGCACTGCGACGACGCGTCGACTCCGCGACGAAGGCTGAAGGAAGTGCCGACCCGATACACCACTTGGAAGCCGTCGTGTCCATCCACCAGCAGGCACTGCAGCTCCGACGCCAACTTTGAGATTGTTTCATGCTGGAGCTGGTCGTACAAACTTCGGTGACTGTGGATCAGGAATCGCTGAGCCAGAGCAAACGCCGCGCAAAGCTTCTGGTGGAAGGCGTCGCTAGCCGGACGCTGCGTGCTGAGGACGCTGACTTCGTACTGCATGTGCGCCTTCAGCGACTTCATCCCGCAAACTTCCGTTAGGAACTTCATCACGCGAGTCGCCTCACTGCTATCATCTTCATTCGAACTCTCCACAAAGTAGCTCCACGGGAACAACCCCAGCACTTGGAGTTGCTCAGTGTGTCCTGGTTGCTGGAAGTCGCTCGCAGAGAGATCGGCTTGGTCGTTAATGTACAGGTCGGCAGCTGAAGCCCATCGGTGGTTGTCATCGATTGTCGGGAAGATCACAGAGCGCTGCAACTGCGTGATGTCAGAAGATGAAGCCATCGACAGCGCACTCGACCAGACTCTCACTACGGATTGTAGCAGCTTCAGCAGCTTCTTCCTGCCCTTCTTGTTGTCCAGCTGAGAGGATTTCGTAAAGCGAGCGAGCACCTTACACCAGACGCTCGCTTCGGCTTCGAGGTGCGCGGTCAGCGTCGAAATCCTGGCGATACTGAGCAGCGCGTCCAGATCCCCATCGTCTTCAAGCTGGACCAACTTAATGTCGTCTCCATCCTTGCGTTTCTTGGAGCTGCTGCTTTCGGATGAAGCCTCCTTCGCAATAGCCACCAGCAACTTCTGCAGCTTCTTCTCTTTCTCCGTTGTGGCTTGGACTGGCGAATCCTTCGAGCTCCAGAACGCGACGCCATTGCTGGACCCACCAACACTTCGCACTGGCAGCCACGGAGTTGACTTCAGCGTCTTCTTGGTCTCCTTGAGTTCGGTCTTGGACAGCGAGCGCTTCTTCACCTTCTTGGACAAAGCGGTGAGCAGAGGCAACAGCTTCTTCTTCCACGTCTTCATGTTGTCACTATCGCTGAGCTTCGTCGTCAAAGAGCCTTGCAGCTCAGTGATCATCTCGCACAAGAAGGCGACTGACGGCTTCCGCTGTACGCCACAGACGTCGGTGAAGAACTCGCACAGGGTCTTCGGATACAGCGTCTCCAGTACAGTCAGCTCCCCGTTGTGCGCGGTTGACGACCAGACTGCGCTCTTCACGCCGATAAATCGATGGGATTTGTCAGTTTCAGCCGGAACAAAGAGCAAAAGCTTACGCGTAAACGCCTTGGTGACCTCGGCACGGCAGGCGTCAGAGCGCTGGCACTCCTCCCACAAGAACGAGTACATCCGGATCATCTGGTCGACCTCCAGTGTAGATGCCAGCGCTGAATCAACGGAGAGACTTGAGAGGACGGGCAGCACATCGTCCACCGTCGGAGTAGCTCTCATACCGAGGACTCGTTTGGTGAAGTCATCGCTCTTCCACGTCATGGCACTAAACGTCACCATAGCACGCGTGAACAATCGCGTGACAGCCTCCGCTGGTAGCCATATGTCAGTGGAGCGATGGAACTGCCCGTCAGAGTCTTCCAGCCAGCAGTATTTCCTCCACATAGTAACCTCGTCTTCCTTGTCGTCGACCGTGGAGGAATCATCGCTTTCATCATCTGCAGTGCCCCAGTGTTTATCCAGGTGCTGAGCTAGATTCGTCGAAACACTGCGCTTAACGACGATATCCTCTTCAGCCTCGATCCACTTCAGTAATTGCTCCATTCCAGCTTGTGAGCGGGGGTCTGAAGTGAGACTTGCAGCATCAAACAACAGCGACAGCCCGCAGACGTCCACTAGCAGCTGCTGCCACTGTTTGTCCGCTGAGTCCTTGGCAGTATCAGAGAAGTACTCGCTTGATACGATAGCAGGACCGTTCTGGTTGGAGGATTCCAGTCGAGTGACCCAAGAGATCAGCTGCGGCATCTCCTTCAACGTAGATGGCAGAATAGCGAGCAAGTTGGGGCTGTCGACTGCAACGATACGTCGGCTGCTCGTCGCAACAACCACGTTGGCCTTCACTTCCGCTTGCAACGAGCAATTGTTGCACGACGCCAAGTGTGAGGACAGGAACCTTCCGTACTCGATCACTACACTAACATCCGCAGCAGCATCGATAATGCCGCTCATATCTTCAGCTGACAAACGGAGCTCTGCCATCTTTGGAAGGATGTGGTGTCGAATCAAATCGTGGTCCTCCATCACGTGAATGCCCACGTCGTTCATCAAGAACGCTCCAAGCTTTGAGCTCTTGTTGATTGTCTTCGTAAAATTGTCGTCCAGAATGCGGAGGTCCCCGTAAAACTCGTACGATTTCTCGCGCGTTGAGCTGCCACCGTTACCCGACACGAAGAGCGAGTCGTGAGCTTCAGCCAACGAGACCCACTTGGTCTTGCTGTCCTTGCCCTTGCGCTGCAGCGGGAAGCACTTGATCAACCGCAGCTCTTGCCGCAGCAGCTTCGAGTGGCGGTCCTTACGCCAAAGCTTCGCCAGCAGCGCCAGAATCTTCACCGTCCAGTCGATATCGTCCTTCTCTTCTGACAGCGACAGCACCCGCATCAAGTGAGACGAGTGGAGCTGCTCGATCCGCAGTTGGCTCTTCATCACCGCAGTCATAGATCGTGACAGCGAAGGATGCAGGAAACGCTTGTTGAACGTCGCTGCGAGAACGTCTTCACTCAAAGCCTCCAGCAGCGAGGTCGTACTTTCAATGGCCTCACTTCCCGTGAGCTCAATGCAGTCAATCAACTCCGCCGGCATGAGCAACCCCGTCGATGCTGAGGAAGCAGAAAGCAGCCACTTCACTTGACGGAGCTCGCGCATAACCTCCGGTATGATGCTACGGAACGGCGCCTGTACCTCGTTTTCAAGAGGCAGCAACGAGAGCAAGTGCGAGATGGCCTCAATCGCCTTGTCAGCTTCTTGACCGCTAGCTTGAGCACTCGAGACGTAGCTGCCTACCGCGGCACGCACCAGCTTGGGGAACTTGGACACGAGCCACTCATTCCACTCGCTTCCATTGGTGATGGCCTCGCGAGAGCTCGGGATCTCAAAGTCTCCTTGCAAGATGAAGCGGAAGCCGTACGACCGCAGTGGCAGGTACGCGAACACCTCCTGGAGCGGCGGTCTGGACTCCTCTCCCTGGAATGTCAGCGGGAACGCAAGCGCAATCTCCGTCGGGTGACTGCGGCCGAACAACTGCGGGGGCTCGAGCTTCTCCTTGACTACCAGCCAGTTCTGCTGCACGACTTCCACGCTGCTCTCGCTCTTCTTGACTTGCGAATACAGCTCCACAATCTGAGCGTTCGTCTGCAACTGCTTCTCCTTCTTGAGGAAGTGAAGCGCGTGCTGTCGAGCCGGGTCACGCAGTCGAAGCTCGCGGATTCGGCGGAGGAACAGCAACACGGAAGGCTCAAACGCCATGAGCGACTGCGAGATGTCATCCACCCTCTGCACCGATGAGTCGTTCAATGGCAGCACAAACGTCGTACCGCGACGCTGCTTCCATTGAGTCGCATCGTCCAGCCAGTACGGCAAGATGTAGCCCATACCCGAACCATGCTCAGCATTCTTGGCGTGGAAGCAGATGTGGAAGCCGTTCGAGTGCACTTGCGGGTTGTCCGACACCTTGAAGACGCTCTTGAAGCCGATACCTTTCTTGCCGATGCTTGCCTCCGAGTCGACGGCTTCCTTGGTAGACGCTCCGACATCACAAATGGCTTGGATGTTGGACGGCGAGAAACCCCGTTCGTTGTTGTAGAAGACGATCTCCTTTTCAGCGGTCAACGTGAAGTCACCAAGCGGAACCACGGCGTCGTCGTAGGTGTTGTCATCGGCGTTTTGCAGCAACTCGAGAACGAAGTGGGTGCTCTCGCTATACAGCTCGTCGCTAAGACGCTTGAGCGCGCGCTCCAGACGCTGCTGTTGAATGCGCAGCACCGAGGTCGTTGCCTCGTCCTGGATCTGCAGCCCAACGCCGAACTGCTTCCTGCGTAGATCTTCGATGAATGAGCGGCACGAGTCATCGCTGGCGATATCCTCAACCGAGGACAGGTCATTGGTGTTCTGACCGGATAATTCGCTTGAAAAGTTCGCCAACGCCACCTCTTGACTTGAAGCGTTAAATAAGCTCACAGTCTTGCCGTCATCTCCAGTGGACGTAACAGGCTGAGGCGTAGCACTGGACTTGGTGTTCTCCTTCGCTGCATTGCCACCGTCATCGTCCGTACTGGAAAGGGACGGAGTATCACGGAGAATGCACCACTGCTCCGACTCAGTCGCCCACAAGCCCGACAAGCTCCGGCTGGAAACGTACAAGAGCGCTTTGCGCTCGGCATCGCTTCTGCAGGCCTTCCAAACTCGGTCCGCGCTAGCCGACTCCGATCCTGTTGTCTGACTGAGCACGCCAAGCAAAAGAGACATCACGAAGTCTGCGAACTCGACTGGTGTTTCAAGAAGAACCTCCAGGACGAAGCGCTCCGGGTAGCTGCCGGCTGTCTTGTCCTTGGTGACGCTGGACAAGTACGCGCGCAGATGAGCTTGGACGAGCTGCTTGGGGAAGTTAGCTTGGCCCTTGCACGTCACCACCATCGACACCAAGTGGACTGCCACTTGGCGGGCGGCCGCATGGGTCTTGGCTTGCTGCGCTCGGGCGAACAGCAGCTCCAGATCGGACGGCGTCGATTTCTCGTTCACACGCAAGATCGTTCCGTTCAAGCAGGACACAAACATGAAGTTGTTTGAGGAAGGTGCATGATCAAGAAGAATCATTTCATGCACGCGGATGAACGAGAGCAACGGCCCACACAGCGGGGCATAGCGCTCTCGCCAGTCCATATACAACGATGCATCAACCAAGTACGGGCACTTGCGCAGCTTCTCCAGCGCTTGCTCCGTCAAGAGTTTCTGTTGCACTGACTCACCTGTTGTCTCGTTCGATGAGACCGTGTCATCAAAGCTGCCGTCACCTTGGACGAGATCCAAGCTGCCAGCGAATTTGACCACCGAAGTCTCTTCGCCCGCCTGCTCTTTGTCAGCAAGCTTGATCAATTCTTCCACACTGGGAAGTCCAAGGTCTTCAACTCGAGCACACCCCAGCTCCACGCAGATGCGGCGTGTAATCCACTGTTGCTGCTTCTCGCTGGATAAAGCAGACAGCGAAGACGACGACGATATGACGTCGCGACACTCGCGCACAAAAGGCAGCACTTCCTCCTGCAGGCGCTTGTCACTAACCGGACTCGATGAAGTCGAGGCATCGCCGCCTTCTCCGCGGGAACGCAATAGATCAAGGAGCCACTTGCCTGCGTTCACTTCATCGTCGTCCATGCTGTATTCAGCATCGTCCACGAGATCTGGGAGAAGCTCAAGCACGGACCGCCGTCCAGCCCAGGACACGCTGTTGGATTTGATCGACAACTTGCTGGTTAGATGGTTCTCAAGTGACGACAGAACCTGAAGAACCTCCTTCGCTGTCCGAGGCTCGTTGTCGCGTGGCGCTTGAGCCTCCAAGAAGCTCTCGATCTCGGTCTTCACTTCTTCAAGTGTAACCTTCGGTTCTGCAGCAGTTTTAGCCAGCCGTCTAGCGAACGGGTCTGTAGGCATGACAGGGAACTTGTTGATCTCCTTGTTATCTGTCTCTGCTTGGCCTTCTCCTTCTTCTTCTTCCTCTTTTTCGTCGCTTGACGCGACGTGGCACTTGCAAGTGCAGGAACACGAGCAAGTGTCTTCACCCACGCAGCAACAGTCGCACTCTTCTTTTTCGCTTTCCGGCACTTTCTTGGCATCGTCTGCCCCCTCTCCGTCTGCGTCTTCATCGGGAATCTTGTCATCACTTAGCAACAGCGCGTACGTCTTGGCCATGATGCTGCAGATGACCCACGTCACGACCTTGAGTCTCGAATGGTGCTTGCTCTTCTGCGACCACACAAGGAACCGCGTGAGCTGGTTGCGCAGCTTCGAGTCCGTCTCGGCGATCTCCTGGGACGAAATGGGTCTGCGGAACTTCTGCTGGTTCTTGGCGTCCGCCGCAGCCTTGCGACGCAGCACGTTGTCCAGATACACGTCGACGTCCGTCACGCGCTTGAGCATGTCCAGCGACAGCGACTGCATGCTGTTCTTCTTGCCGCCGCGTCTCTTCTGAGCCCCTTCCTCGCTCTCTTGCTGCGTTGACTGGGCGGCGTTGGTCTGCGCCAGCAGCTCCTCGAGGGCCTGCTTCCTGTTATCGTCACTGAACTTCTCCTTGGTAAGGCGGAACATCTTCTCCGCCACTTCGCGCTGGAACTGCTGCTCCAGCGTCTTCATCTCCTTCATCTCATTGTTGGCCACACGGCGCAGCATGCCGACGTACACGCCGAACCCGGACGGGTCTATCGCCACGCCCATGGCCTGCGCGCTCGGCTGGCGGTACTGCTGCGCCAGGTACTGCAGGAACTCGTTCAGATCAATGTGCGACGACGCGCGGAAGGCGTCGTGGCCCAGCATGTCCTCGAACTGCTTCAAGCTGGCCAGCACGTCCCTGGTCGTGACGGTCAGCAGCGCCACGGGCGAGCGGTAGAGCTGCTGCACCGCCTCCGTGTGCAGGAACGAGTTGCCCAGCTTGAGCTCGTGGAAGGCGCGCAGCCCCTCGTGCTGTAAAAATGCCTGCTGGCACTCGAACAGCGTGTTGATGCGGCGGCTCTGCATGAAGCACGTCACGAACGTCCACACGCGCTGGTTCACCGTGTGCAGCTGCCTCAACGCCGGCAGCTGCAGCGCGCTCGTGCCCATGAGCTCCTCGAACGCATTGACGCCTGCAGAATAACAACAACAACGTCAATAATCTCCGGCTTTTAGCAGCGTTTTGCAGCTAATTCGACGCACGGAAGTGGCTGCAGATGGCGCGCACAAGGACGTCGAGCGTCAGCGCGTTGGGCGGCGCCGAGGGACTCGACTGGTTGGCTCGGAAGGCCTCGACGAAGGCCACGACGTCTCGCTGCACTTGGGACGCATTGGCGTTCGCCCGCGGCTGCTGCTGGTAGCTGGGCGGGCTTTGTTGCTGCTGGTAGAAGCTCTGCGGACTCTGCTGGCGGCTGTACTGGGGCTGCGGCGCGTAGCCGGGAGCGCCTCGAGGCGCGCGCTGTTGTTGCTGGAAGCGACCCCAATTGCTGCGTCCGCCGCGACCTCCCGGGGACTGCCGCATGGCTCTGGAGGCTCTGGAAGCGCTGGAGACGACGCCGTCACCTTGACACCGAATCGGTGTCACCGATGTTGCACTGGTTGGTGAGCGGGTCCGAGCCCAATATTGCGTGTTTTGGGTATGTGGAATATGGTATTTTGGGTTTCAATTGTTTTGTGGTGATTCAAAAGTGCATACAGTGACACCTCTATAAATGACACCTAGTTCGCTCGGTCTAATACGCTGTTTCAGTTAAAGAATTGATCAGATAAAGAAATGGCTACACTTCTAATGGCTACATTTTCATATATTCGGTGCACAGTACAAGGGCTTTCTTTACCTGGTACCCCTCCAGCATTTTCGTACTCTTGTTTTGTTTCGTCTTCACACTGACAGAACTAACAGTAGGCGCGGTATTGTCTGTTCCTACTCCCTCTTCTCATTGGTATTAGCAGAATCGCATCCCCCCAGGTTGTACGTGAGTTTCAATACAGTGAGGTTATGGGAATATTTGTTGTCCCGATATCCTGCCACCATGCCTGCAGTTTTATCTTTTGCTTGGTATCTACTGCATAGCCCCGAGTTGTCTCGACATCATAATATTTTAGTTTTTCGTAATATATATATGTACGCTGCGCTGATTGTAAAATACTGTGGCTAGCTTATTTATCAGTATTTAGTTACTGCAAACTCTTCGTTCCAACTTAGCATCCAAAATAAAATTTCTCTCTTCGCTCGATTTGTTGTGGCGGGAGTAGTGGTAGCAATGGCATACGTGGGAGGAGGCAGGCAAGTGATTGAGAAAAAAATATATGAGTTTGGATCTATTACTACGGCGTCCATTTAGAGGGTTGAGGCGCCAATAATGGCGACCATTTAGAGAATAAAGAGGTTTTTGATCAGTTATAGAACACCTATAGTGAAATCCATATAATCCCGTTTGCAGTCGAGGAATCCTAACCAGATAGGGAACACATAGTCAGTTAGAGGGGTTCATTGGGGACCCGGGTGGTGGACCCGGGGGGTCTCGCAGTTCGAAGCTAGCTTGTACGGATGCGCTTACAGGGAAACGATGTATTCGGGCATCCCCTGCGCCTGCTTCGCGGCCGCAGCATCTGCATCTACTACTGTACAGCCAAGTGTACCAAGTTTGATTGCTTCTTTTCAAAGGCATTGCCAGATCTCTCCAACGAATTGGTACTTCAACTCTTGGGTTTGACAAACCCACCGTGGTGATTCTACCTTCTCCAGCTCGTTGGATTAGGACTCCACGGATTTAGTTTTAACTTTAGTTATTTTGTAGTTAGTAGAACGGTTATCAACAACTAGCTAATCAGCGTAATTTTAGTCCTTCCTGCCTTTGAAACGTGCTCTGATGCCCAGGCAGAATCCTATATTTCTTAGATTGCATGGTGTGCTCGGAAACTTACAGGCGGCGGAAAAAACAGAAAAAATATGTGCATTCGAACATGTAGCGCTTCCAGGCTAACTGCCCAACCGAGCTTGCAGGGTAACCCGATGAAGCCAGCAATTTGCTTCAAGTTTGATAAGTTAAGACTGAGGTCTAGCAGATCTCGATCGCGTGTAGGAGTTGGATACACCGGGTGTTTGTCCTTCGCGTTGACGATGTCCGCCCGGACTTCTTCTCTCACAGGAATCCGGGGCGTACAGAAAACGTAGGAGCATTCAAACTCTGTTTGATAAAACATGGCGCAGCCGCACACAGACTTTGTCCGGATCGCCTGAATATCTAACAACAACAAGAACTCCCATCTTCGATTCGTCCAAGTGTGTTATTACCATTTATCTAGTATTAAACTGAACGTGCCGCATTCATGTAGCATTAAGATGATCTGAACTAATATTGGTAGCAATGTACTTTGAAGTTGTTTTAACAAGAACAGGATAAAGTAGAAGATTATTCTACAGTAGTAAATGGGCTCGGTGGATCTCTGCGGGTCGCAATGTAGTTAAGGCAAGCTTAATCATCCAAAGTCTTCGTAGATAAAATGCCTAAGCGAGTGTCGATTTTTAATGGCCCCACACGAGCCATTCATATCTCGATTGATTTGAACTATACTTCTCCCGATTCATACACGGTCGTCATTCTTTTTGCTGTAGCTGTTAGCCTTTTCTCCGGAGAATACATAACACCAGGTGCAGCTCTTTTGAGTCTCCGCTGAATGAATTCGTTCGCCACCGTATAGGACGTCACCGCATTGCCGGCGGATAGATTTGGCTTTGGATAAAAATATGTTGAATGAAAAAAAATCAAGCTATACTTCCCATCTTGGATCGCATAACCTTAAAAACGTTAAGTAGTCTATGCGAAGTTTTAGTGGAATGTTTTATCTAATCCATCCAGACACATTCCAATGAGTATGGGGATTCACACAATATCAGCCTGCCGACAATTTAAGTCACGGCAAACTCAGGTGACCAAAAGATTTTCAATAAATCTCTATGCATGCAGAAGAAAATCTGTGTCTGAAAGAGGAGGGTATAAGTTATGACCCAGGACTGAACAGATTGAATCGATAGCTTTAACACTAATGAAATGAGTGAGTAGTATGTTGAGTGCTCTGGAGCCGCATGCAGTTTAATACGATGCGGTGATGTGGTAATGACACCAGTTGTGCTCAAGGTCAGCATCGAGGTTTGTAATTGTCACAGACGCCATTACTACGACGAACAACGTACATGTGCATAACGTTATCTGTGCAATAGCAAGAATTGCATTCTTTCGAACAATAAAATGTTTGTGCTGGAGCTCCACTCCTCTGGTGGCGCCTGGCATCAATCTAGAAGGAAAAGAAGCTCCGAGGCGAATACGCATCTATCAAAAGCTGTAAGTGTAATTCAGACCAGATTCTATTGAGTGCTGTATGATGTTGTGTGAATGTTGTTTGATGTCATCCGCACGGGGGTGAAGTGACGAATGTAGCGTGAATGTCGCTCGATGTCATCCAAAAACCTTCCCCAATCGACAGTTCTTCGAACAGCGAATTTAGGGAGGTGTCACTGTAGCACGACTAAATTTGTCTGCATTCCAAAAATAGTCCGGTGTCTTAAATTTGATCGGACCAGAGGCGAGATCCTAAAAAAGTCTTTAAAAAATGGTCTAAACTTTATATTTCAAAGATGTTCAAATTTGGAATTTCCAGATTAAACTGCGATGAAGACATTAAAAAATGCTTTCCGCAAAAACGCCACTCTGCACTCTGCCATCGGATGCACCTTGTCAGCCTCGTCTCTGACGGGAAATAAAAATCTCGTGGCGCTGGGCGCGTTCTTCCCAACACGGCAAACCATGATCGGGTCGATTACTCAGCAACGCATCGACTGGATGAAAAGGCCATCGTCTCACCACTCAATTGGCTGAAAAAGATCGCATACAAATCCCAAGTGCGCCGATCCGCACTGCTTGGTGGATATGTTTCACTTGCGAACTTCGCCTCTGCCCTCGCCCTCTCAGCTCCATGCTGCGCCGCGCCCTGTGGACGCGCGGGACTCGCTTGCTCCAGCACCAGACGCGCGGCCTGCACCGCTCGCCCGCCGCCATGGCGCGCATCCTGTGCAGCGACCCCATTGACCCCGTGTGCCCGGAGCTGATGCGCGCCGCGGGCCACGACGTCACGTGCGGCGCCGCGCCGCTGACGCACTCCGAGCTGGTGGCGCAGGTGGCCGACTACGACGTGCTCATCGTGCGCTCGGGATCGCGCGTGGACCGCGCCGTGCTGGACGCCGCGCAGCAGCTGCAGCTCATCGGACGCGCCGGCACGGGCGTGGACAACATCGACATGGTGAACGCCACCAAGCAGGGCGTGCTGGTCATGAACACGCCCTTCGGCAACACGCTCTCGGCCGCGGAGCTCACGCTGGGACTCATCTCGGCCGTGTCGCGGCTGGGCCAGGCCGCCGGCGGCGAGCCGGCCGTGCGCAACTCGCAGATCCACGGCAAGACGCTGGGCGTCGTGGGCCTCGGCCGCATCGGCCGCGAGGTGGCCACGCGCTGCAACGCCTTCGGCATGAACGTCATCGGCTACGACCCGATCCTGTCCAACGCCAGCGCCAAGGCGCACGACATCGAGCCCGTGTCGCTGGACGAGCTCTTCTCGCGCAGCGACTACATCTCGCTGCACGTGCCGCTCAACGCCAACACCAAGCACCTGGTCAACGCGCAGCGCCTGGCGCTCTGCAAGGACGGAGTCAAGCTCGTGAACGGCGCGCGCGCCGGGCTCATCGACCACGAGGCGCTGCTGGGCGCCATTGAGAGCGGCAAGGTGGCCGGCATGGCCTTCGACATCAACGCGCCGTCCCCGCCGTCCGACACCTGGAAGAAGCTCGTGAGCCACGACAACGTGATCGTAACGCCCCACATCGGCGCGCTCACCACGGACGCACAGCAGAAGGTGGCGCGCGACCTGGCCTACAAGGTGAGCGATGCGCTGGCGGGCAAGTCATTCAAGGGCGTGCTCAACGCGCCCAACATCGACTTCGGCAAGCGGGAAGAGTTCATGCCGCTGCTGTCGCTGGCCGAGAAGCTCGGCAGCATGCAGGCGCAGCTGCTGGACGACAGCCGCCTCAAGCGCGTGCTCGTCATCGCTGAGGGCCCCAAGGTCACGTCGTCTGAGTTGTCGGGCCAGCTGGTCAAGGGCGTGCTCAAGGGTCTGCTGTCACACATGCTGGAGGAGGAGGTGACGTTTACAAACGCCAAGCAGCTCGCGGACGTCATGGGTATCCAGACGGTGGAGCACAAGCACGATGAGGCCTCTGGCAGCAGCTTCTCGGACCAGCTCACCGTTATTTTCGAGAAGGAGAACGGTACGTCCAAGAAGATCACGGGTACCGTGTTCGGCAAGAACCAGCTGCGTCTCGTGTCCTTTGATGATCTCCCCATGGACGCCATCCCGAGCGGCTCCATGCTGCTGTTTAACAACACGGACCAGCCTGGTGTTCTCCACAAGGTGACGTCGGTGCTGGCGAATCACAAGATCAACATTGGCTGCTTCGGTCTCGCGCGTGAAGAGACTGGTGCCGCTGCCGTCAGCGTGCTGAATGTGGACGAGGCCATCCCGGACGAGGTGATGGATGAGCTGGAGGCCCTGGGAAACCTCACGAACCTGCGTCGCGTGAACTTGCTGGAGCTCAACACCGCCGTCTCGGGCGGAATCTGGGATAAGTTCCTCAAGCCCAACGCCAGTGCTCCTGAAGAGCACGCTGAGGCCGACGAGGCTGGAGTAGAGATCGTGCGCCACCCGAAGCCGCGCGTCAAGCCTGCGTCGCCAAACTTTGGCTCGGGCCCGTGCAAGAAGCGCCCCGGATATTCTCTGGCTCAGATCCCTGACATCGTGCTGGGCCGTAGCCACCGCTCGAAGCTGGGCAAGGGTCTGCTGGAGGAGGCGATCGTGCGTACCAAGAAGATCCTGAAGCTTCCTGAGGACTACCACCTCGGCATCGTGCCGGCTTCCGACACTGGCGCGTTCGAGATGGCCATGTGGTCGATGCTGGGCGAGCGCCCCGTGGACGTGTGCTACTGGGAGTCGTTCGGCAAGCAGTGGTTCAAGGACGTCACGACGGAGCTTAAACTTGAGAATGTGCGAGAGTTCGATGCGCCGTTCGGCCAGATCCCGGACTTCTCGCAGGTCAACTGCGACCACGACGTGCTATTCACTTGGAACGGTACTACTAGCGGCGTGCGCGTCCCGAACGCCGACTGGATCCCGGATGACCGCAAGGGTCTGATCTTCAATGACGCGACGTCGGCTGCGTTCGCCATGGAGATGCCGTGGAGCAAAATCGATGTGTGCACGTTTAGCTGGCAGAAGGTGCTCGGCGGTGAAGGTGGCCACGGTGTCCTGATCCTGAGCCCGCGTGCTGTGGAGCGCCTGGAGTCGTTCGTGCCGGAGAACCGTCCGATGCCCAAGATCTTCCGCCTGACCAACGCCACGACGGGCAAATTCCTCAAGGGCATCTTCGAGGGCAGCACCATCAACACGCCGTCCATGCTCTGCGTGGAGGACTACCTCGACGCCCTGCGCTGGACCGAGAGCGTGGGCGGCCAGGACGGCCTCATCGCCATCTCGCAACGCAACCTCAAGGTCGTGGAGGACTTCGCGGCCGAGAACTCGCGCTGGTTCAAGTTCCTCGCGGCGGACAAGGCCATCCGCTCCAACACGTCCGTGTGTCTGCTGATCGACGGCCTGAGCAAGGACGAGGTCAAGCAGATGCAGGCGCTGCTCGAGCGCGAGCAGGTGGCGTACGACATCGGCTCGTACCGGGACGCGCCCCCTGGCCTGCGGATCTGGTGCGGCGCCACGGTGGAGACCAAGGACCTGGAGGCGCTGCTGCCCTGGATCAAGTGGGCGTACCTCGAGGTCAAGAGCGCGCGCGACAGCACCAAGGCCGAGTAGACAGACGCTGAAGCATTGCCAGCCACACGCTGAGCCACAGCACAGGTTCCCCAGGCTTCGCTTGTATGTTGCCAATAAACTAAACCGTTGCAGATCCTGCACCACACAACTCAACTCAACTTGCCTTCAACTGGTACAGTAGCCATGTATCGGAACGCTAAAGAACAGTAGAGTAGAAACGCAGCGCGTGTCCATGCGGCCGAACAACCCAAGCATGCTCGGATCGACCAGTCCTCAATAGTATGTCGCGGCGTGAGAAGCAGCCAAGTCGAGCCGACGCTGAGCCTCGCACCACCCGGCAGAAGGTTCGGCGTGCAGCTGCAGGTAGGCAGGCAGCGGCAATACATGCAATAGTGTCGCGCTCGAGAGGACCTCAAGTCCTGTGCCTGTGCTGACCAGCGGTATCTTGACAGGCGACGGTGCACGCGGCGATGATGACCAGGGCCTCGGGAACCCGTCGGCGCGAGATGGGGAGAGCCCCCAGCCAGCAGCTGAAGACAGCGCCATGAACTACGACGCGCAGGTGCAGCCGCGCCGCATGAGCACACGCTCGGCCCAGGCGCGGGCCGCTGCTGGCCCTGGCACGACCACGCGCAGTAGGCTGCAGATTGATGCGCGGTCTGGGCCCGAACGCTTTAATGGCGAGCAGATGCCGCTGGGAAGTACACAAGCGCTACAGTACCAGCGACGATACCAGAGCGAGGCGAGCGGATTCCCCGCTCGGAGCGAACAGGAGTGGCAGGACGTTGATCCGCAGTCTCCGGCGTTCACGCGCGTATTGCAAGGCACCACGCCGCGTAACGTGGAGGAGGACAAGACGGACACGAGTCGAGATCCGTCCACAGACAACGGAGACTCGAGTGGGAATAACTCGCTTGAGCCGCAGCAATGGAGCGAGGCGGTACGTTACGGTCCGTACTTGGTAGTCACTGCTGAGCAGCGCTCATGTTTGGTTGTTCTCACTGCATGCAGCAGGAAGGGAACAACCGTCCGTCGTCTGCTGGAGATCTCGGCAGGGAGAACCAAGGCGACGTCCAGTGCCGCGTGAGCTGGTGTGAACACGTAGGCCAGCGCTACGGACTGTGCTGGGCCCACGGCGGCGGTACGTCCTGCTTGGTCGTTGTTTGCAGATTGCTTTGGACGGAGAAATGGTCTGACGTGCTCTGCGTTGTGCCCGCGACTGTCCTCCTCAGTCAAGAAGTGCTGCCACCGCAACTGCCCCAAGATCGCGCTTGCCACGGGCGAGTTCTGCTCCCTCCACGAGCGCGAGGTCAGCGCCAACTCGTTCTAAATCCCCACGCGTAAGGTAATCTCCGAGTCCTCGCGAAATGGACGCTTCTGCTCCTCCACCAGCAAGCACCCCCATATTGTTCTTCTTCCAGAGCTGCTGGAGGACACTTTCTCAAGTCGTGCTAGGTATAAATCACTGCAGATATGTAACTGTGAGTAAGCACTTGAAGCTGCGACACATTGCCACGACGTGATCAAAAGCGCAGCCACTTCAAGTGTCAAGTGGCCCACTTGACGTCTCCAAAGCGTCCATGAATCCGTTACTAAAATACCGTTTCCGCGGTACCCAAAATACTACAATTTTAGGCAACAAGTTTCTCGTTGCAGAATCCGCTTGTCAGACAAAAGATGAAATGCCGGTAAGGGCCTCACTCACGGACCATCTCACCAGGTACTGTACAGTATAAGTTCCATCTGCATTAGGACAAGGCACTGCGGGTTATGGAACGGTGACGGTTTGTGGCGAACGTGTGCCATGTTATCAAGTGCATGCTGAAGGCCTTACTTTCTCGTGGTGGGTTTTGAGCGATATACCGAGGCAGTAAACCGTGAAGCAGTTGCGATCAAGATGCTGCTTTCGAGAACGCGTGGTCTGATAATTTGTGATTGGTAATCTTACTTCGTGCATGTAGTTGGTGCCACCTCAGCTTGAACTTTGTGTGTTTGTGCTGGAATCGAGAGATAAGACCCAAAAGTTGCGACAAAATGCACTAAATACTATACCGCCCTCCCCACGTCCTGGTCGCTGATTTGAGTTGCGGAACGATTGCTCGATGCATCTGGCTATGTGTGGACTCTTATGAGGACGAGAGTGTAACCCGCCCTAACACAGTGCCAACACCGTCTCGGTCCATTTGCCAATAAGTGCGACAGCAGCAGTCAACGATTCCAGCCAACGCTTGAGGCGAAACTATTCAAGCCTTTTCAAGCCACCATGGTGAAGGCGGATCAGTCAGGGCTCCACCGCTTTTGGAGCATGTACGTGGACTCTTCGTGCTCTGGGGCGCCGACGGGTGTCTTCGTGCAACGGCTGAACGACTGTGTGAAGCAAGTCGCCGCCGACGGTGACAACTGCGCCGCCAAGTACGATGATAACCAGAACGTCGTTGGTTACGTGAACCAAAGCTGTCATGACGGCCGTCTTGGGGGCCTCGAGTCTGTCTTCGGTAGCACGCCGTTCATGTCGTACGACTACTACAACAACGACGACTGCACCGACTTCGAGAACTCGGCTTCGTACCGGGCCAACGACAAGTGCAACAGTTTGTACGACGGGGATTCGCCATTCCGAAGCGCGACGCTTACGTTCACGAGTGAAGGACTAGAGTGGAGACGCAACATGGGTAAAGTGGGCACTGCTCTCAACTGCCCAGGCTCGAGCGGCCCCGGGTTCTACCAGTTTGACGTTCCCGATGCAAATATCAACACCGACTTCTGCATGAACAAGTTCGACGGCATTTCAGGCGGATTCATATTTTACAATTCGTCCTCCACCATCACCACGACGTCGTCCTCGTCCTCGTCCTCCGGCTCAGATACCGGGAATTCGAGCTCGTCTGCGTCGCCAACAACCACCCCTCCAAGCTCAGACAATGCGGTCGCAAGCTCAGGATCTTCGTCATCACCCACGACTACGACTACTACATCAGGAGGCGGCACTGGTGCCGGTGCCATCGCTGGCATTGCTGTTGGCGGTGCTGCTGTTCTGGCGCTAATCGCGGTGCCATTCATCATGTTGAAGCGCAATAGGAAGAGCGAGAGTTCCGACTTAAACTCGCTGCGAGACCCGTTTATTGGAAGAGGAAGCGCCTGGACCGCGGGTCCCACACGTGATTCGGATCCTTCCTTGATGGGCCCTGGACTTTGGAACGACGATACCATTGTCGCTACCCGTGTTCCCCGTGACCAAGTGAAATTTGAAGCGGTTCTCTCTCGTGGTGGCTTTGGAGAAGTCTACCGAGGGACATACAACAACGAGCAAGTGGCCATCAAGATGTTGTTCCCCGAAATGCGCAAGGATCTGAAGAAGGTCAACGCTTTCCTCGCCGAGGCCAAGCTCATGGCGAGTTTGGTGCACCCCCACGTTGTTCGGTTTGTCGGCGTGGCGTGGGGCAACCTGGCCGACTTGTGCGTGCTCACAGAGCTGATGCAGGGCGGAGATCTGAGGACGCTACTGAAAGACTTTAATGCTAAGGGCCACCCCCAAGGCATGGACCAGGACAAACTCCGCATCGCATACCACATCGCTCAAGCATTGACGTACATGCACTCGCTCTCTCCTGTCGTCATCCACCGAGACTTGAAGTCCAAGAACGTGTTGTTGACCGAAGACTTGGAGGCGAAACTGACGGACTTTGGCGCGTCACGCGAGCGCCAAGAGCACACCATGACGGCGGGAGTCGGTACTATGCTGTGGATGGCGCCCGAGGTGATGATGGCCGAGCGCTACACCGAGAAGGCCGACGTGTTCTCGTTCGGCGTGCTGCTGTCCGAGTTGGACTTGCAGACGTTGCCGTACTCTCATGCGCGGATCGACTCGAGCGGCATGAAGGTGCCTGATGCGTTGATTTTGCAGAAGGTGGCGTCAGGTGCGTTGCAAGTGCAGTTTTCGTCGAAGTGCTTGGCTGCGGTGGTGGAGTTGGGCAAGGATTGCGTTGCGCTGGACCCGTCGACTCGTCCGTCGGCGCCGATGGTGGTGTTCCGACTGCAATCAATCACGAAGGAGTTGAGCATAACATTTTTGGCAAGTGACTTCGATGCAGAACTGACCCCACAGACGGCAAAGTTGTAGTTAATTCATTTTAAAAGTAGGACTTTTTTGTGGTTGTTATCACCAAGAAACCTTGATACCATACACACGTGGTAGCCATCGTGTGCTCAACTGTATCTTACAAACATTGGTGATCACCACCCCAGCTTCGCAATGATGTCGTCCCCGTAAAAAAATTAGACAACCTCGGATTACTTTAACCCTTTCGTAATGAGACATCTCAAAATTACCCCTAGCTTGCCTACTTAGTACATTTTCCTGGGTTTATAGGAACTTTTCCGTTACCAGCCCCATGAAACCAAGCAAAACTCTACCAGGTGTGCTGGTACAACATGGTGCGCTCAATCCATCTCTCGGTCAATTCAGACGTAGGCGAATCCGCCTCGGCGACTGTTGATCTGTTGGGGAAGGTCTGTCCGCCATAGAGATCTCCTCGTAGTCCCAGCTCCTCGACATCCGCCAACGAAGTTTTAGATGGTCACCCAAAAACAGCGAACAAGACCTATCCTACGGCAGAAGCACCTCAATATTCTATGCCACTGCCCTCCACGTACTGATCCGTAATAGTTGTCGTCCAACAGTCAAGTTATTGTTGCGCTGTTGCTAACAGAGCAACAGCGGTAATAACTTTAATCAATATATCTGACCTTGGGATCTGATGACACTGTCCCACTTGCGATCTGGAGGACGAGAATGCCCACGTCAACCAGTCTTAATCCCACATTCTCCAAACCACCGGACCTATCAAAGTCAAGGGCATCGCAAGCTTCCAACCTCTCCTACAACAACTTGTCCGAAACATGCCGGACACCTACCGCTTTTGGAGTATATACGAAGACTCGTCTTGTGAAGGAGCACCAACTGGCGTCTTCATGCAGAGGCGGAATGACTGTGCGGGCCAGGTCGCCTCCAGTGGCTCTCATTGCGCTGCAAAGTACGACAGCAGCAACGCCGTGATCGGCTACGTGGATGAAACTTGCCACGAAGGCCGTGCTGCCGGCCTCGACACTCTCTTCGGCAGTGTTCCCTACATGGCGGCCGACTACTACTTCGACACCAGTTGCACAGACTACGAAAATACGGCAGCGTACCGAGCCAGTGGCGAGTGCGAGACGCTGTATGACGGCTACTCCCCAGTCAGAAGCGCAACAATTTCTGTGACAGGGGAAGGCCTGCTCTGGAAGCGGAATATGGGCTCCATCGACACTTCCCTGAACTGTCCTGGCGTGGGTGCACCCGGCTACTACGAGTTCGACGTTCCTGCAGCCGATATCAACGCAAACTCCTGCATGAACAAGTGGGATGGCATTGACGGTGGCTTTATTTTCTACAATATGTCCACCGTACTGTCGTCTAGCGGCTCCGGCGCAGGAAATTCAAGCTCTGCTACGACGCCGACTACCGCAGACAACGCAATCGTCAGCTCCGGATCCGGATCGCCATCGACGACTACGACGTCTCCATCTAGGGGCGGTATCGGTGTCGGTGCCATCGCTGGCATTGCTGTTGGCGGTGCTGCTGTTCTGGCGCTCATCGCTGTGGCGTTTGTGGTGGTGAAGCGCAAGCTCAAGAGTGACAGTTCAGACACGAACTCGCTGCGCGACCCGTTTATTGGAAGAGGAAGCGCCTGGACTGGGGGCCCAACTGGTGACTCTGAGCCTTCGTCGATGGGTCCTGGACTTTGGAACGACGATACCATTGTCGCTACCCGTGTTCCCCGTGACCAAGTGAAATTCGAAGCGGTTCTCTCTCGTGGCGGCTTTGGAGAGGTCTACCGAGGGACATACAACAACGAGCAAGTGGCCATCAAGATGTTGTTCCCCGAAATGCGCAAGGATCTGAAGAAGGTCAACGCTTTCCTCGCCGAGGCCAAGCTCATGGCGAGTTTGGTGCACCCCCACGTTGTTCGGTTTGTCGGCGTGGCGTGGGGCAACCTGGCCGACTTGTGCGTGCTCACAGAGCTGATGCAGGGCGGAGATCTGAGGACGCTACTGAAAGACTTTAATGCTAAGGGCCACCCCCAAGGCATGGACCAGGACAAACTCCGCATCGCATACCACATCGCTCAAGCATTGACGTACATGCACTCGCTCTCTCCTGTCGTCATCCACCGAGACTTGAAGTCCAAGAACGTGTTGTTGACCGAAGACTTGAAGGCGAAACTGACGGACTTTGGCGCGTCACGCGAGCGCCAAGAGCACACCATGACGGCGGGAGTCGGTACTATGCTGTGGATGGCGCCCGAGGTGATGATGGCCGAGCGCTACACCGAGAAGGCCGACGTGTTCTCGTTCGGCGTGCTGCTGTCCGAGTTGGACTTGCAGACGTTGCCGTACTCTCATGCGCGGATCGACTCGAGCGGCATGAAGGTGCCTGATGCGTTGATTTTGCAGAAGGTGGCGTCAGGTGCGTTGCAAGTGCAGTTTTCGTCGAAGTGTTTGGCTGCGGTGGTGGAGTTGGGCAAGGATTGCGTCGCGCTGGACCCGTCGGCTCGTCCGTCGGCGCCGATGGTGGTGTTCCGACTGCAAACGATTATCAAGGGGTCTATAGTAGCCCAGACCGACACGGCTGAGGACACTGCTGATATTGATCGGTCGATGTCCAACATGTCTGAGGACACTGCCGACACTGACTACGTGATTTAGGAGCGGGGCGGCTTGCTTTCCGTGTCATTTAGCATTGTATGTGGCTTGATAAAAGTGAGTAAGGCCGTTAGTCAGCAGGTTGAAGTGATCTGTGCCAATATTATGGTACCAAACGCGTATCTTTGCATCGTACCTTGTCGCGCAGGTACAGTACCTGCTAGGATTTGAAAATACACTTCTATAATCTATATAGAATGTAAATCGATATAGCATCACTGTACAACGATGTATCTATCCCTTCTGTGGCAACGTACAAGTTGATCCCCCGCGGATGTCGACCTGACCCCAACCGTCGCAGCGGTTGCCCATCTTATCGATTTATTGGTGCTTGGTGCCGCGATTGCTGTCGGCGTCACTCCGATCATTCCCGCATTCGGCCTCGAGCGCGCAAGTTCCTCTCTAACCACTCCTCCTTCCCAACGCCCCGCCACAATGCTGCGTCTCTCGCGTATGAGCCTTTGCGCGGCCCGCCCGTCCAGCGCCGTGGCGCGCGCCATGAGCACGTCCAAGCTGAGCCTGGAGCAGCTGGCGCAGCGCCAGAGCCTCAAGGGCGCGCGCGTGCTGGTGCGCGCCGACCTGAACGTGCCGCTCAAGAAGAACCAGACGCCCGCCACCATCACGGACGACACGCGCATCCGCGCCGTGCTGCCCACGCTCAAGCTGCTGCAGGGCGCGGGCGCGCGCACCGTGCTGTGCTCGCACCTGGGCCGTCCCGGCGGTGAGGCCAAGGACGAGCTGCGCCTGACGCCCGTGGCCGCGCGCCTCGGCGAGTTGCTGGGCAGCCCCGTCAAGAAGCTGGACGACTGCATCGGCCCCCAGGTGGACGCGGGCATCGACGCGTTGCAGGACGGCGAGATCGTGCTGCTGGAAAACGTGCGCTTCTACAAGCAGGAGACAGAGAACGACCCCGAGTTCGCCAAGCAGCTGGCCCACAGCGCCGACATCTACGTCAACGACGCGTTCGGCACGGCCCACCGCGCGCACGCGTCCACGGAGGGCGTGACCAACTACGTCAAGACCAACGTGGCCGGCTTCCTCATTGAGAAGGAGCTCAAGTACCTGTCCGGCGCCGTGGACGCGCCCGTGCGCCCGCTCGGCGCCGTCATCGGCGGCGCCAAGGTGTCCACCAAGATCCCTGTGCTCAAGTCGCTGCTGCAGAAGTGCGACAAGATCATGATCGGTGGCGGCATGATCTTCACGTTCTACAAGGCGCAGGGCCTGGACGTGGGCAAGTCCATCATTGAGGAGGACAAGGTCGAGCTCGCCAAGGAGATCTTGGAGGAGGCCAAGCAGCGCGGCGTGCAGATCGTGCTCCCCACGGACGTCGTGGTTGCTGACAAGTTCGAGGCCGACGCGCAGTCGAAGGTTGTGCCGGCCAACGCCATCCCTGCGGACTGGCTGGGCCTGGACATTGGTCCCGACTCGCAGGCCACGTTCGCCAAGGAACTCAAGGAGTGCAAGACCGTTGTGTGGAACGGCCCCATGGGTGTGTTCGAGTTCCCTGAGTTCGCCAAGGGCACGTTCGGCGTGGCCAAGGCTCTTGCGGAGAGCACGGAGAGCGGTGTCACCACCATCGTGGGTGGCGGCGACTCGGTGGCCGCCGTCGAGCAGGCCGGCCTTGGCTCCAAGATGAGCCACATCTCCACGGGCGGCGGTGCCAGCCTGGAGCTGCTCGAGGGCAAGGTGCTCCCGGGTGTCGCCGCTCTAAATGACGCTTAGACTAGCCACGAGCTTGAGGCTGCTGGCAATAGACAGCTTTGGGCAATCAATCGGTAGTGCTCGCGATAGATGCAGCAGCTTCGAAGCGGAGACGACGACAAAGAGGGCAAGTAGGCCGCAACGCCTCCTGCGCTCTTGTTGTAAATCAATGTGAATATTGAATTGTAACTTCATCTCGTGCGTGGCAGGCGCTTGTCCAGGAGAGCGTCCATCACCGAAGTAACCTTTGGACATGCTGCAAACTGGGACAATGTGAAGATCTTCAACGACCGGCCAAATAAACTCGTCTCATTGATTGGGTGGCCACTTCAACTTGCGATTGTCAAAAGGCACGTCACCTGTGACCGTTATCAAAGCTGCGACCGTTTTCAAGCGTAACGAGCTAACAATGATTGACAAGTGGCGGGCCGATATCCAGCAACAACGGAATGTGCCCGTCGAGCACCCACAACGACCAGACCCAGATGTCCCCCGCTTCAAAAGCAGTCTTTCGCGCTGGTGCTCGCCCCACATTACTCACTGCGCATTCGTGGCAGTGGCCACTGGCCCGCGTAGGTCAGCCGACGCCCACGCCACCGTCAGTTTTGTTCGCGCAGTGTTTCTTCGGCGTGGGCCTGACCACTCTAGAGAGCATGGGGGCACGCTTGCGGTTCCTGGCTTCGTGCCTTTCACGCCGGCCATACGAGAGCTGCCGGTGGCGCTTGGATAAGGCGATGCAGGCACAGCGTTAGTAATTGAGCCTTGAGTAACCCCGAATGAGCCGGTGAGTCAATGGCGGCGGTGAGTAATGTTCACGCGGCGGCCTCCTGAGCAGCGCTCTTCGCGCGCGTTGGCGGCAAAGCACAGCGCGACGACGATCGTGTAATCTAGAACCACGGCCGGACTACAGTACACATGTACACATGCACCGAGGCGGTGGCGGCGTGGCCAGCGCGAGAGAACTGGCGGGTGTCGGCCCCAGGGTTGCTTCGTGCGATTGCGGAGCTTGCGTGCGCGAGAACACGCGAGCTCCAGGGGAAGTCACACGTCGCGGCCCCGGCACTGTCGACGAGCACCGGCTATTAGTCGAGGAGCCTTTCCCCATCTTGGTGCCGCTGGCCGGCGATGGCTGATCGGTTCAAGCACCGACCGAGAAGATCACAGTCAAGGCACAGTCGAGACGACGAAGCGCGGGGCATATGGACGTCGGTCGCTCAAGCTGGGGAAACGAGTGGGTCTAACGAGGACGCGTTGCCGGTAGCTCCGCCGCTGCTGCAGCAGCAGCCTCCGCTCCACAAACGAGCCACTGAATAAGAAGTCTAGGACAGTAACATCCACTTGCAGTGCAACGATGGAGGATCATAAAGACGAGCACCTTGACGCGTTAGTAGCGCCCCATGTGTTATGATCGAGGTCTCCGCCAAACCGGATCGGAGCCGCGCCGGCGGATCCATCACCAGCTTCCAGAAGGCTCCTGTCGATAGCAGCGGCCGATGATCTAATGCTGCCTCGTTGGTCACCGACACCGCCTTGAGACGGCATACATGTACATACTGTATCATCATCCTTTCAGACGGAGCAGGCCGGATGGTCCGACCTTGCCGGCTTCAACAATCGTGCAGTAAACAGGCACTTTCGGGCCGAGATAAGCCGGTAGGTCGGTCCCGGCGCGGTGGACGACTGCTCTCTGCGGCACGACGTCTCGATTTGCTCCGCGCTTTGGATTCCGGCCCGGAGCACGCACCCAGCGGATATCTGTGCGTGTATGGTACCACCCGCACCGGTGCCGGCCGACTGCAAACCGCAGGCAGAAAGCCAGCAACGAGAAGCAGCCAGGCATGACTGCACGAATCGGACAGAGCCGCGGGGGCGGAAGATGAAATGCTGCAGCGCCGGTCGCAGTGGCAACCAACTTGTGGCTCAACGCGGCAGTCGAGCGGATCATGGGCTCGTTTGCGGACACGCACAGGGCCGTTGGGCTCAGCAATCGATGTGGTCAACAGGGCGCGGACGATTACAGCGCTGCAAGCGCTGCAGCTCTCGCCAGTTGCGCATACCTGTGCTGTGCATGTACTTGCCGGCGTTTGCCATGGAGTCTTCGCCGTCGCGTTCGCGGCAGGCCAGTTGCATGTGCCATGGAGTCGCTATCGCGTTCGCGACGGGCCTGTCCTGGGGGGCACCGGGGCGGTCCGTCGCTGTGTCTTCGAACGAGGGCGGCACTCGTCACAGCAACTGTGATGCCTTGCGTCCAGCCAGCCAGCGTTCGTGCGCTGCGCTGCGTCGACCAGATCCAGCCACCATTGCGGCGCAATGGGAAGGCCCGTCAGGCCGGCGATCGATCGGCCGGTCGCCGGCCGCGTCAAGTCGTGTCCAGGATTCAGCGGCCAGCTGACGCGCCGAGTTCCTCGCGTCTTGGCGCGAACTCTGGACTCGAAGTAGCAAACAACTGAGCCGGTAGATATCGGATCGAACTCACGCTACGCTAGACGCTCTCTTCCCGAAACAGCCGCCGACCGGCCAGCGCGCTTGACGGCGGCGCGGATCGGCAAATTCTTAGCACGCCGACGACACCTTCGGCCACCAGCCGAAGCAGCAGAACCCGCTCAAAAAGGGCGGCGCGCGCCGCGACGGCTTTCTCTGCACCGGTGCACAAAAGGCCGCCCCCATGGCCGGGCCAGGCCCAAAGGGGGGACCATCCAGCCGCGGTCGTGTTCATTTGAGATTTCTCACACCCCATCTACTCGTCCCGCGTAACACCGGAGCGAGAGATACCACCGCTCCAGTAGCTCTTCCGGCATCGGAATCCTACTACCCTCGCACCCCCCACGACCCAGCGTCGTACGTTCCTCCCAAGCCCCGCTCTCGCAGCAGCTTCCCACCCCCAACTCGTCGCTCGTCGCTTGATGAACGCGAGTACATTCCCTTCATTTATTACCGAACCCCACCACCACCTCCACCAGCAGCAGCAGCGCGCCGCCGCCCCGGGCTCGCCGTCCGCTTCGTACTGCCCTCTGCTCCCTCAGATCCAGCACCTGCACTCGCCGCTAACCAAGACGCTGGCACGCCCCGGCGGGGAGCCCGCCAAGCTGCAGCTGCCCATGGCGCACGCTAACGCTATGGCGGGCGGCCGCTTCGACTGCTCCACGTCGAGCGACGACGATGAGAACATGGACCGCAGCAACACCGCGCACCTCGGTTCCGTGGCCTCACCGCTCCGCAGCTCGGACGGCGGGGACGGCGAAGCGGTCAGCGGCATCGCCGCCATGAGCCTCAGCTACATCATCAACGGCGACGTGGAGACGCCCGCGCAGGTGGACGACGACGACAGCAGCAGCACCGGCGGCAGCTCGCGCGGCGGCTTCGACCTCTCGTCCATGCTCAACACGGTGTGCGCCAAGCCCGACTGCTACCGCACCATCCGCGGCCCGGAAGGCACGTTCTGCAAGTACCACAAGCAGAGCCGCTTCTGTCGCGCCGAGGGCTGCGCCAAGAGTGCCAAGACCGGAGGCTTCTGCATCTCGCACGGCGGCGGCAAGCGCTGCGCGCACCCGGACTGCACCAAGTCGGCCAAGCAGGGCGGTCTCTGCATCTCTCACGGCGGCGGCAAGCGATGCAGCGAGGCCGGCTGCACCAAGTCGGCACTTGTCGGCGGCTTCTGCTCGGCCCACGGTGGCGGCCGCAAGTGCAAGATGCCCGAGTGCACCAAGACGGCGCTCCTGGGAGGACTGTGCATCGCGCACGGCGGGGGCAAGCGCTGTCAGGTGGAAGGCTGCTCCAAGAGCGCGGTGGGCGGCACGCTGTGCGTCTCGCACGGCGGCGGCAAGCGCTGCCAGGCCGAGGGCTGCAACAAGGGGGCGGTGCGCAACGGCGTGTGCATTCGCCACGGCGCCAAGCGCGACCACCCGTCGGTGTCCCCATAAGCACAACCTAAAGGCCCCCGTGGGCCAAGGAGGCCGGTCGGTCGAGCCTCCAGCAGGATGACGGAATCGTAACGTGGTTGCCATCGGAAGTGGCCGCAATACATTTTGTTCACTCCAATCCTATCTTTTACCTACACCATTCCAACTACAGCGCCAATCTCGCACCGCATTGTGTTGCGAGGTGCTCAACTAGCCGGGCCCGTCACGTTTTAGGCCGGTGGAAGCCTTATACGTGACACTCGGCTATAAATCCTTGAAAAATAAATCAACAAAATGAGGAGCGCGAGTTGCTACCTTAGAGCGCGAACCTCGACCTCTTGTACAACAGTTCACTCTTGCGGCTACCAAATACTAGTATGCATGGATATCGGATGACTCAGACACTCAGCCTCAACCAAACCGCTTGATGCGGACCTGGATCTCTTGCCGACACAGAGGGCAATGCGAGAGGAACTCGCCGCACTTTTGGCATGTTTCGTGCCCGCACTGGAACACCGTGTCCTTCCTGCGATCCTCGCAGATGGGGCACAACAGCGTCTCCTGCAGTTGAGCGAGCTCCAACTCAGCTCGCGACGTGCGATGCTGCAGCGTCGGGCGAGCCGATCCGCTCCGCGCATCGTCTGCAGAACCGATGAGCGGAGCTGATGGTGATGTCGCTTGGCCGTATTGCGTTGTTGTTGTTGCAGTGGCTGCAGACACGACGCGCGCGGGTGTATGTTGAAGATTGGGCTGGATGACGCCGAAGTTGTGGTTTTGGTGAACGTTCTCAACTGGTTGCGGCGGAGGAAAAACGTCAACGCGCGGCAAGTCCGTACGGACGCGATACGGCCCGCCTTCGAGGTAATTCATTGCCTTGATCGTCCGATACTGGTCAGGTATCTCCATCAGGGCCTGCAACGCGAACTGCGTCTCCTTCATCTGTGGGTCGCTGAATTGTGAAGTGATCTTGTGGTACTCCACGAACTGGAAGTTGTCAAATTTCCTGTGGACGAGGTAGTCGTCGAAGTATATCATCGACTCCCACGGGCCGTCGCCCACGCCCACCATAACGATACTCAGAGGGAAGTTGCTGGCGTAGGTGATGGCGTCGATCGTCTCCTTCTCGTTCGTGCTGACAGCATGGGGAGGAATATCCACCGAGCGAGTCACCTGTCCATCTGCAATAATGACGAGGATATGGTAGTCCCCCGTGCGATTGACAATGTTCACCGCCTCGTTGATGATCGGCGCGAAGCTCGTGGGCCCCGCCATGACCACGTTGCGCACCACCTCTCGGTAGCGCGACCGGATGCTCTCCAGGGGGAAGCCAGCTTGACCTTCACGCTCGCCGAAGGTAAACACCGCGCGGTCGCACGTCAACTCGTCTCCGAAGCCGTACACGGGGATGATGTTGTCCTCGTCTGCACAGGCACAAGCAAGCAGCCCCGCAACGTCGTCGGGCGTCAGTGAAGCAGTCACATCGCGTCCACAAACTGTCTAGCAAGACGCACCGAAGTCGCGCAGCGTCCGGCCGATCGTCTCGATCACGTCTTCGTACGGGTTTCGAGCGCTCGGGTCGTCGATCTCGTGCAGACTGCGGCCGCCGAACGTGCGCTTGCCGCTCCACTCGTTGGACTTGGTGCCTGCCAACATAATTCACTTCGTAAGTAACAAACACTACAAAACAATACGGTAATATTCCAGCTGCAGTACAGTACAGCTACATATCACGCACAGTCGATGCCGATGATGAGGTTGCAGCTCTCGAGGCCGCTGCGCCTCAGCGCCTGCGTCACTTGCGGCAGCGACGTGAACTGGTCGGGGATCATCTGCGTGAGCGCGTCCGAGCGACCGGCAATAGGGCGCGGGCCCGTCTGGGTCACCGACTCGCGCCGCGCCTGCGACTGCCGCCGCTGCTGCTTGCTCGGCCCGTTGCCCATGGCGATAGCGGAGCTTTTGCTGCTGGCCTGGGGAATCTGGAAATGGGTTGAAGAAGTTCTTCAGAAAAATGGAGCCACCAATTTCTCTTGGTTTCAGTAGGTCGATTGTGGGTACATTGTACCGACGGAGTGGTACAGTGCGCGCTGTGGATTTCTCGGTGGTCGAACCACTTCAACTTGGGTATCCTCGCAACAGCGATGTGCTGTGGGAAGTTCCCCGCTGGGAAGATACTAAGCTTGTGCATCAATCCTGCTCGCCGTGCTCGCAGTCGTTGCGAGGTTTCACTTCGAAATGGTCTCGACTTCTCCAGCTCTCCAGGCGTTTTGTCTTACACAAAGCTTGCTGCCTCCTCGGGGATGGAAAAGGAAGTGGGGGTTTCTTCTTGGCAGCATATAACTTTTATGAGTAGCAAGCAGATATCTGGAAACTGTTTGCCGTACCGGCAACCTTGAGAGTGGCAAGAGCATGCTACACTTGCAGGGATGGCAAGGTACTTGAGACGAGACTAATGCGATGAGTCTACACATCTTTGTAAGGCTGTTAGCGCTAACCAAGGATGGAGACTGCTCAGCCAGCTTTGCATTAACCTTGTAAGGCTCCATCGACCCGCTACCAACTGAGTCCATCGGTGAACATGCAGCACACCTTCAGGTTTGATGCCGCCATGCGACGAATACGAAAGCTTTCAACTTCATCAACGCATCCGCAAATGTAGCAAGCGACAATCTCGAATTGAAATATTCCGCGCTCAAAACATCTACTGTCCGTGGTCCTTGCTGCCCAGGTGCCGATCTAAATATGTGTACATGCAGTTGTCTACCCCAGCGCAAAGAATCATTGACATGACTTACAGACTCACAGACTTACAGCAAGTTGGCTGGGTCCCGCGCGTGCGCCAACTGCTGCTGCGCTGCTGCATCTGACTTGTGCTCGTGCTGGCGGTAGACCTGCTCCTCCGCCGCTTGCTGCTCCCTCAGCAGCTTCTTCTTCCGGTGGCGCTCCTTGCGCTCTTTCCGCTCGTCGAAGACCTCGATGCCCACGAGTCCGAGCTCGCAGAGGCCGATGACGATAGCGCTGCGCAGCTTGGGGCCTGAGTAGAGCGTCATCTTGAGCACGGACTTGAGCACGACGGCGTAGAAGACGGCCACGACCAGCGAGGCCAGCATGAGGTTGTACTTGTAGTTGCGCGCCTTGCGCAGGCGCTTGATCTTCCAGCAGAAGAGGAACTTGGCGAAGTAGACGAGGAACCACGCGAAGGCGAAGGGCGTCGGGTAGAACACGTAGATCCACTGCAGCAGGCGCTCGTTCTCGTCCAGCTGGCCCTGCGTGTACTTGCTGGCCACGAAGCTCGCGGCGTACGACGTGCCGGCGCCCACGTCGAAGAAGGCCACGACCACGGCGAAGATGGCGAAGAACGTGAGCGACGCGTAGAGCCACCGGTAGAACCGCTTCTGGTGCACGAACCCCCAGTAGCCGTCCGACACCGTCAGCATGTTGCGGATGCGCCGCCGCTTCCCCATCGTTGCCGTCACTGCCTCCCTGCAGCTAACGTGTAGGGTCGAACACCAATGCTAAACTGTCTCGTCCTGTACTAGTAGTCAGCACGCGGGACGCTTTCGTACTTAATGGAGGCTCCGCGAAGGCTAAAAAAACAAAAACTGTCCAGGATAGGTAAATTCGCAGTTCGTCGATTGGGGAAGGTTTTTGGATGACATCGAACGACATTCGCGCTACATTCGTCACTTCACCCCCGTGCCGATGACATCAAACAACATTCACACAACATCATACAGCAATCGGTCTGAATGACACTTACAGGTTTTGATGGATGCCTATTTTTTTTTTCCTTCTACTGTAGATTGATGCCATCAGAGGAAGTGGGGCTCCATCTACTACTACGACGAACAACGTATTGTGTATTAGCGGACTACTACGGTGAACAATGTATTGTGTACTAGCAAGCATTGTATTCTTTCGAAATTCGATCAATATGAGGCATCGGTGCTAATAATGCTAACCTTGGACACAACTGGTGTCGCCACATCACTGCATCGTATTATACTACTGTACATGCAGCTTCAAAGCTCTCAACATAGTACTTACTCATTCCACTAGCGGTAAAATTATCGATTCGATCTGTTATGAGTCATAACTTATACCCTCCTCTTTCAGACACAGATTTTCTTCTGCATGCATAGTTTCTCAGAGAGAGATATTGAAAATCGTGTGGTCAGCTGAGTTTGCCGTGACATAAACTGTCGGCGGCTGATATTGTATGAATCCCCACACTCACTGGAATTAATCCGGATGGATTAGATAAAACATTCCACTAAAACATTGCAAAAAACTACTTAAAGTCCTAGGTTGTGCGATACAAGATTAGGAAGTATAGCTCGATTTTTTTTCGTTCAACAATTTTTTTAATCCGAACCCAACTCTATCCGCCGTCAATGCGGTGACGTCCTATACGGTGACGAACGAATTCATTCAGCGGAGACTCCAAAAGAGCTGCACCTGGTGGTACGTCTTCTCCGGGAAAAAAGGCTAAAGGCTAGCTGCACTAGCTTAGGCATTTATCTATGAAGACTAGGATGATTTAAGCTTGTCTTGTGTGAGACTACAATACGACCCACAGAGATCCACCGAACTGGTGGTGTAGAATGATCTACTACTTGATCCTGTTCTTGTCAAAAACAAGTTCAAAATACATTGTTACCGATATTAGTTCAGATCATCCTAATGCTACATGCATACAGTACCTTCAGATTAATACTTGATAAAGGGCAATATCACACTTGGACGAATCGAAGCTGACAGTTTTTTGTTGTTGTTAGATCTTCAGGCGACCTGGACAAAATATGTGTGCGGCTGCACCATGTTTTATCAAACAGAGTTTGAATGCTCCTACGTTGTCGCTGTACGCCGCGCATCCTGTGCGAGAGGAAGCACCGGGCGGACATCGTCAAAGCGAAGGACGAACACCCGGTGTATCCTACTCCTACACGCGATCGAAATCTGCTAGACCTCAGTTTTAACTCATCAAACTTGGAACAAATTGCTGGCTTCATCGGGTTATCCTGCAAGTTTGGTTGAGCGGTTATCCTGGCAGCGCTAATTATTCGAATGCACTTTTTTTTCTTGTTTTATCGTCACCTGTAAGTTTCCGAGCACAACACTGCAATCTAAACAATAAAGGATTCTGCCTGGGCATCAGCGCACATTTCAGTAGCAGGAAGGAAGGAAATTACGTTGATTACCTCGCCGTTGATAACCGTTCTACTAACTACAAAGAACTAAAGTTAAAACTGAATCCGTGGAGCCCTCATTCGACGAGCAGGAGGAGGTAGAATCATCACGGTGGGTTTGTCAAACCCAATCGTTGAAGTACCAATTCGCTGGAGTGACGATACATGTATATGAACTGGCAATGCCTTTGAAAATAAGCGATCAAACTTTGTACACTTAGTTGTACCGTGGTAGATTAGGCAGATGCTGCGGTTGCGAAGCAGGCGCAGGGGATGCCCGAGCACATCGTTTCCCTGTAAGGGTATCCGTACAAGCTAGCTTCGAACTGCGAAACCACCCGGGTCCCCAATTGACAGTTTTTTCTTGTTTTTTCAGCAAGCTGCTGGACTTTCACTAACTTTTTACCTCAAACCAGCGCGGGCACCATGCCATGGTCACTAATACGCACAACCTGCTAAACATGAGTTCATTGCGCATTAAGGATGATCGTGCAGTATAGGATTGCTAATTGAGTGAGCGGCTGAATTACGACCGACAGAGAGCACAATGATGATCGTTTGATCCTGGGGAGTAGGAAGGCATAGATCAAACTGATCAACATTTGGCCAAGATGCAGTTGCACTTCGTCGAAATTGCAAAACTCTTCTCACTTTGCTCGATAGCCTCCATCTTTCATCGACTATTCATCACCAGTTTGCACGAGCGACATTAATCCTGTGATATCAGCACCTCGTATCTCAGTACTGTACACTGTACTGAAATTCATTCACGAAGTGGTCCACATACATCGTGTGACGTCACACAGCCGGCGTATCCACATCAACGACCTCCCCATCCTGTGGCCACTATTCAATCCATCGCTTCGCCCCAAGATGGCTGACCGCGTGCTCGAATTGCTGGCGCCCTTGCAGGCGGCGCTGTCCGCGTCGCCCCTGGCCGTGAAGGTCTCTGCGGCCGTGGGCTGCCTGGTGCTGTCTCGCCTGGCGCTGCAGCTGCTGGGCTCGCTCTACACGTTCTTCCTGCGCCCGGCCAAGAGCCTCAAGAGCTTCGGCCAGTGGGGCGTGGTCACGGGCGCCACGGACGGCATCGGCAAGGCGCTGGCCATGGAGCTGGCGCGTAAGGGCATGAACGTCGTGCTCATGAGCCGCACGCAGAGCCGCCTGGAGGAGGCCCGCAGCGAGATCCTGGCCAAGTACCCCAAGGTGCAGGTGGAGATCCTGGCCGTGGACTTCAACCGCGTAGACGAGCCCAGCGTGCGCCAGGCGCTGCAGCAGAAGCTGGACCAGGTCAAGGACGTCGGCGTGCTGTTCAACAACGTGGGCGTGTCGTACGACTTCCCCGAGTTCTTCGACCAGCTCCCGGAGGACCGCGTGGACAGCCTCATCAAGCTCAACGTGACCGCGGCCACCGTCATGACCAAGCTGGTGCTGCCCGGCATGGCGCTGCGCAAGCGCGGCGCGATCGTCAACGTGAGCTCCGGCTCGGGCCGCATGGTCGTGCCGCTGCTCAGCGAGTACAGCGCCACCAAGAAGTACATTGAGCAGTTCACGATCTGCCTCGCCGCCGAGTACAGCGCCAAGAACGTGCACGTGCAGTGCCACGTGCCCATGTTCGTGTCGACCAAGCTGGCCAAGATCCGCCACGCGAGCTTCATGGTGCCCTCGCCCGCCACGTACGCGCGCGCGTCGGTGGCCCACCTGGGCTACGACACGCTGCTGTCGCCCTACTGGCCGCACGCGCTGCAGATCTGGCTGTACGAGAGCGCCCCCACCTGGCTGCTCAGCAAGGTGCGTAGCGTGCTAGAGAGATGGATAACCGACGCCGGCCTGCGTCGCCAGCAACCGCACGCGACGCAGGTCGCCGGCGGCACCGTCCCAGACGGACTAAGCGACGACTGACGAACTTTTTGTTATGCGATTATGCTGTTTTGTTGCTCGCAGGGCGCCATGATGACCCACCTGTCGCTGCGCAAGCGCGCGCTCAAGAAGCTCGAGGCCAAGAAGAACCAGTGAGCGGGTCGCAACCGAGGCTTGATAAGCGCGCAAGCGGGCCGAGAGCGGCTTCATCGATCTTTGCGTGTCGACAATGCAGGCAGTAGCGTAGCACTCGTGCAGCACCAGCCACGTAGCAAAGGAAACCGCCGGCATTTGTCAATGCAAGATAACTGAGCTTGGCCATCGCCCTCGCGCCATCGTATGTGTCGAGTGCCCTCCAGAGTCACCATTTGTATGCGTCTTTGGTGATGAGCAGCGGGAGGCCCCACGCGGCGTGGGCCACGCCCTCGATGAGGGAATACACAATACAGACCCGCCCGCCGTAATTCCGTCGCCTCGTTCGCACCGAGAGTCGATGTCCATGACCAGCATGCCGCGTGGTGTTGGGTAAGGCGATGCAAGGCAGATTGCCAGCCTCCACCCATTCCAGTGGCAATGGGTGGAGCACTGTCGCCAGGAGCGACCCACGCGGGACCGCGATCGTCACCAACTTTGAAACGGCGGAGTATCCGGCTCATCTTCGCTAGTCTCGTAAATAAGCAGCGGTGCCGGTGCGCCTTACACAGTCTTGGCGAAATGCTCGTCTTGGATCGCCTTCAAGCAAGGCGCGCTGCACGGGCGCCGAGTCTCTGTCGACGCCAGCAAGCGAACCCCAGAAGAGCCGGCCCATCGGAGCGGCGGCTCAAGTGCGCGCCAAGAGACTCTATGAGAGAGGCTCATTTCTGCATAAAATTCATCATCGATTGAGCCGGCTCAGCGGCGTCGAGGAGTTGCAGAGCGAAATACAGAGCGCGATACGGCGTGAAAATGTAGGCAAATATTTTGCAGGCAATTTGCCGAGCTCGGCAGCAGGAAAACAAGAAGTAGGAAAAGTTTTTTTCTCTGAGAAAACCTTGGAGAAATCCCGCCGCCAAGGATCTTGGTTGCTGCGATAATACAGAACCCAGCACTGCTGTTACCGTGATACCTGTCAGCTGACCTTGGTATTCTCGCTAGTGGATTTCGCGTGCCGTTAGCAGCGCTTTGGGCCAGCTGCGAGTAATTTTGCCGCCGGACAAGATAGGACTGAGAGCCGATCACCAGACGCGTGCTTTCGTGGCGAGTAAGCGGCGCCAGGTGCTGCCGCACTTGAGGCCATCTTGCTGCTGACGGTGTTCGCGGGTGTTGGCCTGCAGCGCTATTATGCATTCCGACGTCCATTTTCCAAAACCCGACGTCAGCACGCCACTTTCAAATCTTACCTCCGAAACTGTATACGAACCTCAGGCCCGATCTTTCGATCTGAACCCAGAGTGTGGATAAACCGCGACATATGGAGCTGAGTATGTGGTAAGCCTGCAGATAAGGTATACCCGCAGCAACTTATACCAACTGCGATGTGCGAGTACCGCCCCTGCCCGCCACGTTTGTGGCACGCAAGTTGGCGCGGCAGAAAAGCCGCATTCAACGTTGCCCTGCGCCGGATCATTGTTGCTTTTGCCCCGAACTGCGCACGTGTTGCCCGTCAGATTTCCTTTAGACAGATCGAATCCGACGAGCGACCATGGGCCTGGACGACCTGAGTGTGTCTGCGGGCCGCGCGGCCGAGCGCGTCGTGGACGCCAAGGCCGTCGCGGAGCCCGCGTCGCCCGCGCGCGCCGCGCCCGTCGAGTCCGAGGCCGCCGCGCTGCGCCGGCGCACCTCCATCCCGAGCACCTTCTCGTTCGGCGGCGTCGACCACGCCATCCCGGCCGCCGACGTGGGCCAGCGCCGCTGGCGTAGCTTCGACGCCGCCGTGGCCGCCGACTCGGCCGCGTCCTCGGCGCTCGAGCAGCTCACGCGCCGCATCCAGCAGGAAAGCCAGCACGTGCTCAAGCGCAAGGCCCGCCTGTCCAAGCGCCGCGAGCTCCTGCGCAGCGTCAAGGGCTGGCTCAGCTCCAGCCGCCGCGACCAGGTCGCGCTGCTGCAGATGCAGCTCGTGGCCGAGGTGGCCACGAGCAACCGCTCGCTGGCCGTGCTCGGGGACATGCGTACACTGCTAGAAATGGACGAGGCCGACGAGCTACCGGCGGGCCGCCACCGTGGCAGCTTCGCCGCCAGCCAGACGCTTCTGGACGGCATCGAGCAGTCGGACCGCGCCCTGGCTGAAGACTGGCTTCGACAGGTTCTCCAGCTACAGTCCAAGTACCTGGGCAAGCTCATCGAGCTGCACGGTCAGAAGGCGCTCGAGCCTAACGGCCTGACGCTGCCGCAGCTGCTGGCCAAGTCGCACTGCGTCGTGTCGGCCGCCGACGAGCCGTCGCCCGCGCTCGTCAAGTTCGAGAAGCTGCTGAGTCGCCAGAAGCTGCTCAAGCCCGAGCTCAAGAAAGCGCTGGACAAGCTCTGCCTGGACACCATGCGCTTCTTCACGCGAGTCAGCAGCCAGCCCGGCCCCAAGACGCCGTTCGACGACAGAGAGCCGCGCGACGTCATGCAGTCGCTCATCCAGGAGATCGAGAACGCCGTGGCCAACGAGGCCCACCTGGAGGCCAAGCTGCGCCCCGCGCTCCGCATGTTCGTGGAGCACATGGTCTTCAGCCGCCTGGCCTGCGCCTGCTACCGCGGCACGGCCGCCGACCTCGACGAGCTCAACGCCTCGTGGCGCGAGCAGGCCGCCAAGATGCGTGAGCTGACCCTCGAGGAGGTCGGCCTGCCCGTGGAGATTCCCGATGAGGCCAAGCAGCAGGAGATCTTTAGCGAGTCCATTGCGGCGTTTAACAAGATGCCTCACCTGGTCCCGTCCAGCGTGCTCGCGGCCTTCATGCGTGCTGTGTGCACACTGTACCGGGAGGCCAAGGACGGACTTGGCCTCGACAGCAGCTGCATCTCGGCCGACGTGCTGCTGCCGCTGCTGGTGTACATCCTCAGCCGCTGCGACCTGCCGCACCTGCACTCGCAGGTGTACCTCATGGAGCAGTACGCGATCGAAGAGTCCCAGGACGGATCGGAGGCCGCCTACTACCTGGCGTGTCTGCAGGCGGCCATGGGCTACATCATGGGCAACGGTGCCGCCGATGACACCGAGTCCCAGTAAACGCCCAGTCGTCTTGTGTGGTGGATGTGAACACAATGATGGAGCGTCTCCGTCGAAAACAGAAGAGATTATTTATCAAAGACATGTAACAATACAAACGAGTCTCATTATCGACAACGTGTGTGAGGTATTTGGTGTTTCTCTTGAATGGACGTGTGACTCACGTAGTGTGTGGTGTGTAAATGCATGTTTGTCTATAGGTGGTGTGTTTTTAGCGAGTTGTTGAAGGTTCGAAAGTTACTGAAGCGAGTCGATCCAATGCCGTACTTTGGCGATTGAGCTCTCGAGGTCTGCCGAGTAATAACAAGAAGCACCGTAAGTATCGCTCCCAAGCTTTGCGACCAGGGAAAAATCAACTTACTGACGGCTCCGCAGCGTTGCAGCCACGGCGACTCGAGCAAAGTGTCGGCCGAGGCGCGGTCCAGCGGGTTCTTCTGAAGACACTGGTGGAGGAAGTCGCAGAAGTCCTGCGAGAAGTACTGAGGCGAGAGAGCTGGCGGCGGCGCTTCTAGCACGCTCTGCAGCATGTCGATGCAGGTTTTGTGCTTTGGGTACGGGTAGACGCCCGTGGCGGCCTCCATGAGCACGAGGCCGAGACTCCAGATGTCCGAGCTGTAGCTGTACTGCGTGTGCTGGATCCGCTCGGGGGACATGTACCGGAAGGTGCCTACGAAGGTGCCGCACATGGCTGCAAGGACAGAAAACACCAAGGTTAGAGACAGTATTGCCAGCAGTCAGAGGGCGACGTTGAGAACAAGACACTACACAGTGAGGTCCTGACTCACCGATGGAGTTACCGAGCTCGGAAGCAATGCCAAAGTCCGAGAGTTTGACTTGGCCCTGGCTGTTGAGCAGAATGTTGGGCGGCTTGATGTCGCGGTGCACGCGTTTGTTGGTCTTGAGGTAGGACAGCGCGTGGAGGATCTGGAAGGCCACGCTGGCGAGGACATGCTCCGGAATCGTACCGAGCTGGTGGATGACATTCTCCAGCGACCCGCCGTCCATGTACTCGAGCGCGAGCACCACGGCGCCGTCACGGAGGAATGCTCCGAAGAAGGTGACGAGGCTCGGGCACTTGGAGTCGAAGAGCGCGTTGATCTCGCGGATGATCTGCTCGCGCTTGGTCTTGTCGTACATGTTGATCATCTTGAGCGCCAGCGGCGTGTTGGTGGGGCGGTGACGCGAACGCAGCACGCAGCCGCTGGCCCCGCGGCCGATGACTTGGCCGTTCCATTCCAGCTCTTCGGGCACGACGCTGAAGGCGCGGCCGGTGCCTTTGCGGACGACGCCCGTGGATGTGATGGCGTATTTCCCTTTCACGTAGGCGCCAGCGCCGGCGATGAAGGAGTTCTCGAGGTTGTTCATGGTCCGGCTGGGGAGCTTGAGCTTGCGGGAGCTGGAGGCGAGTGTTGACGGACGGGGCGATCGAGATCTGATAGCGTCCCTTCCGGTGCTGCCTGGTAGAAATCAAGAGCCCCTCGCGTTCCGGGGGTTGTCGGACGTGCCAAGTTGCGACTTCAACAGCCCGAGCTGGCTGCCAGGTGCTTCGAGGCGCGCGCTACTGGCCCCTTCGACGTTGGCAGACGTTTCGTCGCCACGCAGAGGCAGCCATCGGGCCACGCGCAGCGCAGGAACACGTACAAGTACAAGTACAAGTACTCTTACGAGCACATCAAGGTGGAGCAGTATTAATAACGCGGCGCCATGGATGCAACGCCTGAATGGGGCCAGCGCTGGCCGTTGTACGCTACGCATCCTGAAAGAGGGCGGACCATGGCACGACTGCAACCAGTTGAAGCTACTCACGCCAGCCGCAGTTTCGTGCGAGCCAACATTGAACCACGACGACAGACGAGCAAGCAGCTTTTGACACGCCTGTCATGGCGTCGCTGGCTTTTTCACGAACACATCAGAGCTGCGTGTTTGCTGCGATGGGAATGGAGAGTGGGCCCCACCACCCTGGCCGATTATCTTTAGGGTGATCAGCTTCGTCTTCGTGATCTGATGCGGATCAAGCAACTAAGGATCCGATATCTTTAGGATCGGTCTGCTTCGAGCCATGATGACCGCGCACGCTTCCAAGCTACCTGCATGCAGCACCGCAAGCTGAAAGCCCATTGTTCAATCGGCTACTTGCCAGACAGCAGCAGCTCCCGCGCGCCTCGAAGCCCCCCAGCCAACTTCCTTCAAGATGCGCGTGATTCAGATCGCGAGTTTGGCGCTGCTGTGGCTCTGGACGGGTGTGCAGCTCACGACGGCGGCGTTGTGTGCGGATCAGGTCTCGTCCGGTGACAAGGCTGTCGGAATCTGGGGTGAGGACTCGCCGTCGTGCCCCAGCGGCGGCGGCGTGGGCTGCTTTGGTGGAACGAGCACCTGCCGCTTCTGCAAGTCGTTCAGCACTCCGCAGAGTGCACACCTGGATGCGTGCGCGACGACCACTGCAGCTTCAACGCCGACGGTGACCGCAGCTCCGACTACAGCTCCCTCGACTACAGCCCCTCCCACGGCTGCTCCAACACCGGCTCCGACCGTGGCGACCACCGCCAACACGAGCGACGATGACTGCCCAGGGTCCCTGCCCGTCGCGTAGTCGATATCAAGATGAACTTCTATCTTACATGACAGCGAAGCCTGCACTTATGAACTTCTGCGAATACACAACTTAACCCCCTTCATGTTCATGTTCAACGGGTTCACTCACGTACGTCAGATGGCTACACAAACTTCAGAATGAGCCCGTGTGAATGATGGTTGGCCCAGCGTAGCACCGTGCTCCCATTCCTGCTCCTGCGGCCAACGACACAACACACTCATGGAGACGCCGGCAGCGCAGCCCTTGGCTTCCATTGAGCGCGCACTACGCGCCTACATCTCGAGTGAATCGACAGTTCTGGATGCTGAAGACCCCGCTCAGTTTCGGGCGCAGATGCTCCGCCACGACGGCGATGATGGAGACCATGGCCTACCAGTGCCCGTCACCACCGACAATGTTCTCGTGGGCGTGTCGAGGGCTCCGTACGTGCATCAACTGGCCGTGATGATCACCGCGTGGCACGAGACCGACCGGAACCCGCTGCTCCTGCCGTCAGACGCCACCGACGCTACAAGCCCCTCAATCGAAGGCGTGACGCCAGAGTTCTCCAGTCGGAGTCGAGTTCTTGCACTCCCCATCGACGGCATCCACGCGTTCGTCGCCGCAGCCACCAATACTGAAGATGAAGACGCTACTCGTGCAGCTGCAGCGTCGCTTGTGGACCAACTCGGCGGCGCGCGTGGAATTCTGACGCTGCTGGGCTTCCAGCAGACCGTGGGCAGTCGCAACCTGGGGCCACTCACGCTTCACCAATGCCTCGATGCATTTGAACGGCGACACACTCCCACAGAGCCGCTAACAGTCGGTGCGCGGGCGTTCAGCAAGCATTGCGCGCGCAGTTTGAGCGGCTGGTGGGGAGAGATGAAGGGCAACGACGCCGCCAAGAACGCGCGTGCTGCGCGCAAAGTGCGCGAGCTGCTGGCTGATGCCACTTGGAAGAACGTGCACAGTCTTCCTCATGCACATGCGACGATGGAAGTCCGCAACGCGTTGGGGTACGGCGCCCGATGGGACGCGGAGACCGGAGCGTTCCGAGGCTTCCTCGAGCCGCCCATGGCCAATGGCCATGAGATCAAGTGGCGGCACTAGGAATTGGTCTGGCCATTAATTGTGGAGGCGGAACGAGTGAGGAAGCGAGACGTTGCGGCCGTTGTTGGGATGACCCGGGTCGTTTCACGAATCCTGATGCAAGTGCAGATAGCAACTTGACACTAGGAAGGCGCCAAAGGGGTCACTAACGGGCTGAAGTGTCGTGACAGTCAAGGAGGAACCCCGCGGAGAACGTGCTTGACCCTGCCCTACGGTTGAGGGTCCGTTGTTTGGAGGGCACAGGGGTTTCGAGCGTCGAATGTATCAACCCAATGCAGAGTGCAGCAAGCTATCCTTTTTGCTGTTCTTGGTGGGGCAGTTCATTCGCCAATTGGCAGGCCGCTTCCTACTCGTCAGACTCAGCAGACTCTTAGAGAAATTCCCCGGCCGTTTACTACTGCGCGATGCGAGCGATTCACCTTTCGAGCGCCTTCTTCCTGGTGCTGGCTACGATCAACCTTGGGACGATCTCAGTGACTGCCGCTTCGTGCGCCGACCGAGTGTCGTCAGGAGACCAGAGCGTTGGGATCACCGCAGTGGAGGATGCGTCCTGTGCTTCCGGCGGCTTGGGATGCTTCTCGGACGGGGAGCAGTGCCGATTCTGCCGGCCCGACAGCTCCACCGACAACGAGAATTATCACCTCATGCTGTGCTCCGAAGTCAAAGTGTCGGCCGTCTCCTCGAGCGAGTCCAGCGCTAAAACGACGACCACGACGAAGACCAAGTCAAACTTGAAGTCTACTACAGCGACCACGGAGTCGGTCGAGGCAGGCATCGACTGCCTGTCGCTCGTGTCTGTCGGCGACCAGGGCGTGGGCATTTCTGCCGTAGCAGCTACGAATCCGACGTGTGCGGCGAACGGCTTGGGCTGCTTCCAGGACGGAAAGTGCCGATACTGTCAGTCGAGGGAGACAACGCAAAGCGCGCCTTACATGACGTGCGCGCGTGCTGGTGGGAGCTCTACGTCGACTGGTACTTCATCAACCACACCGACATCTGCACCGGCATACACGCCGGCACCCACCGCCGCGTCAACCAGCACGAGTTGCTCGACAGTTGTGTCGCGGTCTGGACTGCAGAGCGTCTCGTACATCACCGACAGCCGCTGCAACGTGGCGTCCCCGACGCTGGTCGGCTGCTCTGCTCGAACGTCATGCCGACTGTGCCGCGACTACAAGAACGAAGCCAACCAGTTCCTCGTGAGCTGCCAAGTGCTCAAGGACCTGGGGACAACTGAGAGCGCGGCGGCGGGTTCTGGCAAGACGGAGTCAGTGGAGGCAGCAGACCAAATGACCGAGAAACTGACCGTGACGACTGAGGGCGCAGCCGAAGGTGTTACGGCTACCGGCGCTTCCGCCGGCACGACAATTGCTGTGGTTGCTGCGGTTGTAGGAGTTCTGGTCGTGGTCATGATGAGCGTCATGTACGTCAAGGGGCGACGCGACTCGCTGGACGAGATCATGACGCCCGACGACTGCCCCGGTGGCGACCTCATGACCCCACACGGCGGCCGTGGTTACACGCCGCGAGAGGGTTCGCTAGTCATGGTCGTGAGTCAGTCGTCGATCGCCACTCTCTAGAGCTGTTGTGGCGCGAACGTAAGCAAAATTTGTAGTCTAGGGCACGCATTGTCGTGCTTTGATCACTCTCCTCCAGAGTACTTTAGCTCCTACGTACAAAATAAATATCATTGCATTTTCATTGAAAAAAAAACTTGCCGTAGGGCTCTACTGGAAATGGATGATACATCTAGATGCAACAATATGTGTTTGAGAACTACATATCCCAACAGCGTAAAATTAAGGCCAAACATCCACATCGCAATGCATGAAAGTTCCCAACGTTCACTATTTCGGATCCATGGTTGAAGTGCTTGATCGCAAGGTTCTTGTCGCGAAATCAACGGCTTGATCGCATCCTTCGTGCGATTTCCACCTACACTTTCCATTGTTGCGACGAAACTTTCATCACTTTTGATTTCCCAGTGCAAGCCATTCCTCACCTGGCCAACAAAATGCGGAGCTTACGGGCCATTTCCTTCTGCTGGGCAGTGCTAACGTGCTTCTGGATGAGTGTTCATGCGGCGGCAGCAGCTTCGTGTGAGTCCCGCGTAGCCATCGGCGACCAAAGTGTCGGCATTTCAGCGGTGCAAGACGCTTCGTGCAAGAACGGAGGCCTCGGCTGCTTCTCAGACGGCACGTGTCGATTCTGCCAGAAGGTGGCGTTCCCGCAGAGCAACCACCTCCTCAAATGCAGTAGCATCGCCCCAACTTCACAGACCTCGGCACCGACTACAGCCCCACCGACGACAGCCCCACCAGCTACGAGCCCTCCTACCGCCGACTGCAGCGAGATCGTGAAGAAATCGACGTTGAACGGGATCTCGTTCGTGACCGACAATGCCTGCACCGTCGCGCGCCCGACTGCGATAGGCTGCACCGCGCGTACGAGCTGCCGACTGTGTCGAACGAGCAAGAACGAGGCCAACCAGTTCCTCGTAAACTGTGCCGTGTTCAAGAAGCCGGATACGGCGTTGGCACAGACCATCGTTCTGTCGGAGGGGGCGGCGGGTATCGTAGAAGGCCCCGGTTCCCCCAAGTACACCGATATTTTGCTCGCCTGCCTCAGCGTCATGGCCCTCGTAGTGGCGATCCTGGGCCTGGCGCATTTCAAAGTGTGTCACCGTGATAACCCTGACATGAGCTGCTCAGCGGCTGAAATTGGTTTTGTGGATCATGCTAGTTACTGCATCAATTCGGAGAAAGCTCGCGTGTGATGAAGTGAGGATTAATCCACCGCAACGACAGCCAAGCTTACACACCACCAAGCTTACGACTTACTCCACAACAGGAGACACTTCGACACCTTAATGAATTCATTCGTCCCCGTTTAATAACCCCATTGACGTCGCGGCTGCCACTCTTTTCATTCCGATAGCTATGGGAATACGACTACGTAGTAGTTAGAGAGCAAGTATGACCATCACAATTGATAGCATCGATACGCCGCCGGCCATAGCGCCGATGCCCGAGCTAACTTCTGACCCGCTGGCTTCGCTTTCATCGTGGCCCCCGGCGTTGCTTGTACTACCTTCAGTTTCTCTTGTGCTTGAGCCGGCAGCGCTACCAGAAGCCGAAGTGAGGACTGTAGCGGACTCGAAATCATTGAGTGAGCCAGCTTCATCCTCCGAGTCGGCAATGCTGATGGTGGCGTTGATGTCCGTATCGCCGAGCTCCGAACTACTCGAAGTTTCGGCCAATACAGACCCTCCTGTGACGTTGTTGGTTGGCGATGACGGCAGAGCTTCAACTTTGCTGCTTGTAGCGCTAGAGGAAGTATCTGCAGCTCCCGTTGACGTTGCCTTATCAAGCGTCCCTGTTGACAGCGTAGCTGCAGTTGATAGTGAGAATCCTGAAGCTGTAGCTGCCGAGTTCACGTTAGCAGTCGATAATGCTGGAGCGACTTGCGTGGCTACACGAATACCAGAATTTGAGGTCGTGGATCCAGTAGATGTCGACACCGGGGTCTCAACTGGGGATGTGGTCGTTGAGTTGGTTGTAGCAGCGACCACCGACGCACGAAACAATTCCGGGGTCGGTGTGGTGGCGGTTGATCGATCTCTTGCTGATCCAGAGGAGCTTGTCGCTGAGTTGGTCGTAGCAGCCGCCACCACGGGGCCGAATGTCTGAGGAGTATCGGTGGGTTCGCTGGTTGCTGCATCACTGTCACCCGTCACGATGCGAAATGGTCGCGCTGGCACCGGGGGCGCTGTTGTTGTTGAGTTGCCATCGTTGTCGACGGAAGTCGCGTTAACCTGCGAAATCGCGACGACGATTAGGAATGCGGTGATGAACTTCATCTGCGAGTGAGCCGGTAAATTGATCAATGGCGTTGAGTACATGTAAACCTGGGGATCACCTCGCCGCATTACAAATTAGCGGTACTGCTCGCTGTAACACATCAAGTTAGCACTTGCTCCAACTATGGTCACGCCACCATTCTACATGGTACCACCTCGAGCTTCTTACATACTGCAAGTTGCGTTTCCTCACGGATACAGTACAGATCACAACTAGGACCCCACGCAGATAGGTAAGTGTTGGTCGAGTCCGACGTTTCTGAACTGCACTGGAGTCTTGAGTCAGGGCACCAGCAATAAGTTGAAATTGACACCATTCTCCGTGAAACTTGCCATGATTATTATTTTTCCACTTGTGAGCTCATTTATTTATTTTACCATTTCTACAGGTATTGCTCGTTTCGAAGTTATCCTAACAACCGTTCCCAACAACATTTCGACGTTTGTACTAGAAACCAGCCATGACAATCAGAACCGATAGCGTCAATGCACGAAGGACCGGCGTTCTGGTGCCTGAGCTAACATCCGAAGCGCTAGCTGCGCTGTCGTCTTGGCTGCCAACGTTTCCTGAGTTCCTGGCGCCCCCTGCACTTGAATCGTCGAAACGACTTGAAGTGGAACTGGGAACTGCAACCGAGTCGATTGAGCCAGAGCCATTGAGCGATCCAACACGGCCATCTAATGTGGCAACGCTGGTGCTGGTGCTGAGGTTCGCGCTGTCGATCACATCCCGGAAGTGCTTGGCTCGTGGTGGTCGAAGTTTTGGCCGCTACAGACCCTTCCTGTTGCTCACTTGAGGCACTGCTGGTAGACGTTGATGACTGGGCTGCAGTAGTTTCGGCTGTTGCTGCAGTGGACGTCGTTCTTGTCGACGTTGACTGACCACGCGCTGCTGTCGAAGGAGAAGATGACGACAATGACGTTCCTGAGGTCTTGGAGACCGAGTTATCATTCGAATTGGTGGTGGTGCCAGTCGATGCTGTCGATGTCGAAGCACGTACAACGGTACTTGACGTCGTGCCACTGGATCTGGTCGACGTCGACGTCGACGATGCTGCTGCAGGAGCGACTTGTGCGGAGGCAGTATTGACGCCAGTACTGGAAGTCGTCGTAGCTCTGGTTCCCGTAGACGTCGTCGGTGCTGCTGCTGCGGGGGTGACTTGCGAGGAGGCAGCATTACCACCCGTACTTGGAGTCGCCGTGGTGCTGGATCCCGTAGAGGTCGACACTGAGGCTTCATCAGAGGAAGTTGCCGCGGAATTGGTCGACGGAGCCACCGTCACCGTGTTCACCGTCTCGGGGGTCGGCGTGTTAGCCGTGTCGGTAGTTCTCTCTTCGTTTTGCGTCGTCGTTGCCGATGCATCAGTGGAGACGGTGGTCCCGGGCTGACGGCTGTTGACTCTGTGGAGGACGCACTTGTAACGGTGCGGAAGGACCGCGCTCCCCTGTGTAGTCGTCCTCGGATGACTCGCTGTTGCTCAAGCTGCTAGACTCGACCAAGGAAACCGAGTCCCCTGAAGCAGAAGCTGCCAGGGAGTCCTGCCCCAGGACCGGCCAGACCACGACTGCAAGTAGGAATGCAGTGAGGAGGTTCATCGATCGCGTGAGTCGGCAAATTGCTGAATGTCGAGCAGATGTCCCTCCAACCTCTCAACTGACGAACGGTTGAGTGGTCCTGTAGAAGCTCAACCCTGAGACCGACCACAGCATGTTCATGTTCAAATTGTTGGTGTACCGCTCGCACCGGTAGCAGATCAAGTGGGAAAGTTAACCCATTGACCAGCTCCAGCTTTGATTACCTACCGACAATTTATCCAGTGCCGCCACGATCCCCCGAGGCTGCAGGCTGGAACTGAGGAAACGATCCTGACTGTCGCTAACGCTTCCTCTGTATGATACCTCCATGAAGCACCTCATACATGTACGAACAGGAAACACCGTAATTTACGGTGTTTCCTAGCTTTACGGCTCAGTTTGGCAAATGATAATCGATCCTCTCCTCTTCGACAACTGAGTATTATGAAAATGCACATCAGTACAAGAATAATGTAGGTTCTCAAGTCTACACTTCCCTCCGATCGATGCAGAATTCTTCATTTTTTAATTCACTTTACCAGAGAACAACTAGGGCCATCAGAATCGATATCGCGGATACACCAACGGCCGAGGCACAGGTTCCTGAGTTTATTTCCGGGCCGCTTGCCCGGCTGTCACCTTGACTTGCACCATTGCTAAAGGTGTCGCCCATGTCTCCAACATCGAAGCCGCCGGAGCTCCTTGAAGTCGAGCTCTGGACTATGGTGGAGCTGCTCGAGCCAGAGCCATTGCCATCGTCCAACCTGGCAACTCTAATAGTGCTGATGTTTGAGTTGTCAACGATATCCCCGAAGCGGGTGCCTTCCAAAGTGCTGGACCCGTTGCTACTAGTCGTAGTGTTACCCAAGACGGATGGTGTTGCTTGCTGTCCTGTGGCGGCGCTGTTGGTTGAAGATGACGACTGGGGCGTAGCTTTGGTGCCTGTAGCCCCGGGAGAAGAAGTTGCACTACCAGTTGACGCTGACTGGCCGCGCGTTGTCGTCGACGGTGTGGCTGCTGAGGGATTCGGAGCTGTAGCGGGCGAGTTCGCGCCCAAAGCGGTGGCACCTTCGACATTGTTTCGAGACACCGATGGTGCTGCTGATGGGGGACTTGCGGGAGGCGCCACCGTGATACCGTTGTTCGAAGGTGTGACTCCATTGGACCCCGGAGTCGACGGGGATTTTGTAGTTGAGTTGGTCGTACCATTAGCCACTATAGTCGCGCGAAATGTAGCTGGGGTCCCCGACAACGCAAGCGGGGGCGTCGTTCCGGGTGTTGCTGGGTTTGCTTGATTCGGCGTCGAGGAAGCAGGATCTGAATTACTTGTCATACCCACCACCACCGGACGAAATGTCTTCATAGTGATCGTCCTTGTCGGAGTCGAATTTGTTGCCGGATCGGAGGTTGTGATTGAAGGATCCGCTGACCCGCTGGTTCCTGCATCAGTCGGTAGTGTCGAGACGGGGGTGGTGCTACCAGCACCGGTTAACGCCGCTGGTGATGTTAAGAATGATCGGGTGGCCGCGTCGATCCCGTTGTTGGAAGTCGCGAGGCCGGCAGACGCTGGTGCCGAGGTGCCGATCAACGGAGTATCATCCGAGTTGGTCGTGGAAGCCACAACCACGGGGCGGAACGTCTTCATGTTTATCTTCCTCGTCGACGATGGAGTGGCTGCCGGGTCTTGCGTCGCCAGCGGCGAATCAGTGGACGAACTTGCTGTGTATTGCGTTAGATCGGCCGCCTCGCTATCTCGTGTGCTGGACAGCGTTCGCCCCACCACCGCGTGCAATGTCCGTGCTGGTTTACTCGTAACAAAAGGGGGCGGCGTTGTCGGGATTGCGTTGGATCCACTCGAGGCCACGCTGCTGCTGGAGACGTCGCCGTTCTGAGTCGAAGCCGAGTTGGCGATGGCATTATCGACCGAGGAACTTCCAGAAGCAGACCGCGCTTGATACTCCTGGCCTGCGACGACCCCGACCACGACTGCAAGCAGGAATACCCTCAAGGCGTTGGTCATCTCTCTGCTACTGGAGCCGGCAAATCTGGGAATGACTACAGTAGGTAAAAAAGACTTACGAACAGCGGATGCAGTCCCACCAGAGTGGTCCATCGGACAGATCAAGCAAGCACGTGTTCAACTATGGTGAAAATTTAACCCATTGACCAGCCCCAGCTCTGGACGAATATATCACATTGTCCCGTTCTGCATCCACGACGCTATTGCGTCGTGACTTGTGCCACAAGTTGTCAAGAGTCTTGACATCGAGTCTTGCCGCGAAACTTCCAGTCGCCGATTCCTGAGGACCTGCTGGCCGAAAGTCACTGTTCGACCGTCCCACGAGCTGCTGTACATTCAATGCCCAGTCTCGAAACTCTCGACAGCACGAGGCCATAATAACTTGAGTTTATCGTACCCTACGAGTCAACGGATATCGGATACCGTCGTCAATTCTATCGGAACAAGAGAAGTTGTGTGGTGTTGTACTTGCCCACGCCGTGGACAATGGCCACCGTGGATGCAGGCCATTGCCTCTTGTATTATATGTTGCCAGAAAGGTTTCCTTGGCCAGG